TTGGTTCGACACAACAAGAACGTACTTTCTGAAGAAGAACATGACCGTACACGGATCATACAACTCATACATCTTATTAAAATCCGGGACTTCATCGATATCGACCAAATATATCACGGCAAAGTTCTTGACTTTTTCGGCGATGCGGTACAACACCTCGTCTTGTCGCATACAGGTTGGATCTGCGTCACGGCCGAAGCGGATGAGGACTACGCGGTCTTCTTCTGTGGTGGGGGAAGGGAGGTGTTAGTAAGCCTGAAGGGGGGGGGTGGGGGAGGGACGTACGTGGACGTGGGGGGACGAACCGGACATGATTGCTTGGTCGACGTGCCAGCCTGATTTGAGATGAGGGAGGAGGTATGACTGTGGACGCTTAGCACAAACAAGAAGAGGAGGAAGGAGGGCATACCATGGTTGGTGGTGTGTGCCCTGTAACGTAGACGTAACGTAGACTTTCTGTTCTCTGTGTGGTAATACGCGTGCATTAGCCAGGTGAGTTGTCGATTCCGCCAAAAAAGGATTCCGGCAACGAAAAGCTTACAAATCGATCTCGTACAAAATGGGTGGCCTTGATACGAGAGATAGCACACTCGATGCCTTGGAGGAAACCCTCCTGAACAAATCAGGCGATGTCCCGCTAGCTCTGAGGTTCCGTGCTCTGTTCTCGCTGAAGGCGTTGGGGACCGAGGGGAATGTACGTGCGATCGAGATCATCGCGGAGGGGTTAAAGGACGATTCAGCATTATTGAAACACGAGCTCGCATACGTCCTCGGTCAAACCCGCCAAGAAGCCGCCGTGGTTCCTCTCCAATTATCCCTCAAGAACCTATCCGAAGACCCAATGGTCCGTCATGAGGCCGCCGAGGCCTTGGGCGCACTCGGAGACCAGGGCTCCTTGCCGTTGTTGAGGGAGTATTTACACGATAAAGAAGAAGTCGTACGTCAAACCTGCGAACTGGCAATCGAGCGCATCGAATGGGAAACATCCGAGAAATCCAAGACAGAGAAAATCCAGAAAAGCGCATACACCTCCATCGATCCCGCTCCGCCCTTACCCCTCGACGGCGACGAGCATGACGAGAAAGTGGAGAAGTTACAGCAGAAACTGAATGACCAATCTTTGAGTTTGTTCCACCGCTACCGGGCCATGTTCCGTCTCCGCGATATCGGCACCCCCGCCGCAATCGACGCCCTCGCCTCCGGCTTCTCCGATCCCTCCGCCCTCTTCCGCCACGAGATCGCATACGTCTTCGGACAACTCTCACACCCCCACTCCGTCCCTGCCCTCATCTCCGTCCTCCGCAACACCCGCGAAGAAAGCATGGTTCGACACGAAGCCGCCGAGGCATTGGGAAGTGTTGGGACGGCAGAGTGCTTACCCGTGTTGAAGGAGTTTTCGACGGATGAGGAGCAGGTTGTTAGGGAGAGTTGTGTTGTTGCTGTTGATATGTGGGAGCATGAGAATTCTGGGGAGGTGGAGTATGCTGTGTATGCTCCGAAGGTTGAGGCGTAGATGTGTGTGGTGAGGGCGTTAGACAAAAAAGAGGGCGCGGGTACGCTCTTTGCTTTTGGTTTTTGGTTTTTGGTTTTCATCTTTTGGACTTTTTTCTGTGGACAGAATGGCATGAACTTTTTGCATTCTTCTATATGTACTCCCACGAAGTCTCGGCCAGCGAGATATTGGCAGTATGCTCCCGGTCCCTTTCTCAACGTTCCCAATAACTCCGCCTTTTGTGTGATGCCCCTCGAGCTCCACCAGCTGCAGCAACCCTAATTATTCGTAGAAAACTTATACGCACACCTCGGACAATTATAAAACACCGTCGCCCCCTCATCCGCACTCCTCAACTGCAACGTATGAAACGTCATCTCCTCATTCCCGCAATTCGGGCACTTCTCCTCGATAACAGCTGCTTCTTCTTGTTCCTGTGTTTGGAGACCCTGGACAAGTGATTGTTTTTGGCGGAGGGCGGAGGGGAAGGCGGTTGGGGAGGAGTGGGTGCGGACTTCGAGGTTGGAGAGAGCGGAGGTAGAGAGGGAGGCGCCGCATTGGTTGCAGACGATGAAGGCGTCGGAGGAGGAGGAGTCGAGGAGGTTGCCGCAGTCTGGGTTGATGATCGTTAGTAATGGTTCTTGTGTTCGTTGGATCTTGATCCGGGGAGAGGAGGGAGAGATCAGGGAGATGTACCTTGGCAGAAGATGAGACCACCGACGATAGACATTTTGACGGAGTGGGAGGGAGAGAGAAGGATCGAGGAGGGTGTAACGAGGATAAGCTCTATCGGCTGCAGGCCCGTGCACCGGGCTCCCAGAAAAATATGTTATCGCACGTGAGGATAAGCTTTGCAAGATAGAACTCATATTAAGCCGTTCTTTCGGGTATTTTAAATCTCATCTTCAATCCTGTGGATTGGGTATGGCTTTGTTTGAAGGTGATATGGGCGAGGGAGTTTCACGCGACACGCTCCTCGAACGTCGCGTCCTCCCATATTAAGGTAGGACGACAAGGACCTCTCGAGCAAACCACCGCGCCTGCAAGCGTTCCGGCCCCATTACGATGTCTTCAGCAAATGCACACGACTTGCTCTCGGGCCGGATCGGCGTAGACGAGAAAATCGTATGGATCCCCTCGCCATTCACCTCGCTAGCCGTTGCTGACGATCTCATAGGTTACCTACCGTCTCCTCAGTCGAGAACTCAAGGTTCATGTTAACACGGCCAAGCAACTTCTCTTCGAGTACTACCAATCATGCAAAACATCGTCAAAATCCATCCATGCGACGTATGTCATCACGGGCCTTCGGCAACCAAAGGCGGATCCTGTGGTCAAGAATGAAGTCGACCAGAACGGTGACACCGAGATGGATGACGCGGAACCCGAGTTTCAAACTCAGACTTCACTATACGAGGCCGGGCAGCTGGTAAAGACGATCTGTGTGGTCCCTGAGGAGAAATTGGAGGCTGTGAAGGAAAAGTTTAGCAAGATTACGGGTGTTCACATCTACAGTCTCCAGCCTGCGCCACTAAAGGATCTGTCGTTGCTGACGACTCCATCGTATGATTTACGGCACAGCACGAAGTACAATACAGGGCAGACCTCGGACGAATTGGGACAGGCGTATGGTTCTATCATCAGTGCTACCGCTAAGAGAAGGACGGGCGTGGCTCCAGTACCAGCACCCGTGAGCGCGAAGCCGAGTCCAGCACTGCAAAAAGCTGCGGCATCAGCAAAGTCTTCACCAGTACCGACACCAAAGCCTACGGCTGCTTCGCAAAATAAGCCGGAGACGACGCCTGCCAACATGGGTACCGACGCGAAGCCCACACCACCGACAGCTTCAACTCCAGCAACCGCTACAGCAAAAAGAACAGCATCAGCCAAATCCACCAAAGCGCCAACGCGAACGAAGAGTAACATCATGGCTTCCCTAAAAGCGATGCCACCCAAACCCAAACCGACGCCCAAGGAGGTGAAAGAGGAGGTAATACAAGCGTCGGAATACGACGATCCGGAAGCCATGGATGTGGATGAGGATGTAGAAGAAGCACTCCACCTCGAAGACAAACGAAAGAAGCAACTCGCGGACCTAAGCACAATGATGGAAGAACCCGACGCGCCTGCCGTGGAAGACGCAGATGTGGAGACACCCACACCAGCAGCCGAGGACGCGGAAAGCATGCAAGAGGAAAGTCAGATTACGATGAATGCCGACGCACCGGATAGCCAGACCTCCGTGGCTCCACCCGTTGCGGGAGGATCTGGCACGAAGCGTAAGCGACGAGCGGTGAAGAAGAAGACGACTGCGATGGATGAGAAAGGGTATTTGGTTACGAAAGAGGAGACGGTGTGGGAGTCGTATGACGAGGAGGAGCCTGCGCCTGCGTCAAAGGTGCCGGCTCTGAAGAGGACGGAAAGTAAAGGACCAGTTGCCAAGAAGGGTGGGAAGAAGGCAGCAGGAACGGGACAGAGTACTTTGATGGGATGGTTTGGAAAGAAGTAGGTTACAAGATTCCACGCCAGAATAAGAATTATACTTTGGATCGGCAATTTCATGAAAAGATTACGTGACAATGAATAACACGTACTATGCACACGATATATTTAGACCAGATGAGTGAAGATGCAACTATAACTACTCCCGTGTCACGCCCGGCCCCCAAACTCACGTCCTCCCTTCGAAGCCAGCATGCATGACGTTAAAGCTATCCATAACTCATACATCCGCTTGCAACCGCTTAACTATGAAACACGCACCCAGAGGATGCCACATCAAAACCCCAGAACTCCAGGCGCCTAGGAAGTCAAATATCGCTACGTACATTACCCCGGAAAACGAAAGAACGTGATTAAGAGAGAGCCTGAGGTTGTTCTGTTGATTCCTGGAGATCGGCAGGACGCTCGCCACCATTGAGAATCCAAGCGACGTTGCTGATAACAGCAGCAGGGTAGCGAAGCTCTTTCATCTCTTCAACGCACGCTTCGGCCTCATCACGGGCGCCGGCACTAACAAATGCACGCACCATTTGCTCGTAGGTCGAGGGCTCACGACCATATATTCCCTTGACATTCTTATCAAGCGACTGGAAGACTGCCTTGGCCATCTTGATGTCGCCAATGTTAGCCCATCCCTTAATGAGGTAGTTTGCCATGTAGGCATTGAGCTGGACCCCGCGCTTTTCCATGTCGTTGAGAACATGCAACGTTTCCACGATGTTGTGGTTCGCAACGTAACACTTGAGCAAACTCTGGTAGACCAGGGCGTCCTTCAACTCATCTGGTACCTCCTGATTGAAGTAACGCTCAGCAGCTTCAAAATTGTGAAGAACGCAGCCATACATTTCAATAAGGGAGGCGTGATGTGTACTCTCAATTGGGACCCCAGAAGAACGCATCGTGTCGATAACAGCCAAAGCTTGCTCCGGAACAACAGGTTCAATGAAAATCCACGACTGAAGCAACAAGTTCCAAGTGACAGAGGTGAGCAAGAAAGAATGCTTTCTCATTGTTTCATAGGCCCACAAAAGCTTCTCTCGATTTGGGTTGACCCGAAGGTAGTGTATCATGACAGAATTGTACGCGTGCTGTCGGTCTCCTCTCAGTCGTCCGGAACTCTTGGCCTCGAGCATTTCGGTGAACAGGTTCAGCATGGTATGCTCATCACCACAACGAGCGTACCCATTGATTAATGTTCCATAAGTGATTTCTGAAAACGCCAGTTGCTTTTTGAAACTGGCCGCCCTGGCATCGCCCAAAACCCGCGTAAGATCCCCCACCCGACGCGCCTTCGCAAGCTTTGCAAGAACGACATTAAGGAAGAATGTACTCCTGAGAACACCACCTTTGGCGTTGAATTCGTCGTAAATTTCCATTGCCAGCGACGCCTCGTCTCTCGTCTCCGAAGCCTGCAGGCTAAGAACGAGCTTGGCCAGTGTCCCCTGATCGGGAATGAACCCTGCTCCGTACAGGTTGTTCTTCACTTCCAAAGCCTCCGTAATCTTCTTGTACCTGATGTACTGTCGAAGCAGGAAGAGGTCCCATTCAATACTGCCAGTTTTGCGAGCGTTTTCAGGCAGAGATTCCAGGCTAGCAATACCGTTACGGTACCATTCTAACACGGCCTCAATGCTAGAACATTCATCTAGATCTTCCGGCGGTCGAATGACTTTAGACGCCCTGTCGCGGGGACGCTCACGTAAGTTCTTCTCCCGTTCCTGACGCAAGGATGGGTATAGAGTCTCCAATTCGCCGACGAGCTCCTCAGGAAGGGTAACATCGGCGTTCTTACCGAGCCACTTCACGCTGCCAATAAGTCTTTCGGACACATCCTGGTCCATAGCAGGACGCGCACGCACAATGAACTTTCCAAAGTCAACCAGTAGCTGTCTGAACTTTGTCACGTCGGCTTCAGAGAAAAGTTGGGGGGCAAGAGCGTTGACGGCGGGGTCGATGAAGGCCAGCGTCAGATTCGACAGAGACTTCACACTGAGGCTCCGGAGATCCAGCGTCCCAGCATCGATCGCTTCAGAAGCCACTCGTGCGATACGCACAGCTGTGTCGAAGGGGATCGGCTTTAAGCCGTCTGGACTCGTTCTATCCAGGAACTCGCTACCTAAGACCCTCATTAAAGCTTCAACATTTTTGACCTCACACAAGCCGTCTACGAAGTGCATTGTCACCTCAACCCGCGTCCTCATGCGCACAGGACTCGCTTTCGACCATTTCGACAAGAACAATAAGGTCTTTTCAAACAGGTGTTTCTGCTTGTCGCTAGTTGCAAGATATGTGAGAAGCTTTTTGAAAGTCTCGCCGAAGTGCGGGTAAGTCTTATCCAGCAGCTCAATGTGTGCATCAAGGAGGATATCCAAGCGGTCAACAGAAGTGCACGCAGCATAGAACGGAGTAAGGTCTACGCGGCTAGCGAAGTCATTGCCAACGCTGCGGAGCTTCCCGAAAGTATCGGGGGGCAGCAAGTCGAGGGCCTTCTTCACGCCTTCCACATCCTTCTGTTTGGCAGCAGCACACATGATTGACTGGATGAAGTAATCATCGTGTTCATGTCCAACTTTCAAGTTCCGCCGGTCTCCGGCTAACCAACGCGTAGCAACACGATAATCACTATCGCAAAGAGCGTCGATGAGCCCATATAAGACCGGGACGTACCACGACATCTTGGGCAACTTTTCGAAGAACTTGATCGCTCCCGCGGGATTGCCAGCTTTGCAGTACGCCTGGACAAGGGCACCGTAGACGCGTCCTTCAGAGGCACTGATCTGATCAGTTGACGGAGTGTTTGCTTCGGGTTTCCCAGATTTATGTGCGTCCTTCTTGTACTCATTGAAGCACTCGACAGCTGAGCGCATGTCCTTGGCAGTGCCGAAAGCAGTGATAAGACTGATCAACGTGTTGGGCCCGGGTTTCACATTAGCATTTTCCATCTGCTCCAGAACCATCAAGGTCCGGTCCACTTGTCCCTCTTGTGCAAAAGAATCTATAAGTTGGTTGAAGCCCTTAGTGGTGTACTGAATGTTAGCGCTGGTTGAGACTGTGAAGAGTTCAAAGGCGACGTTGAGACAATCCTCATCCTTCAATTCAGACAACAATTCGTCGTTGACGAACGGCAATCGTTCCGTTTTGTCTGTCTCTAACCACGGAACGGCATTCTCAGAGGCAAAGTCTTCGCACACGGCTCTGTTGCTTTTATGCTTGATGAGAAGGGTGCCGATAATATTCTCATATGTCACGGCGTCCGGCAGCACCTGACGCTCGAGCATTTCGCTGTAGATATCCATGACCTTCCCGAAATACTGCTGACCCCGGCGATCGAAAGCTTCCTTCTTGTGTGGATAGAGATTGGGGCTCATCATAGATCGAGCAGATTTGATGACAACGTTGAAGATAGCGGTGTTCATAGGAAGGCCTTCTGAAATCATATTGTCGTACTCCGAGATAACATCTTCGAGTCTCAGCTTAATAAGACGCTCAATACGTTCCTCCAATTCTTTTGCGTCCGTCTCCGAGAGTTCCTTAGGCGACGAGGATACCGAGGTTGTGTCAATTGCAACACCTGCTGCAGCATGGTCGGCAGCAACAGCCTCAGTCGAATAGGCACGAGCCAACGTAGCAGAGTACGTCCGTGGCTTAGGTGTCAACAAACTTCTCTGCTGTCTGTGCGCGAACAACTCACGTTCACGCCTGCCATCTTCCACACTCGTGTGCGCAAGGGGTCCCTGACCGCCATTGGCACCGGATCCAGCCTGCGAAGGGCCTCCATTGCCACCACTAGATGGATGGAACTGTTTTGCGAAAATCTGGAACTTTATGGGGCCACGGCTGGCAATTTGCTGCCCGAAGGCAGAAGAACCGGTGGCGGCGGTCTGTGAAGCTGCATTTGTGGCATTCACGGTATTGACCGAGAATAGCTGCCTTGAGATGCTGCTACGAGCGACGCTCGAGAGCAGCGAGGTCTTCAACGTGTACACCATTCAAGACAAGCGGCACCGTCTCTGATGAAAGATCACGATTGGCAACGCCCGCGGCTGGGGTTTGACAAAGTGCCGCTGTTAGACCAGCTGGGTAAACGAACGATCGTCGATTTGTCGGTAAACGTCTCCGGCGATTGGATGATGGAGATCGCCTCTTCGAGTGGGTATTTGGTGACTCCCAAGGTATTTGCTGGTACGTACTGCAGGTATCCATATTTTTGGAGGCTCCGACGCAGGTCGCTCGTGCGCATCCATCACCCACGGCGGTCTTCTCCGAGTCCGATTCCGCGAACCTCCGTGTACAAAGAACCTGACCTGAACGATTGATCCGCTGTTGATCGTTTGGAGGAAAGAAACTTAGCAGGCAGAGAGCACGCAGTAACCCAACCTCAATCACCTCGGGGTTTGTGCGGAAAGCCTGGGGAGCGTGTGAGAAAGCAAATGTCGGGTCGATGCTCGCGGAAGAAGAGATGGAAGGTTGAGGGCACCGAGGCAGTACTGATGAGAGATAAGATAAGAAGGAGAGATGGCTCGATATACCTAACAACAGATCAGTTGAGCAAAATAAGGTTATCTCGGTGCGGGTGGTCCTGCAGAATCCGACCCTCTTGGGCGGCCGGCGACAACGTACCGTATACGTAAACCCGCGCGACTTCCCCATAAGAGAGCTTAGAGGAGTTCCCCGGATCATTCTTGACCTCGACACCATCCACGTCCAGGCAAGTATCAGTACTCCTGATCCCTCGATGTACCATAGAGGACAAACACCAAAACCCGCCGCTGATCTCCTCCCCGTTCCCTCACCTAAAGACATCCTCTCCCGCACTACTTCCCCAACACCTGCACGGACGTACCACCCTAAAGGCCGCCAACACAGCCGGTACTTGAAATTCAAATCTGCGATGGGGACGTTGTTGATCTTCATTGCTGTGATGGGGTTGGTGTTGTTGCTTAGTGGTGTGGAGACTGGTGGGACTGGGATTAAGCAGCAGGCGTTGAAGGATGCGTGTCCGAGTTATGGGGATTATGCGAATAGGCGTCATGGGCCTTTCAGTGAAGGTATCCTGGATCACGTTTGGGCTTCGAGTTAGTGCTTACACCGTTTGCTATACAGGTCCTTTGAAGTTGCCGTCACAGCGTCCGATTCCGGCATGTCGGACCTTCGTGTCGAAGAGCGTGGAGGAATTGGTTGCGAGTATCTCGAAGAAGATGGTCGACAAAGACCTCGCCCGTCTCTTTGAGAATTGCTTTCCGGTATGTCTGGAGTAGAGCCGAAAATGGCAATAGCCGCGAACTGACAACGTCATACAGAACACCCTCGACACCACGATTAAATATCACAACCCTAAATCCAATCCGCCACAGTCCTTTATCATCACAGGCGACATCAACGCTGAATGGCTTCGCGACTCGACGAACCAGCTCGCGCCTTATGTCTCCCTCCTCCGCTCTGATCGCGCCCTTCGCACATTGTTCGCCGGCGCTATTCATACTCAGGCTGACATGATCCGTCAGTATTCCTACTGCAACGCTTTCCACCCGCCACCTGCAGCTGGACTGAAAAGGACATACAATGATCAACACGATGTCGTGCACCCGCCATATGACCCAGCCGTGGTCTTCGAGTGCAAATGGGAACTGGATTCATTGGCCGCGTTCATTAAGCTGAGTTGGATGTATTACACGGAAACAGGAGATACCAAGTTCATGGATAAGACTTGGACGGAGGCAGTCCAGCACCTCTTTGGCGTGTTAAATCAGCAGAGTGAACCGACCTTCGACGACATGGGCCGACCGATGCGGAATGCATACACGTTCCGTCGTCAGACTACCTCCGGAACTGAGACACTTGCGTTGAGTGGTGCAGGACATCCCATCAATGGGAATACCTCGTTGATTAGGAGTGCGTTCCGTCCCTCTGATGACGCGACGATTTTCCAGTACTTCATTCCGGCGAATGCAATGATGTCTGTCGAGCTTGGCCATTTGTCGGAGATGTTGAAGAAGGCGAATCATGATGGTACGACGTGGAATTACCTCTCCTCCGAAGCGGCACGCATCTCGGCGGAGATCAGGGCGGGAATCTACGAGCTTGCCGTAATAGACCACAAGATCTTCGGAAGCGTGCTCGCATACGAGGTTGACGGCTACGGCGGTGCCCTATTAATGGACGACGCTAACATCCCCTCCCTCCTCTCTCTCCCAATGCTGGGTTTTGTGGATATGGACGATCCGATCTACCAAAACACTCGCCGCATGGTCCTCTCCTCCACCGGCAACCCATACTTCCTCGGCCGCCCCTCCCATACAATATTCAGCGGCATCGGCGGCCCCCACATCGGCACGCGCCACGCCTGGCCCATGTCCGTTATCGTCCAGATCCTCACCGAAACCAACGAAACTGAAATCGTGCGTTTATTGGAGATGTTGAAGAAGAGTACGGCGGGGTTGGGGTTGATGCATGAGAGTGTTAATGTTGAGCGATTGGGTGATTTTACGAGGCCTTGGTTTGCGTGGGTTAATGGATTGTTTGGACAGATGGTTTTGGAGTTGGTGGAGAAGAGGCCGCATTTGATTTTTGGGGATGCGGAGGCAGCTGCTGCTAGGGAGGCAGTTACGGTAGAGGAGTAGAAAGAAATGTAACTCTTCCCTCTATCAGTAGTAACGAAATATGATTATGCGTGAAGGTCATACTCAAACCAGCAAGTTTGACGCCAAGCACACCTAATCATTGTACCCCGAACGCACTCACGACGTCTATGCACGCTGCCAGAGTTCTTTGGATGCAAAAACGAACGGAAACAGCTGTTTATCATAGCGTCATCGGCGTCGACATGGCGAGATATCCCCTCATAATAGCTGTCTGAGGTGCAGTATAGCCGATATCTCATCGTGCGTATTGGCAGGGCGTGGGAACTTGGTCATCGTGGTTCAATCTCAGGCCGCCCGGACCTTTCAACATCAAAGAACATACGGGGCTTTGGCTCCTATTCCAATGTAAATGCTCGTCAGGAGGTATCCTAACTCCTGGTTGAAGTACGTGAGCATGCCCCTCTTCTTTGGTTCGCTTGGGTACATTCTCCTACCTTTCGTGGTGCTCTGTCGGCTTTATCTTCAACTGTCTGATCAAGAGGAAGTTCCTTCCTTGGTGGTCAAAGTACAACTACGTCTTGTCCGCTGGTTTGGACTCTGGGTTGGCTATTTCTACCATTGTGATTTTCTTCTGTCTGGGTTTGACTGGCGTCTCGTTAGATTGGTGGCATAACACGGCGGTGTTTGAAACTTTTGATCTGACGAAAGCTATTCTCAAGAAGGTTGCTCCTGGTTGACTTTCGGACCGACCAGCTGGTGTTGTGTTTTCTTGTCTTCGACTGTAAGTAGCGTCTGCTGGATTGGGCTTTGTGGTGACGTTTTCTTGGTCTTAGTGTTTCTACGTGATATTTATCTAAAAACAGGATATGCTTCAGATGAATATCGGTCCGTGTAATCGGTGAATGGCTTCAACGGTCATCTTAGAGCGAGTCTTCCCACGGTTCATTTGAATGAGCAAAATGATGTCCCTGTCGTGGCTTGAACACGAGACCTTCAGATATATGATGATTGAACCACTTCAGTCTGACGCTCTCCCAGCTGAGCTACAGAGACATTGTTAGAACTGCAAAGCGATATAATTGTTATATATCAAAACTGCCAACAACCTTGACTCCCGCCTGGCAGCCGCCATGACGTTTGGTTGATCCCCAGATTGCGACAGCGAACCTCGACAGCAGAGAGTGTGTATACTATTCCATTGAGATGGCTCCCCTGATTTTGGAAGCTTCGAGGAACATCCTGTATGTCTCCAGTTGACGTTTGTTCAATTGCGGCTAACGAGTGGAACAGCAACATCCTCCTGGCCGCCTTTTGGCCATCATCTCCTCTCCTTCCCCGTATCGACCACTACGCCCCTCATGAGCAGGCAGGCTTCGAGGGCTACTATACCCGTACACTACTGTCCAATAACGCCACCCTTGCTATGATCTTCTGTTGGGTTAAAAACGCCAAAGAGCGTCCCAATCTGATCCATATTTCTTACACGACGCCTGATGGCAAGGGCTGGAAGTACGAGTTCTTCCCTGATAAGATGGAGAAGATCGTTGGGGAGCAGGATGAGAAGACTGGGCTGCGCACGTTTGAGTTCAGGTGTGCCGAAGTCGGGACAATGCGCGTGACACCTACCAAGACGACTTATACGATTCGTCACCCTTCACTCACACTCGATTTGGAGGTCACCAATCGCACGCCATGGTCTTCTGACGATCCTCTTAGTGGTCCGGAAGGTCCCATTGTGCAGACCGACCGACTTTTGCCTCTGCACTGGTTTGTTTACTCTACCAAGTCAAAGGCCACATATACCATCAAGCATGGTGATGAGCAAGCGCTCTCGGGTGACAATGGCGTTGCTCACCAAGAAAAGAACTGGGGCGAGTCATTCCCCTCCGGCTGGATCTGGGCTCAAGCTTTCTCCTCACCTAAAGCTGATACGACCACCAACCCCGCAAGTCAGACAAGTATCTGCCTAGCTGGAGGCAACTTGCTCGGCATGTCCGCCTACCTAATCGGCTACCGCTCCTCCAAACTCTCCTGGACATTCCTTCCTCCGTTCTCCTTCGGCTGGCAAGACCGCGGTCCATCCTTACACGTAGATCGTTCCTCCGCGAACGGGAACTTCAATATCACAACATCCACTCCCTTCCGTTCCCTCGTCATCAAAGCACACGGACCACCCGGAACTTACATTGACCTTGCTGCACCATTATCGGATGGTCATGAGCCCGGGTTTTGTATTGAGAGTTTTGGGGGGAGGATGTGGGTGGAGGCGTGGGAGCGGGATTGGCCGTGGGGTGAGTGGAAGTTGGTTGAGAGTGGGGAGGTTGGCGAGGCAGGCACTGCGGCGGTGGAGTTCGGAGGCGCCTACTGGGCTGAGAAGGATAAGTCCAACTTGCAGAGCAACGACGACAAGGAGGACTGAACGGCTTTACAGCCGGTACAGAAGATATAAGACGAAAGAGAGAACGAGACAAATGATAGTATAAGATATCGCAGCCAGTTCAATTAGGTATAGCAAACAAACATAAATTACCACCAATATTGCCGAAACGACAGAAAACTCGAAGAAATCAAGGGTGTCCACTCCTGTCCAGAAAGTTCTATACCCATGAACCCCACCATAAACCCCAACCACCACAGATACGCCGGTTGACGACGTCTTTCGTCGTGTATACGACGCCTTCTTCTTGAGTAACGATATCGATACTGGGACTTTGAAAGCAGTTGCAAAAGAAAAACACAAACCAACACAAATAGCGTACATCATCAGAAGATCAACCATATCATAGCACCACCACAGCCAGAAGATCATTGGCCAATCTAGTCGTCCCGGTTTCCAGATCCAGTTTGAGAAACCGCCTCTGGGCTAGACTGTGAGTGTATACGTTTATGCCTCCTCAAATTCGACACAACAGAAAACTGCCTTCCACATCCCTCAAAATCACACCGGAAAGCTATATCCCCTGTTAGCCTTTATCCTTTGCATCTCGTAATGCGGATAGATACTCACGTTTCTCGCCCGTATGACTATACATATGCGTCTGCAACGAACTCGGCCTTGTGAACCCCTTCTGACAAACATGACACTTATGCTTCTTCGCCGAATTCGAACCCTGCTTCGAACTGAACGTGGTCATCATACTCTGCAATCCCGCCATTGCGGCAGCCTGAGCGCTTGTTGCGGGTGCTGCTTGGTATCCGGTTTCTTCGTCGGCGGCGGAGGAGCCGATGCTGGTCTCACTGAAGCGGCGGTCGGAAAAGGAACCGTGTCGGGATTGGTTGTGGGAGTTATCGGGGTCGAAACGGGTGGTTGAGGGGTCAAAGTCTGCGTGCATGGAGGGTGGTGAGAAGGCTTGGTTTGAGTAGGACATATGTGAGCCGTTGCCCATTGATGGGACGGGTGGTTGGGAGGACATGGCAATCATCCCTCTCGCCGAATCTAGCGTCTCTTGGAACCTATCCCGAGGCTGGATCTGGTTCTGATTCTGGTTCTGGCTCATCGGTCGGTTTTCAGCCATTGTAGGCATCGGCACACCAACGCCCATCCCCACGCCATTACCAGCACCTGGGATCCTACCCAAATCAAACATCGAGTTCTGTCTCAACCGGATATTCGACGGCGGCGCCATCGGCATTGGTGCAGAAGGAAGCGTAGGATGCGACATACGTCTATCATACAACGTCGACCCAGCGGGGGCATTCATTGGAATATTCGAGCCCGATTGACTAACACTCGCACTCATCGTCCGTGGTGATTGCTGCGGATAACTCGGAACCGTGAACGTGGGCGCCGCATGTGGTGACGCGGGTTCTTCCGGGATATTTGGGTGCTGCGTTGTCGTAGGCGTAGTGGACTGATGCATATTCATGTTGAACGACATTTGTGGTCGTGAGTATGGTGCTGCGGCTTGACGTGGGTCGTAGCGTGAGTATGAAGGTTCCGCAAAGTGCGCCGGGGAGGAAAGACGTCGACTCGCCATGTTGAAGTTGGATGGAACGCCGGGTGCGGCCTGTAGTCCGCCATTTGAGAGGCGATTGAATGTACCATGTGTAAAACTCTGGTGACGTGGTGGGGGTGCTGCGAAATCTGTGAAGCTGTTGGGGGTCTGCGCAAGGGCTGGTGACGAGGACGATATCGACGCGGAATGCATTATCTGCGTAGGCTCGTATCCCTCACCATAAAACGGGTCTTCGTGAGATCGAGGTCTGGGGAAGTTTGCCGCATCATTCGTCACAAAATCGCCATGATTGACGTTGTTGAATGAATATTGATTGAACCCATGTCCGTGTCCACCACTTGACGTCGGCGCAGAAGACATAACTTCGGGCGCATTGTGTAAGCGGGGTAACATATCAGGCAAATCGGTCTTCATCTGCATGTTCATCTGCGGTATTTGCTGAAATTGCTGCTGCTGCATTGCCTCCATAGACACCCTAGGCTGCTGTTTCGCCCATGGATCGTGCAGCTCTTGTGCCGGCATCTGGGAGAAATGATGCCCCGACGCTCCCGTAGAACGACGCGTATTAGACATCAAACCAATGGTACTCTGCATCGACAAATCCAAACCGGAACCAGAGAGCGAGACGAGTTCGTTCGGTGATTGATGACGCGGAACAGATAAAGTGTGGCGGTCTCTCCTGCAGTGCGGCAAGCCGGTGAAAGAGGATCGAGTTTCAAAGGCAACGGCGGTATCCGTATCGTCTGGGTAATAGTAATTTCGGTCAATTACCACTCAATTCTATCGAGCGCAATTGTGACCTGGGTGCGGTTCTGGTGGTCGGTCGTCGGGCAGGTGATGAACGTCGGAGCCCGGACGGATGACGATTGATGCGAGAGCGGCGTTTGGAATTGCGCCCGGCTGAACAACTGACAGGGAATTCGAGGAAGAGTGGTAAGGTGCTGGAGATTGAAAGAAGCTTGAGGGTCGTACGCGGTATATTGGGGTATATTGGGGTATTGGCGGGTGATGCCGATCCTTCGATCTGACAGGTTGATCAGAGGAGGTCTGTGTCTGGGGTCGCAGTCAGGCTGGGTCGCTGCTGCACGGCGTGCCTTGAGTTCAGTGAGCGCGAGCGTCGGACCCTATGCCGAAAGGCCGTTATGTAAATGTGGAAATTACCGTTCTGAAATGCGTCAATTGTGAGTCGATTTACGCCTTTTACACTGCTACGTATCGCTGCCGTTCGTCGCGTCCTCCCCGACGCTGTCCATGCCCCGGACACTTTAGCCGGCAAGGTCCCCTTCCTTCCGCTTGCGTGAGAGTATCTTAAGATGCCGGACCACCGGATACGAGGCACTTTCTGCTCGGACGAGTGAGGCAGTTTTGACGAGGAATGCAGCAAGCTCGTTGATCAGTCATCCTGGATACATTCCCGAAACATGAACATCAATATCCCGAGACGTCCCAGAGAAGGATAATGACCGAAAAGCCTGACTCAATTGATTAGGGCTTTGCTAATCTGATGTTGATGCTGTTCAGTCGTCATCCCGGTTTCATAGCCAATAGGGTCCTTCGAATGAAGGGTCCGCAGCATTGGCGAACTTGGATTCTTGGTTCAAGTCCACGAGGAAGCCTCTGCGGCCAAGCACACAGCCCAACCGCCTTCGTCAGGGATTTGTAGGACGAGTTTACACAAGATAAGCCGACTTAACAGCCGATTCTTCTGTAACTTCAGACTTCTGCACTTCCTCGTCGTTGGCCTCGAGAACTCTTAAACAACGTACCAACCCACTTTTACGGTCCCAATATCCCTTCAACCTCTCACAAAACCCTTTCATTCCCTGTGCGTACCCGAGCAAAAAGCCCCAGAATCGCAACGTTTAATTGAAGTTTAACGGTCGTCAAGCTGTGCGGCGCCGGGACGCATGACGAGTGACTCTACTTTGTGGCTTCAGCTTACCCCAGCTTATTGGATGAATGCAAGCCATGAACAGCAACAGGTTCTGATAGGTTTTCGGCTGCCGCGTGTACGGGGATTTTTCGGGGTGTGAAGAGTGACAGTTCTGTCCCGTCGATCCATGAGCTTCGATCCTTCGATACCTTCACGGCTGAACGAGCGAGCTGTCCTCCCTCGTAGACCCCCATAACAAGATTGCCATCCTTTCATAATCTGCGTAACTCACCCTCCATTCCCTCCTTGGTTCCCGCAGTGACACAAGCCCCAGATCTACGTACTGTGCGGCGCGCGGGTAGGGCACCCTAACACGCACACAAGCACATGGACCAGTTGACCTCCCCGAAGCTCCCTCGTCCTATATCCCTACCATCATCTTCCAGACCGAGGTCTGGACTGGACGGTTACACTTGAGTTTAAGGTCTTCGGGAGGCGTGTCATTTGATTAGCTGAGCGTAATTGTGTTAGAGATTGAGTTGACAGGTCGTCATTGCGCTCGAGTCGCTTCGTGATCGGCCTTGTTCTCGAAAGGTTTGGTACAGCAGCAGGAGCAAGTGGCAAGAGGTATCGCGATCGAGATATACGGAAAGGAAGCTCGAAACACCTGTATATCGACAAGGGCCCGGGGCAGCCTCGAGCCGCTCCTCTGACCGGACCAAAATCCGAAAATGTTCATTCCTACGCCGGATCATGTCAACATCGAGAGTGTGATCGAGCGTGCCACGGCTACGGTGGCGAAGATCAATGGCGATTACGTATTGGAGAAGAAATGGAATTTGCCGCTCGTGGCATTGTCGTATATCAGCAGTTTTCTTGGGGCGTATACAACGACGCAGTTGATGTGAGTCACCACCGTCAGCTTTGATCTGTTGATCTCGAGTTGTTCAAGGAAGTATACTGACCGGGTGATATAGGTGTCATGTTTCCTCGACGCGTGCACCACTATTATGGTTATCCCTCGCCTCCCTCACCTTCGGCGGCTGCGCAATCTGGTGCATGCACTTCGTCTCCATGCTCGCCGTCGACGTCGGTGTCGAACTAACCTACGATTTCTGGTTGACGTTGGTAAGTGCACTACTCGCCATCTCCAGTACGTTCGTGACGTTTGGGTTGGAGGGGATCATCGAGTTGTGGAATAAGAATGTGGAGAAGAGGCGTGCGAGTGGGCCTTCGGCGGGTGAATATCAGCCGTTGAATACGATGGCGGATGGAGTTGAGAGGGAGGCACAGGCGAATTCGCATGGGATTCAGTTGGAGGATTTCCCGACTGCGACTACCACGGCACCGATGTCTCTGCCTACTACGCCGCAGCGTAAATCGACCCGCGAACATCGACGAACGTCAAGCCGACCAACACTAACCCACATCCAATCAGCCCCATCAGACGGCTCAGTCCGACCACCATCAGCCGGAGCAACAACCCTCAAAGCCACCGCTGCCCAATCCGAAGAAGCCCACTTCGACCGCAACCTTTGGACACGCCGCGCATTCTCCCTTGTCTCGACCCCCCGCTCCAGTACCGATTCCGACATTGCACACGCCCGAATGTTCACCTCCGGCCAAAAGACCATGTTCTCACACCGCGAACACGAGGTACGGGGGCTTATCCTTCAAATGCCGCTTAGTCCAATCGAAGATGATGATGACTACGAGTTTTTTCGGCGTGCACAGACGGCGCAGGAGAGGAAGGGGAGTTCGGCGAGTACGGTGTCGACTGCGCATGCGTACTTCGATGGGACGCGGGTGTTGACGCCGTCTACCTCGACGTTCCGCATCCACGAGCCATGGTGGAAGCAGATCAAGCAGATTAAGCATACCGTGTGGGATTCTTTGACGCCGAGGTTGATCGTGAAGGGGATCTTGATGGGATTTACGATTTCGGGGATGCATTATACGGGGATGCGGGCGATGCGGATGGAGGGGTATATCATCTGGTCATACCCCATCGTCGCGGCGTCGATTTGCGTGGCGTGTGTGGTCTGTGCTGTTGCGGTTGTTTGGATGCCGTATGAAGGCGATGTTGGGACACAGCTTATCTTCAGTGCTGTTGCGGCGAGTGGGGTCAGTGCGATGCATTATGTCGGGATGGCCGCTGCTACGTTCGTCACGGATTTGCCGGAGGATCAACGCGATACGGGCGACTTGAAGACGTTGTTACCATTTTCTGTAGTTACGGTGTGTATGATTACCTGCTTCGCCAGTTATATTCTCCTCAGCTATTCCCTGATTCAGTCGAGAAACAAACTTGCGGAGATGATCCTGACGAAACGCAGATTGTGGAAGGTCTTGGCTGAGAAGGAAGCGGCCGAGCATGCCAACCGTGTCAAGACCGAGTTTATCTCGATTGCATCGCATGAGATTCGGACCCCGTTGCATGCTATCTCGGGGTATGTCGATTTGCTGGGACACACTGTGCTCAATCAGGAGCAGATTGAGTACATTGATCGTATCAAGGCTGGGTCGCATGCGATGCGGATCATTACGTCAAATGTGCTAGATTTCACGAAGCTTGAGAGGGGCAACGAAGAGACGGTTGCTAAGCCGGCGAATATTGATATTCGGACGTTGACGGTGAATGTCATCAAAGGATGTACTTCTCCTCTGACTTCGAACAGTGCGAGTGCCGATGTGAGTAAGCCTGTGGTGAACGTTGATCTGATCCTGTTCTTGGATGAGACATTGGTTAGGTTGCCGGAGACTATGTTCGTGGACGAGGTTTACTTGACGAGAGTGTTGATGAACCTCGTCAGCAACGGACTCAAGTTTACCACGAACGGGTATGTCCTCGTACAAGTCTCCCTGGATCCCATCGCGGATCACGACAAGCCAATCTTACAACTTACTGTCCGCGATACTGGAGCTGGTATCCCACGGGCCTTTGTGAGCACCGTTTTCGAGCCGTTCAGGCAGGTGGATACTACACTCACCTCAGGAGCTGGTGTCGGCCTGGGGTTGGCTATTTGCAAACAGTTGGTCGGCAAGATGGATGGTACGATCCACATGGAGAGCACCGAAGGCGTCGGTACGGAGTTCATTGTGCGTATTCCTGCTGGACACCGCGCTCAGAGGGGTGACAAGGTGAACTTGCGGAAGGGCATCAAGGTGGCGATCTTCTGTGGGAACGTCAAGAAGAGGGATCTCCTCAATGACATGCTTACCAGTAGTGGATGTGACGTTACTGTGGATATCGATCCCACGAAGGAGTCGTTGGTTGGTAGGCTGCTCATGATGGATCGCATTTACATGGATTCCGAATCGATTTTGGCGCACCAAGCACTGCTTAACGCCTGCACCCAGTTGCGATCGAAGCCAATCTTCGTCGCATGCCATGACACGCACGTCGGTAACTTCTCCGTCATCCAGCTCGCACAGCAGGCTGAGAAGGTGCACCTTGCACGAAGACCGCTAATGGTACACGAGTTCTTGCGATGGATGCAAGAGCCGGAGGGACAGACGAAGGAGGTCTATGTCGCTATGTCTGCTTCTGAGGGTCTTGTTGGTGGTACCGTGTGCGTGAATGGGGACGTGATGGTCGTCACCCCTCAGGATGCATCTCCCCAATCTTCGATGATCATGTCGGGCGTTGAGCGAGTACAGCCTGACTCTCAGGATGCGAATTTGACCACAAGTAGGTCGGAAGATGCCACTGAGTCTGTAAAGCCTAAGAAGACAGCGCTTGCGGAGAAAAAGACGACGATCTTGCTGGTGGAGGATAACAAGGTCAACCAACAGCTTGGACTTCGCCTGCTGAACAAGATGGCTTTTGGAGCTGAGCTTGCTGAAGATGGACAGGTCGCTTTGAACCTGATTACTGAAAATCCGTCTGCGTATGATTTAGTGCTGATGGATTCACAAATGCCTGTGATGGATGGCATCGAAGCCACTCGACGCATTCGCGAGCTGGAAGTTGCTACCGGCAGGCGACGACTACCTATCATCGCTTTGACTGCGAATGTAAGCCAAGAAAGCCGGAATGAGACCAAAGCAGCGGGTTGTGATGACTTTCTACCCAAGCCATTGACGATTGCGGTGTTGAAGGCGATGATTGAGAAACATGTTGAGAAATGAAGATGAAGAAACGAACAGATGCATAAGGCATAATACAGAGATATATCGTTATATGTGGACGAGGACTTAAGCTTGACATTGTATGGGTCATGGCGATTTGTGATTGAGGACATCGTCGAACGAGGGAAGGCGAAATTGCTTTATAGACATCTATATGATAGCAATTATTACCTAATAACTACCTGGAAGGTCTCCCGATGTCGCTCTCAATTATGTCCAGTTTCTCACGTGTGCTGCCAACGGCGTACGCGTCGAAGTCATCTGGCGGCGCGTCTCCCATACATACGCACGCAGCAGCACATCCTCGACAATAGAATAGACAAACAACGAGGCAGACAGAATGAACAGCTACACCAGCAACTACAATCCGTACCAACAGACCTCATATGGTGGCAATGCTGCGCCTGATGGAGGAGGCTTTATGCAGGGTGGCGGCTTCGGCAGCCCTGGTATGGGAGGAAGCCCTGGAAGCGGTGGACGCGTATGTTGACTCCGTCTCGTGTCTTTTGATCCTTTACTGATGCTTTGCTTGTAGACTCGATCGGCGAACACTCTTCGTCCCGTTACGATCAAGCAAATTCTCGACGCCCAACAACCCCACCCCGACGCCGACTTCCGCATCGACAATGCCGATATCGGTCAAATCACCTTCGTAGCCGCCATCCGCAACGTCTCCCTTCAATCAACAAACGTTACTTTCCGCATGGAAGACGGTACCGGTCTCCTCGAGGCGAAGCAATGGCTCGACGCCGGAGCAGAAGGCGCAGGAGGCAATAAGTTCGAGGGATGGACTGACACGTACGCGCGCGTTACTGGTCAGTTGAAGAGTTTTGGACAGAGAAGACATGTTTCTGTTTCCCATATTCGTCAGGTGACGGACATGCACGAGGTTCTCTACCATCTCCTCGAGGCGACCTCCGTGCATCTCTACTTTACCCGCGGACCACACCAGCCAACATCAGCCAACCAAGCTGCCGCTGGCGCCGGCGGCCAGCAGGCGTATGGGCACAACCCCCTGGACGCTCAGCTCGCTGGATACAACCTCTCCCCCGCTCTACGACAAATTATGGCCGTCATTCATGCGGCACCAGACACCAACGAAGGTATCCACGTCAGAAATTTGGTGCAGATGTGTCCACCTGGGTTGGTGCCTGATATGGGTGAGGCGATTGAGCAGTTGATGGGTGAGGGCTTGTTGTATACCACGATAGATGATGAGCACGTGAAGAGTACGGTGCAGACGTAGATGAGATGGTCTCCTGATCTTCATGTTGCTCAATATACCCAATCTGAAGACCTTTTACCACTCATGCGCGCGACCAACTCGCCAACTTATCCAAATACCAAACGCCACTTTCCTCCTCTTCTTTTGTCGTTCCTTCTGCTACCCGTCGAGACCACCGTGACCACCGCAAAAAGTCTTGTCCCAATCCCGCGAATAGTCCACCCACGAACGCAATTCGCACTGTTCTTAGTGTAGCTTGTTTCCCTAACCGTTGCCACAATGATAACAATCCAATTGTCGACACGGCTGCTCCTGTTGTCGCCAGGAAATCCTTTCTTCCACCTCTTACATAGTCGATCCCAGCTTCTGTGAGGACATATGTCGCGGTCCATCCAGATACACGGGCAGCAGCCTTGACACCAGCTTTAATTCCACCCAACATAACTACAAATACCAATCAGCGTCGATGCCGGATGGGTGGCAGGAACGTCCATACCCTTATAGTTCTTGGTTTTGTGATAAAAATACCATCCCTGCTGTGTCTTCGGCAGGCGATGACTGTTCTCAGCCAGATACTGCAATGCAGTCTTCTTACCGCCAGTGTACATTCCCATCAGAAACACACTCGCACCCGAGGCCATCAGGTATAGTCCTAGACGTGCTCCAAGTGGTAGAGAGAGACGTTCATGGACATAGTCAGCTCGTGTTACTGGTTGCGGGTAATTAGGAAGGGGATTCTTTGGTGCTCCAGGGTGTTGCGGACGTGTAGCTGCCATCTTCGAGGCCTGATCTACTGATGGAGGGTAATTGTCGTTTGGGGTCCCAGTCGCAGTCTTCGTTACATCCTGCAGTGCCGAGAGGGGAAACTGCGAGGGCCATCCGGGGAATACACAAACAACACGCTCAACACCAATTGCAAACCAACACCCTTGACCAACCTGACAATGGAGATCCTCTCCAACCGTCTACAAACATTCGCTCCCTCAGGTACCGGCAAGAAGAAAAAAACCGGATGGCCCCACTCCCTCCCCACCACCAAATCCATGGCTTCTGCTGGATTCTTCTTCCACCCAACATCAGCAGGTTCAGATGAAGTTCAATGTTTCCTTTGTGCAAAACCTCTGGATGGGTGGGATCCCACCGACGATCCCCTCTTCGAACACCTCTCCCACTCCCGCAAATGCGGTTGGGCACTCAACCGCATCATCCGCTCCCTCATTGAAACCTCCCGAACCCACGAATGTCTTGACCCCCAATCGCTCGAAATGCTCAAAGCCCGAAAAGAAACATTCGGAAAATGGTGGCCACATGAGGAGAAAAGAGCCTGGGTTGGGACTAGTGGAAGGATGGCTGAGGCGGGGTTTTATTTTACACCAACCGGGGAGAGTGAGGATATGGTTACTTGTGCGTATTGTGGGTTGGGTTTGGATGGGTGGGAGAGAGCTGATGACCCAGTGTATGTGGTTCCTTGCCCTATGTATGCACAGAAGGTGATACTGACTGGGAATGTAGGGCTGAACACCAACGCCGAACACCCTCATGCCCATTCTTCATAGGCTTCAACCCGACTCCATCACGCGAAGGCTCACTTGAACCTACTAAAAACAAACGACGCGCATCCTCTGTAGCGGCAGCATCGACACGCGATGATTCCGATAATGAATCCGTGATGAGCATACAATCCACTGCATCAACACGCGGCAGCAAAAAGAAGAAGCCAGCGAAAGAAAAGAAGAGCAAGACAAAGGACAAGGTGCCCGAGCTCGAAGGCACTGTTTTTCTCGAGGATGACGTCTCCTCCATCGCATCGACCACTCTCAAGACCGCGCGTCGGACCAGCTCACGGCCAAGTACCACAGCCGGAAAAAAGAGGGCGAGTGTAGCTGCGGACGACTTTGATCTTTACGAGGAAGCGAAAGTGGAGGAGCCACCACGGAAACGACGTGCAAGTTCGAGAGCAGGTTCGATCGGGCCGGAAGCGGTTAAGGGTCGGAGGCAGAGTACGGGAGGGAAAGCTGCCGTAGGAAGTGAGGAACCTGTGAGGAGTGAGAGAATTGTGGAGGAGACGGAGGACGAGGAGATGGAGCCGGAGCCGGTGAAGAGAAGACAGTCGAGTAGGGGCGTGAAAATCGCGCAGGGGGTTAGCAGTGAAGAGGTGGAGGTTGTGAGTGAGCCGGTTATCGAGGAGGAGGCCGAGCCCGAGCCCGAGAACGAACCGGAACAAAAACCAGAACCAGAGCCGGTGGTGATGAACTCAGTTCCCGCGCCAGCACCGAAGAGGAGGACGACGAGGAGCCGTGACAGTATTCTCTACGCTGGAGAGTCGGAGGGAGAACCCGTTCCTGCTCCACTTCAGGCGCCGAAAGAGAAGGAGACGAAGGCGAAGACAGCAAAGAAGGGAGGGAGTGGGAGGGCCGGGAGTATGATGAGTGTTGATGAAGAGAGTGTGGCGGTGGAAAAGGAACTTAAGAAGAAAGGTCGGGGGAAGAAGAAGAAGGAGGAAGCATCAGTGCCAGTTGTGACTCAGGGATTTGAACTTATGGTGGAAGTAGATGAGATGGAGAGGGATGAACCCGCTGCAGAACCAGAACTGGTCGTGGTGAAGGGCGAACGCGAGAGTATCTACGGACTGCAGCCAAGCATGGGCCTTGCGAGCGTCGTGGAGGAAGAGGAACCAGAAGAGGAGCCTTGGGGTGGGATCAAGATTGAGAGGGTTAGTTTGGATTTGGTGGGGATGGTGCCTGTCAGTCAGATTCCGCCGCATACCGAGGAGGCACGTGAAGAGGAGATGCATGAGGTGAAAGAGGATGAGGGACCGAATTGGGAAGTTGATGAGGCTAGTCCTGAGCAGGAGGCCGAGCTGGAGATGGAGGTGGAGGTGGGGGAAGTAATACAGGATGAGGTGGAAGTGGGGGAACAGAGTGAGATCATCATGTCACCTGCGAAGAAGAAGCGTGGAGGGAGGATTTTGGAGAGTTCGGACGCGGAAGGGACTCCGGTTAAGCACCAACAACCTCTGGGGAAGGCACCAGTTCTTGCACCGTCGACTGAGCCGGTTTCTTCGCCTACGTCGGGCGCAGAACCAAAACCAGAACCAGTGCCGCTCGTATCGCCCGTTGCTGCCCTCACCTTAACCCACATCTCACAAGATCTCATCCCCTTCCCCAAAGACGCTTCCTCAGCGCTCACACCCGCTGAACTAGATCTCACTGTCGAGGAGTGGAATCGGCGGCTTACAGAGGGTGGGGTAGAGGCGCTGGAGAGGGAGTGTGAGGAGATGGTACAGGGTCTTGAGCAGGAGGGGAAGAAGGCTGTTGAGAGGGTTAGGGAGTGGCCGTCGGTGGTTGAGGAGTAGGTGCGTACGCAAGGTGAGGGTTGGGCGCATTCGAATTAAAGTGATTCGATCTTTCCTAACTATACAATCGATATATTTCAAGGGTATAACTATTATTCACCTTTACAGCTCATCACGAATGAACGCCTTCGCTTTCTCCGTAGCATGCTCAATCTCCTCAACGACACTCGAAGCAGCACGCTCGACGAACCTGCTCGTGGGAGTCTCGATTTCCTCTCCAACAACCTTGGCAGAAGCAACTGAAGCCAAGCTCTCAATAACTCCCTGAGACGAAGTAGCCGCAGCAGCAGCAGAAGCAGCCGACCGCGAAGCCCTCTCAGCAGCATGGAAAGCACGGTCATAAGCCTCGGAGGCTCGACTAGTAGCAGCAGCGAAAGCCCCGGAAGCCTCCTCAGGCACAGCAGCAGCAGCAGAGCTAGCACTCTGGAACGCAGACGTCGCAATCCTGTCGGCCCACGAACCCGCTTCCTCCGCGTGCTGCAAAGCCTGCGAAGCAGCAGCGTACGCACCCTTGACCTTATCCGAAGCAGCGGCGGCGACGGAAGCCATGTAGTGCGCACCATCGTCAACAACCTCGGCAGCATGAGAGTACTGTACACTCAGGATAGAGCTAGCAGCAGAAGCCTGCTCGCCAACAATGCTAGTAACAGACCCCGCAAAGCCCTCCTCGGTTCCATAAATAACCTCAGAGGCCTTCGACATGACACTCTCCGTGAATGGCTGCGGCGTCCCCATCATAACCTCCGAAGCTCTCGAAACGACCTTCTCATGAAGTGCCTGAGCCTCCGGAGTTCCAAAGACCTTCTCGGACGCAACACTAGCGATACTCTCAACAGAGGCTTGAGGAGTACCATAGACAGCCTGACTCGCGACTTCGGACACACGGTGGACAGCGTTAGCGAGCTCACTCTGCGCACCATCAATGGCGGCTTGGACCTTGGGGTGGAAAACAAGTTGCTGCGCACCCTCCGCGGCAGCCAAGATTTTCGCACTGGCGTCTTGAGCTGCGGAGGCGATTGCAGAGGGTTCCATAGCAGCAGCAACGACACTCGTGAAGGACGCCGCGGCATCACCGATCGCCTCCGTTGCAACGCTCACGATGGACTGCGTGAATGCTTGCTCGGTCTCTACGGGGGCGGGTGCACCGACGACTGCCGCCTTCACTGCCTCGAAGATACTCTTGTGGCCTTTGAGGATGTCGAGGCGGTTCGCGGCGTCGGCAGCGATGGCGTTGACCTCCTTCTCGACCTGTTTCTCAAGGTTGGACCACTCGTGGCCACGGGTCATCACACCCGTCGAGATCTCCAGGAGCTTATCCTCCGTCGCACGTCCGAGTTTACGGAGCTTGTGGTACTCTGTCCAATCCTTTGCCGTGACACCGACTTCAATCTCGTACCCAAGGATGCGACCCATTTCCTCAAGAGCCCTCTGAACGAGCGTGTCAACAGTGTTGATTGTAGAATCACGGAGGGCGATAACACGAGCATTAGTCGAAGTGCGCAACTGTGGAACAGTCTGTCTCACATCCAGAGACTTGGCGTGGATAGCTTTTCCAGCCGTAGCGATCACTGCCTGTCTCGCCTCCACGTTCGTCTCCGGAATGGACTCCAACGTCTCCTCCACTGTCTCGATCTCCGCATCCACCAATCCCCTCAACTCGATAAATCTCTGCTCAGCAACTTCCTCGCAACGATCCAGACCCTCCTGAACGATCTCCATTGCGCGTTCAGCGAGGATTTCTTTCTGGTTGTCAGCCTCGGACTGCACTGTTTGTCTCCACATCTTCATCTGCTCACGCGCGATTTCGATGCTGATTTCGGGGGTCGCTTCGGGGATTTGGCTAGACAAGATTGAATCACGCTCAGTCTTGGCCGAAATCATGGCTTCGACACCCTCAGACACGTAGGAAGCGAGAGGGGTAGCGAAGGCAGACGAGGACAGACTTTCAAGGTATGAGGAAGACGCAGAAGCAGCCAACTCAGAAGCGGAGGTTTTAGCCTCCTCAACGACCTGGTCAACAACGGCCTTCTCTTGCTTGTACCGGAAGATGCGGTCGGAGATGCGGTCAAACTGCGGCTGAACGTGAGTAATGTACAAAACCTTCACACGCGGGACGATATGCAAGTTGATCCAATCCAATACAAGGTGAAACGCAGAGACGAGTCGCGGATGAACCTCCGCAAGATAGAACGCATGCGTCTTCGCAGTGACTCGCTTCACAACCGGTTCAGCGCGCCTGTAAGCGGGGAGAACATGGCTATGATAAACCACATTCGCCTTCGCACTCGCAACACGCGCCTGAGGCAAGATAACCTGATCCCTAAGCGTGGTGTAATCCGTCTTCACCCTCCTCACATACCCCGCCAAATACCTCTCATAATACGGCTCCAACCGCTGCACGAGATGCTTCTGCACCAACGGCTTAGCCCTCTCCTCAAGCTCCTTTTGGGCCATCGCGGCACCAGACAAGATTCTAGGGTGTGCAATATCCCAGTAATGCGTATGCGCTTTCTGGACAGCTGGGGCGCCGTAAGTGGAGTAGTAGTGGTGTCCCTTCTCGACGTAGGGAGCGGCCTTTTGGAGGTAAGGGTCTGTGTATGGCTGGACGTGGGATCGGTAGAGGGGTTCGGCGTAGGGGTGGATGAAGTCTCGCACGGCGGCGTAGCGGCGGCAGACTGCTGGATCTGTCGAGGAGGGATCGGTAGGGCAGCGGAAGATGATCATGTACAGGGTGTACAACGCCGTTATCCTGTAAGATTGATTAGCAATTGAAGATGCCTTCATGAAAGATCCAGCTTACCTTGTAACATACCACCCGATCCAGGCAACGAACCCAGTCCGACGCACTTTCTGAGCTTTTCTCAGCACGACGGCCTTCGCGGCATTCTTCGCATCCGAAGCGAATACAGGCAGACCACCCGAATTGCTCGAGTTATTCCTCTTACCCATCGTAGGTAATTGGCAATTGTCGATGGAATCTTGCCTGGATGTTCTTCGTGGTTCGAGTTAAGCTCAACAGGCTTGCAGGGACTTGCGCGCGTGTGACGTCTCAAGCTACACCAGCACAAGCTTAAGCTTTACGACAACCATAACAAAAAGCTTACGCACGGGTTGGAGTTCAAAATCGTCTCTTTCGAATTCATTAAGTCCATTAACGTAATCCCTAGCTATAGGGTCCTCCATGATGATCACTCCTGATTCCCTTGCTTGTTTGTCCAGTCCAATTCCTGGTTCCTTGACTGTCATGCTTCCATACTATGCTTCTTGGCTTTCTTAGCCTTCATATGCTCTTCCGTCACCTCTGCCCCAGGCGGTGGCATATTTGATGTTGTCTTTCCCCTGTTCTTCCCTCTTACGTCGTTCCGAATCGGAATCTTCAATCCTTGCCGTGCGAAAGCTTTCGTTAACTCTGTGCTTTCTGTGCTCAAACTGTCAGCATACATCCACTATCACTGCGGTGAGGAGAACTTACCAGTCATCCCGGGAAACTTCTTCGCCGAGTACACCGTAAAGACATCACTCACACCCTCCGCCACGATAGTACTCCTACTACTACCATCGAAATCTCCCGTTCCCAGGCGTACCAAAGAGAACTTGAGTCGATACCGTCCCTCCGTCCGAATACTCAAATCCGGAAACGCAAAATAAACCCCCTCGACACCACGATCATCCTCCAACAACGCCGGACTACTAACCAAACTCCCAATGAGAACTTTGACCACACTCCCCCCCGGCCCCGCACCCTTATCTTCTCTCCCACCTCGCTCCTGTCCTTGCTCCGAATCATCCTTATTTGTCAATATCAAATTCCGTTCATCCTCCCCGGTGTCACTCCACAACGTCGCATGCACCACAAAAAACGGATCACTCAACGCATCGGGATCCGTCCGTCCCGTTTGCGTACTCGTGATGATCAACTGCAGAATCGGCGGTGGATCGAGTGGTCTTCGGTCTTTTTCGCCGAAGCCACACATGCGGGCGCGGAGGGGTTGTTGTCGGACGACGAGTTGATGTACCGGGTGGTGTTGTGGATGTGGATGTGGTAGTGGTGGTGGTGGTGGTGGTGGTGGTTCGGGTATTCGGACAGGGCCTGGTACGGTTCGCGTATCCTGTTTCTGCTTCGACGTCGGAACTCCTCCGGCATCTTCTTCCCCGTCCACCGGTAATAGCAGATCCGCCATCCGCTTCTTCTTCCCCGCCAAACTGGCAGGGCTGGATGGGGCTGTTATCGTCTCCTCGTCCACCTCTGTGGAGAATGTCGATCTTGATGCTGTTGTTGCGCTGGCAGTTGTTGTGGGTGTTCGGACCGGCTGCCCGACCCAGCGAGAGTTAATTTCGGGGCTAGTAGTAGTATTGATAGTTGTATGAAATGTTCGCGGACTTGGTGGTGATACACGGTTGGTTGAAGTAGCTGGAGGAACTGTTGGTCGAGTGAACGGACTAATATCGAAGGCCAAGGATGTATGCGGTGGTTGAAGTGAGTGCTGGGTCTGTGAAGATGTCGACGCAGTCCTAGATGCTGGTGCAGTTGGCGGTGAAGTGCGTACAGTCTCTGCCGCCGAAGGCCTCGACGACGTCGGAAGTGACGGTGGTCGTGTCGATTGAGTCGATATTGGATCGACCCGTGAATCGTCTCGGCGAAGTGAGGGTCCTCGTCGGTATATGTCGGAGTCTGATCCGGATGAATGCACAGTCGGCGGAAGTGTATGTGATGTAGTCGAGCGATACGAAGTCGATGGTACAGACGGTAATGTCAGTTCAGATATCCTCGGTGTCCATCCCGCAGCCGAACGGTCCTCAGTCGAAGATCCAGTCCTTCTCGAGCTCCCGTGCGCAGTGGATGTCGATGTCGTCGAGGCAGCGGCAGGGACGGCAGCCGCAGTCGTAGGATTCAGGGTGTTTCTTATTGATGCAATTGGCGGTTCAGGATGCTGCTGCTGGTGTGGCATCTCCCTTCTCTTTTATTTCTCCGGGCGTTTTGAGTGCGTGCCGGGCGTTTGAGCGGTCTCACGGACGGAAATGGGCGGCACGTTGGAGTGTGCAGCTGAATTTGGCAACTTGATTACTCAGCAGCGCGACAAGGTGAGAGGATCTGATAAAATCATCAAGGTTCTCGTAATGGTCGAAGGAGGTTAATAGAGACGTCCGGATCGATCTGCTGGGATGGGAGATCTGCTGTGGCATCGACCTTGCAAGGCTGGGCAGGGTGGGGGTCCAACCGGTCGTTCATATCAATGCCTTCCTTCGCTCGCACGCGCACGGCCGCCGCGGTAAAACTTGGGTCCATGTGCTGCAGTCCCAGCGCAATCGTAACCTTGTACCTAGGTAAGTAGGGGATCTATAGTTACCTAGTTCGAAAACCAGTCGAGGCTTCGGATGCTACATGCTCGATCCTAACCGCGGAACGGCCGGACAATGCCTTGGTTAGCCCGGAGCTATCCTTGCGGAACGCACGATATACTACTTTCAGATGAAGGACGGTCGTTCGAGAATGAGCACGTTGTGATGCCATCGGTATCTCTTGGATGTGATAGTGGATTCTTCTCCTTCTCTCCGGCTTGGCTGGGTTTACTATTGCTATCGGCGAAGCTTATAATTATCCTTGGAGCTGGCTCGGGGACTACGGTACCAGTAGTCCTGTACTGCTGAGCAGGCCATCACGCCGAGTCATGCAGCGTAGCTACAGCCATGGTCAGAGGAACGCGTCGGGGTCGACGCGTAGGGCATTAGCCAGCCGTTCGTGTTTCCACACCTGGGCATTGCTGAAAGGATCTTGATAACCCCACTGCACCCCGCCACGCACGCGCATGAGCTGCACATGTGTTCAGGCGCATCTCGTGCCAGATCTTCGTCCGACCCAGCTGAGTACAGCCTACGACTCAGGGGAGGTCAGTCAGTACTGCGGACACCTTTCTATTCGCCCCACGCGTCATAGGACCTCACAATTGCGGAGGTATCCTGTGTTCCGTCTAACTTTTTGTTGCGTCGCATTTTCATGCAAGTTGACGCATCTGCAGCTGAGCGGTGCGCTGCATGACCAGGAAGCATGAAGTTCGCAGATTCTGATAGGTATACACAGGAAAGATGCTAAAGTTTTATTAAAATATCAAAGCCCTTACTGCGACATTTCTCCCTGTACGATTTTGGGTTGTTTGTCTTGAAAAATCGTCACTCCACAGTGGGTTATCAAGACCCTTGCTGCTCAAACAGCTGATCGATGATCCTGATTCCACGACCAATTGCAGTCAAAGAGGTCTGCCGCATCGCCACCAGATACCGTGGCCGGTCAACCGGAGACGTAACCATCTTACCCTTTACCCACAACCTTAAAGAACAGCTGCCTCGGCTGCTGACCTCAGCAATTGGCCTCGCTCGATCGATGAATATCTACGTCAGAACAGCAGAAATCTAGATAGCGCTTACCAGCTAGTATATGTGCATTTTTAGGTGTGGCCCTAGCGTGCATGCTGATGTACAGAGAGAGACAGCTGGCAGTAGAACACCTATACAACCTTCAGCGCAGCATACACCCAGCATACACTCCCTCCTTTCCATCACTTGACCTGCTTCTGCGTGGATTGTTCGAATGATACACGGTCAATTACCTAATACACCCGCCGCTACGGTCGCTGCTGGTGCGCCGGGGTTGCCTACAACTTCCGCGATCTTGTCGTATCCAAACCTCGGCGTAACGCTCATATTCGAAACGCCCTCTCCATCGACGGCGCAACCATCACTACAGCTTCACCGAGATCGATGTCGATTACACGATGAGGTACGGTTACTCATGAAGGGGCGGGAGGAGGCGATGAAGACGTTGGTTGATGATGCGCGGAAGGAGTGGGCGGTTGACGATGATGTCTTCGATCAGGCTATGGAAGTCTCTGTGGAGAATAAGAAGAAAGAGGTGAAGATGAAGGCGGTCGTGGATATCGTGAGTCCGAGCGTGATCGACGTCCTTATCAGCAAAGCGAAAGAGACGGAGGTCAAGAAGCGCCGGACGTCGTCTGCATCAACAGCCTCCTCCATCGCTCCATCAATACAAAAGGCGACTCCAAGTTCATCATCAACATCAATCGACGCACATACCTTCCCAGCGCAATCACAATCCACCGCGGCCGTCAACGTCTGTCCAACGATTAAAGCGACACCAGTCGGCATCATCAACATCAGTGAATCACCAGTAAAGAAGTTGTCATACGCGGCCGTCGCTGGCTCACCCGCAAAGCAACCTCCTCTACGTTCCGCCTCCCCTCTTCGCTCGTCCTCGCCTTCCCGCCCAGCTCCTCGCTCCCGCTCCTCCTCCCCTGCCAAGGCTGCACGGACCGAGACACCCTCACGTCCCTCGTCCACTCCGGCAGAACACAACGCTACGCCCATGCCACGAAAACTCTCCCTGACACTTCGGGACGCGAAACCTGCCACTTCAGCGATGAAAATGGCGGATTCACTGGAGCGGAGACGGTCATCGACCGACAAAGGTGCGCCGAAACGTGTAGCGTTCGCGTTGGATGCCACAGAGCACGTCGAGGCGCCGACGATCAACTCGTCCGAGGAAAGTGACGGGGAGGATGAGGAGGACGACACAGTCACCCCCACGACAGCCACCACCACGCCCCTATCTATTGTACCTCCCAAAGTCGCGGTAGATTCCGCCGCTATCGCGATACCAAACGTGAACCCACTCCCGAGGGGAAGCGTAGAGGATGACGAAGACACCGTATTCTCGGTCGATGGCGTCGATGATATCCCTGGCAGCTTCAGGGACAAATATATCCCTGACGACGAGAATGACAGTGAACCTGAATCGGGTGCCTCGACACCGAGATGGAGAGGTGCGGAGAGTAAGGGGGAGGATGACGAGGGGGTGGTTGTGGGGTCGATGTATGCTACCTCTCTCCCAATCCGAATCGCGTCGCCGAGCTTGCCTCCAGCGAGTATTATTGAGGCACCACCCGTCAACGGCGACGAAAACGAACCCATTCCGGAAGCGGAAGCCGCGGCGGCTCTGGAAGCAGACGGGGAGACGAAAAAGCCCAAGGTCGAGTTCGACGAACCGGCGAAGCTTCCTCGAAAAACGAAGGGGTTGGGAATGCGCGAGAGAGGGCGGATGTGGGAACAGGCTAGGCGGGCGGCGAGTGGGGTTGACATTGGGGGTGAGAGTGGGTTTGATGTTGGGTGGAGGAGTTTGGGCTAGTTGTCCTCATCCCCCAGTGTGTTGGGATGGCGTGCTTTTGTGTGATGTATGATTAGACGTATGGGTGGCTTTATATGGAATGGAGAGGAGAGAGTGTGATACATGGTATGGTAGGATAGGGATGGGTATTATGATTCATGGACTATGCGTGTGTTGCTGCGTTGCTTTGGGGTTGTCGCGATCGGTGCACCTTGGAAGCCGATGTTCCCCTTCTTTTTGTGGTTGTGGTTGGTGTGTGTGATGCATTGGTTGTGGGTGGTTAATTGGAGTGTACGGTATGAGTAACGAGTGTACGAGTAGTAGTAATGGCTGAGAATTTTTGATTACAGCTCACTGGAGCTCTACGACTACGACATATTCTCCTACCTCCTTGGTGGAGGGGGGTCCAGAATTAAGGTTTTTAAGGTTACGGCGTGCAGCAGCTGTCTCGGGAGCGTGCGCCTTGTGCACGGACCCATATTCAACCCTCCATACGGAGATGAACAAGTCAATCCTGCATGAAGGCCGCCGCCGAAGCTGCAAACGGTAATCCCAGCTCTGGCTGAGCGACAACGGGTTTCCACGATGTCGACGGTTTGCAACGTGCGCCCGGGGTATTGTCGTCCAATTTGGGTAATGGCAGGACAAAGACAGTCTGTTCGGCAGTGCGTACCGACGAAACGACCACGTATGCTCGAGATGGATTTGGATCATACTTTGAAACGACCATCTTTTAGAGCGGTGGAATACCATGGGTGTCCTCAGCTCACCATGGGCCCGACACGCTCGCTCAGCTGCTTTGTCCGCGGTGGCACTCTCAATCCTTGCGTTGTTATACTTGAGGAGTCATGATCGATACAATATTATCCAGAAAGATCGATCTCAACACCCACTTCTCGATCCCACTGTCACCACATCCTTTGGCCTCACGCCGGGCCATAACCCCATCCTCCCGAACGAACGAGCCGTCCAAGGACCATGGGTAGCACATCTCCCCGCATACGTCAAGACAAACCAAGAGTTCACAACCACACTGACATGTACCTACGCTGCCGAAGAAGGCTGGTGCCCCTCCTCCTACATCCTCTGGTTCCGCGGCCTAACATCTCTTGTCGTCCCCCACGATCCCCACCACATTTGCGTCCTCGACTCCCAAAACAAGACTGTCGGAATCACTTACGCCATCAAGGATCCAGGTGTCTATGAAGTCTGGGCATGGCCGGAATATGAAGATTGCGAGCGGTTCAAGGAGATGAAGTACCCGCTTTCGAATGCGCTGGTACAGGGGACGCCATATAAGATAACGGTAGAGGGTGCGGCACCGGAGGAGGGGTATGGAGTTTGTGTGGAGGATGCGCCCGAAGGAAGATGGGTTAGTACAGAGCATACTGACCGGAGCCATAAGTCGGATGCGTGGGCGAGGAGTTATCAAAATTCGCACGGACACTGGAGGAATGCGTTCATCTACCAACCGTACAGTTGCAAGAGAGCGGCAACTTCGCCAGCAACACTCGATGATCCATCGTTATCGGATGTAAAGCATGTTCTTTACATTGGTGACTTAACAACCCGAGGACCATACTGCGCACATACGTACCCCATGTTCCATGATGGGAAGATCGATGGTCCCTGTGCTTACACCCACGACTACGAATTCTGGAAAGAGTACCAGATGCAGCTGACACGATCATTTACCTGCCGTACGCCCAAGGGGAAGGACACCGCCTGGTCCCTCCTCTTTCAAGGAGAACCTGGTCGACCGGCATACCATGTCCAAGCCCTCGAGAGACTCCTCGAACACCCATTGGGTCCGCCTTCCCACGTCGTCGTCAACTTCGGCCTCTGGCAAGCCGCAAAAACCGAGCTTGAATACGCCACCTCGGTCGACGAAATGCTCGCATTCATCCACCACTACCTCCCAAACGCACATATCACTTGGCGCCTGACAACCTCTATCTTCCGTCCGGCGGGTTGCTACGACTATAACCACCTCGCACGACCTATGACGCGGATGCAATCTCATGTCGGACGCGAGATGGTTAAGACATGGAGGAAGAAAGGGATGAGGATCGTGGTGGTGGATGGGAATGGGTTGACAGATAGTAGACCTGATACGAGTGCTGATGGCAGACATTGGGTCGTGTAAGGGCCGGTAGGGACTTTGGAGGCTCAGCCAAGGATTGGAGAGGCTCAGTTGGGGATTGACGAGTGGATTTGGGATGAATGGAGGAGAGCGAATAGCAAAACTTGAGCATATCCCATATGTACCAAGCAGCAATGCGTGGAGATTAAGAAGAGTACGATACCATGCGTGATACATAACTCAAGGACAGACCGTAAACGCAACATAATGTGCCAGGAAAAAGTTATTTGATACCCAAAAAAACCGCTAAAACATATTAGATCTACTAAAATACAAAAAAGCATGAGATGAATGACCTTTCTATATCATTTTCCTCCCTTACTGCAAAAGCTTCTGCTTCTCCTCCGCAGACAATCCCTTCAACAACTCAGCCATGGCGCTCAGAACGGCATTCTTGTCGCTCTTCACCAACTCCGTAATCGTATCAGCAACACCACCAGCCTTCAAGTCCTCAATCGCAGCAGCGATAGTCTTAGCATCGCGCTCGAGCCACTCGGCAACTTCCCTGTCGTGAGCCTCCCAAGCAACAGAGTCATGCTCGGAAGCGAACCATTGCTGGAGCTTAGCAACACGGTCCGCACGAGACAACTTGGCGTTGGCACCGGACATCTTGGAGAGGACGTACTCCTCGTCCAATCTACGGCGAAGACGCCAGTAGAAGAAGCGGCGGGCCTGAACCCACTCAAGAGGCTGGCGGATGACACCCTTCGCCATCATGCGGCCAGCGCGGTCGTGGAGGTCAGCGAACTGGATAGCAATCTGCTGGTAGACGGGCATGAGCAACTTTTCACGGGCAGCCAACTTGACCTTAAGGTCGGACTGCTCATCAGCGGACAGGTCAGGCTTCTCCAAAGCCTTCTTAATCTCACCGTAGGTAGAGTCAAGACGAGCCATAGTGTCCAAAAGCTTGTCGCGACGGTACTTGATACCGACAATACCCTCGGGCTCCAAGACACCAGCACGAGACTCCTCGTCGGCATACATCTCCATCATGTCAGGGTTGATGGTAGGGTCAACGACGACCCAGGATCCACCACGCAACTCACCGTAAGGAGGAATGTAGACGAAGACAGGCTGCTTGTACTTTGTCAAGGCATCGACGATGTAAGAACCGTACTTCAAGACCTCGTTGTACATGTCACGCTGACCACCAGAGAAACCACGCCAGTTGGCAAGGATCATCAAAGGCAACTGCTCACCGTGGTTGAAGTCGTTGATCGCCTGGGCGGTCTTGAAAGCAGAGTTGGGGTACCAAACCTGACCAGCCTCCATCAAGGCCTGCTCGGTGGAGTCGGGGTTTGCAGGGTCGGCAGGGATAACGTTATCGACGGTGCGGGTCTCGACAGCAATAACACCAATAGGGATACCACCGAGGCGAGCACGACCAACAACAACGGTCCTGGCCCATCCGCTGAGAGTCTCCTGGAAGGAGCCCTTATCGAACAAACCAGCTTGGAAGCCCTCCTCATCTTCCTTACCGGCAATGAGCCATCTGACATCGTAAGCACCCTTATGAGGCGTGTACTCAACCTCACGATCCCAGCTGTCGTTCGAAGGAGAGATGGGGACAGGGGCGTTACGGCGCTCAGGAACGTAGGACAACCAGTCCATGATCTTGGAGATACCCTCGAGATCGTCAGCGGCAGTAACGTGGGAGACACCGTTCTTGTACATGATCTGAGTACCACCGAGTTGGAGGTTGGAAGTGTAAACCTCACGGCCCAGAAGCTTGTTGATGGCAGGAGCACCAGTCAAGATGATGGGCTGACCCTCGATCTGGACGGCACGCTGTCCGAGACGGACGAGGTAAGCACCGATACCAACGGAACGGCAGGTAACCAAGGTGATGGTGAAGATATCCTCGTAAGCACGGGAAGTCTCACCAGCAATCAAACCAGATCCCTGCAAACACTCAACACCGAGACCGTCGGTAGCACCGATGACAGTAGTGATCTTGTAACGCTCCTCACCGTCCTCGACGATCTTCTCGGTCAAGACAATCTTACGCTCACGCTCCTCCAAGCGCTTGTAGACTTCGGGAGTAAGGTAGAGGTACTTGAAGCCCTTGTCGGGGTTGGTGGGGTCGTTCCATGCAGCAGAGAACAAGGGAATGAGCTCCTCGGCAAGACCGATACGAGCACCAGAGTTAGCAGAAAGGTAGATTCTGGGGATACCCAACTGGCGGGCAAGCTGAGTAGCCTTGTGGAAGAAGCGATCCTCAGCAGGTCCGAAAGAACCGATGCTGTAGGTGATGTCGTTGGCAATCACAATAAAGCGACGACCAGCGGGGTATTCAGGGGTCTTAGCCTTGACAATCCAGGCAACCATACCGCAGGTGTTGGTTCCAGGCTCACGGGAGACCTCAGCCAAGTTGCCGCTCTCATCCAAGACCAACTCCTTAGCCTCAAGGATATCCTCGGGCATCTTGATGGCCTGGTTGGTAGCAGCAACCTTCTGCCAAGCGACACGAACAGCCTGACCGAAAAGCTCAGGGAAGTCGTATACGTAGGTGGTGCCCATCAAGTGAGCCTTGTAGCGCTTAGGCTGCAACCATTCCTTGGTAGGGTAAGGGTGGGAGATGTTGCGGAGGTGCATGCTTCCGTTGCTGCCGTTGCTGCCGTGGAGGGACTTGAAGATCCACTCACCCTTAGGAGTCTTGACCTCAGCGTAAAGCTCGACGTTGACAACGAAACCGGAAACATTGTTAATCAAAACACGAATGGGCATGGGCTTGCCAGTGGAGGGGTCAGCGCAGATGATGCGGATCTCAGCGTTGGTGACACGCAATCTCCAGAGACGACGACCAAAGCGGTCAAGGAAACCACCAAGGGCGTTCTCAACCTCAGCAGGGTTAAGGTTGAAAGCAGGAGTGAAGTTGATGAAGATGTGGTTCAAGTCAGTCTGCTCGGGGCCAGCAACCTCAATAGAGTCGAGAATGTCCCCAACAAGGCGGTTAGTCTCGGAGATGAGGTACTCGGCAGTAGGCATGTCCTGAGTAAGACGGCCGGGACGGACCAAGGCACGGGTAAAGTACCTCCTGTCACCGATAGCCTCCTTGCCAACAGCACGGTACATGTGGATGTTGCGGTGGCCAGTGAAGACAGGAGTGATGTTGAAAAGGGAGAGACGGTTGAGCTCAAGCTGGAAGGCCAAAGCAGGCTCCATGTTACGGATGGAGATGTCCTCAACGAAATCAGGTCCACGGTAGGTGAAGTAGGAAGGGTATGACAAGTCCTCGCGACCGCAAATGAAAGTAACGCGGCGCAAGCTGTGGGCACGGAACTCGGGAGCGAACTCTTCGACAACCTCCTGAAGCTGAGCGGAGATAGCAGCATCGTCCATACCGCTGACGGAACGGATAGCAATGGTGAGAACGTTCAAGGGCTCATCAGCTTCCTTGACGGGGGCCTTCCTGCGGCCGAGCATGGGCATAGTAAGACCGTCGTCGTCGTTGAAGCTGTTGGTCTTGCGCTCGTAGACGTCCAAAACACGGGGCAAGAGGTCGTCAATATCGTTGATAGAAGCGACAGGGAGGACAGCTCCCAAGCGGACGGGCTCAGCGTCAGTCTTGGCAAGCATGAAGCTCATGTCACTGACGGATGCGATCCTCTTGTAGTTGGTAGTCTCACCGCTGGGGGTAGGAGGGACAGAGTGGAGAGGAGTCTGGGAACCGGTACCGGTAAGGCCAGGGGCACCCATGGACCTCAACTGGAACTCCCAAGAGAGACAGAAAGGAGGCTCACCATCAGTATAGTAGTGAACAGCGAGAACAGAGTAGGCGCGGTAAGCACGGCGAACGTACACCTCAAGGGCAGCAAGGGACACCCAGGGGTCGGGGTGAGCGAAGAAGTTCGCCAAAACATCGAAGACGGTATAACGAGAGTCAACGAGCTCACGGATGACATCAATGTTGGGGGAACGGTGCTCCCACTGAGTGTCGCCGTAGCGGTTCTCGACGACAGCAGACTTAAGGATGTGCTCCATCTGGGCAGCACGCTCCTCGATGGAGGGCATGGCAATCTGGATGAGGACTTCACGGGCCTTCAAAGCGACCTTGGCGGTCTGGCGAGAGTCAAGCTCGGTGAGCTTGTGCAAGATGCCAGAGAAGTACTTGGAGATGGCGTTGTTATCGCCGAGGGACTTGATGTGCTCCAAGATAGCAAGAACCAAAAGGTTCTTGGCGCCGACGCGGGCATGAGAAAGGACGGTACCGATCACCTTGTTGATGTCGTCCTTGTTCTCGTCACGGAGCTTCAGGATAACATCGTCCTCGCGGTCCTGAGGTCCGCTGAAGAGGGTCTCGGTGGCGAGGTACTCCTCGAGCACTCCAATAAGGACGCGCCACTTGTGGACCTTGCTACCCTCACGGTAAGCCTCAGCAATTTTTATGAGAGGAGACATGCCGTTGCGGAGGATCTCGGCGTCAGAAGGCTTCATGGCAGCGAAGTGAGCATCAAAAGCCTTAAGCAGCTGCTTGGCAGGGAAGTCAGCCTGGCGAGAATGGGCCTTCTCGACGGTGCCGGAAAGGGCATGCTCGAGCTTAGGGGGCATACGGGAAGCCAAAGCAGCGTAGGCGATCATCCACTGGCCATAAGGCAACTCAGGGTTGCGGAGGACCTCGATGAGGTCCTTGAGGGTAGACTGCATGATGAGCTGGTTGTCGAAACCCTGCAAGATGTTACGCATGACACGCATCTTCTCCTCGAAGATCTGAGGAGGCTTGTCACCAAAGAGGGTAGGGGGACCCATGGCGGGCAACTGACCGTCGTAGGGCTGAGCGTGCTTAACACGGCTAGGGTCATCCAAGGTCAGGATACCGAGGATGTCACCAGCCGCGAGGGATGCTCCGGGCTGCTTGACAAACTGGACAATGCCAGACTCCTGGGCCATAAGGGGCAGGATCATCTTCATGACCTCAACCTCAGCGAAGGGCTGACCGGCCTTGACGTGCTCACCGGAGCTGACCAAGAAACGGACGAGCTTACCGGGGGAGGGAGAGCGGAGCTGAGTAGGGTCGTGCTCCTGCTCCAACATGCAAGTGCGACCGTCAACGGACATACGGACGGCACCAACGTCGTCACGGAAGTAAACGGAGTGGGAGCGACCATCGATCAAGATCAAGAGACCCCCGTCAGCAAGGGCACGGACACCAACTTCGGCCTTGGAGCCGTTAATGAAGAGGTAGAATGTGTCCATGGAACCGCGGGTGGCAGTGAATCTGAAACGCTGACCCTCGTAGATGAAGTCGATGGGGAAGACGGTCTTCAAGATGTCCTTGGAAGGAACCTGACCCTTCTCCAAAGACTTGCGGTACTCGGCGACACACTCCTCAGAGGCAACCCAGGCCTTAGTGACGGCACCACAGAGGACAGCCAAAGTGGTGTCAGGGCGCTCGGCAGTCAACTTCTCCTGAATCAAGGTGTCCAACCACCCGGTGGTAATAGTGTTATCCTCGAAAGCGGGAGTCTCGAGCAACTTAATCAAGTACTCAACGGTGGTCCTGAAGTCACCACGAATGGACAACTCCTTCAAAGCGACAACCATGTGCTTGCGGGACTCGGAACGAGTCTGACCGTAGGCGAAAATGTGACCGAACTGTGAGTCAGCGAACTCGTGAATACCACCAGCGGCGGCAACGGAGAAGTAACCCCAGACGTTGGAAGAAGAACGGAAGTTCAACTCCTGCATCGTACCACCGGAAGGCTTGAATCCCTCTCCAGGGTCCTCAGAGGTGATACGACAAGCAGTAACGTGACCCTTGGGTTGGGGCTTGCGCTGGGTGGACTTTGACTTCTCATCGGAGAAGTCAAAGTCGATCTCGGAGGTGCCGTTAGGCTCAACTCCGTACAAGAGACGGATGTCGCGAATACGGTGCAAGGGAAGACCCATAGCAACCTGCAACTGAGCAGCGGGCAAGTTGACACCAGAAACCATCTCGGTAGTAGGGTGTTCGACCTGCAAACGGGGGTTCAACTCCAAGAAGTAGAACTTGTCATCGGCGTGGGAGTAAAGGTACTCGACGGTACCGGCGGAAACGTATCCGACCAACCTACCGAGACGAACGGCGGCGCGCTCCATAGCCTGGAAGGTGTCAGGCTTAGCAATGGTGACGGGGGCCTCCTCAATAATCTTCTGGTGACGACGCTGAACGGAACAGTCACGACCGAACAAAGAAATGTTGTTACCGTACTGATCGGCCAAGAGCTGGACTTCCAAGTGACGGGCGTTACCAGCGAGCTTCATGATGAAGACAGGGGATCCAGGAACTTCGCTCAAGACCTGCTCGTAGGCACCAACAAAGTTGTCCTCGCTCTCGACCTTACGGATACCCTTACCACCTCCACCTTCTGAAGCCTTAATCATGACAGGGAAACCAATCTTCCTGGCCCTGTCCAGACCCTCCTCGGGATCGTGAGTACACGCCTTGTGGTAAACCTCATCAGACACAGTAACCAAGGCGGTCTCCTCATCCACCACAACCTGGTCAATTCCAGTACCAGACCAGTCCATACAAGGGACCTTGGCTGACTGCGCAACAATGGTGGAGGAAATCTTGTCTCCCAAAGAGCGCATAGCGGATCCGGGAGGACCGATGAAGACGATCTTGGACTTGGCGAGAGATTCTGGGAGCTTAGGGTTCTCGGAAGCATGTCCCCAACCAGCCCAGACGGCGTGAACCTTCATACGCTCAGCGACGTCGACGATGAGCTGGACGTTCGCGTAGTTGTTGTTGTTAGAACCACCGGGAACTTCGACGTACTGATCGGCCATCCTGATGTATTCTGCGTTGACCTTCAAATCCTCTGGTGTCGCCATGACAGTGAACTGCACGGCCCTCTCATTTCCGAAAGTCTCGTAGGCCCACTTCCTAACCGACCTGATCTCCTTAACAGCGGCGATACCGTTGTTAGCAATAAGAACCTTGGTGATAACAGTGTGACCACCGTGAGCAGCGACAAAGTCCTTGACGGGACCCGCTGGTGCAGCGTCGAGCGAGTTACCGCCGAGGAAGTGCGCAGGGATCTTGGACGCCATTGTAGTCGATGGAGTCGATCGCTCTGTTGAACCGGATGCTGTATTGATTTTTCTAGACTGTACGACCGAGAAAGCAGATGCTGAGGCAAGCCGGCGTACAATAGTAGATGCGAGTGGAGGAGTAGGGAGGGCACTCAGACGCCAGCGACTGGATCGTGCTCGGTGGACCGGGGGCTCTGGCGGTAATAAACGGAATTGGAGGGTACGGCGAAGGACGACGTTGAGATCCCTGCCCGACTTCGTGTTGAATTTAGGGTGGGGTTGACTTTGATTAAAGTTGGATCAGCCGGAGGGGAGCAGCTTGAGTTTTCTGTGATGCGACTGGACCCAACCAAATTCCGTGGGGATGCCCTCGCGCGTACTTGTGCGCCCCGAGCACAGCCAAATCGAGATGGGCTGCATACGTTGGGGAGAAGTGAACAGTCCTCGCTGCCGTCCGTTCGGGGAACCGGATGGAACATTGAATGAATATCTCTTCAGACGAATGCAGACAGTACTTCTCTAAACCCATGCTGCCCAACCTGTAGAACTCCGCCCTGGCCATTGCCATGGAAAAAGACCAACAAAAAGAATCCAACTCGAAAAGGACTTGATCCAACAAAATCTCAGGAGTGGAGAGCTATCTTACTTCAGAACCCCCAATCGCACTTCATTTCTTCCCGCGGTTCTCATTTTTGTGTCACCCTGCCGTCATGCACGTCTGTCCATCAACTAGCTTTGATCCGCCGTCATTAAACCTTCCTTCTCATTTCACTCCACTCCTTACAACACCAATTCCTTACCAACGCTCCAGGCACCAGCAGCAGCCGCGCAAATACCCGCTGCGATACCCGCCGCCCTCGGTCCAGCCGTAGACTTGAAGAAAGCACCCGCCAACGCTCCACTGACAATACTGTTGGCCATGTCGTGGTGACCACGGAAATAGCCGATTGAAGAGTTGATACCGTTGTAAATAACCGCAACCACACCAGCGGTGTTACCCAAGAACGGTCCACGCCTGGTCATAGAGTTCAAAACACCGTTGAGCTTCAATTTCGGCGAAGTGGCACCCTGGGTCTTCCTCAATCCCTCCATCATACCCCATGCACCTCCCAAACCAAGAGCAGCCACGTAGGAAGTTCCGGTACCGTAACACAAATCATCTGTGAAGCCACGACTTGGGAGTGCGGTGTGTCCTCCGGGCAAGTTATTCAACGAAGCATCCTCCAACAGCAAGTAGTCGATTGATCCGCCGAGGTTGGCGAGAGGGTGAAGAGCGGCAGCGTCGGTGCCGAGAGGCAATTGTGACATGAAAGAACCGACATTTGAGGAGGGAAGGTCACCAAAGGTGTTTGTAGGTGCGATGTCGGGCTGGTTTGGGGGAGCATCGATAGTAGGTGCCGCAACTGCTGGCGCATCCTCAGTCTTCTTCTTTCCAAGGCCGAACCAGGACATTATGATGATCTGTAACGACGCGACCGTTAGCAGTGAGATCAGGAATAAATGCTATCGCTGCCGCTTTCGCCCCACCAAGCCATGGTCCAGGCGGCACCGAATTCGACGGCGAAAAGAGGGGGAGCTCACCTAGGACTTGATACGAGTTCGATAAAACAAACGGTGCGAGCTTGTCTCTGGGCGATAAACGGAGTATTGCGATTGACGTATTCTCCTTTTCCTTCCGCCGTTCAAAAAGTAACAGATCCATCCACCCCGAAATCCGGCCCTGTCTAGCCCCATCGAGCGCGGCTGCGTATGGGCTGCGGCTCCGGTACAGCAAGCTCCCCAAGGCAAGAGATACACGCCCGTAGGACTGGCAGAACGGTCATCGAGCATTCACTGCTCGGAGCGGATCCATGAACTGACTGTCGCCCTTCTGCCGCATTTACAACGTTAGCGAACGGGCCATTGGCCTTTGTGTTCGCCTGGAATCATGAGTAATAGACCTTCCTCCGCGTCCTCGGCGGCTACAAGCGCGTCGGAGGCATTTGAAGGACGGGCGACGGCTGCGAGAGATGCGACAGCTACAACGCTCGTCTCCGGCACCGGTCCGCGGAGAGCAATCCCGGCAATTGGAGACGAATCATATCCACGGCGGACGAGATCGAGTTCGTCGCCAACACAGTCTACGACATTGTCGGAGTTGTTGTCGCAGTTGGATATTGAGAGTAAGATTAAGGAGGGTGCGGAGAATTTGTTGGTAATGTTTGAGAAGGGGAGGAAGAAGAATGGAACGGAGGATAACCCGAGGGAGCGAGCAAGGAGAAAGGCGGAGCACGAGTTGGATGCGGCGAATATGCGGATTGCTCATCTGAAGGAGCAGGTGGAGAGTGTCCAGGTATCGTCACCAGTGAAGAGACGACCAGGAAGGCCAGGGAACGAAGTCAAGAAACACCAACAGCGGCCATCACTGACCTCTCGACCCTCACTTCCGACATTGAACTCGTTTCAGTCTGGAGCCCTGGCATCCGACGAAATCCGAGAAGACAACAATGATTCGCCAACATGGTCACTCTCCGACATCCTCCAATCCCTCGAAGAAACCCATCACGAACCCCAATTCTACGTCGACCGCGCAAACACTTTAGTCCGCCTCCTCAGCCGCCACCCGCTTCTCAAATACGACTTGGCATGGTCCGCGTTCGGAGCACGAATCCAGTGGCTGCTAGGGTATCCGGTCAAGGAAGTCTCAGCAGCGGCATACCGAGTAGCTCGGCATGCTATGTCGGACCTCGACTCACTGCAAATCTTGGATGCGCTGCAGATTGAGCTGTTCATTATCAAGACATTGGCAAAGGAGAGCAAAGACAACCTTGAGAGAGAGCAAGCGGTGAAGTTGGTGAGAGTATACCTTGATATACCCGGAGGCACAAGACTTCTCCCACGCTCGGTGGTGCGCGCTGTCGTTGCGGTGGCAGAGCACACTGAAGACAAACTCTCGAATATATCCATAGAGACACTAGCAGAACTGCTCATTATCGACCCAGCATTACTCGTGGATGCCGGCGGCATGCGAATTCTGCTGCATACACTGACGGACGGTCCAGCTGGCATCACTCAGCCCCTCATCACCGCATTCATGTACATACTCGGCTCACCACATACCCGAAACTACATCCACAACGGGGCGGACCTTGATATCGTCTTATCCGCTTTCACTGAAGCGCATGCCAAAGCTCATGTCTCTGAAGACCGTCTCAATATCGCCCGGAGCGTTGTCACTACGATGTTGAAGGGCTGGCCGGGTGTGTTTGCGTTGTGTATGGATGGGATGCGACCCATACGGAGTGTGGTTGATGCACTTCGGATACCTGCGAGTGGTGTGAGGGTTGCTGTGATGGATCTCGTTGCGGATGTATTGGGTATCAAGGATCCAAGTTGGACTACGACGTTCCTGGCGGGGAGACGGATAACGATGTTCGGAAGACCGTCACTACAAGTCTCTGGAATATCGGCATACGAGCAGAAGAGGAAACCCGAAGAGAATCGCATGGCATTGAAAGAGCATTTCGAGGCGTTGTTATTATGCATCCTTTTCGATGTTGGGTTGTTGGATGCTTTACAGGTTGTCATTGAAGACAGGGATGAGGAGAGTACGATGAGGAAAGCTACGCTGCTTATTGGCGAATTGCTGCAGCTCGCTGGTCGAGTATTGCCGTTGTCGTATAGCAGCAGGCTAAGTACATTGGGGCGGTTATTCGAGGCCGCGGTTGAGTTCGGGCATAAAGACCGTTTCGTGGCAACGAGTGCGTTGATGCAGATTGAGTCATTTAACCGCATCGGTAACCGACCACAATGGGTTTCATATCGAGAGAGATACTCGAGCAGCAATGATCAACAACGTGGACAACGCCAGGTCGAACAGGTCAAAATCAAGATGAACCTGAACATCGATGATACCCATTTTCGAAACATGGTTATGGAGACACAAGTTCCGAGCACGAAGAATTTTACGAAATGGAATTGGGATACGCTGCTGGAGCTCGTACAAGGTCCACTTCGGAACCCGAAGAGGTTGGAGGAGAGTATTCGGGCTTCGCATTTGATGAGGCGGTTGATTAGCTTCTTCAAGCCGTTTAAGTTTCGGTACTCGAATATGAAGAAGACGAAGCCGAATCAGCGGTATACGACGTTCGGGTGTGCTTTGCTGAAGACACTCTTGTCAAATCAGGAAGGTATTCGATATTTGACTGAGAGTAAGCTGGTTAAGCAGATTGCGGAATGTCTGTCACAGCTTGAACCCGTAGCTACCTTCGTCAACGAAGAACCCGTGTTCTCGAAGCGACGGATGGAAGATACCCTGAGTTCGGGATACTTTGCTCTGCTAGGTACGCTTAGCTCACAAAAGGAGGGTATCGCATTGATGGAGCATCATCATATCTTCAATATGTGTTACCATATTTCAGACCTGAAGAATCGAGATGATTTGGTGATGGCGTTTGTTGAGAATATGGATTATTCGCTTGAGGGACATTCACGGATCATCCTCTCAAAGGCGTTGACGACTGGTTCGAAGGCTGTCCGAATGTTTGCTACCAAGCATCTGGCTTCCATCACGAAGAATTCTAAGTCTGCTGAACAAGCTCAGTGGGCACTAAAGCTCCTGACTACGCAATTGTACGATCCCTTTGTGGACGTTTGTGAGGTCGCTGTCAGAGTATTGGAGGAAGCATGTGATCTGATGTGCAACTTGCAGTATGTCGTCAAACTCAAGCCAGCCCTCGACCACCTTGGTGAAATTGGTGCGCCGCTGATGTTACGTTTCTTGTCTACGAGCATTGGCTTCCAGTATCTGAATGAGCTTGACTACATTGGTAAGGAGATGGATGACTGGTTCCATGGCAGGAATGAATCATACGTGGCATTGGTCGAGGCATGCCTTGCTAAGGTCTTTTCTGGTGATGACCTGCGGTCTAGTCGAAGCGATAATGACGCATCGTCGGTGTTTGACGGCACAGCTCCTCCACACTTCTACGGTGAACTTGCGAAGACGGAAGAAGGATGTCGGGCACTTGCTGAGAAGGGGCATTTCCAACAATTCTGCAACTACATCCGTGAGTTTGGTCAGGAGAGTCGAGATGAGGATATCATTCTGAAGGTTAAGAGTTGTCTTTGGGCAGTCGGTAACATTGGGTCCACAGCGGGTGGTGCACCCTTCATCTGCGAAGCTGGCGTTGCAGAGCACATTGTTCAAATAGCTGCAACGAGCAAAGTGATGTCGCTCAAAGGAACTGCGTACTTCGTGCTTGGGGCGATCGTAAACACTGAGCGGGGAGCAGCCATTCTCGGTGAACTCGGGTGGGAGACTGTAACCAACGCCCTAGGAATACCTCTGGGTCTGTGTGTTCCCGATGATCTAGGGAAATTTTTGACTATCACCAAAGACGAACCTGCACCAGACAAAGCGACTGGTCGACGTGAAAGCTCTGGTGAGGCGGAGTTTACTGTGTTGAATCTTGTGGATGATCCCGTTGACCGAGAGATTCTTGCGGCCATTAGTGGGTTGTCGAATCACATCCTCGCCAATGAGGCTTCGCGGACTTTGGCAAAGTTGAAGTCGCGCTACGGTGCAAAGTTCGGCTCTCCATCCCTCTACAAAGCAGTGCTGTATCTCCTGGAGGTGTATCGGTACAGATTGCCTGTACGGCGGTTCTTGATGGAGCTGTTCAAGAAGGACATCATTCAGCGGGTTATCGACCAAGGCGGCGGTACGCGGATATTCACTGACCGTACCCCCGTTGAAAGCATGCAGCCAACCCCTGAAAAGGAGACGCCGCCGATGCTGTTGCCGGAGATATTGGCTCCACCTTTACTTCGCTTTCTTCCTACGCCGGACATGTTGACACTAGGAAGCGAGGAGCCACAAAATGCCGAAGTGAAGCCATGATTGGGAAGATTTCACTTGTCATACCTAGGCATATAGCATATGTCACTACGCCCATACATCTGCGTCTGGGGGATTTATCGGAAACGGAGTTATGGCGTTTCTTTCATTGGGGTGAGGAGTTACACTATGATTAGATTCCATGTCTGCCGCCGTGAAGGCGGGCAGCATTTCCACTGCATTTCAAGACTCCTGAAGTCCCGCCCACCGTTCCTTGTAATTGATCACATCCTGCTTAAATTGTTTGTCTAATTTCTACGACACGGGCAACTCAACGCAAGGCAAGGCACAATTGATTCCCCACAATTGCAAGTGACGTCTCGCCTCGAATGCGACGGTTGGCCGTGAATGCCAGCTCCAATGGACCTGCTGTTTCCTGGCGATGTGAATCGAAAAATCGATTATCCGACATACTATACCTTCCCTACGCCAGCGGCGTTGCTGGCGACGCTCCTTGTACATCAGGACAAGTTCCCCAACCCGGACGGGCAGAAGAGCATCCTCGTGTCGTGTGCGCCTTCCAAGGGAGAATTCTTTAGTTCTTTGCTTGAGGACACTTCACCTACAACGCATCCAGACTACCTGGACCAAGAATTACTGGACCAGCCTCCGGTTACCTCGTCACATCCCATCAGCGACTGGATCCGCAGCGATGACTTAGCCAAAGTAAGATGGATCATCGCAGCGTCCATGATCGAAATCGTGCATGCACCGACCCTAACACATCTCCGTGCCTTACTCTCTGCCTTGCACTCCACCTCCACATCTCCGCCACTTCTCGCCATCTCCTCCTTCCTCGACGTGCACCAACGCGGCGGTGAGCTTGCTGCACAGGGTGTGAGCCGTACCTTGGCTGCTGCGATGGAAACAACGAATGGAAGGCTTTTAATTGGTGATGCGATGGAGGTGGATACGCAGATGCCTATGTTGAATGCGGGTGCGGGGATTGGGTTGGGAAGTGCGAGTACGGCGAGGACGGCCAGTTTGAAAAGGGTTCTTGGAATGTGGATACGGCATTGGTGGAATGCGAAGTGATTGCTGCCAGATCGAATATGGAAATGTTTTCAAGCACGGCAGCGATATGACTTGGCTACTCTTTAGTGGGTAACCCACCGACTTGTTGCTCGCTAAATCGCATACAGGTCGGGCGTCTATTGCATGCTTCAGTGCCGGTCGATTGTCTACAGACCGATAGGCGCACCATAGACCTGAGGGACGAGCTGATGGAGATCGCCGTTCGAGCTGCTGAAGATCGTCGTCGAGCTGCTGAAGATCATCGTCGAGCTGCTGAAGATCATCGTCGAGCTGCTGAAGATCGTCGTCGAGCTGATGGAGTCGAGCTGATGGAGATCGCCGTTCGAGCTAATGGACCATAACATCAGCCCTCCCTACGTTGAAGCCGATCGTTGAAGGAAAAAGAGTACAACAATGCGTACGTAACTCGCGCCGCTGCCGTATATCGGAATGAATATTCTTCGTTATTGCAATCCTTCCACGCAAGCCATTATTGTTGCAAGTTACAGTTACGAGAGGGCATGACGGGACAGATGCACACGACGTCGACACGCGACCGCTACCCTAACTGAAAGAACTTTGTTCATTAGATAGTAGAGACAGCCATAAGTACTCCAAAACACCGCGCAAACCAAACAAATGAAACAGTAAACCCAAGAACGCCCTCACGAGTCACAATCCATCTCTCAAACCATCCTCCTTACTTTCATTGCATCCGTCAACATCCCAGACCTCCACATCCACATCCGTCTCACGCCCACGCTTAAGCCGTCTCCACCAAATCCATACACTGCACCATTTCCTCCATATACAGATCAACATGACTCATCAACTTGGAATACGCAACCTGCAGCCCTTGTACCTCCGCCTCAACATCCGCCCTCAAATCCGCAATCTTCTGCTCAATCTGCTCCGTCATTGCGCGCTTCTTATCGAGTTCCTGTTGTCTCGCACCCCTCTCCGCAGTCATGAGCGCATACTCCTCCCGAATCTGCGCCATCCTCTTCTGCGCCGCTTCACGCTTGGTTTCGGCTTGATGCGTCGCCCGAACCAATTTGTCGGATGCGTTCTCGAATTGTCGGAGAAGTTGATGTTCCCGCGCTTCGACCTCCCTGACTTCAATTTGTTTTTGGTCGTGAATTTCGCGCTGTTTAGAGACTTTTCGGGATGCTTCCTCGAGGCGGGTGAGTTCAGTTTCGCATTCTTCCATGATGCGGAGGCAGGTTGCGACGTCTTCTTCGACGCAGCCGATTGCGTCCATGCGGGCTTGGAGTTCGCGGGCTTTTCTTTCCATTGCTGCGACGTTTGCTTTTGAGGCGTTGAGGGTGTTGCCCATGCTTGCGATTGTCTCTTTCAATGTCTCGGGGTCGTGTACGATTCTTGCGCGGATCTTTTCGCATTCTTGTTGAGTGTTTACCACTAAGTGCGACAAGTTTGTCATCTTCTCCGTCAACTCTGCCTTTTCCCGTCTCAGAATGTCGTTGTCCTTGGTCAATGCCGTCTCCTGTTTCTTCAGTTCCTTCAAATCGTTCGTAAGTGCGATATTGGCCTCCCTAGCTTTCTGCACCAACGGTTCCTCCTCGTCACGCTGCTTCTTCAGTGCTTCGAGGCGTGTCTTCATCTCCTGGGCTTGGAAAGTGAGTTGTTCGTGGCGCTGCATAACTTCATCGGATTTCGCTGTGAATGCGTCGAGGACTGGCATTTGTTCCTCGCGAAACTTGGCGAAGTTGAGGATGGCGGAGAGGATGCGACGGACAGAGCCGGGTTCCGGCTTGATCAAGTCGCGAACAGAAAAGTTCTGAATACCAACTTCATTCATCAGACGAACACTACACATTCCGTTAGCATACAATCCCAACTCCAACAAGCACACAATACGTACAGCTTCTGATGAAACACCATCAACCCCAAACTCCCCGAATGAATCTCAAAAAAGTCCATATCCGAACTACTCTGCAGACTCGAATCCAAATTCTCCCTCGTAACACCCATCAAGATATCCGCAAACGTCTCATAGACCATTTGCATGCGCTGTGGTGAGGGTTTGTTGAGGTCGTCCTCGGTGAAGGGAATGCTCAGCTCGCTCATGCAAGTGAGGATCTCGGCGGCGCTGAGGTCAGGGAAGAGGTAGGATGACATTGTTGGTTATGCGGTGCGATCAGAGGAAGCTGACGGCGATTGTTGAGGATGTATGCTCTCTCGTCGCGAAACGCGATCTGTTTGTTTACTTTGGCGGCTGGGCGCAGCAGCGGCTGCACTAGCCACAGCTGATGGAGTCGAAGGAGGGTGGGAAAGTTGCGCGAACGGCCGCTGGGGTATTTTGAATGTTGAGAGGAAGAGATTCTTTACTAGACGAACAGCTCGGCTTGGAAGGCTGCGGCACTGCTACATGGCCCAGCTAACAGTCATCGCGATTAAATCTTCCATTGTCATGTTTCGCACTTTCGATGCCGTGTCGGGACTCCAAGTGTTATGTTAATACACGGCCGCGGTGTCGAGTCACGCAACGAGATTTCACAGGTGTTGCACACAACTTTTAGACGCGAAGCAAGTGGTAATCGACTTTGCAGGTTATAACAGTGGGCCAAGAGAAGTACGTGTGAGCTCTAGAAAATGGTGGGTTTATAAAGTTGATATCAAGTTTACAAAAAACAAGGTCCTAACAATGTCTCTGTAGCTCAGCTGGGAGAGCGTCAGACTGAAGTGATTCAGTGATCATATATCTGAAGGTCTCGTGTTCAAGCCACGACAGGGACATCCTTTTGCGAACATCTCAGCAGCACTGCCCAGGCTCCTTCAATAGGTTCAGCCAGCAAGACCCTCCTCACAAGCACCAAGCCACTCACACCTCGCGAACCTCGACTTCTGTCCATTCAAACTGTCGGATCTTGACTGTGCCTGAAATGTAATTTACGCGTGTTCACCGCCACAGCGCTGCCGCCAGCGAAACCGCGACGTAAAGTACCGAGACCGAGAAAGCTTAAAGACATTCCCATATACGAATTAGATATCGCAATCGCATCGCGTATCGTTTCTTTCAACTGCGCGACATTGAGCTTGAGATTACCTATCGATTGACACCTCACAAAGACATTTGATAAAGGGATAGTGGCGACGGAGATACATCACAATGAGCATCAGCGACCTCGATCGGTAATCCTCCTTCCCCTCCACTTCCTCATCCTGCGCACCCCACTGACACCGTCACAGCCAAATACGCGACCTCCGCGCCTGCAAACCTCTCACCGAACCCGAAGTCCGCCAACTCTGCCACCGCGCCCGCGAAATCCTCGTCGAAGAAGCCAATGTCCAACACGTCGACTCGCCCGTAACAATCTGCGGTGACATCCATGGTCAATTCTTTGATTTGATGGAGTTGTTCCGGGTTGGTGGGGATGTACCGAATACGAACTACATCTTCATGGGGGACTTTGTCGACCGGGGGTTCTACTCAGTAGAAACGTTTCTGCTGCTACTGGCGTACAAGGTACGATATCCAGATCGCATAACCCTCATCCGCGGTAACCACGAATCCCGACAAATTACCCAAGTCTACGGTTTCTACGACGAATGCGTACGGAAATATGGGTCGGCGAATGTATGGCGGTATTGTTGCGAAGTATTTGATTATCTATGTTTGGGGGCTGTGGTGGATGGGAAGGTGTTTTGTGTGCATGGGGGGTTGAGTCCGAGTGTGACGAGTTTGGATCAGATTAGGGTTATTGATCGGAAGCAGGAGGTGCCGCATGAGGGGGCGATGTGTGATTTGTTGTGGTCGGATCCAGAAGGTTTGTGTCACCGCTCTCAATTGTGGATACATTCGGCTAACGATGAACAGACATCGAAGCATGGGGTCTCTCGCCCCGAGGCGCTGGATTCCTCTTCGGAGGGGACGTAGCCCGCGCCTTCAATCACGTAAACAACCTAACCTTCATCGCCCGCGCCCACCAACTCGTCATGGAAGGCTACAAATCGATGTTCGGAGGACAAGTCGTAACCGTCTGGTCCGCGCCAAATTACTGCTACCGATGCGGGAACGTCGCGTCGATATTGGAGTTGAAGGAGGGGTGGGAAGCGGCCGGCGCGGAGGGGAATGAGGATGGGAGGGATGGACGGTTTAAGATCTTTGAGGCGGCGCAGAATGATGAGAGAGGAGGGATGCCGAGTAAGAAGCCTGTTGCGGATTACTTTCTGTGATCTACACCTACAGTGTCGAAAAAGCTTAAGGGTCGGGAGATGGACGGGAAGGTATGGAAGGGACAGGATATCACACAGAACACACAAATATACCCAGGTGAATTGTTATCATGACCGGATCAATGGAGTCGATCTTTGCGCCGGGATCTCACAGTAATCTGTCGGTCGCTGCACGATAGACTGTTACTTTACGCCTTCGTTAGGAAGGTCGCTTATTTCGACTCAAGTCCCGCGTGAAGAATAAGACAAGTGACAAGTACAACACGAACACCTACAAAGTATACGAGCATGGTCAAAGTCGTAAGAGCGAATAGCTGGGTACCAGTGGAAGAGAGTTGGGCGACGGAGTCGTTGATCGATCGGTTAGAGGTCGCGGCAGCGGCAGAGTCGGCGTTTAAGGATGAAGGCGAGGAGGCACTGGCGGGTCAGCCGAAGACGCCGTTAACCATGGCCGCACTACAAGCAAATGACAAGAACGTGAGTGATACCCATCCTCCTCTCTATCTCTACCTCTTTCTTCTTTTTTGCGGGAAAGACGAGAGATCTCGAGAATGAGATCATCAAGTGGAGAACAGCTCGGCTAACTCGGCACGCACAGCACCCCTCCTCAGAAACCTTCCACGAAGCCTTCGTAAAAGCACACGTAGCACTCCAACGCTCCTTAACCCAAGCCAACGAATTCTACGAACGCGCTCTCGAACATGACCGGCTCACGGCGCTCGCTTCCGCTTCTTCGAAGGACCAACAGGAGAAATGCGCGGTTGTGCAGCAGAGGAGGAGGGAGCTGGAGAGGGAACATTCGGATGTGAGGAGGAGGTTGAAACATGCGTTCTGGAGATCGTTCCCGATTGGACATCAAGAAGCCGACAAGCAGTTGAATGCTGGATCTCCAAGCCGACCAAAGTTGTCGGCACAGCGGGCAAAGTCGACATCCTCCCACCTCGCCTCGATCTTCCCCCTTCACCTGCCTGGACACTCCGATAACGTTCACGCACTCTCACCACCAGCTCCATCATCCGCCGCATCCTCCATGCCAGCCTCCCGCTCCCACTCCCGCGCCGTATCCCGCCGCAACTCCATCAATGCCCTCGCCGCCAGAGACGAATTTAAAGCCTTCAGATACGAAGACATGAAAGCCGTGGGACCCGCGCATGGACTCTTACCTGGACGCGAAACGGAGGAGTGGAGGAAGATGGTGGAGAAGGTCGAGGCTCAGTTTAAGGAGATTGTGAGAGCGTAGATCGCGGTGCGGGATTTCCCTTGTTTTTGCGTGCATTTTGTGTTGTGCATGGATGATCATGAGCATAGCGTGGATATGGTGTTTTGATGTGCTTTAGATACCCTGGCTATGGATTAGAACTTTCCCATTATTCGGCGTATACAGATATAATTGACTTTTCTCCTCTCTTCATTTCTTGATCTTGTGTGAAGTTGTACGGCCGTACGCGTACGTCTATTAAAAATCCATGAAAATGTATGTAGCATCGTTATCGTCATCGTTTTGACCGCCGTGACCGGTCGCTTTCGCGACTCTCAGGCCCAGTCAGCCTATCCATCAACGTGAACGTCTGCATCCGAATCATCTCCCCATCCTTCAGTTGCTCGCCTCGCCGTGTTCCCGTGGCCACCGCACTCGAGCTCCCTCGCTGCCCTGTAGTCAGCGCCTCCCCACTTAACCCCGTCTCAAGATCGTATTTATCCCACCAACGAGCATCCGCCTCAGCACTCATACTACCCTCCCCCCTCGCCCTCTCCCTCCTTTCCTCCCTCTCATTCCTCTCTTCCCTGAGTTGTCGATCCTCATCCATCCGTCTCAGATACGCATCATTCATCGAATGTCCCAGACTTGCCTGCACCGTATAATTCCCCTCCGACGAACTCGCATTCGATCCCACAGACGCCGTACTCCCCTTCCTGTCCCCACCCGTCGGATCTCCTCCGTGGCGTTTGTCGTGAATCCATTGACTCACCCTCACATACGGTTTCTCCTTCGTCACAAACACCATCACATCCACGAATCCATGCAGTGGAATAACCCCCGACGAGATCGTATGCAGTACGAAAATCGGTTTCGTCACGGATTCAGAGGAGAGTTGGAACACGTAGAGGACGAAGGGGATGATCCAGAGGAAGAGGTAGACGATTGGGTAGATGAATAATAGGCGGAGTTGGCGAATGACGAGGAGGTGGCGTTTGTGGAGTTCTTGCATGGGGGTTAGGGGTTGGTTGAGATGGGCTTGTTGGGTGGAGGTGGTGGTTGGATCGGGGTGTCGTTGGCCGGGGAAGGGGCCGATGGTTAGCTCTTCGGCGGCGGGAATGTCGAGCGGGAGGGGTGATGGTGTGCTCCCGTGCGCTGAATCTTGTGCGAGGACGGGGTGTTCGAGGGGTGCCGAGCTTGTTCGTCGGCTAGTGAGGGAGATGGCACTAAAATTCCTGTGTCGTCTTTGACTTGCGGATGCGGATTTTGATTGTGGTGGTTGTGGTGGTGCCTCTTCTGATACATCACCGAGTAAACCGTGCGTATCAAGCATTGCGATACCGGCATCTTGACTGGGTCGTCTCCCTTCTCTCCCCACTGCAGCCCCAGCAGGCTCCGGCAAATCCTCACTCAACAACGAGGGGTGATGAATATCCTTCCGAATCGACCGGAATCGACTCTTCACGTAGATGTAAAGCGCGAGATACAACACCAGCACAAATCCAATAATGAAGAACCGGGGGCCCCATGTCAGTGCCATTCGCCATGCGATGGGTTTCACTGGGATGTAGCACCAGTTCGGTAATGGTACATATCCCTCACCAGCAAACACCAAACTCGCCAACAGAATCGACAATAAGGCCCACACTGTAAACACCCAATTTCTGTACGGATACAGTCCTCCTTCCTGTCCCGTCTGTTTATGCGGTAGAAAGACGTACAGCGCGGTATGTAATGCAATCACAAATACCGCAAAATCAGTCGCCTCGATAAATGTCTCCGAGAAGAATCCAGCAGCTTGGCAGAAGGACGAGTCGGCGCTGATCATGCCTCGGGAAAGAGCTACTGCCGGGAAGATCATCTCCCAAGTTGCTTTGCAGAAGTCGGAGACGAAGAGAAGGAAAATCAACCTGCGGGGCACGGATCAGCAAATAAACCATCACATGTAGAGAAGAGGGACGTACTGATGCCGGAACGACATCCTCGGTAGGAAAATCAATAAATATAGGATCCCACATATTGACGTCGCGACACTGACGGTCGCACACGACACCGCGACACTCCGGATAACTCTCGCTTGGTACGCGGTAAACTGTATCACACCCGCCCCATTCATACCACCAAATCCGGTGTAGTTCTCCAACATGCCGCTCCGTCACGTTGAGGTGTTCGTTTATAGCAAGATCTGATCCGTCCGGGGATTTGCAGGTGGTGGGTGGTGTAAGAAGCGAACAACAACAGCAACGGGTATTCGAGAGCTTCGATCAATTGGAATCAGCTCAGAGATTCATTCGGCGACTGCGGTCGACAAGCCGGTACAATAATAAATAAAGATGTCGTATGCCGAGAAGGGTCGTATTGATTTTCGTTTGGTTAGTGATTTCTGATCGAGGCCCGAGCGGAGAGGTGTATTTAGAGTCTGCGCTACTTCTGCCTGCAGCTGGTGGAGTACGGTACGGTATATACTGACCCGAGCGCTTATGTGCAGATGCGACCCGTAGACTGCCGGGATACGAGAAGCCGAAATGGATGAGCACGGCCATTTGGACCAGGAGTCGCCGTCGGGAAAGTCGTGGGTGCCGTTGGAGTCGAATCCAGAGTTGCTGACCGAGTTGAGCCATGCGTTGGGGTTGAGTGATGCTCTTGGGTGGCATGACGTCTATGTAAGTTTGTGTTGCAATTATGCGAGTGACAGCTTGCTGACATTGGCCCGTTCACAGTCAATTGATGATCCGGATCTTCTGGCCTTTGTCCCACGTCCCTGCCATGCGCTCCTCCTCGTCTTCCCCATTTCCTCCGCCTACGAACAGAAACGCCAGAGACGAGATGAACAGCTGAAGTATAACACACCGCCTCCGGAGGGCGTTTTCTGGTTCAAACAAACCATCGGAAACGCCTGTGGAACGATGGGGCTCATCCACGCTCTGTCGAACGGTGACGTTTACCCCTTCGTCACCCCCACCTCCCCTCTCCACAAATTCGTGGAATCAACCAAAAACCTGAGCATCGCCGAGAAAGCAAAAGCCCTCGAATCTAACACCGAGATCGAGGATTGTCACAGGAGTACAGCTACACAGGGCCAAACCGCAGCACCAGACGCTACGGACGATACGGATCTCCATTTTGTGTGTTTCGCAAAGGGCACGAATGGGTCGTTGTTGGAATTGGATGGAAGGAGGGCGGGGTATGTCGATCATGGGAAGCTACCTGAGGGAGAGGATTTGCTTGGGGAGAAGGCGTTGGAGTTGATTAAGGAGTTTGTGACGGGGGAGGGGGATAACTTTAACTTTTCGTTGACGGCGTTGGGGCCGTTGTGAGGGAGACGATTGGCATAACTTGCATTCACGTGTACCAAGGATACCCAATCAATAGACTTGTTCATACTAACTTCGCGGATCGTTGTTCATGCTCTTATTCCTTCCGTTACCTCGACGGTGGCTGCTGTCTAAAGTGTGTCACGTCCCTCTAATCGAGTTCAATACCCCAGCTACCGACTTTCTCCATTGCCGTGCTATCACCCTTTCCTAGACCCTCCCCTTCTGCACCCAACACTCCCTCAATGCATGTCCATGGATTACGTCCGCCACCCCACTTCAGCACTTCATCTCGGAACTTCTCGCCAGCACTCCTGTCCACTGGGTTGCTGGCAAAAACGTTCTTCCAAACCTTGGACGCAATAGCACGGTCAAAGATATACGAGTAATACGTGCCTCCATAATGCGCTAGATGCGACATTTGTGTCTGCCATCTCGTACCGGGAACAGGTGGGTAAAGTCCCCATTGCTTTTCAAGGCCGTGCAAGACAGCCGTTGAGTCAAATCCGCTCTGGAGTGGGATAGAGGAATGGAGGTGCTGATCCAACAGTGACATCACAATCTGGATCTGTGATTCACTGGCTGCCAAAAGCTTCTCCATCTTGTTTTGGGCTTCAATGAGTTTGGGCGGTGCAGGCGCATCCGTTTTGTAATGTCTAGCACAAAGCTTCAAGACCTCGGGTGCGCTGACAAAGTGCTCCATTAGAACACTGGGCAACTCGACAAAATCTGTAGCACATCGTGTACCGCAAACGCTTTGGAAGCTGGTCCGCCCAAGCATTGTATGCATCGCATGGCCCATTTCATGGAATAGCGTTTTCACATCATTGAAATGCAACAGGGTTGGGCCGGGTCTCCCATCACTCTCAAAGGCGCATAGCAGCGCAATTGTCGGCAGCTGATATATCTGACCGGTAACTGGATCTTTCATCGTAGCCATCCCAGTATATTCCGGAATCTCCCCTTCAACCGGAGTATCATCGTCAATGCGTCTTGAACATCTGACAGTGTAGTGTGCCGGGTTCTTCGTTTTCCCTTTTCTAGCAAACAAATCACAATATATCAAACCAACATGTCCTGCCTTCTCACAAACAACATCCAGTCTTCGCACATCTTCATGCCAAGTTTCGCCTTGCTGAGTTTCTCGCGGGACGAAGCGGATACCGTACAACTGAGTAAAGAGCCGCGACAACCCTTGAATCACTGTTCCAACAGAGAAATAATCCCTCAAACCGTACAATGATGCTGCCGACCGACTCTGCTGTTGATGATATCTGACGGCGTAATAATCCCGATCCCATGCCTTCAATCCAGAGGGCACCTGCAACTGCAATTGCTCCTGCTTCAGCTTCTCCAAAATGCCCTGTTCCTTCTGGGCGAGAGGGAGGTTTGAAGCAGCCAACGATTCCAAGAATTCCAATACTGAAGCTGGCCTACTAGCCATCTTATCCTGCAGTTGCATCGTTGCGTAATCTTCATGACCGGTCAACCTTGCGAGTTCGGCCCGAGATCGCAGCATACTCTCCAGAGTATCCACCTGTTTCGCTGTGCCCGCATTCATAGCTTCGTAGATCTTTTTGCGCACATCACCACTGTGTACAGTTTGCAGAGCCAACTGCGCAACCGTGCTCCTTGCTGGTATTGTGATGGATGTCTTATCCCGTGACATGTACTCTCGAGCCCAGTCAGGATTCAGCCCATATAATTCTTTCGGATCGAACTTCATCACACTCTCGTTTGCACCTGCACCCGTCACGAAGCGTCGTCCCAGAACATCAATCTCTGATGCAAGTGAAACAAAACGGCCTCTAGTTTTTGGAGAAAGATGGATACCTGCCTTCTCAAAATCCCGAATAAATATCATCCCCACTGCGCGCTCCTCTTCAGAAAGATCCGCACTTATCGCCTTGTCCGCAAAAACACGTAGGAGGGTTTGATATAGACCAACATTGGTGTTGAGCTGATTCATGAACTTATACATGATCGCGTATGCTTGTTCAGCAGCCTCAACAAACTGCGGATCAGGATGCGCTGTCCGAATGAACTCACTCAGGTCAATCACGCAACACATCATGTCACTCAACCGATCAAAATCCTTGATTACACTTCGTAACTCGGCAGGTGTTCGAGCAGCCACGATCTTATCGGACAAAATGGAGGCTCTCTGCAGTGTACGCTCGGCAAATACTGGGAATGCTTCTGGATCGGTGAGATATTTGTAGAGAAAAAGGCCAGTGCGCTTCCCGAAGCCAGAGAAAGACTTCCTGGAAAAAGCCTTCCATGCCTTAGGCGAATCAAAGATCTCTCTCAGGAGGGCATCGTCGTGCACATTGTCAGCAGACGTCGAAAAAGCTATGTGTTCGGCTGGTAGACTTGAAGTGGCGGTTGCGTAACACCTGGCATATTTCCGCCCATCTCCCTTGAAGACGTAACGTCGAACCCCGGAAGCCACAGATTGAGAGACGGATCGATACAGCAATGCCCCCGCGCTGGTCCGTGGTGCTGCTTGCCGAATTGAAGCCAGCATTGAGGACCGAGTAGGAAGGACGCGCGTGGACGCACGCAGTTGCATCAGCTGTGGGCTTCACGATCTCGGGGTGATACTTATGGCGATGGTTGGACGTTTGCTCGAGAGACCTGCGGTAGGTATACGGTGTGCCGAATTTAATTCATATAGGTCGGGGTCCGGCCGCGGATGTTCCGCTTCCTGGTCAGATGACAGAGGGAGGGAGGGAGTCGTGTAGACTGTGTCAAACTTCATTGCTATTACTATGAATAATTGCGGGACGTGTTACTGTCTAGATTCATCCTCCATATTCTACTCGTCTTCGGGCAGGACACTCTTACGGTTAGCAAGCGTTATCGATGCTCGCTGACAGGTCTGTGAACTACTACTACTACTACGGCAGCACCCAGCAGTGACCGAAAGAGCCGTGAATACGCGAGTCATCGCACTGCAATTGAGTCTTCTATCCAGACATCGCAGGCTACGAATAAGTTTACTGCACAGGAGAAAAGATTGCTCTGCTTCATCATCTTGCCACACACACTGGTACTTTCATACCATTGCATTCATCAAGAGGAAGACACAGATCGTAAAGGCCCCGAAAGGCCGACCACCAAAAACTAAATCACCGAGCACGCCCGAAGACGCGTCGCAGTCCCCAACCAAAGCGCTGTGCAATGCAATGGTCGACGAGACCGTCCATTTCCAATTCTTGAGCTGGAGACGGAGTAATCAGGTAAGTATGAGGTGTAACAGAACGCGCGGGGGGTGCGGCTTTATAAGAGAGCTGGGGTCCTGAGTGGAGTTAGGGTGGGAGCGCGAAAAGAATTTGAGCTTCACGTGATCTGAGGAATGGCTCATGACTTTTGCATTGAAATTCAATCATTCTGGACATTAAACTTCAAATCATTTTGGAGACTGAACTTGAATCATTTTGGACATCAAACTTATGGATGTGTGGCTGTGCGAAGCTTATCGATTCCCCCCACCAGCCACTCCAGAAAATCCCAATTTCGCCGCCGATCGGAGCTTGATCGATATTCGATACAATTGCAATGGTTCGAGCACGGGAAGCATCACCCGCGGAAAGCGAGTACGAGTTTGATATTGCGGATGCCATTGCGGGAGGCGGGGGTGACGATGGTTTCGACTTCGATTTTAGCGAGGCTGGGAAGCCGGTAGAGAAGAAAGCGAAGAAGGTGGAGAAGAAGGCTACGGCTGCGGATGCGTTGGAGTTGGTTGGAGACTTTGAGGGGGGTGAGGATGAGGATGATGATGAGGCATTCATTGCGGCACATCAGACTGCGATTAACCGCAAAAGCACGGTCGGAGTCAAGGGAAAGAAGGCGAAGAGTGGAGGATTCCAGTCGATGGGGTTGTCTGCGAACATCCTGAAGGCGATCGTAGCGAAGGGGTTCAAAGTACCTACGCCCATTCAGAGAAAGACCATCCCGCTCGTGATTGAGGGACGGGATGTTGTCGGTATGGCACGTACTGGATCCGGAAAGACTGCTGCGTTCGTGCTGCCGATGTTGGAGAAGATCAAGAGTCATCGTGCGCAGACTGGAGCACGTGCGATCATCATGTCACCGTCTCGTGAGTTGGCGTTGCAAACGCTCAGGGTTGTCAAGGAATTTGGAAAGGGTACGGATTTGAAGACGGTGTTGGTTGTTGGTGGTGATAGTTTGGAGGAGCAGTTTGCTATGATGTCTGCGAACCCCGACATTATCATTGCTACGCCTGGTCGTTTCATGCATTTGAAGGTCGAGATGGCGTTGCAGTTGAGTTCAGTGGAGTATGTTGTCTTTGATGAGGCCGATCGCCTTTTCGAGATGGGTTTCAGTTCGCAGTTGACTGAGATTTTGCATGCGCTGCCGTCTATGCGTCAGACCCTGCTTTTCTCTGCTACTCTTCCGAAGAGCTTGGTGGAGTTTGCGAAGGCTGGTTTGCAGGACCCTGTTCTTGTTCGTTTGGATGTCGACTCCAAGATCTCTACTGAACTCGAGTCCGCGTTTTTCAGTGTTAAGACTGCTGAGAAGGAGGGTGGTTTGCTCTATATCTTGCAGGAAGTCATCAAGGTCCCACCTGGTGCGCCTCTTGCTGAGGAGGTAGGCAAGAAACGCAAGCGTGACTACATTCCCGAGGGTAACGCAGCCGTCTCGCCTCACGCCACGATCATTTTCGTCTCGACTAAGCACCACGTCGAGTACATCTCCAACCTCCTTATCCTTGCCGGATACGCAGTTTCTTACATCTACGGTTCCCTCGACCAAACTGCGCGTAAGAACCAAATTGCCGATTTCCGTGCTGGACGTACGTCTTTGTTGGTCGTCACGGATGTTGCTGCTCGTGGTATCGATATTCCTATTTTGTCGAATGTCATCAACTACGACTTCCCTAGTGAGCCGAAGGTGTTTGTGCATCGTGTCGGACGTACCGCTCGTGCTGGTCGCAAGGGTTGGGCGTACTCTTTGGTTCGTGCCGAGGATGCGCCTTACCTTCTTGACCTGCAGCTCTTCTTGGGACGCAAGTTGGTCGTTCCTGCCGAGAACAAGCATGAGACTCCGGATTATTCTGGTGAAATCGTGCTTGGTGGACTGCCTCGTGACGGTGTTGAGAGCACTACGGAGTTTGTCGCTTCTAGCTTGAGCAGGAGCGCTGATCTGGCCGCTCAGAAGGGTGTCTCGCAGCGCGGTGAGCGTCTTTACTTGAAGACCAGGACGTCAGCTTCTGCTGAGTCTGTGAAGCGTGCGAAGGAGGTTGTTGCTGGCCGTGGATGGTCGTTGGTGCACCCGCTTCTAGCAGCTGCACCTGACAACGCTTCGAAGGAGCGTGAGGATATGTTGAAGAGGTTGGCCAACATCAGACCTGCGGAGACTATCTTCGAGATTGGTAAGAGGGGTGTTTCTAGGAATGCGGCTGCAGACGTTATGAGGAAGAGGAGAGCTAAGATCATCATTGGACCCAGGACCACTCAAGGCGAGGAGGAAGGTGGCAACGATGATGACATGGAGGAGGTCCAGGCTCTTGAGGAGGACCGTGGTGACGCATGGGCAGATCTCTCGGATGCTGCGGAGTCGGACGTGGAGGATGCGTTCACGTCGTCAAAGGATATCGCGAAGGCTACTGAACGCAAGAACAAGGCGAAGAAGGACAAGCCCACGTCATTCAAGGATAGTGAGCATTACATCTCTCACTTCCAGCCTATGGCCGCTATGCAGGAGCGTGGATATGACATTAACTCCAAGGGTACCAACTTTGCTGAGCAAGCACGAGATGTCGCCATGGACCTCGTCAACGACGAGACTGGTGTCGGAGAGCGGAATAATCGTGGCCTCCGTTGGGACCCAAAGAAGAAGAACTACGTGAACCGCATGAACGACGATGACGGTTCGAAGGGCGTGAAGATGATCCGTGGTGAGTCCGGTGTGAAGATCCCCGCAACCTTCAAGTCCGGTCGTTTCGAGGCTTGGCAGAATAAGACGAAGACCAACATGCCTGGTGTCGATTCCTCTCATCTCGCCGGTCAAGGTGAATCCAGGTTCATCGGTGGACCTAGAGGTCGTTTCAAGCACACTAAGGTGCAAGCACCCAAAGCTGCCGTTAAGGGTCGGGACGACTACGAGGTACGGAAGAAGAGGGTCAAGGAAGCTGCGGAGAAGGGATTGGGTAGGGGTGCGAAGAAGCCTAAGACCGATCTCAAGAGCGTGTCCGATATCAGAAAGGACAGGCAAGGTCAGCAGAACAGGAGGGAGAAGAACGCAAGGCCGCAGCACAAGTTCAGGAAATAGGAGTTGCACTAGGTCTAGAGATATAATTTCGAATCGTATCCATTACCACCGAGTCAATCAACCGTTAGAGCCATCCTACTGTATCACATTCAACTCTGTGATGCGTATGACACGTCTACTCGTGCGTTTCCAGCTTAGTATCACACAACGTTTCGGTACGATAACCTGGAAACGATCTGATACGTAAGCGAGGTTACGCCGACCGACGGGTTGATTTGTGGACAGTGTGGCAACAGCTTGCATTGATAACACCTCACTGTTAGGATAAACTCCATCAGACTATCGGACGGTACACCACGACGGCAGGGTGCACGCCGGTCAACACATCGGATGGTGATGTAGACCTGATGGAACCACGAGCTGATGGAGACCTGATGGACGAGCTGATGGAGACCTGATGGACGAGCTGATGGAACCACGAGCTGATGAAGACCTGATGAAGACCTGATGGAGACCTGATGGAGACCTGATGGACGAGCTGATGGAGACCTGATGGACGAGCTGATGGAGACCTGATGGAGACCTGATGAAGACCTGATGGAGACCTGATGGAGACCTGATGGAGACCTGATGGAGACCTGATGGAGACCTGATGGAGACCTGATGGAGATCGTCGGTTGATATGGTAAACCACGGTCACGGAGGCGGCGGGTTCATCGACCACCGGCGACCGCCAGCCAATTGTCTAGAACATTGACAGAGCCATCCTCGATAATGTCAATCCACTCCCCCTTCCGCCTCTTCCCATTAATGCGCCTCGCCAGCTCACGCCTTCCTCCACTCGCTTCCCCACCCGCATCCTCACTAATTGCGGCATCAACCAGCACTCTCCTAACCCCCCTCCACCCTCCACCCCAATCAGCCCCAACAACCATCTCCACTCCCGTTTCCGTTCCAATCCACCCACACTCCCTCAAATCCAACTCCACCAAACAGATATACTTCCGGCTCACCGAGAACAAGATATCGCTCGACGGTGGTGCGGGCCAGCCAGCAAGGGAGAGGTGCGTGAGGGTTGAGGGGATGGAGCAGGAGATGAGGCGGCGCCAGTGGGTTTGGGGGGAGGTTGTGGGAGAGGGGTGGGCGAGGGTTGCGTGGGTAGGGGAGTAGAAGGGGGAGGTGGGGAGAGCTGACGTCCAGTCGTCGGTTGAGACCTCGTCGTTGTCAATGTCTTTATCGTCGGATGATGTTGTGTCGCCGTAATGCTGGAAGTACTTGTCCAGATCAGACCACATCACACTCCGGCCCATAGCATGCGTAAGATCCAGGTGAACAACATCCTCACCGCCCTCCACGCCATCTTGCTCATATTCGTCCTCATCCCTCTTCGTTGACCATAACACCTCCAGGATGTTGATCCTATTCCACTCCGGATTCGTATGCCGTCCAACATAAGTCATAACCCACTCCTTCTGCCTCGACGAAAGCATCGGAAGATGATACTTGTAATACTCCACATACAAATCCCACTCTTCCGCCAACTTCCTCAACGCAAGATCCACCAAACTCCCAGCCCTTGGCAAGATCAAACCCGACAGCGTACGATAGGTTATCCTATCTCCATACCGGGACGAATGCCTCTCACTAGCATTGAGCGCACGCAGTAAATCGGTACTATGCTCCGAATCAGCGCATTTTAGCCAACTCGGCGGCGCTGCCGGACCCGGCTGTAACCGCCTCATCCTAACCGCCGCATACCCCCTCGCCTTCGGCCTCACAACTGGGGCTCGATACGCCAATACGCCCTCGACATCGGGATGGACTGTCCGAACGTTCGTGTTGAGTGCTATTTCCTGCCGGACTCTACCGTTTAGGTTTCGTTCATGGCGCTGGGCTTCGATACGGAGTTGGGTGAGGCGGGCGGTGACATCCGTGGTGAGGGGGGAGGAGGAGGTGGTGCGTGCGCTTTCGGGGCGTGTTGGGGCTGGAGATGTGTATATCTTTGATAGAGATCTTGATTGGGCTTTTGCGGAGTATTTTTTGGGCATAAATGCTGGTTGGTATTGAGGGGAGTGTTGACGTAGAGAAAGTTCGTATGACTCCCGAGCCAGCTGTCGTATGAATTCTGGGGTGCATGAGCATGAGAAGCTCCAGTACGACGCCGTCTCGAAACGCTACAATGACCGAGAGAAGCACAGGACGAATGATATGATAATGGACATGGACAAATGGCAAACGTAGACAAGTGATTGTGAAGAAAGCAAACAACGCCGGAGAAACGACCCTTGGATTCTAAGTTAAACCCAAAAAACACGAAACGCCAAGAAAAAATCCCATTTTAGATCACCGTTCGCTCAACCAAACAAGACGAACGCTTAGTTCATCTGGCGGATAAGAGCGTTGATGGCGTCACCACGGTAACCGCAGTCACCACCCTCAATGAAGTGAAGGAACTTGCGGGACTTCCAGCCACCGTTGGGGTTGGACAACTTGAAGGGCCACATGAAGTTGGAGGCCTGCTTGAAGTTGGGACCAACAGTGTAGATCTCGTGGATCAAATCCTCAATGGAGATGATACCGAAAGAGCCGAGGTTAGCCTCGATCAAGGCGTTGTCGGAAAGAGGAATGCGCTGCTTGTTGATCTTACCGTATCCACGCTTGTAGACGAGCTCACGGACGGACTTCAAGTTGACGTCACCGTAGGTGATGTAAGGCTGGACGATCTGGAGCATCTCGGAGGTAGCCTTGGTCAACTTAACAAAGACACCGTTGTTGATCTGGAGGAGACGGAGGAGCTGAAGGACCTTGCGGGGCTTGGGGGCGATCTTGTTGATACCCTTGATACGGACAACGAAGACGACCTTGGACTGGGCAGGGACGTAGAAGTCACCGTCCTTCTTGGCGAGGCGGGCAAGACGGATCTGCTCACGCTCGGCGTCACGGTACTCCTTGACGTACTTCTCAGCACGCTTGAAGATGACCTCACGCTTGGCCTTGGCAGCCTGTATGATGACATGTTAGTCATGATGTTCGGGGGTTGCAGGGTTGCGCCTCAAGTATATGCGCAAGACAAAGAAGAGATCAGAATATCTCGAGACGAACTCAGTCCCGAAAGATGGTTAACTGTAGCAACATCGCCGTGGCTAGCTGTCAAAAAATGCTGGTAATGCAATTTCTTCATCGCAGTCTCGAGACAATCACATTCTCTTCTTCCCTGCACGCACACCATGGACGCAGAAGTTCGAACTAACCTTCTTCTTCTCAACCTGGGCGGCCTTGCGCTCCTCGGCGGTCTTCTCCTGAGCCTTCCTCTTCTTCAAGAGGGTCTCGGGGACGAGAATCTGCTCGGTGGTGGGGACAGTACTAGAGGACGCAAAACGTTAGGATTCAAACCACGGCATAAATAAAACCCCGCAAATCCAATAAGGGAATTGAAAAAAGGGGCTTTGCAACAAACAGAAACGTCAGAGCATATACGTGGCACAGACAAAAAGTCCGACCCGCTCGAAGGGCTCGACGTGGTTTGAATAATATTCATTGGAGCAGATCGGTGATCCGCACGCAACAATTCCCCGGCTCGTTCGGTAAGGAAGAGAGCCAGGATCAAGGCACAACTGAAGAGATTGGGTGATCGACAAGATCAATAGTCCCATCTCGGTTATGTTGTGACCAAGAAATAGATTTAAAAGGAAAGGTTTTCAGTTCACATATGAACATCCAAATCGCCTTAGCCCTCAACACCCCGTGCCGAAGCACAGGACAAAAGTTCGAGAACTCCCGTAACGGGAAGAACTCTTTCCCCAATCTCCCCTCTCGACATGAGAAGTAAGGCAGATCAGGGATTGGGTGTGCCAGAAGCATAAGCTCCTGAACGATTTCACGAGTGAAGTAAAGACAGCTTGATTCAACTCCTGGAGGACAGGAGAGAAAGAGCGACTTACGTTCCGGCCATTGGGATTTTGCTGGTTTCTCGGTGAACGGTGGGCGAAGACGAGGATTCTGCAGATGGACCCTCGAGATACTTTTGTGCGGGCGGAATTCCAGCCACACCTCAGATTTCCAGGGGGCGGTGCTTCTTGGGTGGGTTCAGGGTTTGTGCGCGCGCAACGGCCAGTTGCTGGAGAGGCCTCGAGCTCCAAGGGTAATTGAATGAGGAGCACTGAAGAGCCAGACTGTTTTCAATTGGTATTGATCATCTTTCTGCTTTGACTGCACGTGACCCACTTGTACTTCCCAATCTGGGTTATTGAGTTCAACGCGTCTCGAGGGCCAAGTTCAGACGCGAAACTCACCTCCATACTCCTCCCTCGACCCCCTCCTCCGTATCCCTCAATTATAAGATAAAGATGGACCGCCCATCACGAAGAATAAACACAAAGAAGAATCCTCGCGACAAGTTCGCCGAACTCCGCGCCCTCAAAGCGGCGGGAAAGACGCGTGCTGCAACCTACGAGGATGAAGCCGAGGAGGATATCTACGATGAACTCGATGAGGAAGAGTACACTAAGCGTCAACGCGAGATACTAGATGAGGATGACTTCATTGTTGATGATAATGGAGAGGGATACGTCGATTATGGACAGGATGAGTTTGAAAGGGAGAGGTACAGCGATGAGGAGGACGATCAGAGACCAAAGAAGACTGCGAAACAGAAGAAGGAGGAGGCGGCACAGAAGGAGAAGAAGAACGAGTCGATTAACAAATACCTTGCGAAAGTGACTGTACCAACGACAACCAACCAAACCGCAGTAGCGCCTACAGTCGAAGACGCAGAATTCATGGCAGGCATCCTAGGTGACTTCGACGTGGAGGACGATTCAACCGCATACGCCTCCGCATCTCGTCGAGCAAACAAGCGAGCAGCCGAATCCTCCCCACTTGGCGCAGCCCGCAAGAAGCGTGCACCATCCCCACCCCCACGCGCAGCCTCTCGCAAAATGGACCCACCCATGCCCTCCTCCCCACCCAGCATCCAACTCAACGACGCCGACCACCCCATGACCGACGACAACGACTACGACATGGGCGAACCAATTATCCCGCCTTCGTCACCCACGCCTGCAGCGAAGAAGTTGGTCGTCGCGGAGGATGAGGAGGAGGATGAGGATGATTTCGTGGTCAAGCCGTTGACTGCGCATCGTGGGCTACGGACGACAGGGGTTAATGTTTCAGCTACGAGGTCTGTGCCAAGGATGGCTGAGCAGCCGAATAGGTTGAAGCCGATTCAGACGCATCCGAACGGAGCTATTCCCACGTCGCCGGTTACTGCGGCTGTTGACGCAAGTGCGTGGATGGATGTCGATGCGTCGCTGAACATCACCTCGTCTCCGCAATTCCCGTCATCAGGCTCGAAAATTAGTCCCGAGGATGCGTGTGAGGAGAACGGTACCTTACGATTCTTCTGGATTGACTACATCGAACTCGGTGGATCGCTCTACCTTTTTGGAAAGGTTTTCAACAAGAAAACGCAGACGCACGTCTCGGCTTTCGTCCGTGTCGACGGGATCCTTCGGAACCTGTACTTCCTTCCCCGTGATACGAACCACAGATCAGGAGAAGAGGTCGGGATGGGACAAGTCTGGGAGGAGGTATCTGGACTACTTTCCAAGGCTGGTATTGTGGGTTTTAAGTCGAAGGTTTCGAAGCGGAAGTATGCGTTCGAGGAGGGCGGTGTGCCCGCCGAGGGCGATTACCTCAAGGTGTTGTACGAGTACTCGAAGGCGCAGCTTCCGCAGGAGTTGAATGGTGACACGTTCTCCCGCGTCTTCGGTACCAATACGCCCTTGTTTGAGCAATTCGTGCTCTATAGGCGTGTCATGGGTCCCTGCTGGTTGGAAATCAAGGAAGCGGATTTCAATGCGGTTACGAATGCTTCGTGGTGTAAACTCGAACTCGCGGTTTCTGATCCTGAGCTGATCACGACTTTGCCTGATGGTACGCTGGAGACTCCGCCTTTGACGGTCATGTCTCTCGCGTTCAGGACCATGATGAACCACGCGGAGAACAAGCAGGAGATCGTGGTTGCGAGTGCGAGGATTTACGAGAATGTCAATATGGATGATCCTACCCCTGCGGAGAAGTTGCCTTGTTCGACGTTCACGGTTGTCAGGCCTTTGAAGGGTGTCTTCCCCGCTGGATTTGAGACCGAAGTTAGGAAGCATCGTGGGCAGATTAGGTGTGAGAAGACGGAGAGTGCGCTCCTGAATTGCTTCGTTACTAAAATCCAGGGCGTTGATCCGGACGTGTATATTGGACACGGACTCGAGGGAGTTGATTATGGTGTGCTGTTGCACAGGATGAGGGAGAAAAAGACGATGAACTGGCATAGGCTGGGAAGGATGAGGAGGAGGGAATGGCCCAAAATCTTCATGAACAGGGCTGCTGGAAACTCGTTTGAGGAGAAGAAGATCGTTGCGGGGCGTTTGATGTGCGATTTGGCCAACGATCTCGGCAAGTCGACAATCAAGGGTACTTCGTGGTCGTTGACTGAAATGGTCCAGACTCAGCTCGGGAAGAAGAGGGAGGAGATGGATATTGAGAAGGCGCTTCAGCAGTGGACTGATACCGCTCGTGGGTTGACGGAGTTTGTGATGCATTGCGAGGTTGACACGTATTTCATTGCGGCGATTGCGCTGAAGACGCAGTTGTTGCCGTTGACGAAACAATTGACGAATCTTGCTGGTAATTCGTGGGCGAGGACGTTGACGGGTACGCGTGCCGAGCGGAACGAGTACATTCTTTTGCATGAGTTCAATAAGGCGAAGTACATTTGCCCTGATAAGCCGATCTCGAAGAAGCCTATTGCGGAACCGAATCCGGAAGATGATGACGATGATGCGACGGCTGGTACGTCCAAGAAGAAGAACAAGTTTGCTGGTGGACGTGTCCTTGATCCTATCAAGGGTTTGTACGACAAATTCGTCTTGGTCATGGATTTCAACTCGCTATATCCGTCTATTATCCAGGAGTACAATATCTGTTTCACGACGGTCGATCGCTCAGAGATCGATGAGACCAACGAGGACGAGAAGATGCCTGACTTGCCGGACGCCGAGACGCCGCAGGGTATCCTGCCAAAGCTTCTTGCTAACCTCGTTGCGAGACGTAGGCAGGTGAAGAATCTTATGAAGGACAAGAAGGCCACGCCTGTGCAGCTCGCGCAGTGGGATACCAAGCAGACTGCGTTGAAGTTGACGGCTAACTCTATGTACGGTTGTCTTGGTTTCACCAAGTCTCGTTTCTACGCTCGTCCATTGGCAGCTCTGGTTACCTATAAGGGTCGTGAAGCTCTCACCAGTACGAAGGAGTTGGCCGAGAGCATGGCGCTTCAGGTCATCTATGGTGATACTGACTCCGTCATGATCAACACCAACATTGACAACTACCAGGAGGCTCTCCGTATCGGTAATGAGTTCAAAGCTGCTGTCAACGGACGTTATCGCTTGCTTGAGATTGACATCGACAATGTCTTCCAAAGGTTGTTGTTGCACATGAAGAAGAAGTATGCTGCGTTGAACCTGATCGAGGTTAATGGCAAGCTCGAGTCCAAGATGGAGGTTAAGGGTCTCGACATGAAGCGTCGTGAGTTCTGTCAGCTGTCGAAGGATGCGTCTCAGTACGTTCTCAACCAGATCTTGTCGGGTGAGCAAACCGAGACCGTCATCGAGAAGATCCACGAGTACCTTCGCGAGCTCTCTGCCAAGATGCGAAATGGCGACTTCCCTGTCAACAAGTATATCATCTACAACAAGCTCGGTAAGAACCCAGAGGAGTACCCGAACGCGAAGCACATGGCCCAAGTTCAGGTTGCTCTCAAGAAGAAGGCAAAGGGTGAGGCTGTTCGTGTTGGAGACGTCATTGCGTATGTCATCACCGGAGAAGAAGGTGCTACTCAGAACCCGGAGGATGTCGCTGCTCGTGCATACCCTCCGCAGGATATGAAGACAGGCTCGGATCTGAAGATCGACTTTGAGCATTACCTTGTCAAGCAAATATTCCCCCCGTTGGATCGTCTCTGTCAGCCTATCGAGGGAACGGACTCTTCTCGTCTTGCAGAGTGTCTTGGTCTTGATACCCGCAAGTACAACATCGGTCAGAAAGCTATGATGGGATCGGCGGATAAGGACATCCAGCCCCTTGAGACTCAGATTGCTGATGAAGAGCGTTTCAAAGATGCGGCTAAGCTACTGATCAAGTGTCATGCTTGCAAGGAGTCCTTTGACTTCGAAGGTCTTGTCCAGTCCCAGGAGCGTGTGACCGCCAACGGCATCCAATGCCAGTGTGGTGTTCTTGTGTTGCCGCTTTCCCTCTCTGCCCAGCTCGACTGCCAGATTCGTCAGCAGACTTCTATGTACTACGAAGGCTGGCTCGTCTGTGAAGACACTGCCTGCGGTAACCGTACTCGTCAAATGAGCGTGTATGGAAAGCGATGCCTGGCCTGCTTGTCCCGTGGAGCACGAGGTCAGATGAGGTATGAGTACTCTGATAAGATGATGTACAACCAAATGTTGTACTTCGACAGCTTGTTCGATGTGGATAAGGCGAGGGCAAAGGCGAAGGGTGATGATGCTGCAATCGTCTTCGCTTTGGCTGAGCAGAACCGTGAGAGGTTTGACAAGCAGAGAGCCGTCATTGCGAAATACTTGGAGAGGTGTGGTAGGCGATACGTGGATCTAAACAGCATCTTTAGCTTCATGGGATGAGCTGGTGCTGAGTAGTGGTCGGAGGATCTTTTCACAGAAGCAGGGATTTTGAATACAACTTTGGCGTTAGGGAGTACATTTTGGCATTGTAGTAGTTAGAATAATAGGACATATCATACCTTCTATAAATTTCTCTTGAGTGAATTGGCGCCCATTCCTCTTTCAGTTGCTAAATCTACTGTCTGTCATAATCCTGATCTATGCCCTATATCCCAGATATCCACCATGACCATTACAATGCTGATGGTACATTCATACGACTGGTGGCTCTTTCTCAATGATATCGGACTCGTCACCCCATCCGTTCGTCAGCTTCGCACCAACCACCTTTGCATTTGGGTCCTCCTCCGGCAATCCCATCCCCCTGCGTAGTTTCACCACCTCTTCTCTGATCACCGCAGCAATCTCACTTCTCATCGCCTTCGCCTCCTCTCCATTCTTCAGTTCTTCCGGAATCTCTTTGTCCGAGAAATCAACCAACTTCTCCTTCCCAAACGTTGACCGATAGTTATGCGCCGCACACATCTCCGCCCACCTCTGCCTATACCCCGTCCACATCTCATCCGGCAATGGCTCTCCAAACGTAAACTTGATATCCTTCCTCATCCTCGGCAGAAACCTAGGCCGTTTTCGATTCTCGTGCATGACATCATCCAACCCCGTAAAGAAGATCGGTACCACAATTGGCGGTGGCGGAAGCGGTTTGTCCGGACTGACGTCTGGTGGTATACATGATTCGAGGATCATGCGTGATATACCCCATTTGAAGTATCGCATTTCTCTGTCTGGGTGTTGTCGGATCTTGCCTTCTGGGAAGACATGAACGAGGGATGGTATTCGCTTGATCTTTGGTTTTGAGGATGATGTGGGGTATTCAGGTGAGAGGAGGTGAATCGCTCGTGATATTGAGGGTTGAAAGGGACCGTACTGGCCGAAGCGGTAGGTTGGGAGTGTTTGACCGAGGGAGAAGAAGGTGGAGAGGGTACTGTGAATGACATCAGGTTAGTGTCCATGCAGACCAACCACCACTGAGTATATTCACATACGAGTTTGTGTAACAGATATCCGCTGAGCCTAGAGAGTATCTGCTGTATGATGGTCCCTTGAAGACCGTGCGAAGTGGTAGGGTACCCCACAGTAGAGGATCATCGACGCTTCAAGCAACATTAACAGCCATTCATGATTCGCGAACATGTTCAGCTTACGTTGAAATATGATTTGATACTGCCAAAAGGATGTTAGCCATATGCGATGAGGTCATAGGACAAAAATCAACGAACCTGTAATCACCCCTCGACCTTCAGCCTCCCGGCTCGCCAGGATCTTCTCAAACCTCTCCATCCCTCCCACCTCAACAGACCTCTGCGTCTTCAACCAACCCTTCGCGATTAGTGTCATACCAACGCATACTGTCCCAGACGCAAAACTCCAGAACCGCGGATACCGTCTGGAGAACTCGAGAAGGCGGACCTCGAAGGGTTGGTTCACCGGCGACATGGGCCCTGGATTCGACATGGTAGAAGCAGGAGATCCGGTTGTTGAACCAGGGATCAATCGCCAGAAGGCAGCCGACGGTTCGTTGCTTATTGCCGTTGAAATCTAAATTTAGTTCAGAAGCTGCAAGTCGCCATTACCGATGTGGCTCTACCGGATTAGGAAACTGCATCGGCCTGCAGTTTGATGAAAGAGAGCCGGAGACTCGATTGGCCGAGTCATGGGGAGAGCCGAGGTCGAATATGGGATTACGGACGGAACGAATTGCAATGTGAACCCAAAACGAGATATATTCCAGGCATGCGCAGAACCCCCAACCCTCATGTAGTGAAAGTTATCCCCTTTATATAATCAAAGAAGTTCCGGCAACGCCTGAGAATACACCATTTTGCACCAACCGTCCAAACCAAAGAAACAACACATTTATTTAGGATGCGTTTACTTCTTCTTCTCAGCCTCGGCCTCAGCAGCGGCCTTGGCCCTAGCCTCCCTCTTACCCTTCAACCTGGCGTCAGAGCGAGCCAAACGGAGAGTCTGGTATGCCTTGAAGCCCTTCTCCTCCTCAGTGATGGCACGGGTCTGAACCTCCTTGGAGGGCTGCTCAATGGGGAGAACAGCACCCTTAACCTGCTCGGCACCAGAGAGGTCGGCGGAGTCACCGTTCTTGGGCTTACCGGCCTTGCGGGGGAAGACGATCAACTTAGCCTGGTAGGCCTTGAGACGCTGAACGTTGAGGTCAAGGGACTCCTGGGACTTGTTGCGGCGACGGTGGTCGACGGAGATACCGATGGTGGAAGCGAGCTTGCGGGGGATACCAGCAGCCTGGACACGAAAAAGTCAGTATTCTGTCTCGAAATGTGGCTTGTTCGCCATTTGTGCGTTCTCCAAGGGCATTCTCCACTCCATTGCAGTCCTTCCAACCCAGGCTTGTCGTCCATCTCAATTTTCTCCCAGTCCCCTATTCGACGTCCGTCCCAATCCACACACCAATTCCTGCAAAACCACTTCTTCCCGCACAAATGGTCGAAACCGAATCTTACTGACCTTCAACTCCTCAAGGGTGAAACCACGACCAGCACGGAGCTTCATGTTGTACTTGACAGTCTGGCAACGGACGGCAGGGCGGAGAGCCTCGGTGGGGCGAGGAGCGACGGCAGCAGCCTTGGTGACACGGGCCTGACGGCGACGGAGCTTGCGTCCGGGCTGGTCGAACCAAGTCTTGACGCGAGTCTGCCAGTCCTTGCGGAAATGGTTGTTGGGGAGGACCCTGTTACCGCGGAAACCCATGACTAACGCAAGAAAACGACGGTGAGCGTTCTGAGTGGAAACAGCACGACGACAAGGGATCAATGCATACCTGATTATGTGAAGTTTGGTGGACGGAGTTGGCGAAGGTCGAGCACAAGCTGAGAATTTCCTCTAGCGCGGCTGCCTCGATTTCCCAGCCTGGGTGCGCTGCTGGGAGGAGTGGCGAGTGAGCGCACCGCCGCAGGGCCTCCCTCCTCCTCCCTGCTAGGGCTCAGCGCGCTCGTAACCCTCCCCGGATCAGAAATTTATCTCCTCCAACCTCCACCTCGACCGCCCTCTTCGAACCGTCCGACCCACCCGAATCTTCGTCCTCACCCAGCAATAATGTCTGCCTCCGTCCAGTGCTTCGGAAAGAAGAAGACCGCTACCGCCGTCGCCCACTGCAAGGCCGGCCGTGGTCTCTTGAAGGTCCGACAGCCCCGTTAGAATCCGCGACTCCAATAGGTCAAGATGTTGACTTTTGAATTGGATAGATCAACGGGTCGCCCATCGAGCTCGTTCAGCCCGAGATCCTTCGCTTGAAGGTCTACGAGCCCATCCTCATCGCTGGTGTCGACAAGTTCGCCAACGTTGACATCCGTGTCCGCGTCTCCGGTGGTGGTCACACTTCCCAGGTGTAAGTCTTCCGAGTTTCATTGCAAGTGAATTTCGCTAATACTCATTGTCAGCTACGCCATCCGTCAGGCTATTGCCAAGGCTATCGTCGCTTACTACCAGAAGTTCGTTGACGAGCAGTCCAAGAACGAGATCAAGGCTGCCCTCGTCCAGTACGACCGTACCCTCTTGGTCGCCGACCCCCGTCGCGCCGAGCCCAAGAAGTTCGGAGGAAAGGGTGCCCGCTCCAAGTTCCAGAAGTCTTACCGTTAAAGCGTATGCGCTTTGCGGTCAACCAAGACTTCGATCTTCGGAACTTGGTTGGACGGTATTCGGGAAGGAGAAAGCAGACAAAAATCATTGGGCAACAGGCGTTTTTTCTGGTTTATTTGCATCTATGGGATATATCAAAAGCAAGAAATTGCACCTGTTTGCCTTTCATACCTGTTCATTCGCCTTGCATCTGACCATTGCCCCCGTTTTGCACCTTCTGTCATTCCATCTGCCGTCACGCTGCACGCACAATTGCCATCTGTATCTGTAACACATTCTGATTCTCCTTCATTTGCTTGCCCAATTGAGCTTCGGCAACCACGCCCGCCAATGCACGTGAATGTAACGTAGACCCAACTTTATTCACCAAACACCTTACCACCTCTACCTCCCTTACACCACCAGCTGATCAACATGTCAAACCCCCACACAACAACCCTCCTCATCTCGTCCCTCCCACCCAACTCCACCTTCGGCATCGACCTCCACACATACACCACTGGTCCGAACTTTCGGGGAATCAAGTACGTTCCGCCTGGGTTGCATTTCGTATACTATGCCCGGAGTCCTGGGGTACCAGGGGGGTTGGGAGCACAGGGTCAGGTGTCGCCGGATGTGAGTGGAGGGATGGGGTTGAGGGATGGGTTCTGGGTTGAGGCGAGGGGTGGTGGGGAGGTTATTGTGAGGGAGTGGGATGCTGAGAGTGATGAATTGAGGGTGGCGGAAGCACTTACATCAACAACGGTGGATGAACGTGGGTTGGCGCCATATCCGTATCGGGAGCCTGGAATTGAGGGAGAGGAACGACAGCCAAGCACGGACGACTTCAAGAGACTATCAACACGGATCACGAAGGAGCTACTAGATCGGATATTGCCCACGGGGTGGGGTGTGGGATCGACTACGGCTTCGATATCGGATGAGAAAGAGTTGAAGACTGGAGCGGCATCGACGCCGGATGAACACGTTCTGAGGTTTTCTGTCATTGATTTGAAGAGGTCGTGGCCTCCGGGTTCGGTTGGAGCGGATATTACGCGGTGGTCATTGGATAAGTCGTGGGTGCTCAACTCGACAATCCAGACATACCACTCCGGTGATCGGACAGCATTGTTGGGAGAGTTGCAATTGGCTTATCTGTGTCTTTTGGCTGTGTCCAACTTTGCTGGATGGGAGGCCTGGAAGACCATTGTGGAGATGGTTTGTGATGCGCAGGAAGCCATTGCGACGGAGAGCTGGCAGGCGTTCTTCGTGGAGTTCATGGATGTTATTGAAGCACAGCTTGTTTGCACTCCAGAAGCGACGTTCAGGGATATTGTGGAGGATAGTTTGTTTTTGGCAACTCAATTGCGACATTTGCGACGGAATATCACGGATGGGGAGGCATCTACGGCAACACCGGGGGTTGTACCGTCTTCTGTGCTATCGGCACGGTTGGATGATCTACTAAAAGCATTGAAAGAAGCATTTGATTACGAAATTGAGCTTGTGGGTGGTCCCCATGCGGGCCGTGGGTTCGTGGATCTGGAGAACGGCGGAGAGGTCATCGTGATCGGAGAAGGCGCGGAAGACGAAATGGAAGAAGAAACAGGAGAGTATGCTCCAGTAATCGTCGAGATGTAATCCTACAAGATGATTCGTTAGAATGGACCCTCCCTGCCCTGGGTTTTGCCTAACCGCGCGTGCATTCACGGCTCAACACCAGCCCCCTCTCAAATCTGCGCTGCACTGCACCTTGCCACCGTATGCCGTAGACCCTTACCGACCCTTCCTTTGACAATCACCATTATATCATCATCAACAAAACACCTCCTTACCTAGCTTCACAAATCAATCACTATCGAGAACCATGACGAAGCAGAGGGCTGTATCGCCTGCTTCGACGCTGCATACACCCCCGCTGTCGTCGCCGCTGTACGAGGAGACGAGCGGGGGTGCTGACAACGATGACTCGCCGGTGTTTCTTTGTGCTGCTCCAATTGCGAAGAGGAGATCACCGAGTGTGAAGGCTGAAGGTGGAGATGGAGAACAGCAACGACAGATCTATTCTATGCTTGGGCAACCTGTGCCGGCACCTGTCCTCCCAGTATCCCACGACGACTTGAACATTGACGACCTTCGCCCTACACCCAATGATGACAATGACATGCTACACGACAAGTTGCAGGAAGCACTATCAAGACTTGGTAGCATGGCTGAAGAGCTGAAGAGGGCGCGGACAGTTGCCGCACACCATGTGCTCCAGTTTCAACTGCTTGCCTACGACGCTGCCGAACAGACAAAGCGTCACACCGTGCAATCAGAACTCACCCAGAAAGAGATTGACGCTCTATCCAAGCGTCCTGCACCCGCCCCAGCAGCAGCACAGCCGGCACCCATGTCAATTGCTTCTGTCTGCGAAGTATCAACTTCCGCCCCCGCAAATGCATCCCAACCCCCCCTCGCAGGCTTCGCCGGCCTCGAACCCCCCTTCATGGAAGAAGCCCCTAGCACCCGCACCCAAACCTACCGCGGCCGCTACCTGAAAACCAAGAAACGCCTCCGTGCAGCAAAACAACTCCTCACCGAAAAAGACGACGCAATCCGCCGTCTACGGTCGCGGGTGCCTACGATGCATAGAAGGGGTGTTGGAGATCAGGCAAGTCAGTGTAGTAATGGGAGTCAGACGAGCGGGTTGGATGCGTTGGGGTTGTTGGCGAGTCAGGTATTGGAGAGGGCGAGGACGCCGGAGGAGGGGGAGGTTGAGGATGTTGATTTGTCTGCCTTGACACCGCATAAGCAGACGCCGAGTTTGTCGCTTTCGGCGTCGAAGGCCCTCCTCTCACCCGCTCAATTCACGAGTAAACGCACGCGCTCCTCTGCCGCATTGGACGAGGAAACCGAGTCAGAACACGAGGAGGATGAAAAAACGAGGGAGTTGTTGACTGGGCCTGTCTGGAGAGATGGAACGCTCGACTCTGCGGAACCTCAAGGCTGCCAGACACCGAAGAGGAGGAGGAGGATGCCCCCGGGACAGTTCATATGGGTTGAGGTCAGCCCCAAGGCACCACCAATGGGGTCGGTTGGGTATACGAGTAGTAGGGCTATCCTTATGGCGAGTCGTCAGAGGGAAGAATAAGCCACGTGTATTTATTTGGAAATTGGGGCCTGGTTTTTTGGTTTTGGTCGTGGGATTCCCGATACCCGTGGGATTTTTTGGACAGCTGATGTGAGGTTTTGGTTCTTGGGCGCTTGCTGTTTTCTGGTATACCACATATACTTACGCTTACTATATTACTTAATTGATCTTTTTCACCTTGATTGGATTTGCTCGATTGCAAATGTTCGGTGCCTTTAGACTCCTGCAATTGACATAAGGTAAATAATATGTAATCCGAGCACGCATTGGCCTAGGTAACACCTTTGAAGTATCCTGGCCGCGCGCCGTGGACGATTTCCGACGATACATGTCTCCTATAGATCACGTTCAAGGGGCCGGACATGGGTGCAACCTCAATGGCAACCTCTCCGAACTGCCGCAGTTTTCTGTTATGCTCAAACATAATCGGAGCAACTGCCTCACGCATGCCTCTTAACCATCGAACAAGCTCATCTGGTCAAGTTCCTGTAGTTCGGAGATGATGAGGCGAAGGACCTCCAGTGGCAGGGATAACAGATCAGACATCTCCGGCTGGCTAACCTCATCACCAATGCCTTACGGATCACTTAATGCTTGTGCCGTCAGTTGCAATTGCAGGGTAGATCAAGGAATTCTAATAGCAGCTGCTGTCGTTGCCCATATAAAAATGGGCATGCGATGCATCGTGGGAAAACCTTCACCGGCCGCAGCCAGGATACCTGATTTGTGGTGCTCTGATATGTCACTTAGATGTTCTCATCGAGTAACTAAGCTATATTCGATTGGATTTATGGGAACTTCCAATGCTTTAATGATGCTGTACAACATGTGAGAATGATGAAAAGAACGTTAACATTGACCGGTGAGCCTTAGCAGATCTTCCTGTTATCCTGAACCAAATCGATTGCAAGGTCATGCATTCTCTAAGTTATACTGATTGTTGTAGTGATGCGCAAACAAGACGAAGATTTAAAGTTACTGATAGGCAACTCCAACGAGCGCAACTTACGAAGGTTGCATAAATCGCGACGCCAAGCTTCAATCGGGTCCCCGATGGCGAACATTCTGATCTCTTCCATATCCAAGCAGTACTCGCGAAGTGCTCCTGTGATTGCTAGCTCGTCTCTCACAGGAATTCTTCCCGAGACCATGGACTCATCCCCGGTGTCCCAGAGAAACTTTTCAGATTCGGAAGTTCTTTGACAAGTTCCCAGACCTTGTAAGAATGATCGTTGTAATGGGGACTTCTGATATCAAGCGTTTTAATACTAGAAGGAAGGGGCTGATCAACTGGCAGCCCATTCAGGTGTTGATATGTCAATAGTCCGCGAAGAAGAGGCGCAGGCTCGGGCCTGCGCCAAGGGTTTCGCTCGTTTACTCAACTTTCCGTGAGATCTACAAAGTCAAGATCGATCGATAGCGAATTTGGGCGGTTGAAAGACAAGAGTCGCCATACAGCAACCGTCATCTACACATTGCAAGAGTCACGATGCTCCAACTTCTTGACAAGACAACCGTATTAATATTCTGTAACATATCCAGCCAAACGCTGATTGTTGCGTGACTTGCTGGTATCAAAGTGCCTGAAGAGATAGGGAGCAACCATCTCGCGCATGCCTTTTGAGATATCAAACAAGCGTAGCCGATCGATATTAGAATCCCATGTGCATAGTTTGGAGATGATTTGGCCGATGACCTCCAGCGGCAGCGACACCAGAGAGGGCATGTCCAAGGAGACTTTGTCAATGGCACTTCAGCAATATGCTGCAGCAGCTGTTCGATTCCGTGCTATGGATCTCCCATTATCCTGCCGCTATAAAGGCAGATGTTTTGTAGGAAGGTGTAATATGGCGTCCGTATATACAAGCGCCGGCTGTCAGAACCCAATGCAGAATTCCCACGCACGCTGGTCGACCAATCTAGGGCATAGCTAAGCACCAGGTAACGCGAGTGTGCAATGAACCTTTGGGCCAACTTGGCTTAAATACCGAGGAGAAGGTTCCCCAGAAACTTCCTTGCAACAACTTACAACTCCGGTCTCTACTCGCAGGCTGGCGATCTGATCTGCGCTGGCTGCAGAGATGGCGCGCGCGGGAAGCTACACCCGACAACGTCAACGTGCTCCGCCGATATCATTGAGCCGACTTGATCTCGGATCAGCTGCGTTGATCAAGGTTTACATGGCAATGGTAAGAAGGAATAACATATGACCCTGACGTACCCGCTGGACATGGACACCATCAGCTCGAGCTCGCCTCCATCAGGTCTCCATCAGCTCGACGACGATCTTCAGCAGCTCAAGCTCGCTCTCCAGCAGCTCGACTTCGCTCTCCAGCAGCTCGACTTCGCTCTCCATCAGGTCTTCAGCAGCTCGATGACGATCTTCAGTAGCTCGACGACGATCTTCAGCAGCTCGACCTCGCTCTCCAGCAGCTCGACCTCGATCTCCAGCAGCTCGAGCTCGCTGGTCTTCAGCAGCTCGAGCTCGCCTCCATCAGGTCTCCATCAGCCTGCGGCCCTCTATATAAAGCGCCTGATCCGGCGCTTGCTCAATCCTCGACGACACCATCCAACATGCCCGGTATTCGATCCGCATTCCTCTTGGCCAGCGCATTCCTCGCTTGGAGAGCGGATGGATCTCCAGTACATATCCGCGGCGACGAGCGCTTCAACACCCTTCAGCAATCCACCCATGCCGCCTACGGCGCCGTCGCAACCGATATCAAGACTTGCTCCGACATCGGAGGGGACATTATGAAGCAAGGCGGTAATGCCGCGGACGCAATGATTGCGAGTTGTCTGTGTGTGGGCACCATTGCTTCATACCACTTAGGGATCGGAGGAGGCGGGTTCATGCTTGTGAGGAGTCCGAATGGGACCTATGATATGATTGATTTCAGGGAGTCGGCACCTGCCGCATTGAATGAGACGATGTATGTCGCAGACATTTCAACTTCTTTGTATGGTGGATTGGCGAGCGGTGTACCCGGTGAACTCCGCGGCTTTGAAGCGCTGCACAAGAAGTATGGGCAACTACCCTGGAAGGATATCTTTGCCCCGGCTGTGAAGCCCGGTAGAGAGGGTTTCATCATCCAGGACACCTTGGCGAGTATTATGCACTCCTCTGGATACGAGTTCCTGTACGAGCAGCCTACTTGGGCCATTGACTTTGCTCCTAACGGCACGTTGCTCGGCTTAAACGATACGATGACAAGGAAGAGGTACGCGGACACTTTAGAGACGATTGGAAAGGTAATAGGTGACTTCGCCACTGCACTGTGTGGTTGCTGATCGATATTACAGTATGGCGCCGACGCCTTCTACAACGGGCCCATGGCCAACGTGACCGCGAAGGCTATTCAGGATGCCGGCGGTATCATGACTGCAGCCGACCTAGCGAATTACACCGCTGTCCACAGAGATCCTCTCCACATCACCTACCGCGATTACGACCTCTACTCCACTTCCGCTCCATCCTCGGGTGGCATTGCACTCTTCGCTCGCAAGATCCTGGAGGGGTATAACATGTCGGGCATCGACAATATCAACGTCACCACTCAGCGTCTCGTGGAGGCGATGAAGTTCGCCTATGGTCAGCGTACTGAGTTGGGTGATCCTAACTTCGTGTACAACGTGTCCTCCTTCGAGACCGAGATCTTGCAGGAGAGCACCGCTGCTGGACTACGTGCGATGATCTCGAATACACATACTCTGAACAGCACAGCCTACGACCCTTTTAGCTACGAAATCCTCTGGGATCACGGTACCAGTCATATGGTGACCGCCGATAACAGCGGTCTCGTCGTTTCCTTGACTACGACCGTCAACCTTTACTTCGGCTCCCAAGTCATGGTCCCCGAAACCGGTGTTGTCATGAACGACGAAATGAACGACTTTTTCTCTCCAGGTTCCTCAAATGCATTCGGATACGTCCCTACAGAGGCGAACTTCATCCGTCCAGGCAAGCGTCCCTTGTCCTCCATTTCTCCCACGATCGCACAATTCAAAAATGGGACGTTCTACGTCGCGCTCGGAGCCGCCGGTGGAAGCCGTATCATTACCTCCAATATTCAGAACTTGTGGCATGTTCTTGATCAGGGCATGAGCGCCAGTAAAGCTCTCGCTGAGCCGAGACTTCATGATCAGATCAGTCCGAATGCTACGACGTTCGAGTATAGCTACGATAACGCGACGGTCGCCTATTTGGCGAGTGCGGGACACAATGTGACGTGGGTTGCGCCGGGACAGAGTATTGCACAGGCGGTGAGGTACACGAATGGAATGTTTGAAGCTGCGGCCGACCCGAGAAGGCTGGATTCTGGTGGTGCGACGTGGTGAAGAGGACAAATGTGGAAGATATGAATGACGAGCTTTGGGAACACTTCACATGGACATATTTGAGGCTTACATGATAGCAATGGGAAATGGCAATGCAATAAAGTCACGGTGCACAGTAAATGATAGGAGCATAGAGTTCTTGACAATGAAGAGCCAGAATTGGACTGTTCAACAGTTTGGTTCAGCTCAGTCGATTAAGTAGTCTACGCCGTAGCGCAGCGTGCTAATCTCCGAACGCACTCGCACATTTTTAACCTTCCAACCAAATAGTCCCAAAAAAGCAACGATGAAGAAAGGAAGACACCAAGTACGCGAAGACATCTAGAGACGACGACCACGACGACCACCCTTGCGACGGGTAGAGTCGGTGGGGACGGGGGTAACGTCCTCAATGCGACCAATGCGCATACCAGCACGGGCCAAGGCACGGAGGGCGGACTGGGCACCAGGACCAGGGGTCTTGGTTCCGGTACCACCAGTGGCACGGATCTTGACGTGGAGAGCGGTGATACCGATCTCCTTGCAGCGCTGAGCAACGTCCTGAGCAGCCAACATGGCAGCGTAGGGGGAGGACTCGTCACGGTCAGCCTTGACCTTCATTCCACCAGTGACACGGACAATGGTCTCACGGCCGGAGAGATCGGTAACGTGGACGAAGGTGTCGTTGAAGGAAGCGTAAACGTGGCAGACACCGAAGACACTACATACATATACGGTCAGCGATCCGCCCGGATCTCGCGAAGTATGAAGTGCACTTACAGCTCTCCCTCACGGAGGGCCTGGGGTCCCAAGGTAGCGGCACCATCGGCGGTAGTGGCGGTCTTCCTGTAGGAAAAACGTTGGTTAGAAAGGAAGGACAAGAGAACGCAATTGCAACATCAACGTACCTAGCTTTCGGAGCCATTTTTGCTGGTTGTCGTGCTGAGGAGAAAGGATTTCCAAGGAGCACTTTCCTACACCGATGGTCCACCAAGCAAATTCAGACCGTCGTGGCGCAGGCGGCGCAGCACATTTCCAAGGGGCGGGAAGGGCTGAACGCGCGCGAGCCCTAAAGACCGGAGGATGATGAAAAGACAGCCCGGTGAACAACTTCTCGGGGATTTCAAGAAAAGCCTGAAGATGTGCCCGTGTTGTTTAGGCTTGAAAGGAATGCCACGAAAAACCCTTATCAAGATCGGGCGTTTCGGGGGTTTCGCGGTTTATCCCGCATCTTACGGCAAGTCGTGTTCATAGGGCAGTTGGGAAATTGCAAGGTATATTATGACTATATTACTTTATTTATGACTCTTCATAACCTCCAATGAGCTTTATCCTCTTTCCGTCGAACGCTGGTCTGACATAGAAGTCCTGGACTCCCTCTAATCTCCTCTCTAATGCCTCATGAGTTGATTCGTGGGTAAATCCCTAGTTGTAATTGTGTTAACGATATCCTCGTGTCTTCTGATCATGCTCATGTACTCACCACAAGGAAGGTCTTGGACGGCATCTCTGGCAACGTTCTTACAAAGTCTACCGCTTGTCCAATACTGAAATGAGAAGCATGTGGAGCATCCTTCAACCCGTCAAGCACAAACACCTTCGTTCCGTGCAGTAACTGTGCGGTAGTTGGCGGCACAGCGCTTACATCCGAGATGTAACTGAGGCCATCCACTCTGAACCCTAATGACATGAACGGCCGAGGTACTCCAGAGAAGTATCTGCCGTGCTCGACGAGTAGAGGAGTAACTTCAATGTTACCGCAGCTTGGAATGCGGAATGATTTGGTAGGATCAAATACATGCCAGTTGAATTGAGGCAGGTCACCACCTCCCGTACCCGCATCTTTCGATACCATGTATGGGAAAGTAAGGGCGATGGTGTCCATGGTCTCCTTGGAGACGTAAACGTCAATGGTATCTTGCACAAGTCCACCGAGAGTCCAGCCTGTTCGCAGGTCAGTATTGACGGTCGTGTCAAGTCCCCATCGTACGAACCTCTCAAATCATCCAACCCGAAGAACGCATCCGCATGCGCATGTGTCAATAGCACCGCGTCCACTCTGCGCAGCTTATGTCTTGGGAACTGAGCAAGCGCAGCATGGTAGAACGTCTTTCCGCAATCAATCACAAGGTTCCTGCGCAGTCTTCAGCAAATGCTCGGCATATAGTCTTTACAAACCGTACTTGCGCGTTGGCTCACCAACATCAATCGTGATGACAGCACCGGTATTAAGCCTCCTGTTCTTGCTCTTCGGGTCCATTGCAGAAATGCAAACTTCGCATGCCGGGTTCTCCTGGGTCAAGCAACCAATGACGGGGACGGCTGAGCTGGTGCCTGTACCGAGGAAGATAATGCTCTCAGCCTTCGCGGTATGCTGAACCTGAGAATAACCGTAAGCACCACTGTATTCCATGGTCTACAGGCATGCAGGGTTACTGACCCCATTCGAGCCATGCCCATTCGCTAACTCTACCATCCTTGTTGCGCAGTTGCTGTCTGGTGTTTTGATCGTTGGTTCAGAATTTCGTGCATGTCGGCACTTTGTCTGGGGAAATCGAACACGCATATCATGACGTCGATAATCGCGTCTTAGGCATGGGGAATCAACAACAGAATAGATCACGGGTGGAATGAAACTTCTTTTCCATTAAATTGAGCGACTAAACTCTAGTGACGGTAGTAATCTCCGGGTGCAGGAGCGGAGCCGTCGGTTGGAGGACCAGGGGGTTGGTAGTGCGGAGGAGCCTGAGCCTGTTCCTGCTCTTGTTCATATCCTTCACTGGCATAATAGCCTCCTTGAGGTGCAGGCGCGTGCTGTTGAGCCCCATAGTATGACGGTACCTCCGCTGATGGAGAAGCCACCGGTTGCACTTCAGCTTGAGCTTGCTGAGCGGGCGCGCCGTAGTATGAGTGTTGAGCGGAAACATGAGCCGGCTGCCGCAAGTTTTCCTGCGAACGGTGCTGCTCAGTGCCCGCGTACGGGCCGGCCTGGTATGCCGCCGGTTGTTGTGGTTGCTGCTCTTGAGCTCCAAGCGCTCCATAGTAACTTGCCCGGTGTGCCTGAGCGGCCTGGGGCGCCGCTGTAGATCCTCCGTAGTAACCATGTGCAGGCTCGGTGGCTTGTGGCTCTTGCGTATAGGGAGAACTATCGTCAACATACCCAGTCTCGTCCACGGCAGGCGGCGATGCAACCGGTGCAATGCCATAGGGGCTGCCCACTGCCACTGGAGGGGCATGTCCTTGTGGAGCAGACGGAACGCGGTCATAAGACGGACGACGCGCAGGAGCCTGAGCAGGAGGATAACCTGCTGGAGCACCTTGTGGCACCGGGTACGACGACTGGCGCTGGTAAGCAGGCTGGGCAAGTGCTGCCGGATGACCTTGAGGAGCATAACCTCCCTGTGCCGGCGGTGGTGACACATTAACCGCACCATAAGGACCCGTGGGTGGTGGAGACGCATGTCCAGGGTAACCCATTCCTCCCACGGGTGGGCGAGCATGACTGTAGTGATTCATAGACGCTTCCATGAGTTGATCGTAGTCGCGCCTTGCCTTGATGAACTTCTCATTAAGCGCAATGAGATCATCTTTCTTCTGAGAGTACTTCTCAATCAGGCGAACCAACTTGGGCCTGATCGCAAGAGTCGTATGGTACAAATTCTGTAACTGCTCGTCTTCCGCAACCGCACCATTCCTCGCCGGGTCATTACTGCTCAGCATTGACAACAGCAACTCGATATTCTTCGACTCGGCAAAGACCTTAGCTTCCTCCTCTGATTCGCGTTGGAGTTCAGCCGGTGTTGGATCAGGCAAGATCTCCACGTAGTTTACAGGGAAGATACCGGTCTCACCACGGAGAGAACCACGCCACCAGTCCTTGAAAACAGAGTCAAGAACGGAGATAACGTCTCCCTTTCGGAAGGCGAGTTCACCTGCTTCAGTCGGGGTAAAGTCATAGAGTGCTTTCACCCGGGACACGGTGGCAGCGGTCGTATGAGGAGCTGACTGCGCTGATTCTTGAGGCGACGATACTTCTTGTTGTTGCTGACCCTGCTGCTGCGAAATTGGCTGACTCGGCCCAGATATCGAAGTGTCACTCAACGACAAAGCCAACGCCATCTGCAACTCCTCCTCCTCCTTCCGTCGATCCGCATCCGTAATCTCTCGTTTCTGCGGCTTCGCAGGTGCTTGAACACCAGGTGCCTGCTTGATTGTATCGAAAGCTTCTTGCATAATACCGAGTGATGGATCTGATTTGAACTCGTTTGCCCACTGCTCCATGAGCTCGTAGATTCTGGATTTGACTGTTGAATGCGTAGCCTGTACGGTGAATGTCAGCACGCCTGCCAGCATGAACTGCCGCAGCTACCGCACCCTATCATTCACAAGCCTCTGAAGCGTTTGCGTGAAAGCCCTAGACGCCATTTCCCTATGCACCTTCGTCCCGCAGTTCTTCGACAACGCCTCCGCAAGCTATTTACCGTCCGTCAGTAATCAATAGACCCCATACCACCAGGTCAACGCAGCATACCGTCAAAGCATACAACTGCACATTCGCACTCCTATGCACCAACCTCTTCTGAATAGCCCCCAGCGCATCCCTCGATCCATTCTCCGGATTCGCATCGACCTTGTCGCATACATTGAGGATATGCTCCCAGTTCTCCGAGGTGAGGTTCTCGTCAGTCGCCTTTGTTACGCCCTCATCGAATGGGTTTACTTGAGCCCGAAACATGTTGGTTTGCGATCTGTACTGTTGCCTTTGGAGTTCTGGTGTGACGTACGCCGGCTTGCGGCGGCTCAGCCCCGCGATTGCCCCGACTCAACCGATCAAGCGTTGAGAGGGTGAGAACATGCTTCAGACAATTACCCTTTATTTCCCTTGTAATTGCAATTGGGTATCTAATCACAAACCTACCCAGGAAAATCCCTATGCTACCGCCTTCACTCTCGAAATGTTGTCTCCTCTACACCTACACCAACGGCTCATCATCCCTTGCATCATGAGGAATCTCCTCCCCAGCCTGCACAATCGCATCAACCTCACAATTGGGATGCAACACATACACAGCCCTCCTCCTTCCCTCCGGTTGCTCCTCATCAGCACCAGCATCCACTTCGGGCATCTCAACCTCATCTCCATCCATCTTCAACAGATAATTATCCTTCACCAACCTCTTCAATACCTTAGAGAAGAGATTCCGCTCCTGCTCCATTTCCTCCTCGGTGTTAAGTTCTTCGGCCATCTTTTCAAGGTACCACAACTCGAGGTCTTCCTCGTCGATACCGGCAACGTCGGAGGCGGATTGTTCGTCTTCGTAGAGTTTCCGGACGACCATGTTCATGATCTTGATATACCTCTCATACGTGATCTTCGTCTTCTCCTTCCTCGGTCTCTGGGTCTGTTCGTCGTGCATCTCAACATCCTCAGCCGCTCCGAGATTTTCCACCTGAGTGGTCTCCTCATCCTGAACCTGCGTGGTCTCCGTGCCCTCCTCTTCGTCCAATCCGATATCATCCCTCTCGACATGGATGATACTCGCCCTCAACAAGTTCGCTGCCTCGCGCACGAAGTTGGGATGGATATCATTAACACAATTTGCCCTCGCAATCGCCTCCGAAAGACGAACCATACTCTCCAACTGTCTCACCGTAATTCTGTACGAATTCCTTCCAACACCCTGAGCGTCGTTGTTTCTCAATTCCCTGTATTTCTCAACAAGGACAGCCATAGACTCAGGCGTGAGCTTAGGCTTGAAAGTTCGAGCGTAGCGGATATACCGCTGCAACTGCTCCGTGGAAAACTCGGGCTGAATCGCCTCGTCTTTGAGGCGATGCGTATTCACGATATGGCTCGCCAAATTGAAATCCGTGTTTTCGTTACACTCATCCAACACCACAAAAAACAAATCGAAACGAGACATAATAGGAGCTGACATAGCCACATTCGCCCTCAACGTAGTCTTGCGGTTATACCTTCCCCCAACCGGATTCGCCGCCGCCAGAATCGAGGTACGAGCGTTCAGGGTGGCCTGAATTCCGGCCTTTGCGATAGAGATAGTCTGCTGCTCCATCGCCTCGTGAATTGCGACTTGATCCGAGATATCCATTTTATCGAACTCGTCAATACAGCAAATCCCGTTATCCGCCAACATCAGCGCACCAGCCTCAATCGTAAATTCACCCGTCTCCTCATCCTTCACCACAGCAGCTGTCAAACCCGCAGCGGAACTCGCCTTACCGGAGGTATAAACGGCGCGAGGAAGGAAAGAGCAGACATACTTCAAAAACTGCGATTTCGAGGTTGATGGATCACCAACGATACACACGTTGATGTCACCACGCAAGTGGATACCCTCGGGAGTGACTTTATGCACACCACCCATCAACTGCAACAAAATCCCCTTTTTCACGATCTCGTGTCCATAAACCGTCGGTGCAATGGACGCGATCAACCTTGAATAGATATGATCCGAATGCACCATTCCCCTCAACTCGTCAATCTCCGTCTGCGTAAGCGAAGACAAGAACTCATCTTGCTCCTCATCACCCGTAGAAGCCTCATTATCGCCGCCGGTGGCAGCGGCACGGGTATCGGTCGACTGCACCATACACGCCAAAAACGCCAACCTGTACGTCAAATCACGTACTCCTAAGGCTTTGAGCCCCGTAACTCCCTCACTCGCAAATCCATCCCGCCCACGGGACTGCCCCCGGGTGTCGCGCATCGACTCCGCTCTCTGTCCCGGCGCAGAGAGTTGTGCGACGTCGGGAACGACGATAAGCGTTCCGGTAAAGATACATTTATCACCGGCTTTCGCGCGCTCGACCGTCTCGCCGCGAAGAATGACGTCGAGGGTTCGTGGCATTGAGCCAGTGGGGATCTCGTTCGAGTTTTCCTGGATGCGGACTTTTTGCCAATCGATGAAGGTGGAGTTTCCGACGTCGAGGCGCCATGCCGTACGATTCGCACAAGTCTCATTCGGACATGTGGTTGGCTCAGTATATTTGAACACCTGCTCCACACCACTAACAATCGTACGGCATGCCTCACAGGTGAATGTCGCCATATGGAGTTCAGGACGGACTTCGGAGGTACGGGTTACAGTTCCTGACATCGCGATCAATTTCCCGATTTTCTGGGTTCGGAGGTCGCGGATTTTGGAAATCAGGGGCAGTCCGTAGATTGCGATTTGGAATGACTTGTCGGTTCCGGTCTTTGAGCGTGTCGAGGGTGCGGTGGATGCCGTGGAGCTTGTGGAGGTTGTCGCTTTATTGAAGTATTCTGGTTCGTAGCGGCGGACGAGGGTGTGAAGGCCTTGTACGAGAAATGGCATGAAACGGTAGTACTGATCCGTCAATGCCTCGGCGAGTACACCATTCTGGTACCCTTGTAGATGGTTGTAGTCAACGTAAAGCGTTGTCAACCCATACGTCCTCAACCCCCTGATCTGCGCAACATAGTACTTCTCACTCACGGACACAGTGGCAGAAGGTAACGGTCCACTCTCCGTCTCCTCGACAAAGTCCTCAAGGAACGTCTCGAAGGTCTCGCGAACGCGGATACCAGTCGTGTCCTGGACCATTGGAACCGCCGCATCCCGGAGCGCGCGAGGACGACGACGAGCCATACCGCCAGATTCATCCATCTCGCCCTCGGCGTTGTCATCGTCCGTGTTCACGTCTGAGTTGAGCAAGGGCCCGGCTGGATCGGATGTTGGGGCTGGGAGGGGGGTGGGAGCTGGGAGATCATGGTCGTCTCCGGCGTCTGATTGAAGGAGGGCGTCCACGAGGGAGGACATGGTCGTTTGTGACTGGGGTATAGGAGGGAGGGAGTGTTTTGTCGCGTAGGATCAACGCGCTTATCTGGGTGCTCGAGGAGGGCGATGCTGCAGCGAGGGATCAAAACACTTAACCACCCGTTTTGGGAAGGCCGGTCAACTGAGGAAGTAGCAAGGTGAGATGAATGTCAGGAAGGGGAATGAGTTGAAAAAGAAAGACTCGGCAGACTTGATGTACCCCTACGGCCATTCACTGTGGGTGGATAAGGCATACATGATGGCTTGTGTGGGGCTGAATTCCAAGATGCAGCGCATTGATTGAACTTCGAAAACCCTTGAGCTTGATCAGGGAGGGCACCCGCCGTTGCACTTGACGCTCGATCCTGTCTCGCTGGCAGACAGTCCAGCATACACTCCACCCTCGGCTCCCTATTGCAAGGTGCCGGCGGTCCCGATACTCGTTGACGGCCGCACTGGATCGCAGACTTTCACGTGCATTCACCCTTGCGCACTCTCTGTCGCCGATTCAAATAGAATACCAGTTGACGCGTACGAGCAATCAGCATTCATCCCCAACGATCCATCGACAATTGCATTCAGACGCCAACTCTTTCTGTTACAGACACTGCCTTTCGCATGGGCAATCCTGATGCTTTAAATACACGCTGAAAGCATCGATTCGCCGGGAGTCGCATTTGTCGCATCTAAGCGTACGACATACATCTTGATTCAACATGCTCGGCCGACTGTTTGCTTCGACGAAACCATCACCATTACATCTCTCCTCCCCGCACGACCGCGAACGCGAAAAACGGCGACATGATTCCCTACTACAACCCCATTCACCCCTCCACGCGAACCTCGACTTCGACTCCGACAACGCAATTAGGATTATCGTTGCGCAGGATACCGGGACAACAACGGACAAGATCATTTTATTCGACTCACAACAAAAAGATACATCCCCATCCTCACCGCTTCGACCCGAAAACTCCCACACGAACACGCACTCCACCCCCCGCGCCTTCGGCCACGGCCACCGCTCAAAAAACACCTCCAACACTCAACTTCTGTCCGAGCTCATGTTCGGCGCAATCCCCCTCTCCTTCAAAGGCACCACTACAAAACTTCACTCCCTCCCCCCCTCCTCCTCGAACCCGGGTATGCGACAAGTCATGATAACCAAACTCTTTACCGTAACCTCTATCCAATCAACGACCTCGACCCCAGGTGGAAGCGGAATGAGCGGACCACATACGAGCTTGGGAAGTAGTTTTGGAAGTCATACCCAGGGGGATGGATTTCCATTTCCGAGGATGACGCCGTTGAATCCGGAACATACGAGGACGAGGGAGTGTTCGAGGAGGCAGAGTCGAGACGGGTCGAGTGTGAGTTTGGCGTCGAGTTGGAGGGCGAATATGAAAGAGGCTGCGGTGGAGGATATGGCGTTTCCATCCTGGGCGCCAACGCCTGGGCCTGTGTTGTGCAATAAATACCTCCGCCGGACATCGACGGAGACTTCACTCAATGGACTCGGTGCAGCTGCTGGTGCAGGCCCTGCGCCGCCGACGCCGACGGCTGGACTCTTTCCGCACCAGAAACGGACGACGAAAAGTGCGATGTTCGCGGTTGGATTCATAATTTCTTTCCCGGCCGAGACTGGGTTTCATATCGTTACGGATCATTGGCGGGTTCTCAGACGCGCCGTACATGCCTTCCAACGCGTCGTCTACGACAGAGTATTGCAGGTCCTCAACGCTGGGCCGGGGAGTGAGGAGTGGCTCGGCTTAGTTATGGCAGCCAGTGCGGTCGCGGCGCAGGGAGGGAGGACACCCAGTGCATGTGGACACGGACGGAAGAAGAATCCGGGCTTACCGCCTGGTGTGTTCACGCAGGATGAGCGCATCAAACATGCTTCCGATGTTTTTCGGAGGAGAGTGAGGGATGGGTTGTGTGTGAGGGCTGTTGTCGAGGTATGGCGTGATCCCTTCTCGGAGCGGATCGCGAGAATGTGGATGGAGGAGTTGACGTGGGCTCTCGAGGCACTTGATACGCGGTCTACGAAATTCTGGTTCTCGACGCTCGTTACATCTGTGCTTGGGACACATCTCGAATGGGCCGAGACCGTCGACCCGCATATTCGACGAAAGGAGGGTACGTTCAGGGCTGTCAGTCGAACGGTGGTGGTGTGGGATGATCCGATCAAGGCGAGAAAAGTGTTGCATTTGTTGACGATGTTTGTAAGGTTGGGCAGGAGTTCCGCATTTGGAGCGTTTCCCGCGCTCGAAGAGATGTTTGGGACGGGGGGTGAGTGGCCCTGGCCTACGAACTCGCTCATGTCGGGTCCTAATCTTACAGGGACGGGCGTGATGGGAGGGAGAAGAAAAGGCCACCGGCCATCGCCGTTGATGGTGAATACGACGAGTTTGGCGACGCCGGCGAGTGCTACGCCGGAGTTGAGTACGAGTGCGAGTCCACTTATGAGTCCTAGTCCGACTAGTCCGACGAGTCCGGTGTCAAGGAGGTGTGATGGCTCAGGGAAGCATCATAGAGGAGGCTGGGATATCCCGCGTGCGACACCGATGTATTCGAGGACGTTTAGTAGTGCGAGGCCCCATTCGAGTGGATCTGTGAGTTCGAATTCGGCGAGTATGTCGCTCCGCGATACACTCCGTAGACCCGAAAGTGCCGGTGTCGGCGGCGGTGTCGCTCCTGGTTCCTTCAAAGCCGGTAGTTGGCTGGGGAGTTTGATGAGTTGGGGTACCGGGACGACGATCAGTCGTCGAACGAGCCAGACGAGCGTTAGTGGCGGAACGAGTTGGAGTTCGGGTCAGGGGATTCATCCAACGTTGGCTAGTCAAGCTCGGACGAGGAGTCAGGAGAGTATCTCTGAGAGAGAAGTTAGCGCCTTGTCCAATGATGTCGATGAGCTCGTGCTTGATACGAGTGAGGAGGTTGCGGAGGTTGAGCAAATTGAGGATGGGAAGATTGATGCGGTGTTGCTTGAAGATGAGGGTGTGGTAGAGGTCGAGATGCCGGCTACGAAAGGATTGTTTGAGACTGAACCCGCCAAGGTTGTGGAAGATGACGGGAAGATGCCTGTGCGCTGGGCAGAGGGACTTCCGAAGAAGACAACGCCGGGGTGTGCGACTGGGACGGGAACTGCGATCATCAACTACATGGACGAGTTTCATCCTGATTATATGGTTCAGGCCGTCCCTCCTTCAGCGGAGTTGGAGGTGCAGATATTGGATGCGCTTGGTGAGGTCGGGATTGAAGAGGATGCAGCCGGGTTGTTACAACGTGTCTATGCGAATGACTCTGAGGACCCGAGATACCAGTGGAGGGAAGTTGGAACTGTCGTCCTCGCCGAACGACGGGAATGGCGGGTTAGGAAGATCAGGCTCGAGAGGAGGCGGATTAAGTTACCCGCTGGGCCACAGCATTGGGGCGATACGATCAATGAGGAGAACGGAGAAGACGTGTATGAAGAAGATGAGGAAGAACGAGTCGATGAAGCGCTCATGACATTCGCGGATGATGTCATATGTGATGCTCTATTACAAGCACGAGATGCATGGAAGGAGGGGAAGACGACTGCGGTCAGGTGCTTGGCGATGGTTGAGAGTGCTATGCATGAGATGGTGAAGGATGCGATGACGGCTGATGCTAGACCTGTCTCCATTATTCCGGGGTCGGTGGAGGCGAGTATTAGGGAGGCTTTTGTTTAGCGATTTGTTTATGGTATTGGATTGGAGTGTGCTGGGCGTTACTTGTTTTTCTTGCTTCGTACATAGGAAGCCCCCTGTTTAACTGATAATACGAGATGCTTTTGAGACTGTTCGTTTGTTTCGACGAGGTTTCAAATTCCAATCGGAGGGTATAATTGATCTTTCTAGCTCCCTGCACAGGGATGTCCAATTTGGCGCTGACGCACCCATTTGACGTAATCACCCTCATACATGTCGTCCTATTCCCTTCCCCTCCTCACGTTTTCTTTCCGAAACTCACCACAACCTCCTTATCCTCCAACACCACCCCGTTGTTCCCCTCCTTCGCAACAGCAGCCTGCCCATCCGTCTCATACTCCACGAACGCCAGTCCTTTCCGTCCGGGAACCATTCGTACTTCCTTAAACCCAGGAAATCTTCCAAACAATGCCGTAAGGACCTCCAGGCGATTCGTAGTTTCGTCTGAGGGCGGGAGGTTTTGGAGGAAGAGGATGCGGTGGGGCGGAAGCGTGGTATCGGGGATTGTTGAGGGAGTTGGTTTGGTTCTAGGTGCGTTCTGGGCTTTGGGCTTTGGTGCGGTGGGTGGTGCTGCCTTCCGTTTCGCCTCGTCTTCGGCGTTTCTTCTTTCTTTGGCTTCTAACCGCGCCTTTTTATGTGATTGGAACTCCTCGCTGTCTTCGCCTGCCTCCCGCTTAATCGTCGCGTCGCTCTTCTTCTTCGCGAATTGTAAAACCATGGGTTTATCGAATAACGGAAACCCCTGTACGTCCTCGATTGCTGACTGCGCCGCATCGATAGAGTCGAACACGACGAATGCCTGACCGCGCATACGAATGTTCTTATGCGCTACTACTGAAAGAATTGTGCCGTAGGTTGAGAAGATTGTATCCAGCGACGTCTTCAATACATCTATTTTGACGTCCTCGGAGAGGTTGCGCACGTACACGGTGCACGATGGAGGCATCTCGTCGGCCACGACTGGCGCGGCCTCTGTTGATACTTGTGCGACTTGTGTTGATTCGTCTGACATCTCGAAATGATATCTCTTTCAATTGCTTCAATGCTTCTCGATCTCGATGTTCGGCGTAAGGCCGCTTGCGACCCCGGCCCCTGAGGCGCAGGTGGCTCAGATGATATACGTACGGTACGGTATGACCGCTCGGAGAACAGTGCGGCAAACGCAAAAATGGAACACCCACGACTGAAGGATTTTACGGAGGGATATGATGATGATCTCCTTGCTTTGCAAGAACAGTTCCAGAGGGAAGCTGCACTGAGCAAGCCAGCTGCGAAGGTCCTGCGATCGAGCTCCTCAAGATCACCACCCATCATAAAACCAGCAACATCCGAACCACCACCCTCCGAGGCACCTAAACGCAATGTTACGTTCGAGCCCACCCAAAACTCCGAACCCAAAATCGAGCGCTTCCGCTTCAATCCTGTCGACCAACCCGTTCCAGTCCCCGTGATCCCCTCTGCACCCGGCGGTGGCTTCTCGCTCATCAAGGAGATCGTGGAGCGTCCGACAAGTAAGGATGTCCGTGCGCCTGATGCGAGTCAGAGTCCGTCGGGTTTTCCGGAACCGAGCAAGAAGAAGACGTCGTTGTGGAAGCATCGGCAGGAAGCGAAGGCGAAGGCAGCGGCGGTCGTGGGCGAGACCGCTACTCCTCCAGCTGCATCCGCTACGAAAGAGAATCAGAGCGGTATTGGTGCCGTCGGTCCAACGACCCTCGGCGGACTCGGACCCCGCGTCGGGACGCAACTCGGCGCCGACGCCCTAATCCGCGAAGAAATGGATGCCGAGAATCGATTGAAGCTAGCCGAGATGTCAACAGACGAGATCATGGCAGAGCAAAAGGAACTAATGGAACGTTTCGGACAGGGGCTGCTGGAAAAGTTGAAGAACAGGAAGAAGGCGAGGATTGTGGAGACGGGTGGGGATGTGCCGGGGTTGGAGGTGAAGTTGCCCGAGGAAGAAGAGAGAGCGGCGAAGCCAGTGACCTTCGATGAGGTGGCATTCCCGGGCGACATCGCCGCCGCCGACCCAGCTCTCAATCCCCCACCACCCCAACTATCCTCCGAAAGCGACCTGCCGGAATCCATAAAGGCGCACTTCCCCCAACCTCCCCCCTCAACGACCGCCCCAATTCCTGAATCCGCCCTCCTCGACCCCAACGACCCAAACTTCACCGAGGAACTCCACGCAAAGTACTTTCCCAATCTCCCCCACGATCCCACGAAACTCTCCTGGACACTCCCTGCCTCAAAGGAAGAAGATGAAGGGCAGTACCACCCCTCGCAAGACAGCGTTCTGCCGGCTGAGATGAGGTTCGATTTCAACGGAAACCTCCTCAGCCCGCGTCAAAGTCGAGAAATCCCGGTGAACATCGGATTACACCACCACGGCGACGCACCCACCGCAGCAGGCTACACCGTCCCCGAACTAGCCCACCTCGCCCGCTCGACCTTCCCCTCCCAAAAAGCATTCGCGATCCAAACTTTGGGACGCATTTTATGGAAAATCGGCTCCGGAGTGTATGGTGACGAAATCGGAGGGATGGTATGGGAAATCGCGGAGATTGCCAAAGCGACGGAGATTATTGATGCAGAAGCGGCGAAGGAGGGTGGACATTTGACGGTGAAGGCGGTTGCTGTTGAGGCGGCGTGGATGTGGACGAATAGCGGGGGGAGAGAGAGATATGGGAGGAATTTGTCGCGGTAGGAGTCTGGGGTGAGGAGGGGTTGCAAAATGGTGTCAGAACATCAAGTGTATTACATAAGGAGCTTCTGACATGAGTTGGACTGTGAAGGAGATGGTTATGGATGGAGAGGTGGGGAAGGGCGGGGGGGAATGGAGAGCGACGTCGAGCTGATGGAGACCTGATGGAGTCGAGCTCGAGCTGCTGAAGATCGTCGTCGAGCTGATGGAGATCTGAGCTCGAGCTGCTGGAGACCTGCTGGAGAGCTCGAGCTGATGGTGTCCATGTCCAGCGGGTACGTCGGGGTCATCTGAATATCACTGGAACAGGACGAGATACAAATAAAATATAGGTACTCTCCGATTGAATAACATTTGTAAGAGCGGACACAGAGGTATATTGAGTGAAAGATAACGCGCTACAAAACGTGATACGCCAAGAGGAATTCAGAAAACGATTTCCTTGGTCCAGCCTAGAAAATAACATCCTCATCCTTGTCTCCCTCCAGAATATCCGCTGGTCCATCCTCATCGTTGCCAGGGCCCCTTGTTGCCTGCGCGCCGGTACCGCTGACCTTCAACTCGTTCTCGCGCTCGGCCTCGTCGGCGTCCTTTTGCTTCTTTCCTTGCACCTTCTTTAGGCGGTAGAATTCTTCTCGATCCATTTCGTCGAGTTCGGAGTTGATATACTTGATCGTGTTTTCGGTTCTGGGGATGATGACGTGCTCGATTGCGTTAACACGGCGATTGGTGATTTTGATGACTTCGTCGAGGATGACGAACGCTGTCTGCAACGAAGCCAACTCGACGAGTGTCTCTACCGCACGAGCATAGACTTCACGGGCCTTCTGGACTTGTTGTCCACCCCGCCCAAGACCAGTGAGGGCAAAATCTGAACTCCCCTCCTCCACATAACTCTCAAACGTTGGCAAGAAAACACCAGATACATTCTCCTGCTTCGTCCTCACCCTAAACCTCGCACTCTTCACGCTCTCCTGCACCTGATAACCCACGTCGTTTCCAGCAGCATACGTGACTTCCGCGAGGGAGAATGCCGCGATTTGCATTACGCGGCCCATCTTGCGTTTGGCTTCGTCGATGCGGCGGGTGATTTCGCGGAAACGCTTGGTGAGGGCTTCGGATTTGCGTTTGAGGAGGGAATGGCCGGTTTGGGCGCCTTTGAGTTTGGATTTCATGTTTGTAAGGGCACTGTAAAGATTGTTAGTGTTTGAGGGGGCAGGGGGGAGGGAGGAGGAAGCGGGCATACAGTCGTGTTGCGAATACATTCTCCCTGGCACCTGTTCCGGACATCTTCAGTTGCTGACGATTGACTTCTGATTATATAAAGATGGGAGAACAGCAGGCGAAGCTTCGATTGGATCTTTACAACGACGACGAGACTCTGTCGTTCGTATTATTGTGCGTTAACGTTATCGGCGCCGGCGCCGTGACGTCGAGGCGGGACCAGCTCGCCAGCAAGAGGTCCAGCTCGAGTCCGAGCCGTACTTTCCTCACATCTAGTTTGATATCTCTAAAAGTCTATCAGCCAACCATGTTGCGAAGTCATAATACCATTTGTCTCCTATGACGGTCGGTTCCCTGGGGGCCCTTACCTAATCCCCGTCCGACACAGCTGAGTCGACTGACTTCTGCACACCCATTCACTGATGGATTTGAACCTGATATCTATAGTAAAGAAGCGTACGTATCCCTCTCCGTATCCACTGCCTGTACTGACGCCGTTCCACAGGTTTCATCGACGCAATCCGCGATGTACAACCCCCAAATAAATGGAAAGTCCTTATCGTCGATGCGCCAACAGCGGCCTTGATCAACAATGTCACTAAGTTGTATGACCTTCTGGAGGAGAACGTAACGGTGGTGGAACACATCGAGAACCGCCGGAATGCGTCACAGACATTCGAGGCGGTTTACCTCCTAAGTCCGGAGCCGTGGGTAATTGATGCTGTCATCTCAGATTTCGCTAGAGCGCAGCCGAAGTATGCTGCGGCTCATCTGTTCTTCACATCAGGTATGTACAGTCATGGGCAACCTTAAGAGCCGTCTCTGATTGACTTTACGTACAGCACTTGACGATCGCCTTCTGGACAAACTCACGCAATCGCCAGCTGGACCACGGTTGAAGACTGTTAAAGAGCTGTTCGTCGACTTTTACCCCTCAGAAGCACAGACGTTCACTCTGAGAGATCCGAGGTCGTTCTTGAAGCTTTACAATCCGGAGTGTAAGTCGCTGGTCGACCGTGAGCTGCAGAGATTGGCTGGCAAGGTTGGTTACCTTCCTGATTTCCGACGCATTGTGCTAAGAAAGAATTCAACAGCTTGTTGCAGTCTGTGCCACCATGGGCGAGTTCCCCGTTATTCGTTACCAGAAGCACCAAAACCCAACGCATCCAGCACAGACCTTATCAGAACGGCTTGCAAAATCTCTTCAGCAGCAACTCGACGGCTACGCACGAACGAATTCAGATTTCCCTCCACCATCGCCGAGACCACGGGGTGTCTTCTTCGTTTTCGACCGCTCACTAGACCCCTACGCCCCACTCCTCCACGAGTTCACATACCAAGCAATGGCTCAGGATCTCCTACCAATCCAAGAGGGAAAGAAGTACGTGTACGAAATCAAAGGAACAACGGGTGAAATGGAGGAGAAGGAAGCGGAGTTCTCCGAGGAAGATACAGTGTGGACGAGTGTCCGACATATGCACATGCGCGAAGCAATCGACAATCTCATGTCCTCCTTCAACAAATTCGTCACCGAAAACACCAACTTCACAGACTCCGAAAAAGCCACAAGTTTGAACGATATGAGGGATATGCTGGCAAGTCTCCCGGAGTTCCAGGAGATGAGGGATAGGTTCTCGTTGCATTTGAGTATGGCGGAGGAATGCATGAATTTGTTTCAGAAAAATAAGTTGCCGGAGGTTGGGTTGTTGGAGCAGGCGGCGAGTACGGGGTTGAATTCGGAGGGGAAGGTACCCAAGGAGATTGCGGAGGCGTTGGTGCCAATATTGGATGACCCCGCGGTTGGAGCAGCGGACCGATTGAGGCTGATCATGCTCTATCTCATTTTCAAGGATGGATTGTTTGTGTCGGATCGGGCGAAACTGATACAGCACGCTGGTCTGGGTAAACGTGACCGCGAGGCTCTCGAGAACCTGGTCTTGCTCGGTATTCGGGTGAATAGGACGTTGAACGATAAACCGTCACGGCCAAAACCGAATAAGAAGAGACCGGCGGATGAGGAGGAGCCGTATGAGTTGTCGCGGTTTGTACCGGTGTTGAAAAGTGTCTTAGATGAGCATATCAAGGGGACGCTTGATCCTGTTGCGTTCCCGTATATCAACAATATTCCTGGTCCGGAGGCGATGACGGCGGCGCCTGCTGGTGCTGGTGCTGGTGCTGGTGCTGTTGCTGTTGCACAACAAGCTCAAGGATCTCTCCGTTCTGCGCGGCCAACGTGGGCAAAGGCGAAGAGTCAAGCAGGTGGTTATGTCGAACCAAGACAACGCGTCTTGGTCTTCATCGCAGGTGGAGCAACATACTCGGAAGCACGCAGCGTATATGAGCTGAGCGCCAAACATAACAGAGACGTTATCCTAGGCTCCACAGAGATGTTGTCGCCCGCACAATGGCTTAACCAGTTATCGTGTGGAAGACTCCCTCGGGAGCGGTGCGGACTCGAGGAGGATCAGCCGCCGAAGCAGTGTCCACGACATCTGTTGGAACCTGATCCGCCGGCGAATATGCCACCTCCTCAGGTGCCCGCACAGAAGCCGATGATGGCGCCTCCGGGTGCGGGTGGGCTTGTGAAGGGACATAAAGCGAGTCCGAGTGTGAGTAGCGTGAGTAATTGCAAAGACGGGAAAGAGAAGAAAAAGAAGAAGTTTGGGTTGTTTTAGGCGGGCGTATTTCTGTTGGGTACCGGTATTGGAAGTGTTTTTGGCATAGATTTGAGGTTGCATATGAAGTGGTCTGAATTCAGCTTGACATTACCCTCGTTACCAATCAAAGTTACGTTCCATTTGCGCTATCACGTCCTATCGTACACTATCTAAATCGTTCGGGATGTGGCCGGCGCTAGCTTCGCTCGTTCCCACGGTTTTCTGCCCAGCTGACAACGTGATCTTCTCAGTTGTGCTCGGCATTTGGATCCCAGAGCCATGCGGGGCACCTCATAGATTCAGTCTGCTATGCTTCCATCGGTTCGGAGTCATTTCCCTTGAGCTTAGGAGAGTACCTTTCGAGGTTGTTTTGCAGCTCGAGCACAGCCATGGCGTGAGATCTGGAGCCGGGGTTGTGGATATAGTAAGAGGTTGGACATTCATATACGCGAGTGATTTTGGCACATCGTATCGACTGCAGCTCCGAGATCGGTTTCCTCAAGAGCGTACCCCCAATGAGCATATGTAGTAGCCTGGTCGCACGACGGTGGGACTGAGCGTCGATCTGAGCGACTGTAAGGGTATCCGTGGACGTCTTGCGCTTTTTACTTGCCAAAATAAGCCAGCCTTCTCCGGAGCAGAGTGCCGATGTAGATAGTCTGCACGATCAAAGAGCATCAGGAATCGCATGATCACTGTGGTGAGTGACAGCGTGAGACTTCCGCGCACGAGTGGGGATGTCAGGGATAGAGTACCACTACACGGCCACGTACTCATGTCCAAACATGCATGACAGAAGTATATTGGTCTTTGATTAAGAATAGAGGAGTGTGCAAATGGACGAAGACGGACATATAGCGGTGGAAATGAGTGGAGCGAGGCGGAAGATAACGGCCAAGAGGTGGCAAAGTAACTGTCCGCAAACGGCAGCTCCGACTCTGATTAACATTCGAAAGCGGTCTGTTCACCAATAGACACCCCTGTCCTCTTAAATATAAATCATTTCGCGTCAAGAATTGTGCACTTGGCTATGTATCTTATCTCTGGGCTTTGTGACCTTCGTATCTGTGGCGCTCGGAAGCTCCGACCGCGCCGTACTGCGAGCATTCGTGAGCATGTCGTAATCACCGCCAAACACGCAAAACGTTCCCTGTTACGTCGCCTGCAACCACAAGAAACTCCAGACGGCCCATCCTTTTTGTTCGTTCGACGGCTGCGACGATCACGGGCTGATCAAACTCCAGCCGTCTGCGATCCGAGCTTGCTCTTGACTGTTACCCGACGTATTAAGGCACATCGGAAAAGGCAGGAAGCCTTCGGTTTCTGTGGAGATTCGAGACACTGTCCAACAGTCCACGAGCTTTGTCTGCGCCGGCCGCGGAGGAAAACCCGGCACTGCCAGAAACACCAGGCTCACCCAGCTGCAGGGACTCTAGATCTTCCACCCAGCGAAGCGTTCTGGAAGGGCAGCGCCGGCGATAGGGAACAGAAATACGACAGGCGATCTGAGACAACCGACAGAGACCGACAAACCAAGCCCACGAATCTCCACCATCCTAAGACTTTCTGAACCGTGTCAGTAGTTCATCAAGGGAGCACACGCGCAAAACGACAAGGGTCTGTGCGTTTGCGAAGGGCTCGAACTCGTCTATATATTCTGGCCATCCGCGTGCGGTGAACCGTCTCTCGTGGCAGCCCGAAAAGCCGGAAGGATCGTTATCTGTCAGACGTACTCATTGAGGCTCGAAGCCGTTTTGACAGTGCGTGAAGGATATAACTGCCGAAGAGTCGCGACCCTTACAACCATCGGCGCGTACTGATCAAAATGTCTGGAGCGTAAGTACCTTCATCCCTACTGTATGCGCATGGATCAATAGCTAACATGTCGTGTAGATCATTGAAGGACCTTTCGAAGGCGCTCAACGGCGTTTTCTTACCAACACCTCCCTCCCTCCCCCTCTCCGATGATCTACACGCAACCATGGAAGCCTACCTCAGCAGGCACCCCACTCCAACCTCCGACGAATCCCCCAAACTACAAGACGAGCTCATTCAACTCCACGCCAAATTTCCCTCCACCCAACCCTCCCCCGCCTTCCTCACCCTGCTGAAGACGATGCAACCAAGCTTGGCGCCGGAAGCGATGTTGAAGTGGTGGGAACTGCTGTTCAGGCCGATCTATGAGAAGAGCGTGGATGATGCGCAAAGTCGTGTCGTACTTGATATCACGCACGATATCTTGTTTACGGCCATGGAGAATGGGACGGATGGGGATGAGTCGACGCAGACTACGAGGGCGCTGAGGAAGAGGATCTTGGATCTCTACTTTCCGTCACTCAACCCACCGATCTCGTTGGAGAAATTGATATTGGCGTACGCCAAGCTTCATCCGAAAGCGTTCTTCAACGCTCTCGGTCCCCATTTCACACGTGCGCAGACGAGGACGCGGACGTTGACGCTTCTTACCGCATACATCCAGCGCAACAACGGAAGCGGGTTGCATCACATGTTCGCAACAAACCTCTGGAATTTGTTGTTGGAGAGTTTGGAGAGGGATGATAGTGAGGCGGCGGTACAGCTTGGCGTTGGGGTGTTGTGTATGAGCCTACCGCATGTTGCAAATTCGCTGGCGGATTTCTTGCCGAGGCTTTATGGGATTTATTATCGGTTGCTTTGTTGGGATCGGGTTGTGAGAAGGGGGTCTTTGGATAGTGGGATCGAGAGTGGAGATGATAACTCGCATTCGGAGAGCGTCGAGTTGGTGAATGCGTCGCCGAGCAACAAGGATGAGTATGAGTGGAAGAAGCTGGAGGCGGATGCGGCTTCGGCTATGCCCCCTCCAGCAGCGGCGCTGTTCACGTTCTTGTACGGCCTCTTCCCCGTCAACCTCTTCAAATTCTTCCGCGATCCCGCCACCTACCTCGCCTCCTACCCCGACTCCGCTCTCCCCACCTCATCCCCCCTCTCCCGCTCCACCCGCGCCATCAAGGAACTCGACGAAGACATGCTCCGCTCCCGAAGCGCGGCATACGTCCGCAGGCATCTCCTTCATACCAATTTCCTGATGTTCACGCCGGAGCAGGAGAGGGCTGATGTGCAGAGGTGGATGAGGAATGAGGTTGGGGGGATTGTTGCAGAGTGCGTGGGGCTCGATACGTGGAATTTGGCGGGTGGGGCACTGCCTTATATGCCGGCTTTGAATGACACAGTAGCTGGTCTGGCGGCTAATGAGATGGATTCGCCGGTGCTTGGGTTCGGGAAGGGGCCTGGGTCGGGGTCGTTGCTTAGTCCTTTGGAGAGTGAGGCAGATACGGAGGACGTGGCCGCGCGTAGGCCGTCGATTGCGCAGTCTCTGCAAGGTCAGGGTCATGGACAGGGGCTGAGTATCTCGATCCCGAATGCATCGCAGAATTTGATGGAGGAGACGGCGCATCATCTCGCGTCTCCTGTATTCCAACAAGGGTTCTTTGCTATGTCGCCGCCGGAGCAGTCGAGTTTCCTCGCTACGTCCCCGAAGCACGTCCGTGATTTCGTGCATATTGATAAGACGCTCAAGAGCTTGATCCCCAGGAGCCGTGCCGTCAGCGTTGATCGCTCCGCAAAGCCGGACTTGGAAGGTGCGTTGAGTGATGCTGTTTCTGGACATGTTGGATCTCCTGATCTTAGCCATGCTGGTACATCTGATCAACAGACTATCGCTCATCTCCAGCGTGAACTGCTCTTGTTGAGGAATGAGCTTAATTTTGAGAGGCACTTGAAGTCACAGCACTTGCAGCACATCGGTCGTCTCCAACGCGAGCACATTCTGGATTCCAGTGTCGAGATGGAGAGGCAGAACCTCTATAATACTACCCGTGCTTTGAAGTCCAAGGTGGTTGAGTTGACCTCGAGCTTGAACAGGCAGAGGAGTGAGGCCATGGCTACGAAGACCGCGAGGGTTAAGTGGGAAGGTGAGCTTGGTAGTAAAATCAAGACTATACGTGAGGACCGCAAGTCCTGGAAGGCTGAGGAAGAGAGCCTGAGGTCTGAGCTTGAGGCGAGGACGAAGGAGGCTGAGAGGTTGAGGAGGATTGTCGAGGATGCTGAGCGGGATGCTACGGCGTTGGCGATGAAGCTGAAGACGGTTGAGCCTGATGTGAAGGAGTTCAACCAGTTGAAGGAACAGGTCGAGTCGATTGATCGCCATCGCCAGGATTGGGAAGACCGCCGGAATGATCTCACTGAAGTTCAGAACAAGCTCAACAGAGAGGAAGCCGAGAAGTGGAAGCTCAAGGGACAACTGAGGTCCATGGAACAATACCTCGAGCGCGCTCTCCGCGAGCAGGACGACAAGGTCCGTGATCTCGAGGCGAAGCTTCTCGCTGCTCAAGGGGGTCCTAGTCCACCGGTCACGCCGCCAGCTAAGATTACAGATCTCATTGAGAATGCGCAACAGGCTTACAGTGCAGAACTCGACAAGCTTCGGAACGCACAGGAAGAGCTTCAGGCGAAGTGTTCTGACCTGCAAGCCAGGAATGCGTGGATCACGGGCTTGTACGAGCAAGAACGCGTCAAAAATGGCAAGAGGTCTAAGCTCCCCGTTGATGATTTCAGCAGAACAACGGGTGCTGCGCCATTGCTCGGTGATTCTCGCGAGGCGTCTCGTCGACCTTCGCTAGAGACTGGCCTGGCTCCGCCTGAGAGGTCTATGTCCGTCGCTACTGGTTCAACGCACTCGTCAGGTCACACGCATCCTAGCGATCTCGACCGTCGCCTGAGTAGGTCTACCATGAGTTCGGTCAGCAGCGGTGCAGCAAGTACCATCCGCTCAGCTGGCGGCTCGCAGAAAACAGGACTGAAGGCCCTTTTGCCGCAAGGCTTGATATCCGAGGACGGTGGCTCGAAGAACAAGCAGCCTACTTTTAGGCCGAGAGGTCGTGGTGGTGCTGGTGGGTTTACGAAACCGAAGAAACCGGAGCAAACTAAGCAGAAGGGTATCAAGACCCCTGTCGGGTCGTTCTTTGACTATGAGTAGGAAGCTATTGCGGGTTAGGTAAGGTTTGGCTGTGGTTGGGAAATTTGGATGTGGAGTTCAGCGTGTTTTGCGTTTGGTCTAGGATTTGTTGGAAATGTCGTCGTATTCTTCTTCATTAATCGCGAGTTTGATCCTGTGCATCCTACTCTGCTGTCACCGCTGCAGTGTCCTCGTCCTTCAATGCTTTCTGGTCGGCAAGGTGCTTTGCCCTGGCCTCCTTGAACTGCTCCCTTAGCTTTGGATGCTTAATAACTCCCTTTTTCAATGCACCCGGCGTCCTTCTGATCTTACTGATCATGTCGTGCAGGTACTTGTTGTATGGCGACAAATTCTCCGGTGCTGCTGGGTAAACGAACGGTCTGTCCATATCCACGATAACCTTCTTCTGACTTGAGCGTCTTCTCCAGTCCAGTGCCTGCCATTGGCCCTTGATTGGGTTGAAAGCCTTGGCTCTGTAAATCTTTCCGACATAGATCATGGATTTGACGGCGTAGGTCCTCAGGCCGTAGATGTTCCACAAGTAATCTCGTACGTCGAACTTGTTGACGTTTAGTGGGACTCTGAAGGCGGCTTGGTCTGGGCGAATTTTTGGGGAGCGGATGAGGGTGAAGACATGTTGGGGGAAGTGGATCTTCTTATCTCCAAGACGGAAGCTGGACGACGCGCGTTAGCATGAAGGACACGGGCCGTCAGTGCCACACAAGGAGACGTACGGAATCTTAGGCAATCCTTTTGACGCCATTATTGTTGGGTTTATGGTTACTATGTTTTGCACGTAACGTACAACTACTGAATTTCCGAAGGTGCAGTTTCGGGCACAGGCGGGCAGCATGCGCCCCATGGGCCCCGTGGCGGTGCGACCCGTCGAGAGCCCCAGGCATGGGGAAAGCGGATCATAACGAGTAAATAAAAGAGAGGCCCTTAACCCTCCGAGAACTCCGTCTAAAGCTCCTTGAACTTATCCGCAGCCTCCACCAACTTACTCGCAATTCCTTCCTCCTTCGCAGAATGCCCAGCATCTCCCACAAAGTAAATCTCACTACCCTCCCACTTCTTATGTAACGTCCAGGCCGTCGAAGCTGGGCAAACGACATCGTACCTCCCCTGTACGATCACAGCCGGGATACCCTTCATCTTCGCAATCTGCTCATCTTCGAGAAGGTACCCGTCCCGAGGAAAGAATCCTGCATGTTTGAAGTAGTGCGCCTCAATACGCGCAAAGGCTAGAGCCCATTTATCGTTGGAGGCTTTGGCGATGAGGTCTGGGTCGGGTTGGAGACGTGATGTCGAAACTTCCCAGGTTGACCACGCACAAGCAGCCTTCGACCTCTCTTCTTCGTCGTCTGAGGTCAATCTCTTGTAGTATGCGGATACGAAATCATCTCTTTCAGATTCTGGGATGACGGATGTGTACGCGTCCCACGCTTCGGGGAAGAGCATGGAGGTACCGAATTGGTAGAAGAAGTCCAGCTCCTTCTTGCGCAGCGTGAAGATTCCTCTCAGAATTAGTGCCTTCACACGATCGGGATGAGTCTGGGCGTAGCTCAACGCCAACGTCGATCCCCATGATCCTCCGAAGACCACCCACTTGTCAATCCCAAAATGTTTCCGAAGCTTCTCGATGTCTTCAACGATATCCCATGTCGTATTCTCCCTCAATTCCGCAGAAGGCTCCGACTTTCCAGATCCACGCTGGTCGAAGAGAACGATACGATACACCTCCGGGTCAAAATAGCGACGGTCTAATGCCGAGGTTCCACCACCGGGGCCGCCGTGCAAATACACCACGGGCTTTCCGTCAGGCTTGCCGGATTGCTCGTAGTAGAGCGTATGAATGTCGCTGACTAGCAACGTGCCTTCGTCAAAGGGCTCAATTTCAGGGTATAATCCAAGCATTGTTGGTTGATGGGCGTCGGTTTGTTCTGCCTCCAACCCCAATATACGGGCTGCACTCCAGAGGTCCTGAGCAGGTCCCGAGTGAACCGAGCTTCTTCCCATGTACAAAAATGTGGTTTGCGATTCTATTCAGACGATTCCTAGAGCTTATCGTCATAGTCGGACCCTTCATCGATCTCTTGTTTGGTCTTGATGTCATAGATCGCGAGATTCGAGATGTACATCGGTACGCTGGCCCGAACTCAAAAGTCTCCCAAACGACGTACGGCTCCCTGTGTATGTCCCCAACTCCAGCCCGTTACCTCCAAAAAATAACCAAAATGTCCTCACCCCACTGGAAAGACCTCTTCTCAACCCTCCTCCAAAAGAACCTCGACGCAGGCTACAAAGACGCCCTCAACTTCTCCTTCGCGACCCTCCCCGCCCCCGGCTCAATCTACCCTCGCGTCCGCACCTGTGTCTTTCGTGGCTTCGCATTCGAGCCTCATGGAGAGAACAACGGAGCAAAAGGGAGTAGCTTGTTGACGTTCACAACGGATAGTACGATGAAGAAGGCGGAGGAGTTGATGGGGAGGGATGAGAAGGGAGAGTTGAATAACACTTTTGAGGCGTGCTTTTGGTTTGCGGATAGTGGGGATCAGTTCAGGTTTGCTGGGCGAGCGTGGGTTCTTGGTACCAAATCCTTCCCGCAGCAGGGTGTGTTCAACGAGCAGGCGGAGAGGCTGCTGAAGACTTATACGCACGGTATCTCGGGTAACGTCGAGGACGCATGGCAAGTAGAGAGACAACGTATTTGGGAAGGACAGAAACCTATGATGCGTCGTACATTCTGCTCACCGCATCCCGGATCGCCCATGACGAAGGAGAAGTCGGAGCAGTTGCATGCCATGCCGATGCTTCCCGTAATGCCTGAAGACGCAAAGGGCAGGGTCACAGCGAAGGACGACGACGGCAAGGAAACGGAGGAGTACACTGGAACCAAAGAGGACGTCGAGGAGGCGTTGAAGAGATTCTGCATCGTGGTCTTAGAGATCGACGAAGTCGACCGCGTCCTGCTCTCCCCTCCCCCGGGCGGTAGGTGGAGGTGGAAAAAGATGGGCAGCAACGAGTGGGATGAGCAAGAAGTTTGCCCATAAAGGGGCCCTAATGTTAGACGACAGCACTGTACGCTATACTTTGGCTGCGGCCGTGAGAAGGCACATTGCAAGTCAAGGACTGCCAAATAAAAATATGAATTATAACCAATAAGCCCACTTTGTAACCCCGAATCTCTGCATTAAACCCAATAACTGCCGGCATACTGTAATGCCCTTAATAATCACCTCAATGTTTAGTCCTTTCATAGTCCATCACCACTGTATCATACACTTTTCTACAGTCTTAGCCCTTCCCCAATGTTCATCATCTAATACAAGTCCGACAACCCATCGGTCACGAAATCGGCGACATAAGAACAGTTATAGTTCCTAGCATACGGATACTCCGGGATGATACCCGCAGCCAAACTCTTCTTGTAACTCCATTGCGTGGACTTCTCGGTGTCCCAGGTCCAGTAGAACCATCCCCAACCGTCCTCGAAAGCGATCATCTGAGCTTGAGCGAACTGGCTCAGGAACTGGCTGTACATGTCGGAGTAGTCCGAGGGATCAGCGTTGGCTGGGGTACACGTGCAGTTGACACCGGCAGCGCAAGACTCGGTTACGTTCACTCCGTTTGTGGCATACGTGCCTTCCCAACGGGTACCCTGGTTGACGTTGTTGAGGTACTCGGAGCAGTCAGTATCCGCCAAGGACCATTCACCGGTGATGGTAGGACCAAAACCGGTGGAAGTGTCCATAGACGAGTTGATCATGGCACTCCAGCTGGAGCAAGCGTAACCGAGCTTCCCAGAGTGTGTCATTTGCAACTGACCAGTGTTGAAAATAACATAGTTGTGTGCGTCAAGGATCATCTTGGGGTAAGAAGAGTTAAGGAATTTCCCTTGCCAGTTGTTAAGACCAAGGAAACCATCACCGTACACGATGTAGTTCTTGAAGCTTGCGTTGCGGATGACATCGTAAGCGTTGGCGGTCCAGTTGATCACGACCGGGGGCTCCAAGCTCATCAAGTTGGGTTCGTTGACGAGACCGTACAGGGTAACCACATTATGGTAACGCTCCTGTGCGAAGAAAGTAGCGAGCTGCTTGTGCATCTCGAGCGTAACATCGCCGTAGTAAGTGCCGTTGGGGTTAGTAGTATTAAGCCATCCGATAGTTCCTTGCCGACCGGAGTGGTTCCAGCCGTTCTGGGAACCAGGCACGGCGTGCAAGTCGAGGTTCACTCGGAGACCGTGGCGACGCGCCCATTCAATACCACGCAACAAGTACCTCCATGCAATGTGGGGCACATACGGGTCCCCGGACAGTGTGTACAAGGCCCAGTACGGGTAGGGAATTCTGACGTGATCCAAGCCAGCCGCCGCAATTTCCTTGAAAGTGTCCTCGGTGACGAAAGTCGAGTAGTGCTCCTGTAGCACCTCTGCGGACTTGTTGGGACCCAGGTGAGCGCTAAGAGTGTACTCGTCAACGATACCCTGGGACAACGAATAGTTCTCGAAGAGGGAAGGAACGATGAAAGGCTCGAGAACCAACCATCCACCAATATTGACTCCACGAATTGGCTGCTTTCCGTAGGGGAACTCCTCGTTCAGTGCGGGAACATTCTCATTGCACTGAGCCGAGTCATCCCAAGTTGTGTTCAGGCCCTCGACGCTCAGGCCTCCAACGGTCGCATTTGTGAAAGTAAGGTTGAAGTCTTTGACGTCGGTCCAGGTAGCAAAGTCGAGATAGGTACCTTTTGCATAGGATGGGACTTTGCTCGAGGCCGAGGCGACGGTTGCGGCGGTGTCGCCCGAAGAGGATCCCGAAGACGAGTTTGAGGAAGATGATGATGAGGATGTATGCGGTCGAATAACGACAAGTCCGACCTGTTGAACGCGTTAGGATGTTTTTCAAAGCCAATTGACCGGATATATGCTGCCAATGAAGACAGTTGCTCGAGCATACATACCGGAATCAAGACCGCTGCCAGAATCACAACAAGCGCGACCACCCCGATAATCAACCACTTCTTCCAAGACCTCCCGTTGCTTCGTCCAGCTGTCTCTTCCTTCTCAATTCCATCAATATGCTGATTGAGTGCCAAATCCGACGTCGAGGCCGCTGGCTGCGCGGAAACGGCGTTTTGTTTATTTGAGCCAAAGATGGCCATTGGAATTGCTACGCGTAGATGTCGCTAAAGATACTGAATGTCGGAAGATAACGAACGATTTTGCCGTGAAAGGCACTGGCTGTAAGTTAGTAGCAGGAGCGAACGACGAGACTCAGCAACGAAGGAGCTGGTTCGGAGGGGGCAGTGCAACGTCGAAGTCGGGAGAGGATTCCGAACTGGGATTTGCTTGTAAGCTTAATCTTACTAAAGGTCAGCCCCGCGTAACTTTGGCGGGCGCGCCGCTGATAAAGGGGGCGCACTACCCTGATAACTTAAATGGCGATAGATACGGAAGTCGCGGCGGCAATAATATCAATCGCCAACTTAAATCAGTAGAAAGAATGTATAAGGGAACCGAGCTCATCTGTTGACGGGGCCGGCAGCTGAACGTACGCGGGATCCACCCGTGGGAATAATTTTGCGCAAGCACAATGGTCAACCAGCCCGTCAAGGATTGTGCTACATGTGTCTGCTTTCTTTCTCACTAACGTTGATATCATGACATTACTATCCCTTGCTCAGCGCAACGTACATCCACCCTAGACCATCATCCTATGCTAACTCATACCGCATCTTAAATTCACCTCAACTTCACAGCAACCCTCGCCCCCTCCCTCCCCAACACACCCCTCTCCTGCCCCTGTCCATTCCCTCCCTTTTCCCTATACCTCTCCCCCAACGCCTCCTGACTCGCTTTCCCGGCTTTCTTCCGTACCAAGAATCCCAATTTAGGACTTTGCGTGACGGTGGATATACTACCACTATGCCCATGACCGGCAATCATGCTGTTCGATTGTAAGGAGGGCATAGGCGACTCACCCGATCGATCTCGTGTTGAGTGGGAGCCGGGACTTGAGGAGTAGGATGAGTTTGCGTAGTCTGGTCGCAGTCGTGATGGAGGTGCTGGCATATCCAACCTCGCTGCACAAGCAACGGTAGTTCCCGGGCTCAGAGCCTCCATAGCAGAGGAATCGAAGACCTCGAAGTATTGCTCCATCATCTCGTACATCTCGATTTCGCGTACCTCGGCGTCGGTCGCGCCTTCTCTCCCCTTCTTCTTCCGCGTTCTTCGTCGGCTGCCGGAGTCTAGTGGATTATCCTCCAGTAGTAGTTCTTCCAGGTCATAGGCGCCGTCAAAGTTTTGTTTCTCTCGAGGCGGTTGGTAGATAGGTTCCACATCCTTCTTCTCCAACAAAGCAAAGTCGAGATCTTTGAAGAAAGGGTGGGAGGTGAATGCGGAGAAGGATGATGCGCCGAGACGTTTCGCTGGATCCTTTGTGAGGAGGGCAGAGATGGCGGAAGTACAGGCGTCGGATACTGTTGGCGTTGTTCGCGGGAATTCTGGGTCCTCGCAGCGGATCTGGTGTGATAGTTCTTCCTCAGTCTTCGCGGTAAACGGGCGCTGCATCCACCTTCATCAGCACAAGACTTCAACACGAGTAGGAATGAGAGGAGACAAACCTTCCCGTAAACACACTCATACAAACAAACCCCCAAACTCCACCAATCAACCCCAACCCCATACCCCCTCCTCTCGAACACCTCCGGCGCCATATACATCGCCGTTCCACTCCTCGAACTCAACTTGCCCTCCTTCGGAACATACGCCGCAACATTGAAATCGGTCAGGCACGCATGGCCATCAGCGTCTAGGAGGATGTTGTCGGGCTTGATGTCGCGGTGGACGATACCGTGGGAGTGGAGGTATTTTAGGGCGAGAGCGATTTCGGCGTGCCAGAAGTGGATGGCGGGTTCGGTGAAGGTTTTGCGTTGGATGTGGAAGCGGAGGTCGCCGCCGAGCATCAGGTCAAGGATCATGTAGCTGTAACTTCACATCAGAAACGCATGAAAGGGAGAAGGACGAGGTGCGGCATACATGTACTCATCGTCCTGAAATGCATATCGTAGGTTGCAGATCATAGGATGCTCCAACTCCTCCAGCATCTCTACAGCCGGAGAAACCAATCAGCCGACGCTCGTGCTCGATCTTTGCAAGACAACTCACGTCTTTCGCGTATGAGGTTGCGCACTGCGCTTGCCTTCACGCAGTCGTCTTTGCGGATGTACTTGAGCGCATAGCTCTGCTTGGTATCTCGTCGCTCCACGATGCGGACCTACACATTCGCCGGTCAGCTCCAATCCCACGACGCGACACGGAAGACAGATCAATGCATACCTTCCCAAACGCACCCTTCCCAACAACGCGCAACAGCTTGAAATGGTCCAAATTCACTGCGCAAGCAAATCAGCTCAGAGCGCTCACAAACGTGCGACACCCGCGACATACCAGCATCTGTGAACACTACCGGACCCTTCCCATTTGCGTTTCCCATAGCTCAGCGTGATTTACCAACAGGTCCTCGGCAACAAAGTGCGAAATCCCAGGGTAATAAGGCAGCATACACCGACCATGGAGGTACATCGCACACGTCGGCCCGAAGCTTCTTTTGTTGTTTGCCTGCTCTCCCGTGTCTTCGGTCCTTTGTTTCCTGTCTTGGCCTAGCGCGGGTGCACCGGGACGGCGGTGGTGCGCGCGTCGAAGCTGTCACGCCCGATGCGGATGCGGGGGATCCCACGCTAGCCCTCGCACTGACCACTCGACTCGCACGCAGCCGTGATCTGTGCGGTGCTGCAGGATGACGGCGGCTGTTCAGCGTGCCGCATTGGGAAGGGCAAGGCAAACATTTCACAAGGCGCGTCTGCCCGCACGTGAGTGCCCCCGGTCGCGTCTCCCCCCGTCCCCTCCTCTCCCTCCGCTATTTATTCGGCCCTCCTTCCTGTCTGCTCCTCCTCCTTCAGTCGAAAGTAAACCCCCAGAGGAACCAAGCATACAACCGTATCTCTATCGAGCTGTACCCATCTTCAACACCAACTACACAGCCTTACCCTTCGTTCCCACGACTTTCGTTTCGCGCATATGTCCCACTTCGCACCACCGGGGACTTCCCGCCGGGGTGATCAGGGGTTGAATGCTAGTCATTTCGTTCACAGGTTTCCCCACCAACCTTCGAGCGACCCCAGTGCCGGTTTCCGTAGCATTCGTCCCGGTTATACTCGTCACGACTCCGGTACCGGTCTCAGTCCCACCAGCACCCCTGTCCCCGGAATACGCAAATTCAACTTCAACCCCGAGGCTGCCGATTTTCAGTGGCCTGGGTACCGTCCTCAGGGCGATGTGCCGGATCACTCGAAGACGAACCTCTCCCGCACCGCTGTTAACCGTCATGTGAAGGATTGCGACGGTGTTAGGGGCTGTATGCCCCACCTTCAGGTCAGCGACCTTGCGAAACCCATCACAGATTGTGGAGACCCTACCCCTCTTGATCATTCATACCGTGGTAAACCCCAAGAGTCGTGGGTGTATCAGCGTGGTGATCCCAACTGGCGCGAGAGTTTCTCGGACCTCCACGCATCTCTGGTCCGTCGCGGGCTTCTTAGCCAGCAAACCACAATCGGGCGCTACCCTCCAGGCGCATACATGGTCTATAGTTACTCGCTTGATTACAACCACCAGGAGTACAACTATGATCTCAAGAACGACGAGTACGCCCTTTATTCTGTCTTTGACGAATTTCGTGCGGGATACTTGGAGGAGTTGTCAGAGTCTGACAGCGACTCCGACTCCGAAGAAGGTGAAGGTGAGGAGACTGTCACTGCCGCTCCTGCTCCTGAAAGTGAAGTCGCCCTTTGTGGCTCTGCTGCTCTCAACGGTGGTTTGCTCACCGAGGAGGAGTTGGCCGTCGTCGCCGTCTCCCACGCCCCCATCGGTACCAGCCGCGAGAACTCGGTCGCTGGCTCTGGTTCTTCCACCCCCACCCAGTCCGCCAACCCAAGGCCCGCTCGCAGGGATAGCACAATCACTCCCCGCTCCGCATCCCGGGAATATGAAGCCCCTGACACCTCCCACATCTTCCGCCTCCCTTCCTTCCTCCTCTCCGACGGACACAACACTATCGTCGATGGCCTCGTCCCCTCTTTCGCCCTCCCCTGTGTGGACCTTGACAAAAGGTGGTACACGAATCAAAGTCTAAGTCTTCTCGAGGGCTTGGAGTGGCAGTGGAAGTTCAAGGGGTGGCCGTTTTACAGGTCTTTTGTGAGGAGCTTAAGGGGTGGGAACTCTCCGGGGTCTGAGGAGTGTACGCCTACGTTGACGGAGGATGAGGGGAGTGATGAGGAGGGTTTATCTGATCTTGAGTTACTCTTATCAGAGCCTGAGTCCATAAGCGACGTCGAGGTCTCTGAGAAGGAGGAGGAGGAGGAGGAGGAGGAGGAGGAGTTGGGAGACTTCGAGTTCGCGAACGCAATGCTCAAAGTCGGCTTCCCTATGCTCCTCCCCGAGATCCTCAACACCTAGACCCCGTGCTTTACGCACCCCCAGAAGTTACGAGTGTACGATATTGACGACGACGAGGAGTGAGTGACCACGATATGATTTTTGTGATGGATTCTTGAGAATGACGAGGTCTAATCTTAATGAACTTGATGGATGAGACGCACGAAAAAGGACGGCTTAACGATGTTTTTATAGCGTTTTGGACAGGATGACTTCTTGCTGATGGGACTTTAAGATTTTTTGTGGTGCTCCTGCGTTGCTTTTCTGCGATTTGATTTTCAAAAAAATGGAGTTAGACGGGCTTTGGCATGGACCCCCATTCGTCTGTGCCTCCTGTTCGTTGGTATTTTTGGTTGTTCTTCTTTGGAATCTCGGTGGGACCTAGAGATCGAGAGTATGGCTATCAATCCGAAGTTTGTTAAATTCATCTGGTTGTCCTTTGTAGATTCTCCTCTGATCACCTCTCATCGATCCCCACACCCCGTAGAGCACAAGTGACGGTACGTTCAGGCAAGTATGACAACATTATGAATTGCAAAGGAACCAAGGAAAACAACGTAAATGACGACCAAAAGCCCCATAATGACAAAAACCTAAAGAACTCCGGCTCAAACAGCAGATCAGAAGGTACCTAACGCAACACCGCCAAAGAGATCCGTCCAAGAAAAGCAACACCCGCCAAAAGAATAAAAGTACATACACTCATATCATACAATCAATGCTTGCATATGCATGCTGCTGTCGTTCAACTCGCCAAACGCCCATTCACGAGAGGGTGTGAGTGTGGTTTACACCTCCATTTGACCAGCGACGTCTTCGTCGTCAGAATCGAATGAGCCGACGGAGCTCATTTCTTCGTCGGACGATGACTCGCCTGTGGCGTCGTCCGCAGCTTCCCGTGTTGCGTATCTCTGGACGTATTCTGTTCGACAAACCCACGTTAGCCACCGTGAACAGCAAGAAATCCGGTACTTGAATGATCGAACCTTTAACCTTCGTATCATAACTCTTCGGATCCCTCATCAACAGCGCCGCAGCCTCCCCGTTCAATGGATCCGTCGGGTTAGGATACCTCAACAACTGCGGCAAGAACACCTCGAAGATATTAATCATATCAAACATCGGACTCCACGTCTGATTAATCACGTCCAAACACACACTTCCACTCAACTCGTCGATGTTTGGGTGGAAAATTCTGTTCATGAATCCGATGGAGGGAGACTTGTAAGGGTATTGGTCTGGGAGTTCGACGTGGATTTTCCAGATGCCGCCGGCGAAGGGGGTTTCTGCGGGGCCGTGGAAGCGGACGTAGAATTCTTGCATGTTGTCGTTGACGAGGGTTACTTCGTAGTCGGACATGAGACTGGTGGAAGGAGTTAGAGGGCTATAAGGGAGGAGAAGGCGGAACGAGGGTCACTCACAGCTTCATGACGTCTGTCTCGATCCTGCGTTTGGGAGAACTGTATCGTGTCGTCAGCGTATGCGTAAGGAAGGCATTCTAGCTTGCAATACCTCATGATGGTAGTAGCGAACTGTCGTGAAGGAGGTCGGGTGGAGTAGCACTTCCAGGACGGCGAGATACGAGGAGAGCGCGCCCCCGTACGCTGGTGCTGCAGCCCAAAGTGCGGGTGCTGTAACGTGATACCCCAGCTGCATTACGAAGTCATGTTGAGGGGTAGAGAGCACGTAGAAGAGTGTATTTTATCTTGAAAATTGAGGTCAACTAACCCCGTCGTCTGTGCTACAATTTGCGGGTCACCTGTCGGCTATTACATTTCCGAAAGCGGGGCGCCGGCCGCGGAGCGGCCGAGTTGTAGATGTCCAAAAAGTTGACCGTGTATGTAACGAAGACTCCATCACAAAACAATGGCTTCCCTACGTCGACCACTGCTCTCACTAGGCCGTCTCCGACACAGACCATGCACCCAACACTCAATAAGATTCTACAGCTTCCACCCATCCCCAGATCCAGCCGGTGCTCCCGCTTCCTCTAGCACCACACCCACCGCAATTGCAGATATCCCTCGACCAAAAGCAACACTCCATACCCTCCGTCAACTCTACAAAAAGCAAATCCCGATTGCAACGATTACGGCACATGATTTTCCATCAGCACTCGCTGCGGATCAAGCTGGAACGGACTTGATCCTCATTGGTGACTCCCTAGCGATGGTCGCATTGGGGTATACCTCGACAAATCAGGTGACAATGGAGGATATGATTCATCATTCAAAGGCTGTGGTGAGGGGAACAAAGTCGGCGTATGTCGTTGCGGATTTACCGTTTGGGACATATGAAGCTTCACCAGAAGATGCTGTTCGGAATGCTGCGAAGTTGATTAGGGAGGGGGGTGTGGAGGCTGTCAAGTTGGAGGGAGGAAAGGAGATGGCGGTGACGATTGAGAGGTTGACGAGGGTGGGGATTCCAGTGATGGGACATATTGGATTGCTGCCACAGAGACAAGCGGCTTTGGGTGGATTCAGAGTACAAGGAAAGACGGCAGCGAGTGCGGCGCAACTATTGGAGGATGCAGTGGCACTTGAGAAAGCTGGCTGCTTCGCCATTGTCCTGGAAGCTATGCCAGCTGAGATAGCCGAGATCATCACAAAACGCATCACTGTCCCCACAATCGGTATTGGTGCCGGATCAGCATGTTCAGGGCAGGTTCTTGTACAACTGGACATGCTCGGCGCATTCGAGCGTTTCGTACCAAAGTTTGTGAAGCAGTATGAGTCAATAGGAGTGAAGACGAGACAAGCAATCGGCAAGTATGTCGAGGAAGTGAAGGCTAGGAGCTTTCCGGCTGTGCAGCATACATACCCAATAAAGCCGGAGGAGTTGGAGAAGTTCAAGGTAAAGGTTGGAAGCGATTGAATGGAGCGGTTTGCTTGCGAAGTATAACTCAATGGCAAGGTCAATCAGGCGATACAGTACGATATATGTGAATGTTGGCAGTGCAGTGAGAACCTATAACAGTCACTGCCAGCTGGAGAAAAGAGGAGGATTGGAGAACTGGCGATATTCTCATAGCATAGGTATAACAGCAGTTATCAAACCTGAAATCATCATACAAAACCGCGAGATTTCTGGCCCCTGCATGCCCATGCAACTGCGTCGTACACCCCAACTCCGCATACACACCCCGGCACTCACCATGGCAGAGCAAGGGCAAGGCTCAGCGTTCCCAGATCCGCCTCCATTCTACAAAATCTTTACTGCGGAGAATGTTGCGGCTGCACAGGATGTGCCGGAAGGAGCGACGGAAGGAACGGTGTTGCAGTTCTTGAAACCGCCTGAGCCGCCGGAGGAGGGGTATATCACAGTTTTTGGGGTGGACAGAAGTGTGGGTGATGCAAGTCGAAGCAGCAGACTGCAGTGCTGATCCTTTCCCACAGATCGAGCATCAGGAACTGCCGCCGTTGGTTGAGGTGGTGAACCCAATGACGGGGAGAATCCTATGGCCTGATGGTCTACAGTTGTTCCCGGAGGGAGAGGTGGATAGAGTCACGGAGCTGCGGAAATTGACAAAAAGCATGTTGCTGAACTACCTGGAGATCGTGACGATTATGGGGGACAATCCTAATGAGGTATGAAAATCACGCCTGCATTCCCTTCCGCGCGATTTTAATGGCTGTCTTCATACAGTGGTTCCCGAAGCTGTTGGATCTCAAGAGAATTGTGCATAATGTTCACTATCTGCTGAACGGATATCGGCCGCACCAGGCGAGAGAGACGCTGTGCATGATGATGGAGGAGCAGATACGACGTAAGAAGGAGGAGATGGAGAAGATCAGAGATAAGTGCAGGGAGACCGAGAGGCTGATAGCGCAGTTTGCTCGGAATGGAGTCACGGAAGAAGACCATGACATGGAAGAGAAAACAGTGGGTGCATCTCGTGCGGAGGAGGCGAGCAGTGATGCAGCCAAGTGGTCCGCAATCGAAGGCATTTAAAATGGGCATCAACGGACGGCGTTTGGGACATTGGATTTTTGGAGTCTATGGAATTTTTTTGATTTCAAATATAGGATAGGCTAATACACAACTGCGGCTATATGTAGTCCAGGCCAGCATCCTTTTTACACAGACAACTCAGTATTCTCCGAGGTGATCAAGGCCTTGTAAGGAGCCAAGGCGTTCGCAACATCCTTCTCAACAAACTTCTGGGCCTGCTCGGGCGCACGACCGACGAAAGTACGGGCATCCAACAATGTGTCGAGCTCGGCGTGAATCGGGGCAAAGTACTCGTCGTTCTTAACACGCTCGATGAGGTCGTTGTCACCTCCCTCCTGCTTGACGACAGCGGCGGCCTGATGGGAGAGGACACGGATCTTCTCGTGGCAGACCTGACGGTCACCTCCGTGACGGACCATAGCCATGATGATGTTCTCGGTGGCCATGAAGGGGAGCTCGGCGGCGACGTGCTTCGCGACGATAGCAGGGTATACGACCATACCGGAGGTGATGTTCAGGAGGGTAGAGAGGATAATGTCGGCAGTAAGGAAAGCCTCGGGGATGGTGACACGACGGTTAGCGGAGTCATCGAGGGTACGCTCGAACCACTGGACGGAGGCGGTCATGGTGGTGTTGTTGACGAGGGTCATCAAGTGACGGGCGAGGGAGCAGACACGCTCGGAACGCATGGGGTTACGCTTGTAAGCCATAGCGGAGGAACCAATCTGGTCCTTCTCAAAGGGCTCCTCGACCTCCTTCAAGTTAGCAAGGAGACGGATGTCAGTAGCGATCTTGTGGGCGGTGGCACCGAGGGAAGCGAGGGGAGCGACGACGTCGATGTCGATCTTGCGGGAGTAGGTCTGACCGGTGACAGGGTAGGCGTGCTTGAAGCCGGAGAGCTCGGTGACGAGTTGGTCGAGCTCCTCGACCTTGTCGTGGTCACCGTCGAAGAGGGCCAAGAAAGAGGCCTGGGTACCGGTGGTACCCTTGACACCACGGAAACCAAGGTCGTCACGGGCACGGGCGATGTTACGCAAGTCCCAGAGGAGCTCCTGCAACCACAAGGTAGCACGCTTACCAACGGTGGTGAGCTGAGCGGGCTGGAAGTGAGTCCATCCAAGAGTGGGGACGTCCTTCTGCTCGAGGGCGAACTTGGAAAGACGGTCAATGACGTTGACGAGCTTTTCGATCAAAATGTCGCAACCGTCACGGAGGAAGATAAGGTCGGCGTTGTCGGTAACGTAGCAAGAGGTGGCACCGAGGTGAATGATACCGGCGGCGGCGGGGGCGTTCTTTCCGAAGGCGTGAACGTGGGCCATGACATCGTGACGAACACGCTTCTCCTCAGCAGCAGCAACCTTGAAGTCCTCCTCGTTCAACACCAAGTTGGCCTTCATCTGCTCGAGGGCTTCATCGGTGATCTGGCTCAAACCCAACTGCTTCTCAGCAGTGGCAAGGTTAAGCCAGAGCTTACGCCAAGTACCGAAACGAGTCGCGTTCGAGAACAACTCTGATAAAGTCAAAAATGTCAGATCCTGGGCGGATCAGTGTGGGAAAAAAGGTGGAGACGAACCGGACATCTCCTTGGAGGCATAGCGGGAGGTCAAGGGACTCTGGTACTTATCGTTGGTAGACATCTTCGCGTTTTGTAAAGGTTTGCGCGGACTTTAAGCTCAGCTCTATCGACCGGCTCAACTTTATCGCGGATTGACTCGTACGAAATCTTTAGTGCTCGGGGTGTGCTTGAGCCCACGTCCAACGTGATCCCATGGAAAGGTAGGGAGGATGGATCGATCTGTTGGATAGAAGTAATCTAGAAGGTTATAGGACTGTATTCCTCGGCGGATCACCCTCTATCTCGCTCTCATGAAGTTGCCGGTGTGGGGATTCTCGATCCGAATTGCGTGCTCAGTCGGTCGCAGCTGGGCCGCTTCTAAAAAAAGTGACTTCGCGCCACATCGCCTCCCCACTTACCCTCTCTTTATATACCCCCCAGAAGGGACCCAATTGAGGTTTGCTGTGCGTGAATCCAGACATGTCTACCACCGCTGCCTTTCCTTGGGGTGTCCCCGCCTACGACTCTCTGTCCGGTCCTACTTACTTGACCGCTCAGCAGCTCGTCCAGCAGGTTGGCTATGCCCTTGCTTCCAAGATTTACTCTTACAGCTCTGAGGGTGATGACCTCGACACCGCTGTCGCGCAATGGAACAAGGAGGGTGTCTTGAACGGCTATGGACGTCTCCCCGTCCTCGCTAAGATGCAGTCCCGCTCTGGTGCTGGTGCGATGGTTCTCGGTGACTTCTTCTCCATTGAGGACTTCAAGCAGAAGTACCCTGCTCCCCACGCTGTCATCGCGTCCACCCAGACTCTCGCTACCATGCAGCCCATTCTTACCCAGCTTGCGCTCCTCTACTCGGCTGCCACACCTTTCGTTGCCCACGTCTCTGCATCCGACTACTCCGCCGCCAACGCTGCCTTGGTTGCCAACTACGCCAGCGCTCTCTACGCCGCCCAGGAGACCGGTGTCTCTTTGATCTCCTCTTCTTCCGCTCACGAGATCCAGCACATGGCTCTCTTTGCCTCGTTGATCTCCTCCGTCACTCCCGCCATCCATGTCTACGACGGTGTCCGCCTTGCGCGCGAGTCTTGCCAGGTTGTTGATGTTCTTGACGCCGCTGCCGTCAAGCGCACCTACACCCAGCTCATCCAGGCCCAGGATGCTGTCGGCAAGAAGGTGGATGCCGCTGAGCGCATCTCTAAGATCTTGAACAACCTCAACTCTGAGCTCGGTACCAACTACGGTTTGTTCGAGTACGAGGGTCACGCTGAGGCTGAGCAGGTTTTGGTTGTCTTCGGTTCCACCGAGGCTCGCATTGCCCGCCGCGCCGCCGCCGAGTTGTCCAAGGCTGGTCAGAAGCTCGGTGTTGTCGTCGTCCGTGTCTACCGTCCCTTCTCCGACAAGCACTTCCTCGAGGCCCTCCCCGCTTCCGTGAAGAAGGTCTCCGTCCTTGGTCAGGTTGCCGACAAGGACGCTGTCGCCCAGGCTTACACACAGTCCGCTCTCTACGCTGACGTTGTTGCTGCTTTGGCCACTTCCTCCGTCAACGCCTCCGTTAAGGATATCAAGTACTCTACCGAGAAGGTCTTCACCATTGGTGACATCGCCGACTACCTCGGTGCCCCCTCCTTCGACTTCTTCGCTGGCGAAGAGGCCGTTCAGTACGTCCACTGGGATGTTGACGCCACTGCCACCGCTGCTGCTCCCGCCAAGGTTGCTAAGCTTTTGTCTGAGGTCTCTGGCAAGAACGTCTCCTTCAACGCCGTCTTCGACAACTTGTCCCAGGCTGGTATCATCCAGACTGAGATCCGCTCTACCAAGTCTGTTGTTGAGGCTCCTTTCGCGATCGAGAACGCCGATGTCGTTGTTGTTCAGGACGCTAAGATCTTGAACTCCTATGATGTTCTCGGTGCTGCCAAGGAGGGTGCTAAGGTCCTGTTGCGCACCTCTATCAAGGATGCTGACTACGAGAAGAAGCTCCCTGCTGGTTTCCGTCGTGCTGTTGCCGCCAAGAAGGCTGAGCTTTACGTCCTCAACGTTGCCGAGCTCGGTGAGAAGTCTGAGGCTTCCGCTGAGACCGACGCTGTTGCTCTTCAGCTTGCTTTCTTGAAGGTTGCGCGCCCTGAGCTTGACCTTGCTGGTGCTGCTGAGAAGGTTGCCGCCCTCAACTCTGAGGACGCCAAGTCCATTCTTCCCGCTGTCTCCAAGATCGTTGAGAATCTTGCCAAGGGTCTCAACAAGGTCGAGGTCCCCGCTACCTGGGCTGAGGCCGAGGTTGCACAGGAGCTCCCCACCACCATCCGCGCCAACTCTACCGAGGCTAACACTGAGAAGGAGATCGAGGAGCGTGTTGGTGAGACCTCCAAGTGGCACGAGGCTGCCAAGGGTCTCTTGTTCAAAGAGGCTTACGAGACCAAGGCTTCCATCCGCCCTGACCTCCCTGAGCGCAACTTCATCGTCAAGGTTAAGTCCAACAAGCGTCTTACTCCTGCTGACTACGACCGTAACATCTTCCACATCGAGTTCGACACCACCGGTACTGGTTTGACCTACGAGATCGGTGAGGCTTTGGGTGTTCACGCTCACAACGACAGGAAGGAGGTTGAGGACTTCATCGACTTCTACGGTCTTGACGCCTCTGAGTTGGTTAACGTTCCTTCCCGTGAGGACCCTGCCTACACCGAGACCCGCACCATCTTCCAGGCTTTGTTGCAGAACATTGACTTGTTCGGCCGTCCTGGTAAGAAGTTCTACGAGCAGCTCGCTGAGTTCGCCACCGACGAGGCTGAGAGGAAGCAGTTGCTTACTCTTGCTTCTGCCGAGGGTACTACTGAGTTCAAGCGCCGTGCTGAGGTTGACACCATCCACTACGTTGACTTGTTGCACGAGTTCAAGTCTGCTCGCCCTGCTTTCGGTCAGTTGGCTCAGATCGTGCCTCCCCTGAAGCGTCGTGAGTACTCCATCGCTTCTTCCCAGAAGGTCCGTCCCAACCAGGTCGACCTCTTGGTTGTCGCAGTTGACTGGCGTGATCCTACTGGCCGTGACCGTTACGGTCAGGCTACTCGCTACTTGTCTCGTCTCGAGATCGGCGACGAGCTCGTTGTGTCCGTTAAGCCTTCCGTCATGAAGCTTCCTCCCAAGGACACCCAGCCCATCATCATGGCTGGTTTGGGTACGGGTCTTGCTCCCTTCCGTGCTTTCGTCGAGTATCGTGCTTGGCAGGCGGCTCAGGGTATCGAGATTGGAAAGGTCTTCCTTTACCTCGGTTCCCGTCATCGTCGTGAGGAGTACTTGTTCGGTGAGGAATGGGAGGCTTACCTCGATGCTGGTATCATCACCATTCTCGGATGTGCTTTCTCTCGTGACCAGCCCCAGAAGGTCTACATTCAGGACAAGCTCGAGGAGAACTTGGTTGATGTTAAGGAGGCTCTCCTTGAGGGTAACGGATCCTTCTACCTCTGTGGTCCTACATGGCCCGTGCCGGCTATCACCGAGGTCTTGTCTAAGGCTGTTACCAGGAACGGTGTTGAGGAGATGAAGGAGGAGGGACGTTACGTTTTGGAGGTTTACTAAGCGTAAGGCGTTGGTTGTTTTTCGGGCTGGGTGTTTTTTGTTATTATGGATAGGGACATGGGGCGGTTTGCATGAGATCTCTTTGGGTATAATTGCTAGAATAGATCTCAGCATTGTGAGATTCAAAGGAAAGAATTCGTTATTATCCGAAAGCTTGGGTCGTGCAGTAGTTGACTACCAGTTCGTCGTTCACTTTGAAGCTCTGTAAACTACATTAGCAAGTCAAACAAGTATGGTCAAGATCGACTGACCTGATATAGGTTACCGATGACCTCGTCCAGCGATGGTGCAAAGGTGGAATTGATATATAAGAACTATAGCCATCTGGTCAGCCGTTCTGGCGTGGTATGAAACGGGTAACGTACAAGTGTGTCGGATGGTCTCAGCTTCAGCTGCCTTCGCAGAAAGGTGGTGACAGTCTGGAATCTCTGACCAGAGGTGATCTTGTAGACTTGTTGCTTCAGTATTGGCGCTCGGCCGACGGCTTTGAACCTTATAGCGACTGATCAGGCGTCAGTAACCTCTTTGATTCTCGGTCATAACCTGCTCTGCTATCACCTTTGGCCGTATCTGCTTGGGTGTATCGATTGAGTGCCGCTGTAGCATCCTCGGGTATGTTCGAGATGATAATGCTCGATGCTAGATTGAGATTTTCGAGGTCATCCGGTATTCGCTCCATTGTATGAGGTCAGTGTCGTTGCGGAGCAAAACAACGCTAGTAGCGTAGACTTTCATATTGCAGCAAAACCTTATTTTTGACAGAGCAGACCCGCGGCCCGAAGACGCAACTTGCACCAGTGATCTCCTTTGAAGGCATTCGCCGTGACGCGGTACAATCCTGTTCCATCCTTCTTACTGTGCTTGGCAGACGCGACCACTCATATCGGCGTGGATGGAAACTACGGTCGCTCTTCTCAGAAATCTCCAGCACGGCTCATCAACAGAGGCCCTTGAAAGTCTGAAACAACTAGTTCTTGAAACACAGTCAAATGCGAGTTTGAGAGAGCTGCTGGGGGAGGAACCAATGGTGTGGAACAACCTTGTCGCAGCTGTACAATGTACTACTACCAGCACCACTGTTACTACATCAAAAGATGAACTGTCTGAGACTATCAAGAATCTGTTAACACTTGGAAGGAATTTGCTTGCTGCTGGCCAGCAATCCCAGGACAATGCTTGCAATGCCAACCTTGAGAAAATGATTGAGAATGTCTTGCAGGCATGTTTGGCAAACGCGGATAATGCAGCTTCCTCAGGTCTCATCACAACATCCCTGCAAGTTCTTGCGAACACGATTGCGGGCAATGCACGGCAGAAGGAACGGGTATGGAGGAACTGGGTTAGATATGCCGATGAATGGTTCATGAACTCTTTGTTTGCGTTCTCCTCGAGACAAGCGATTCTGCCTTTACTTTTCTTTACTTGGAATTGTGTATCTGAGAGAGCATCATTACGGGATACACTGCTCAACACATCGTCAGGAAGAGCACTTCTGCTCCAGCTGTCTATGATTGCTGATGATGCATTTGAGGAATCTCAATCAAAAGCGTTTGAGCTTACATACTACATCATCGCGTCAGTCATTAGGAATGGTGGATTTGAGCAGCTCTATGACCTTGCAAAGAGCGAACATTATGTCTTGTCAGATCCGCAGCTCAACATCTTGAAGATCGTGGATGCAATGCTGGATTCGCAACAAATCGATTTGGGTCAGCAACCTAAGTTACCAACTTCCCTGGTCAAGATTTTTGAAGCAGTTGCAATCAGATCATCATACCTGATGAAGGCCTTGAACAGTGACCACTCAACAGCAGCTTCGAACGAGAAGTTGGATGTGACAGATGCGACAGCAATTTGGACTGCTGTTGTTCTGTTGTTACAGACGCTGGCACACGTTAGCTCTGACCTGTCCGCAAAAGAGGCTTTGCTGAAGAATGGGCTACTCGAAACAGCAATCGCGTTGCTCGGTGCTGCAAACACCTATGTTCCAAGACGAACAATTAAGCATTCCTCAGGTGGTGTCTCCTCTTCTCCACTCGACCCTACAGCTGAATCTACCTCTTCCCCTGAATCAATGAAAGCATTTGCTTTTGTCAAACGTGACACAGTGCGATTACTCAGTACACTGTGTTACAAGTCACGGTTCGTGCAAGACGAGGTCCGCCGCCTTCACGGAATTGAGTTGGTTCTTAGCCAGTGCAATGTTGACGATGACAACCCCTATCTGCGAGAACATGCGGTACTCTGTGTCAGAAACTTGTTGGAGGAAAACACAGACAATCAAGCACTGGTGGCGGAAATGGAAGCTATTAAGGTTATGCCAAGTGAGGCTCTTGAGGGCACAGGAATCACGCCAGTAGTAGGTACAGATGGCAAGGTTAAGCTACAGGTGGATAAGTGAAGAGTGTGTTTATCGCTTCCCAGAGATCGTCTGGTGTCCTAGACAACGCATTGATTGTTCTCTACCTCATCAATTCTTCAATGTCCACGACTTCCTTCGCTGCCTCCGTTGTGAGCACCACAGGATCGGTCTTGCCAACGAGTACATCATCCTCAACTCGAATGCCCATTCCTCTGAAGTGTTTCGGCCATCGTTCGTTGTTTGGCACGTAGATCGCAGGCTCGATGGTGATGACCTGCCCGGCCTTGAGGACATCACGCGAATGTATTGACGGGCTATCGTGCACTTGAATTCCAAGCTGGTGGGAAACGTGGTGAGGAAACAAGACGCGATCAAGGTCTCCCTCTACCAAACTGAATCCCAAGGCTTTCAACTGCTCGCCCAGCTGTGATGAGCACTTTCGCAACAAATCATTCATTGTCATGTTCTCTGCTTCGCTAACCAATTTGATACATGACTTGTTCACGTTGAGCACGGCCTGGTACAGATCCCGCTGCGCAGGCGTGAATTTTCCGTTTACAGGCCATGTCCGAGTGATGTCTGCAGCATAACCTCCATACTGTCCTCCGGCGTCAACGAGAATCATCTCCCCTGACTCCAACATGTCGTTGTTCGACGTGTAGTGAATCGTTAATGCATGCTCTCCGCCTGCGACGACCGGAACGTATGCAGATTTCTCACAACCTCCCATTTTGAACTCATAGTCCAACGTAGTAGCTACTTCATGCTCTGACATAAGCCTTTTCTGCATAGTGTTGTTGAATCCGCGGCCACTGATCTTGCCAGCCGTGCGCATGAGAGCAATCTCGGCAGGGGATTTGAACGATCGCAGACTATGAACGTGTGTATTCAACGGCTTGAGCTTGACCGGATCCAGCATCGACGTGATCAAAGACTCTGCCTGCGAGCTAGTTGATCCGCGCAAGAAGCCAGCTCCTGCTAATGATGAACGTTGTCTCTGGAGGGATGCAAAGTCACCATAGATGACCGTCGCACGGTCAACCATAGGCGTAAGATGCTGCACAAGGGAGTTGATACTCCATGCCTCATCTGCTCCGAAGACCTCCAAGGCGGCATCAACTCCCGTCCTAGTTCCGTTCCACAATTCGGCGAATTCATCCTTTGGAGGAACGAAGAGGTGAAACTGGTGCTGTAACGCAGAGACCTTCTCGATTACCAAGACAGCATCAGGTTCAGTAAATCCGCTCAAGTAGAAAAAATTCGCGTTTTGTTGGAAGTCGTAGTGTGCGGAACCGGACATGTAGTGCAAGTGGTTCCCCACGCAAATGGCGATTGATCCCTCAACCATACGGTCAGCGAGAGCGGCTCTTCGTGCCGCATATTCCTGAGGAGTGATTCCCCGTGTGAGCTCATTGGCTTTGACAAGGTGAGGGTGAGAGTACGCCGTTGGTTGACCAAATGTGCGAGCATACGGCTTCGACTTGACAGATATCGCGAGCCCGCGCTGCTGCAGTTGCTCACGTACTCTCTGAGTTCTGGCAACGGTCTGTCGAGTGATCGCAGCCAACTGCAAAGACGACGGCCATACCCGGGGGAGCGACCGTGCTGTAGCCATTGCGGTATGTTTCTGCAGTCGGGATGTAACGTGGATATTCTGGTCTGTTTCGGCTGGCGCCCAACCTGCAGCTGCATGCCCGAAATGGCGACATCGGCCGTGAGAGCCGGCGGATGGGCATGTCCAAGGTAGACAAGGAGGAGGTAGGTATAATATGGTTTGTTTTACTGTCTAATTCCAAGCACCTCTGACTGTGCTGTATCTCAAAAGAACGACCGAACTCATGAACTCATGCCAAGAAAGAATGTGCGAAAACGAATCCATAAATCTCTTCCGCCGCCTCCCCTTTGCTTTTTGCAAATCTCAACTCCTCTAACCGCTTTCCCCAGTTTTAGTGCTCTCTCCTCTTTCCATGAAGCATCCTCAACGCCAAACTACTCGACGTCCTCGAAATGTGCGATCTCGTGTGCGTAGGTGGGGGCCTCTGCAATCCTCTCGGTGGCGTGACCGCAGGAGTGATCTCCGCCTGGGACCCGGTTCTCGATGGTGGTCGACTGCTGTCCTCATATGTAGGCAAATCCGCTGTAGAAGGCTCCAACGTCAGGGTGTTCACCCTGAGCGCAGAATCGTAGGACGGGACCTTGCTCAAATCCTCCAAACTCTGCTCAGGCATATCCACTGCCGGAGTCCGTGCCCCGTCAGAGATCGCCGCCGATGATCCAATACGAGGGGAGAAGTAGTCTCCTGGCGGCGCCGAGTGGTCATGCGGGCCCTGCGAACCCTCCATTCCCTCTGGCGGGTGCAATGGTGTCGCAGGGACCGAGTAATGCGATGGCGCATCATGCACGTTGATTGGGCGGGGCGAGATACCACGAGCTTGTCGCTCAGCAAGGGCAGTCAAACCAGCCATGAGCTGCATCTGCTGCGACGCCGAATTTCCAGGACCAAAGCCAGACCCGCTGGCGTCGTTGAGGTCTATGGAGCTTCGTCTACTGCGGTTTGCGGGCGTAGCGAAACCACTCGTCATTGGCGTATTGACACCGGTGTACGAGATGCCATCCCACAGACGGTCGTACATGTGCAGGTCGTAGCTCGGCAGTGCGTTCTCGTCATGGGTGAATCCGTTGCTGTCAGTGTAACTGCCGGAAGCTTCGTCAGGAATCGTGCCGTCCTCATGGGTGCGGGGTGAAATCATTAGCATTACTGGCAAAGCTGCACGCAATTCCGAAACATGCCCGTCGGGGTTGTTGAGAGAAACTGTGAACTTGAGCTTGTGTCGGACCTTGATGTAGTCCGAATCGCAATCTTGCGTACATTGAGAAAGTGATTTGGGAAGGATCATGGCCTCGTTAACTTCCCATTGATCTTGGCCGGTCGGCAGTTCGTCAATGCGCATCGACTGCACTGTCCTGACATCCGACTTGCTGGCCGGCAGGCCGTGAAGACCGTGCGCTGCGTTCAACGTATAATACTCCTTCAGAGTAACGGAAATCTTCCCAATATTAAGACCCTTAATCAGGGGTACCAAAGTGATGTTGATAGGGATGACGGAACCGATTACCACCGCCTTTGAAGGTATACTGATAGAGTAGTCGATCTTGTTGGGCCAGGTGTTCTCCACGAGCATCGTCTGCGACAACTCCAATGCAGCAGGCGACAACGTTCTGATAACGCGAATGTGCTTCTTCTTGACCAAGTTGGCCGCCGTGAACCCTCCTCTCTCCACCACTGCCTTCATCTTGTAGATGATGTGTCCGCCCTCCATACCCTCAATCGACTCGGGAAGATCTCCGGGCAAGACAACCTCAAACGGATACTCGTAATTTCCCTTTCCAATCGTATGACTGTGCTTCCCAAAGGGCAAGAAAGACCACTCATGCTCATACACCGTGTTTTCCTGCTTCTGTACTCGTGTACTCTGGGCACGGCTGGATGTGATATACGTCTCATTCCACATAACCCTCGCACGTCCATAGAACTTCAGCGTGATAGACCGGATCGAGGTTGTTTCCAGTAGAGATAGGACGACGGTTCCTTTGAGGAGTACGCCGGCGCTCTCGCCTGGTGGACCTCTGAAGACAATGACATCGCGTTCGGTTGAGTCGATACTGTGGCAATCCATTAGCACTGGGAATAGAAGAGCGAGAGAACGGATCATACCGAATGTCAAACAACGACGCGATATGACTATGACTGTGAGCTCTCAGAAGACTCTGCATCCCGTCGTACTTGTGCTTGTCGCCCTCAAACGCAGACTCGGATCACAGGAGGTTGTATGGTATAGGGCGGTAGTTGACAAGCAACGGCGTGTCGATCGGTAAGACAACGAGAGTGATATCCTGTCAAGCTGATTATATTACAGCAACGTTTTGGTGGTTGAACTTTATTTGTCGTGCCCCTGCCGACCTCGGGACAGCTTCGGGTTGGGCGCTAAACGAGGTGGCGGCACCGCCGAGAGGACTTGCTGCGTTAAAGTTAAGTTAGGCACGAGTAAGGAAAAAATATATTCCGGAGTTATAACGCCTGATCTGGCCGCCTTCCCCAACCAAAATAAAGATGTGCAGATCCAACTGCAACTGTCATCTCTCAATTGTAGATCATTTGTAGATCATCCAATACGTCTTCACATATTTGCCTTCTTCTCCCATCCAGGCCTCATCCAAGTCCTGACATGTCCATGCGTACACGCCGTAACAATACTATCCTCCCTAAACGTAATCGAACTCAAGGGATCCGTATCAACTTTCTTCGCCAACACCGGACTCAAGACCGCGACCGTACTCCGCGGCGCGAGGGGGTGGACGACTTGATCCACCGGTGCCATCGAGGAGGGAGACAGAGCGCCGCTCCTATCACCGTTTTCAGGTGTTCGGGCTTGTAGGTTCTGTACTGAGCGTGAACTGACTGATGCGGCTCGCTGCAGACCCGTTGTCGGTTTTGGTCGATGAAGAGCACCGACGCTAAAATCCCAAAACAACATTCGACAATCATCACCCACACTCGCAAACCTATATCCCCTATCATCGCACCTCCACGGATCGAAAGAAACAGCCTTGATAAAGCTATTATGCCCAGAACACCTCGCCACGATTTTCCGGTCGTGGAAGGACCAGATGGTGATCAAGTCGTCTTGACCACCCGTGAGAATGTACCGGCCATCGGGGGACCAAGTGACGCAGAGTAAACCGCCGTAGTAGGATTGGAAGACGGCTAGGACGCGTTCGGCATGGAAGTCGATGATTTTGAGGGTGCCGTCGTCGGAGGTGATGGCGATGTGTTGACAGTCGGGGGAGAATGCAAATGCTGTAAGAATGTCAGCGTGCCATCACTTGAGGACTAATATCGCACCATCATACCTGTGATAGCTTGCTTCGCAACCTTCCAATATGCTACGGGGTTGTTTTTTACAGCTTTGCCGTTCATGCTCCGCAGTACAGAGAACCCAATAGCTTCACCCCCTTCCTCCATCACCACGCTCGCATTAGGACTCGTGTTGAACGTCGAATCATCCTTCTCCTTGTCGTATACCACCACGCTTCCATCCGCATGTGCCGCCATAAAAAGATTCTCAGACCCCGGGATCCACTTGACCTCGAGGACGGCTGAGGGGTTGATAGTGCCTTGTTTGTTCAAGCGAACGTATTTGTTCGTCATTGGGTCAAGCCAGATCAAGTCCGACGACGAAAATCCAACGATGACGTCGAGATGGTCGGAGTCCCGGGTGAGCATGTTGATATCCTGACACAGCGGATATGACCGCGCGAACAGAATCCTCGTAAGCGCTTCATGCCGATTCTGACTCGAGTAATCAAGCCAGGAGAAGGATCTGCATGCACTGGCGAAGAGGAGTGTTTGGTCGTTTGGTCGTGTTGCGAGGAGGTTTAGGAGGTTGGTGTGTGCCATGAACCGGGAGACGAAGGAGGATGTGGTTTTTGCGATGCTGTTCTTGGGTTTCTTTTGTTTGCCGCAGGCGCGTTGGGCGGGTGTACCGAACATAGAGACGAAGGAATTCGATGAGTCATCGCCGACGCCCGTATAGCTTTGGGGAGTCGACTGATCGTCGTCCGCCACATCATCTTCCACCGACTCTGTGTCAAGCGACGACAGTGATCTGTTTAAATGACTCGGAGAAGGCTCCTCCGTCTTCGGCGACGCCAACCCCAAAAGGTTTGAATTCCGTTTTGCCAACTTCGGCGAACTGCTATACGCATCCACCGGCACATCCCTATGCTTCAACGGTACGAACGACAACCTAACACCATTCGTTCTTGGCGCCGGGATCGTACTTAGTGCGTTCGGCAACCCCTCCGTCGCGAACGGAGGCGGCATAGCAAGTGTTACCTCATCACGCAGCGTGTACTGTCCTTCCGCCGCGACGAACGAGGCATCCTCCTCGCCTGTCGGGCAAGTGATAGTATTGGGAGCCGCCTCAGCTTGTGCTAAACGGGCAAAGTGCTCTTCCCGTTGCTTCAGTTGCTGGGCATACTGAGTGGAGTAGTTCGATGGAGGAGGCAGCACAAACATGCTGGAGGTGTTGATCTGGTGTTTTGGAGGTTCAGCAGGGTCCACGGGTAATTTGGTCGGCAATTGCGGAGCGCGGCGGAGTACTTACCGGTATGGGGATTCTCCCTGCGCAACCTTGCATCGCAGCACCATGCCCAAACCGGGAAAAGAACGTACGGACCATCTATCCGCCTGTCCACGTTACATTCACCTATTCGAGTTCAATGGACATCAAGCAGGTCACCGTTGTCGTCTGCGGCGATGAAGGTGTCGGCAAGTCCTCTCTTATCACGGCATTGGTGAAGGAGACCTTTGTGCCGAATATTCAAAAGACAATTCCTGTTATCACTATCCCGCCGGATATCAGTACGCCCGAGAGTGTGACTACACAGATCATTGACACATCGTCGGCTCCAAATGATAGAGATGCATTGTGTCGAGACATCAGACGGGCGAATGTCATTTGTCTAGTCTACTCCGACGACTACTCGTGTGAGCGAGTCGCCCTATTCTGGCATGTATGCATCGTCCTTCGACGCATTCATCACTGACCTCTCGTACACAGGCTACCATTGTTTCGATCGCTCGGCGTTAACGTGAGTTGTGTCGCCCACCAACAGGTATTCTTGCTAACTCAGGTCACAGCTCCCCGTCGTCCTCTGCGCCAACAAATCCGACCTCAATGAAGAACCCGAAGCCAACCAAGCCCTCGAAGACGAAATGATCCCGATCATGCAAGAGTTCAAAGAAGTCGAATCATGTATCCGGTGCTCCGCAAAATCCTTGGTGAATGTCAATGAGGTCTTTTACTTATGTCAGAGGAGTGTGACGCATCCGATAAGTCCGCTGTTTGATTTCAAGGAGCAGCAGTTGAAGACGGCAGCTGTTGCGGCGTTGCAGAGGGTGTTCTTTTTGAGTGACACGGATCAGGATGGGAGGTTGAATGATGATGAGATGAATGAGCTGCAGGTTTGTCGACGGAGCTTAATTTTCCTGAGTGTATGCTGAAGTTCTTGTCAGCGCAAATGCTTCGACAAATCTCTTCCACCAGCCGAACTCCAAGACATTAAAGATACCATAGCCAAGGCATCCACTGACGCCATCAAAGACGGAGGTATCACGGAATACGGCTTCATCCTCCTCAACAAGATCTTTGCCGAGAAAGGCCGACACGAGACAACATGGACTATTCTCCGAAAATTCGAATACACAGATTCACTCTCGCTCAAAGACAAGTTTCTGCACCCTAAATTGGATGTACCAGCTTTCGCCTCCGTCGAGCTGTCGCCCGCTGGATACCGGTTCTTCGTGGACTTGTTTGCGAGATTCGACAAAGACAACGACGGCGCCCTAAACCCTGCCGAACTCGCCTTCCTTTTCGCGCATACACCCTCGATCCCACCATCCTGGCGTTCTTTTCCCTACACAACTGTGCGTAATGAGGCAGGTAACGTCACCCTACAAGGCTGGCTCGCACAATGGTCCGCTACGACGCTCATGGATCACACGGAGACACTACGATACCTGGCGTATTTGGGTTTTGAGGGAGGGAGGGGAGGAACGACTGACGCGCTAAAGGTCACGAAACCGAGGAAGCATGGAGGAAGGGTGAATAAGAAGGCGGATCGGAATGTGTTTTGTGTGTATGTCGTTGGAGAGCCGGGAGCTGGAAAGGTATGTTGAAAGTTTTGGTGATTGGAAGAAGTTACTAATGTACAGTATACAGTCTGCCATTTTGAATGCGTTTTTGAATAAGCCGTTGGGGAATGATTATGTGGTGTCCTCGACGAATATTACGACCTCATCGACGGAGGTGTGCAACGCTGTCGAGATTCAGGGAAAGCAGCGATACATGATTGTCAGTACAGTGAGGAACCACATGCCTTCCAAGCTAACCCTCCACTCCCAGCTCAAAGAACTCCTCCCCGCCGACATCGACCTCCTCGACTCTGACAAACACATAAACGCCTGCGACGTCCTGTGCCTCGCCTACGACTCCTCCAACTCCGAATCCTTTATGTACCTCGCCTCCCTACGCGAAAAGTATCCCAAGATATCGACGTTGCCGTGTGTGTATGCCGCGACGAAGAGTGATTTGGATAGGGTTGCACAGCATTACGAGGTGCAGCCGGATGTGTATTGTAGGGAGTTGGGCGTGGCGGCGCCGATACACGTCAGTGTTCATTGGGGGTCGGTATCGGATCTGTTTGTTCAGGTGTGTATTTCTTCAAGGCTACGTAATTGGGACTTGGCTAAGAAATCATGCAGCTTGCGGAGGCGGCGCAATCACCTCAGCTTCATCGACCAAAAGCAGAGGAGAAATCCTCGCCGAACCTCCGCCTCGTCATCGGTTTGACAGCTTTCACGGCTCTTGCTGTCTCCGTGGGAACAGGAATATGGTATAGGTACTACAGACATACACAAACTCAGAAATGAGTGGTTCAAATAATTTATATCTGTCTACCATGCGCAAGGCCTCACTGCAAAACACGAACACAAATAAAAAAAGAAAAACGCCAATTGAATCCAACGCCGTGCAATTGCAAGGTGGTTTTTATGCAGTGTACCAGACTGCTGGTTCTCGGCTTCGGTCGCCACTCATCTCTCTTTCTCGTTTTAATTGCTTCTCGCGGTCTCGGGAGCTTGATCTTGACCGGGATTTAGATTCTGGTGGTGGGGGTCCTCCTAGTGCTTGTGCGTATCGAGGTTCTCGTCTTGCTGGTTCGGGGGACACGGGGGCACCCATCTGTAAGTTTGTTAGCAATGTTCAGTGACGTTTGCCGACAACCAGCTTACCAGTTCATCTACACGCTCGCTAGCAGACCTTGATCCATGCCCATTACCGCTTCCGTTCCACTGCTGCTGCTGCTGCTGCTGCTGCTGCTGTTGTTGCTGTTGTTGCTGTTGTTGTTGCTGATCTGGTCGAGGTGACGTCGCTTGTCTTCTCGAAGCCGGCAATCCTGGATTGTTGATCAACCGCAAGTAGCCGTACATAAAGTTCGATATAAGACACTGTTCCCGCAAAGGCCGCTTCGGGTTCGCCAATTTGATATGTGATAAACGGTAGATGGCGCGTTCGACGGGTAATGGGAACCGTGTGTACCCGAGACCGTCCTTCCAAGAAGAGTGGTAGGTCGACCCACTACCTGTAGATGGACGCGAGGAGGACAGCTCTGCTGGTGAGGTTGATCTGGTTGCTGCGAGACGCGGCGAGCTCTTCTTCTTTGAACCGAACAGTGCAGAGAAGATATTGGTTGATTCCTTCTCTTTCTCCTTGGTAGACCCTTGGCTCTTGAGTGATTCACTGGAGGCCGACGATCGTAATGCAGACTTCGGCCGTCCAAGAATCTCGTCCACACCGTCACGCTCGATTTGTCTGGCGATATTCTCCTGAGACATGTTCTTCTTTCCCTTTTTCATCACCTTGTCATCCGATGAGAATAACCGTCCCCATGCCGACTTCTTACTTCCCGAATTCTTCCTCGGTCGCTCCGCAAACTCCTCCTCATCTTCCTCCGCCGCAATGTTAGCATTTTGCATATCATGCTCCAGCTGGGTAATTGCCGCATCCGATGATGTCGGATAAGGCCCCTGGAAAGCATTGACCATGGGCGTCGAAACGACCGAGTTCATGTCTGCAGTAATGTCCGGTAAGGATGAACTTTCCCGCTGAAGCCTTGGCCGCTGTGGCCGGACAGACATGTTCTGCGGTCGTGGAGCTTCTTGAGGTATTCTTGGGCTGACAGGTTCAGGAGGCGGGCTGAACGGCGTTTGAGGAGCTGGAGGTGAGCTGACAGGTTGTTGTTGAACTTGCGGCGAGGGCGGTGCATGCTCAAGCACAGGATCCTCCACCTCTTTCTCCGTAGACCACTGCAGGGTCGGGAACTCCTCCTTGGTAGGACTTGTGGTCGGATCCGACACACTTCTGGGCGTGATCCGTACTGCACCTCCCCTTCCTCTGCGATAAGTTGTCCTTGCCGACCTCCTAATCATTTGTGCAGGAGTACCGAGCACGGGTAGATCCTGATCTGACGCATCGCCTACCCCGAACTCGGCTTGCTCCAATGCTGGCGACGGGTTCTTTGCCAACTCGTCCAGCCTTTCCAAATATGACAACTTCAAAGGCGCCACTCTGGCCGACTTCCTCCTGAACAACTCTGGCCCGGCATCTGAGTATTGCCCCACCTCCTCATCATCGAGCTTCACAACCCTTGATAATCTAGATTTCTTTCTCCGCAAATTCACTGTATTGAGGTTGAGTTGATCGTCCGGATGTGAATTGAACCCCTCTATTCGCGACTGCACGAATGTGGAGAATTGTTGTGGTTCCAGCTCAGGGTGTAGTCCTGCCGGAACCCAGAACAAGCCGTCGTTATCAGGTGTTTCTGCGACTGTATGCGTCGGCGGTGGTAGGTCCGGGTCGTTCCCGGCGTATTCAATGGATACTCGGCGCAACGACTTGATGTGAGACAGCTCTTTCTCCAGATCTGCCGGCGAAGCTTCGTCGTCCACACCATCGAGAGGATAAGGCTCGGCGATCTCGATTCCTGCGTCTGCGTATGAAATGTGTATTGTTGGGCTATGCGGCGAAGTCGGTGATTTGATCGAGGTAGGTGACTTTAGCGAACCCTCGTCCATCTCCGAGTAATAATCGAGGAGTGAGCCAACGGACGCACCGCGTGAATGCGTATGCTAGAGCGAGAAATTCAAGTCAGCTTCCAACCTAAAATTGGTCGAATTGATCGTGACGAGCACTCAGGAGGCAGCGTACCTCCATGACGGCAATGAATGCTGGACCCTGTAACGACTATCGCACTCCTATCTCGCCAAGCATGTAACGGATCCCGACTAATAATACAGAGCCCTTCCAACTACTTCAGACAATACTGCTTGGCGTATATCGATGATCCGGTGCTTGCCGTTGCGTTTCACGTACGACGCTTTCATGTCCCCTGGTCGACGTCGAGCACCGGCGCCCCCCACGCATGAGGAAGGACACCACGCGCATGCCGTACAAGCTGGGGAGTTTGACGCCGAAGCAATGCCGCGGCCGGGACGTGAAATGAGTGACAAATACGGGTATCACTGCGATATTCTACCTACTTGGGTGATTGCAGACGACTAGCTATGACTGAAAGAAAAAGCAAAAACACCATCCCCTTTTCCCTCTCGGGTGTCCCCCTTGCACCTCCATCCATGCCCCATATCGATATCATACAATCCTTGCTCACTTCGTGTAACCTTACCCAGCCAACGACAAGTAACCGTGCTTCCTTAACGTGGCATCCAATCCGGCATTTCCACTCGTACTCAACTCCAACCCCTTCGCATCACCAATGGCGACATCAGCCAACTGACCCAGGCTTCCGCGTAGGCTGACCTTGGTAACGAGATCCCTGATTGCTGCATCCCATCCGCTCATACCTTCACGTCCGATCAACCCACGTCTCCTCTCAATGGCCTCCCTCAAACCAAAGAGACCACGAAGAGAGTCATCCCGAGTCTCAGGGATATTCGCAAGGCGAAGTAACACTGATCCGGAAAGAGCCGCAAAATGATGGTTGAGAGGGGTCACCGGTGTACTCGGGCTTTGCAAAATGCTTGCGATTCTCAAAGCCGGGCCGAGAAGGGTATGCGGTTCCGAAGTGCTTGTGTGCAACAACGCAAGCAACTTGACGTGCCAGTACGCGATGTGCAACAAGTTACTCTGGCCCCAAACCACCTCCACACTCTCCCTGAACCTTTCCAGCTCACCGCGCAAGATCTTCGAGATGTACGGGTTAGAACTCGACGAGATGCTCTCATCCGGACTCGAGAACGCGTCCGCCAAATGACCAAGGATGCAGGAAACCCGTGTTAGATGGTACGGAATCATCCCAAGCAACAAATGATCCTCCGCACTCAAGTTGACATTCGCATCCGGAATAAATGGCGGGGAACAAGTCGAGACAGCATGCCACCTATCCAACACCACGATAACCCACCATGCCCTCCTCGCAAGCCGCTCGTCCCCATCGATATCACAGCTAACATCCGCCGGAGTGCTTTTCCGACTTAAATGAAGCTTAAGCTGATACGCCATACCCACCGCACTCCCAAGCCACACACCAACCGGAAATCCCTTCCCGCCGCCCAACATCCCAGGCGGACCCCGATGATCAGCCTCAATCGCCATTAAAACCAGCGCCGCCAAAAGCAGGACCTGCCCTTCCAAGTTCCCAGATATTGAGCGATCATACGCACTTAAACTCAACAAATTCGTCGCGCGACAACTGAGTGTATCCCCCTGCCCGTGACCAGATTTGGGAGACATGTTTGAGTCTGTGGGCGTGGGACGTACGAGTGCGTAAATCGCGTATAACAATGCTTCACGGGCGGAAGCGGGGGCACTTGCTAGTCTCAACCTCAATCTCTGCTTCGAGTGCGGGAGGAGGGGAAAGCAGTGATGGATGTTGGTGTAGTACTTATCGATTGCCGCTTCATCCCAGAAGTTGTCATGAGGCGTCCCAGGCTCGGGGTACGGCAACCTAATCTGCGACGTCCCCAGCTTAGGGTCAGCTGGCTTGAGCGTAGCTCCAAAGGGCTGGTATCCATTCCGGAACTCGAGCGTCTCGCGCTGTCCACCAGCCGCAGCATTACGGAGCGACTCAATCGGCGGTAGGGTGCGGTCATACGACACAACCGGCGGCGTGGAATAATTACTCCCACTCTCCACCTGAACCGACCCTGACGATGGTTGAAAATCGATATGATCTGCACTCAGCGGCCGTTTCCTCACAGGCGCCCCTTGTAACACAGCCCCTTGCGGCGGACTCACACTCCTACTTATATTCCCCGATCCATTCGGTCCCCCCGACAGGCCCGGCGTATCAGAACCCTTGTAGTGCTCGAGCGCACCGAGTCTGTCTTCGAGTTCCTTGATGTACCCCTTCGAGGGCCCACGTTTCATGGGAACCCGGGAAAAAGAGCACTTTATCCCGGAACGGCGGCAGGAGGTGCAGTCCGCATGGGTGTTTTCGGTTGAGGCATCGCACCTGATCTTCTTGCGACGGCACTCATCGCAGGCGCGGGAAATCTTGTGTCGCTTTTTGGGGCCTTCGGGCGTGTCGGAGGTTCCGGGTGCACGAGGAGGTGATTGACGGGGAGGATAAATTGGTCCTCCGGGACCCTGTTGGTGTGGATTTGAATGGGAGCGGTGTCGGGATTCGAGGGAGGATTGGGATAGTGGTGATTGATAGCTAAAACTGGGCAACATCGGTGGCTGTTGCTGTTGCTGTTGATGTTGATGTTGATGTTGATTCGCCGGCGGTGAACTCGAATTGAATCGTGGTGCGGGAGCAATATTGGGCGTGACGACTGGTACGCTGGAGTGCGGAACAGGCGATGCCGAGGCGTGAGGGACTGGTGGTGGAAGGGAGTGTAAAGACCTTATCGATCCGAACGAGAAGTGATTTGTGGTCGGATCCACAGAAGGAGCTCCCGCCGGAGACGGACTGGGACCGGATCCCAAGGGGGGTAGGATATGAGGTGGACGATTCTCCATCGTCATGCTGTCGCTCATCCTTAAGTGTTATCGTTGATGATCCACGATCTAAAGTACGACGAACCGGGCGACGTTGATGTCAAAGTAGAGTAATGGCTAGGATGTATACTCCTGCTCGGTTACAATCGGATTTACGGTGAAAGGAGGGGCCGGGAATCTCCCCCCAAGAGAGTTCCGAGGATTCATTTCCTCTCCGTTGGTGCGGCGTGCGGGTTCGGCGCAGAAAAACAGCCAATAAGCCCTCGCCCAACCCGCGGACCCCACTTCTCCGCGCCGCGCCTTAAGTCGGGGTCCGGGGTGTTGTCCGGGGATGTGGGGAGCCGATCTGGAGACTGAGGGTGAGTAGGCTAGAACAGTAGTATTGGTGAAGTACAACTAATTGTCTGCTCGTGTCTTGTACGTGCTTTTGCATTCTTTGATCTCTCCAGGGCCACCGAGGTCGACGTCCGGGTTGCCATTGAGAAGTCGGCCCTCGAGAGCGCGCGTTCTCGAAGATCAGTCATTTCCTCCCCGCGGTCGGCCGGGTCTTGTCTTCAACTACCGAACCGTACTTGTCCCCGTTGAGGGTGTATTAGTCGGGACTAAGAAGAATCCTGAATGGTAGTATGCTGAAGGTTATTGAGAAGGCAAAAGAGAACAATCAATTCAAACAGTCGGTTTTGTGAAATTTCGAACCCCTTTGAGATCAGTGGATCTGCACCGAGCATGAAGGTGGCCCAATCTACATCAATCCCTTCACCCGCGCTCATCAACGGCTCAGCTCTCACCATATTACCTGCTGGGCAGAAGTCATGACCATACCAAATGCAGACGTCGGCTTGACAAATCCACCAAAGACCCCAGCCTTCGTTAAGTTCAACAAGCCTACACTATCACAACGGGACACCCTGTCCTGCTTCTCTTCCGGCTCCAGCAACCTCCATGGCGCACCTAACCGCCGTCGGTGCTTTGACCAGGAATTTTCCAACGCCTAATAAACCTCATGAACTTTGTCAACAGGCTTACACCCTCTTAGGCTGGACCAAGACGTTCCACCACCTCGAGGATGACGGGAGCTGTAATGCTCGTGGCGATTGACTTGAGAGGTAGAACTGCGCTTGTGCCTGGTGCCTGGTTCATCCCGTTCCACTGTGCCGTCCACGCAGAGCGATGCAGGCACGTGCTTGAGGTTCAGGGCAAAAATGCCTCATACAAATCGTCCTCCAACACACAACCCAAACCCCACAGCGTCGGTCCTCTACTCCATCTGCAGACGAGCCCCCCCCCCCTCGTCCAGCCGCTGCAACAGGACCCGGCCATGGTCATGATCAATGGCGTGAAGTACGGTACGTGTGTTTCCTCGACGAGCCACCCCGATCCATCTGCTCACCCTTCGTCGCAGCTTGCGAAAGTTGTATCCGCGGTCATCGATCATCAGCCTGCGCACATACCGAACGTCCCCTGACCGAGATCCGCAAAAAAGGCCGACCAGTCAGCCAGTGCCCACATTGTCGCGAACTCCGAAAATCAAAAGCGAAACACTCCCGCTGCGAATGTCAAGGCCGGCAAAATGCGCCAGACGTGATACACCTAACGAACGGCGCAAAAGACCTTACGGCGGGATTGGGTGGCGCACAGGGACCGAAAGAGGGCGTGAATGGATTGTTGAATCAGACGTGTGACTATTGTGGGAATGCGCCGTGTATATGCGCGAGTTCGACACCGCAGGTTATGCCGCAGTTGTACTCTGCTACTTCGTCCACTGCGCCCTCGCCCGCATTTGCGCCGACGTTGTGGCCCAGTGCTGCGGTCTTGTCGTCGCCGGTTGCGTATCCGTCACCGTGGATTGGGCCGTCTGGGTCGGTCTTGGCGAGTCCGGCAGTTACGGCGTATGGGCAGTCACCGTGGATGCCGCCCAGTGGGGCCAGTATCGCGCTGGAGAGTCCGATGGTAGCGGGATTGGATGGCCTCGGGATGGATTCCTTCGAACTCGGTCCACCGGCCTTCCCACCACCACTCGATCCGCTGAGCGGTTCTGATCCCCTAAAGGGCAGTCGAAGACGAAGTTCACTGAAAACCGGCTCGACGAACTTGAAGAATGTACGAACCACTCCCTACCAGAAACCTGCACTAAACCCCGGTCCTTCGCCCGCGATGAACCCCGTCACCTCACCCATGCAAAAACCACTACGAAGTCAAGTCTTGCAAAATCAGCAACACCTCGCACGGCAGCATATGAGCAACACCGGGGTGACGGTAGACTACGACGAGATCATGAAAGCGCACGATGATGCTCAGGCAGCTATCCAGCGTCATGCAAATTTGGTCGCGTTGGCGCAGAGTCAGAGTGCGCAGAATTCTCCGGCGTTTGCGCCTGTGCCGGATACGATGGTGAGTGCGGAGGGTGTACAGTACTTCAACATGGGCGCACCACCACAGCCGAGAGGTGTACAGTATCAACAACAATCGAGCCGGAGTATCAGTCCGCAAACACAACAACACTACCACCGTAGTAGTTCCGGAAACGCGACACCTACGAATATGGACAACACCGCCCCGACACCCAGCGCCTACGAATTCTCGCAAAACATGGGCGCCGGTGGACAGAGAGAGTTGACGCCGGAGGAGCTTGCGTTGTTATATGGGACTCCGACCGGTGGGGAGTGTTGTGGACCGAATGGACCAGTATGTGTTACGCCCACGGATGACGTATCACAACAACAGAATACGACAAGACCGGGGATGTATCATCTGAATTCGCATGGTAGTCATAGTCATGCGTCGAGTACACCTACGTCGCAGTCGCCGTTTGTCGGCGCAGTGCCTGGGCCAGGACCGCAGCAGACTTCACAGAATGTCCCGCAGTTGGATTTGTCGGGTGCCGAATTCCATGTTGATGTCTCGTCTGGGTCATTGAGTGCGCAGTGTAATCACCCCACACCGAATGACATCGAGGCCTTACCGATGGATCAATTCATGCAGGACCTGAATCAGCAGATTGTCACAAACGTGAATACGACGCCGACACATTATGGCGGACATGGACATGGACAGGGCTTGACGCAGATTACGGAAGGTGAGGAGGTGATTCATTTCAGTACTTCCTTTGGTGCGCAGCAGGATGGTGTTGGGTTGGGTGCTGGACATGGGTATGTGATGCAGGGGAGTGAAAACGGTGGTGTACCCAGCCCGGTGAATCTGAGTCCGTATCATGGAATGCCCTCTCCTGGAACCCATGTGGAGCATTACCAGACGAGTCCGGTGGTGGATGTTTACGGTGCGAATGGTGTACCCCATGGCCAGCAGGGGTATGTCCTGCAGCAACTACACCAGCATCATCAGCCGGGTAGTAGGCCGGGAAGCGCGAGTGCGGGACCATTGAGTCCGAATTATTCAGAGTTTGTTGATACTGGGCATTTTCAGAGTCCGGTGTCGATGAATGAGATCCTGCCGCCACAGCCGCCGGGAAGTGCGCAGGCGCAGCATGGTTTTGACGCTGGTCACGGTACCGGTGTCGGCCATGGGGTGAATGTAAGTCAAGATGGGATGCTCGACCACGGACACGGGTTTGGGTCGAGACATGAGAGTTTGAGTCCGGCTGTTGAGCAGCAGCAAGTACAGGCTCAGGGTGGGATGTTGCATGTATGATTTATCACGAACGAGTCACGAAAGTTGGAAAGCTAGGCTCGCAAAAGTTCGGAGTTGGATTTGGGTACGCGAGTGAGGTACGTTGCATAAGCAAAGCAAATTGGGAATCTTGGGTTCTGGTTAGATATATGGTGTTACCTTTGATTTGTAGCTAGTGGTTAAGATATCGATATTTTTTGGCATAATGAGGAGATGTTTCTCATGCGTGTAGCCGTTGTCGTGCGAATCATGATGATCAGGCCTACCAATAGGATTGAGTAGACCAAGGGTTCTGCTACGGCAAGTGATATCTCACGCGCTCTTCTGAGTTGACTGAGTCTAGAGAACGGGAAGGATTGCGATGACATAGAGTCAGAATTTGTATCCCTAGACCGCGGCCGTGGTCTGTGGTATGCCAGAAAAAGAAAACACCAGAACTCCGAGACCAGCGCTAGAGACAATACTGGGATGGTGGATCATGAGAAGAAGAGAGAAACCTAACCCAACCTGTCAGATATCGTCAAGGACCCTTTCAAAAGAGACACACTCACAGCCATAGCAGCGCAACACAAACTCACGTACGGACTCAACCTCTCACCTATCCGCGCAGCCTTCCAGAAAACCCCCATGAACCTGTTTGCAAGTCAGTTTCCTCCTTAAAGGAAGTTTACTGCTTACGAACCCATGCTTGTTTCTATCCATGATTGCCGGGGCGTGGGCATGTGCGTATGTTGCGGTACAGATCAGGAGGAGAATGACAAGGAGGAGTGATTGGAAGTTGAAGAGGGCGGACTGTATGCCAAGGTTAGCGAGACAGTAAATTGCAGTGAACGTATTGACGAACCATGATGGAGAATCAATTGGATGTTTCTTGTTCGTATAGGACGAGCTGCTGTTTCCTGACGTATCGCGTATCCTGCATGCCGTCCAGGTTGTCTCACCACCCCTGAAGTTCCGCCCACACGTATACGGGGTCGCGTCGTACAGTCGGCTCGATTATTACTGCGAATAAGATTTCCAAGAGATGTGAATCTCCAGCACATATGGAAGCAGACACAATAGCGAATGATGGGCCGACAGAAGCTCAGAAGTTAAGGGCGGATCATACGGCAGGAGCTGCGGTGGAGGATTCAGGAAACTCGGCTTCAGTACTGGCTCCGGCTCCTGCTCCGCAGGATTCAGGGAATACGTTCCGGTTGTTTGAGGATGTTGCTCAGGCGCATGATACGATGCCGATTGTGTCGGTCAGTAAGGCAATGGTACGGTTTACGCTTTACGAGACGCGTACGAGGTTCTATGTCGTCGGGGCGAATGCGGATGATACTATCTTCCGTGTCTTGAAGATTGATCGGACTGTGGATGTCGGTGAATTGAGTTTGACGGAGGATGATGCGGTGTATAACCGACGACAAGTGCTGGCGTTGTTGGGGACAATTGAAGATGGGAATAAGAGTACGGGGTTTACGAAATTGTTGGTGGCGTGGGGCATCGTTGGGTTCATCCGATTTACGGCGGGGTACTATATGAGCCTCATCACGAAGAGGAGCATTGTCGCACTGATCGGTGGTCATTATGTCTACCACGTCGATGAAACTCAATTACTCCCGATCATGGCTGGACCCACCTCGAAGCTCCCCGACCGTAACTCAGAAGAAGGCCGGTACCTGAGTATCTTCCAGAGCTTGGATCTGGGGAAGACGTTTTATTTCAGTTATACCTACGATATCACAAACACGTTACAGAACAACATCATCCGCACAAGAGCGGCGGCAGCGGCTGGTCCGCATACGAAAGTGAAGACACCGAAACCCATATTCAATGAGATGTTTGTCTGGAATGACCATCTCTTGCAAGGTGCTCGGACATGTTTGAAGGATACGACGGATTGGTGCTTACCGATTATTCACGGGTTCATCGATCAAGCCAAGTTATCGGTGTTTGGGAGGGCTGTGTATATCACCCTCATCGCCCGCCGCTCGCATTTCTTCGCTGGAGCGAGATTCCTGAAGAGAGGCGTGAACGACAAGGGATATGTCGCGAACGAGGTCGAGACGGAGCAGATAGTTAGTGACATGTTGACCATGAGCTTCCACTCCGGTAAGGAGGGGATTTGGGGAAATCCGCGGTATACATCCTACGTCCAGCACCGAGGCTCGATCCCGTTGAATTGGAGCCAGGATGTGACGAACATGAGCCCGAAACCACCGATTGAGATTAATGTTGTTGATCCATTTTATAGTGCTGCGGCATTACATTTTGATGATATGTTTGGGCGGTATGGGGCGCCGTGTGTTGTGCTGAACCTTGTCAAGGAGAGGGAACGGACGCCGCGTGAGTCGCTGTTATTGACGGAGTTCACTGCTTGTATTGAGTATCTCAACCAGTTCTTGGAGGAGGGGAGGAAAATACAGTATATCGCTTGGGACATGTCTCGCGCATCGAAGAGCCGGGATCAGGAAGTTATCCTCACCTTGGAACGTATTGCGGAGCAAGTGCTCGAGGAAACTGGATTCTTCCACAACGGGGGTTCTCCGACGCCCGCAGCCAGAGCTGCTGGACAGCATATCATGAAGCTTCAGCATGGTGTGGTGAGGACGAACTGTATCGATTGTTTGGACCGGACGAATGCTGCGCAGTTCATGATAGGAAAGAGGGCGTTGGGACATCAGTTACATGCACTGGGCATCATTGATGAGCCGTTTGTCGCGTTCGATACTGATGCTGTGAATCTGCTGACGGAGATGTTCCATGACCATGGTGATACGATTGCGTTGCAGTATGGTGGAAGTCATCTCGTGAACACGGTCGAGGGGTACAGGAAGATCAATCAATGGTCCTCGCATTCGCGGGATATGATCGAGGCTGTCCGCCGCTTTTACTCGAACTCGTTCGTGGATGCGACGAGGCAAGAGGCGATTAACCTCTTCCTTGGCAACTTCCGCGTCAGTAAGGATAAACCGAAGCTTTGGGATTTGACGAATGATTATCATCTGCATCACCATGACCCGAGGCTGCCGCGCAAACGGAGGGACTATCAGATGTGGTGGACGCCGAACAACTTGAAAGACTGCGAAGGGCCTCCTGCGATGCCGAAGGTGAAGGGGAGGGTAGAGGAAAAGGTTTTGGCGGATCATTGGACGAACGTGTACAAACCCGTCATATCCTCTTTCCAGCGTGTCTTTGCATACAATGTGAACTCCTCACTCCGGTATCTTCCTCCGGGCGTCATGCAGAAGGAAGGTAGGGAAATGGATATCAGTCCGTTCAAGATTAGGGCGCGGGAAGTTTCTCAACCGAAAGAGATCGAGAAGCAAAAGGAGAAAGCGAGTAAGGAGAAGAGTTTTTCGCTACATCGGTGGTTGATTCATGCGGATCCGAGCATCTCTGCTGTGATGGAGAAGACGGGAAGTTTCCATGACAGTGAAAGATCCAGTGAAAAGGAAATCAAAGATGAAGGAAAACATGAAGGAAAGGTTACCGCCGTTGACAATATTGTGCATGCGTGTTCGCAACCGACGGTGAATGAGCAGGAGATGCAAGAGTACGAGAGGTACATCTCATATCCTCAGGCGCAAACAATCACAGCGGTCATTGCCACTTCTTCGAACAAACCACATCCCGAGTTTACGCCGTATGTCGATATGGCTACTGCCAAGGTCGAGTCACACGGTCCCAAGGAGGAGGATCTGGCAGTGTTTCAGAGGTACCTGGACGTACCGCAGGAAGCAATGAAGATGAAGAGCAATTTGGTGAGTGGCATTGATAGCGAGGAGGTGGTAAAGAAGAAGTATACGGCCTATCAGAGCTGGCTGAAAGGGAGGGGAATGACCGTTGGCAAGGCGGCGGTAAAGGGTGGCGGTAAGGAGACTTGAACCGCCCAATTGGAATGATAGGCTCTACTATGTCAACTGTATTTTCAGCATTTACAAGCATATCGTTAGCTAAAACATGCAATGACGGCTTTACGTCGTAAGCATGCAGCACTGCCGAGGCACATGCGTCCCAATTTTTTGGTGTGGCGTTGAATTTTTGAGTAACCCGACGTCGGTCGCAGCAAAAGGCCTCCTAACCAGCGCAGGCGCTTCAACACTCCCAAGAACAAACGCCTGAGTAGTAATCGATTGTCGGAATTATTCACCTTCTTTTGATACCAGTTTATTCGATTGACTATACGAAATGTCCAAGTCCGCATCCAAGCTCAAGCGTGAGGCCGAGAAGGCCGCCAAGGCCGCCGCGAAGGGCGAGAAGCCTACCGCGTTGAAGTCCTCCAAGAAGGGCACTGACACACCCAACTCTGTCGCTTCCGGTATCGATGGTATGTCCATCGAGGACGATAACTCCAACTTCGACAGATCCGCTGTTGGTGTCTTGACTTCCGACCAGCGTTCCCGCGATATTAAGATCGAGCAGTACTCGCTTTCTTTCCACGGACGTGTTTTGATTGAGAACGCCACTATTGAGCTCAACTACGGTCAGAGATATGGTCTTTTGGGTCACAACGGTTCCGGAAAGTCGACGTTCTTGACTTCTTTGGCTCAGCGTGATGTTCCTATTCCCGAGATTATCGATGTTTACCTCTTGAACTCCGAAGCTGAGCCATCTGATGTCAATGCGTTGGACTACATTGTTGCGTCTGCTAAGGCGAAGGCGGCGAAGCTCGAGAAGGAGATTGACGAGCTTGCGGCGGATCCGGATGTCGATGAGATGTTGTTGCAGGACAAGTACGACGAGTTGGATGATTTGGACCCTAACACTATGGAGGCTAAGGCTTCGATGATTTTGTCTGGTTTGGGCTTCACTGCGCCGATGATGGGGAAGGCTACTAAGGACATGTCTGGTGGTTGGCGTATGCGTGTCGCTCTTGCGAGAGCGTTGTTCATCAAGCCTACTTTGCTTTTGCTCGATGAGCCCACTAACCACTTGGATTTGGAGGCCGTGGTGTGGTTGGAGGCTTACCTTTCCACCTACAACAAGATCTTGGTCGTCAACTCTCACTCCCAGGATTTCTTGAACACAGTCTGTACCAACATCATGGACTTGACTCTCGGGAAGAAGTTGGTCTACTACGGTGGTAACTACGATGTTTACGTCAGGACGAAGGAGGAATTGGAGGTCAACCACATGAAGGCGTACAACAAGCAGCAGGAAGAAATTGCCCATATCAAGAAGTTCATTGCTTCCGCTGGTACATATGCCAACTTGGTCAGACAAGCCAAGTCTAAGCAGAAGATTATCGACAAGATGGAGGCTGCCGGTTTGTTGGAGTCTATCGTCACTCAGAAGCCCCTTTCCTTCAACTTCCCCGAGACCCGCAAGCTTCCTCCTCCGATTATCGCTTTCTCCGACGTTACTTTCTCTTACGACGGTTTGCCCAAGAACGCGCTTTACAAGGACTTGTCTTTTGGTATCGACATGGACTCCCGTATTGCCCTTGTCGGAAAGAACGGTACTGGAAAGTCTACTTTGCTTCACTTGATTACCGGACACTTGTCTCCTATTGACGGTAACATCACCCGTTACTCTGGTCTCAAGCTCGCCAAGTACTCTCAGCACTCTGCTGACCAGCTTCCCTTTGAAAAGTCTCCCTTGGACTACTTCCTCTCCCTGTACAAGGAGAAGTACCCCGAGAAGGAGTTGTCTTACTGGCGTTCTCAGCTTGGTCGTTACGGTATCTCTGGTACCCACCAAACGTCCGAGATTAGAACCTTGTCCGACGGTCTCAAGTCTCGTGTCGTTTTCGCTCAGTTGGCTATGGAGAACCCTCACATCATCTTGCTCGACGAGCCTACTAACCACTTGGATGTCCCATCCATTGATGCGTTGGCTTCGGCATGTAAGGCATTCAACGGTGGTGTCGTGCTCGTTTCTCACGACTTCAGACTTATCTCGCAGGTTGCCGATGAGTTGTGGGAGGTCAAGGACAAGCAGGTGCAGCGTTTGGACATGACTATCCAGCAGTACAAGGAGTCGCTTATGAAGGAGTCTTTCGCGTCTATCGAGAAGGCTAAGCAGTTGGCGAGGACCTCGCAGTCGTCTTAAACTTGATCGTTACTAGGAATGTATGAGTAACAGCCAGTTCAAGTACAAATTAGATAGAATACCATTCGTTTTCACTGATCTCCGAGTACATATATTTTTTTTGGCAGGAGACTGCGCACATGCGGCTTTCACATGTCAGGCGGGGCAGTCCCTACCAGTCGCGGTTTAAGGTTACAGGGCCAAGCAAGGGTCCCACTGGGCACAACCCTGGTCGCTCACCTCTATCTGCGACACCACTTGAGGCAGAACGAAATGCACTCCGCTTTCACGGGGGAGGCATCCGAATACCAGACAGACTGTCAAAGAACGCTCTACGTGAACCTGCACAACGAGCGGTTCAATTCAGTGCTCTTGTCTCTCCTATACGACATTCCTTGACGGAGATACGTATTGTTCATCGCTCGACTCCTTATCCGGTAGCAGAACATCTCTTATCACACATCTATCCACCCCTCTGCAACAGGAATGCCATTGGGAACATCGACATCTGATCTCCCTTCCAATACCGGCCATGTTCACGACTCATGGTCAACACCAAAGCAGCGGCGGACACGGACGCCATCGTCGAGTCGACCTGGGAGCAGAGCTGGTGCATCACGGCCGCCTAGTAGGCCTCCATCGCGGCAGCCAAGCATGGTCGATTTGAATGAGCCTGTTCCGCCGCAACGTGAGAACGGAGCAAGGAGTGGACAAGGAGATGTGCATGGTGGAGCGAAGATGAGTCCGAAGGCGACTAGGATTGTAGAAGGTAGGCTCGTACGACTGATAGACGAGTGACTGTGCTAAATGCTGTTCTTACAGAGATTCTACAGTTAGACGACCTTTATCAGATCCTCGGCGCCTCGCGAACATCCAAACCAGAAGAACTGCGTCGAGCATACCTGGATGTATGCTACTTCATCTCCGCTGTACCATGAATGAGTGCTAATGAGCGATTATCAGCGCTGCAGAATCTGCCATCCAGACAAATTGCCGAATGTACCAGCAGCGACAGCGGCGTTTCAGAAGGTGTCGTTTGCCGTACGTATACTCGTTTTCGCTTCGGCTTCTTCAAGTACTCACATATTGTCTAATACAGTACGATATCCTCTCCTCGTCCTCAAATCGCCGCATCTATGATCATGCCGGTACGCCGCCCTCCAGTATCTCTTCGGCAACCACCACGGCGCCATTCCTGGGGGAATACACCTTCCGAAGCGCAGTAGCCGCTGTATTGAGGGAATTCATGGAAGGAGATTTTACGTTATTGAGAAAGGCATTTCAGGTATTGAATCGGCAATATCCGAGTTTGGGGCTTGGAGAAGAGGTGTTAGAAGCTGTGGAGAGGAGTTTCTCGAGGTTGAGAGAGGTCGTTCTGGGTATGAATTCCCTTGTGATGCAACCGAACGCATCAGCTAATGAGTTGGTACAGCAACGCAAACGTACGCTCTTCTCCTCTCGATCGAGCTTCACCGCGTCAATCGTGTACGGCAGCATATGAGCACACTGTCGTACTTCGATCTTGTTAATCGGTTTCACGTATCGGTGCAGCTGGCACGGGTGACGTTAGCGATTCCTATGCGGATTGATTATGCGACTAGGATGAGAGCAGAGGAACGTGAAAGAGCGAGAGGAGAAGTTGAGGGAGAACGTGAGCGAGGGAGGAGGGGATTGTTGAATGAGAGGGTGATGAAGCTACTTGGTGGGGTGGTGGATGTGTTGGAGGTACCGTCGACAGTCCAAAATCTCTGAATACCTGGCTAATGGTTGTACAGATGATGGAGAATCACCGCGGCGTGGATCTTGACGATGAGGAGGATGATGCTGGGAGTTCGAGCTCAGCGAGCAGCGAAGGAGAGAGGAATGATTGGATTAGGGATCCTGGAGAAAGAAGGAGCAGGAGCAGAAGAAGTTCGAGTACAGGATACGACTTCAACCGGACCCGCGCAAATGGGTGGTTCTGGAGCGAGAGACCTACACCAAACCCAAACGAGACCCGAGCAGGCGGATGACTGAGTAACTGGTCCACACAAGGGGTATGAGTATTAGTATGTACGATATATCTGAGGAACATATATGTCACGTATCTGGGGATGCGAAAGTGGAAGTGGAAGAGAAAGAAGGCACTGCAGATGTTAGAAGTCCTTCGCAATGGGTTACGCCTAGGCAATTTCGTCAGTATTCTAAATGGGGGTTTGTCGCATATCATATACAAAAAGCATTCTATGGTTGTTGATGGTATACACTCTTGCACTTGGTTTGATGTTTGTTCAATGTCTTGATTTCGGAGTTGACCACTTCGAAAGCCCGGGTCCTCAAGCTTTCCCACGCATCTCTGCACGTTATCATGTATGCCTGTCTCAACGCGAGACCGCTCTCACCAGGCAGAGTTCCGGTTGAATATCTTACAGAAAACAGCCAGCTCCCGTAAGGCTCTTTCAAGTTTTGTTGGGATAAATTGTATCAGTCTCCGAATTCGAATTTGAACATGTACACTTGTAAGATCCATGATGCCAGTTCTCCATTCAAAAGCTCACCAAGGCTATCCCATTCCTATCTCCAACCCCAAGAAAATGAGCGTTGGTCTGCGAAGCATCAGAAGAGTAGTTCAAGTTATCGTGATCAGACTTCTTCCGCGGCTGCATTCATGGTCATCATGTTCTCATGCTGTAAGAGAATTATTTGCAAGCACGTCCTAACCCCATCACAACACATTTCCTGCATTGTAGCCTCTCAGACCTCATACTCTTCCTAAATCGAAAAGCTTTTGGCCGTTCTGTGGGTAGTGTGGGATGTTGTCTACGTTACACGCGCAGACGTCACTTCTTTGCCGTTTCCGGGATCTGGGACACACCGACGGCACTGCGTTTGACCGGAGCACCATGCACACCGAGAAGCGAGGCTTCAAAGGGACGGAAGATGACAACCTAACTCACAAGACCGAACATTCGTTTGGTTATGGCATTCTGCGGCGACGTAAGCCCATCGCCTTCGTGAAAGCTGGCGAGCTGGCGGGCACGTCGGAGGGAAGTGCGCAGAAGAGACGGGTGGAGAAGTCTTCTGGCAAGGATGTTGCGGATTTTTACAGAAGTATGATGGGCAATAAACACTCTACGGATCAAGCATTGAACACACTATACTTTGCTCAACAGCAAACGGGCGCAGAGATGGACGGTACTGTCGGAGCGCCACTAGAACACGCCAACCTCGAAAATGACGAGAGTAGCGAGGGCGAGTGGGTGGAAGAAGATCTGGAAGAAACCGCCTCAGTCACACCTTCAGAAATGCTGATGGTGTCCGCGTCCACATTTGTCTGTCCTACGTGCAACACTGACGTCAATCGAGCGGACGTTACACTTCACAACACATCCATCGCTCATTTGTCGCGACTAAAACACTCACAAGCACTTCTAAACCCCTTACACATCAAGCCGTCGTCATTTGGCTACAAGCAACTTGTTGCAGCTGGCTGGTCGCCATTTCAACCACAAGGTATCGGAGCGGAAGGTCGTGAAGGTCAGCGGGAGCCAGTAAAGGTTAAAGTGAAGACTGATACAATGGGTGTCGGTGTGAAGGTGCTACCTAAGGGTGATGTAGAGGTACCAAAACCTGGGACTCTGGATGGCAGAGCTATCAGGAAGATGCACGAAGCGGAACAGAAGAAGAGAAAGAGGTTGATGGATTACATGCACAGTGCTTGATATAGGGGGTTTTCTGGATTTGGTTTGGTTTGATTAAGATAGAGGACGGCGTTCTTGCTTCTTTGCTATAAGTCTTTCTAGTGATATACTTCACGGTGCCAATCGTTCGATGATGAACTCGCCCGGTCCTTCTGTCGATGCCTGATCTACGCTCTCAAGCGGGACTGTTCTCCGATATACCAAGCGATCATGCAATCTATTGTTCCTTCCCTGCCAAAACTCGACTTCTTCGGGGACGATCCTCAGTCCTCCCCAGAAAGGCGGCACTGGAATCTTTTCTTGTCCACCAAACTTGGTTTCTGCGTCTTTGACCCGCTGATCCAGAACGTCTCTGTTCTCGATTGTTGAAGATTGCGGAGATGCCCATGCACCGATTCTCGAGCCCCGAGGCCTTGTATCGTAGTACTCCTGCGACTCTTCGGCAGTCAAGCGGACAGCAATACCCTCGACACGAACTTGTCTCTGTAGTGGCTCCCACCAGAACGTCAAGCTTGCTCGAGGATTCGTGGCCAAATGTCGTCCTTTCTTGCTCGTTTCAAAGTTGGAGAAGATGACGAAGCCTTTGGAGTCCAACTGTTTCAACAAGACGTATCTTGACGAGACACGACCGGACGGCAGCTCCGCCGTCGAGAGAACAACCGCATCAGGAGATGTAACCTCGCTTGACTCTTTCGCATGACTGAACCAGGTATGGAAGGTCTTGAACGGAGATTCGGGATCGACCTGGGAAAGGTTGAGAGAGTCTTTAGTGTACTGGTAGCGATCTGGCGCAAAGACCAAGCGTTGGTCGCGGGACGGAGGTGCGGAGTCAAGGTTCATGAGTGAGGAGGATGTAGTGAGCGGACGGAAATGTTTTGAGAGGATGCCGAGACGCGTACGTTGGAGCATTCGATGGGTGTAGGTTTTCGGAATTAAGGTTGCCGGCGGGGAGCTGCATAGACGTGCGTCACGTATGACGGGTGTCGTCGTTCCCGTGGGAATGACTTCTAATGACGTCCAGAATCTTGTGATATAAGATAGTTTCAGCGCATGAAACTCATGCAACACTGACGTCCATGATTATTCCAAAGATACTTCGCACCAGCGCGGAGATGATTCACCAAGACACAAAATTCATGACCATTGTGGGGATTGAACCCACGACCTTCTCCGTTTTCTTGATCTGTAAAGGAGACGCCCTAACGACTAGGCCAAACGGTCTTTTGATTGCTGCATTAGTTCTTAATGCAAACTACACGAATCAAAACAGAGCAATTCCCGATCAAAGTCGCCGGCGGCCTATCGGCTGCCGGCGGTGTCCCTTCCAGATGGCTACATATGCATTATAGACATTTTGCAATTTGACCCACACTTGAGTCTTGTTGTCTCAGGCCTGTGAGGGCACTCGTCTAATTCAGGCCCATGTGACCGGAAGCTCTCAAGCCTGCGAAGAGGGAGGAGGGGACCGGTGATTGGAAGCGTATGGAGGACAAGACATAAGTCATCCTTAACATGATGCCCGGCGAGTGACCCAAGCCACCTGAAGCCAACCACTTAAGCCTACCTGCGAGGAGTCAAAAGCACATCTCGACTGGAGATCGAAAGGGTATGAACGACACCACATAAATCGCCGTTAAATGTATTCTACCAGAGGTGAAGCCTATCTACTGGTGGTTGCTAAGATCATGCCTTGATTCTTTTTGAACCACTAAGGACCGGTACTGGTATGGATGACGCAGCTGATCATATTCTGAGTTAGCATTCCCACGCGTAGGTTAGTGTGGATCTGAATGCGCCTGCCTCACCTCTGTACTCAGGTGGAGTAAGTCATCCGAACGGGTTCATGATTTCAAGCCAGCTGCAGGTTAGCTCAGTCACACCATAGGAAAATGCAAGAATGAGGATATCAAGTGACAGTGTTTGAAAACATCATGAATTGGAAGGTATCAATATCCAAACAACGCCATATCCCAACCCCCATCCTACAGACCACAGTCCACCTTACTCCCCAATCTCCGCCAAAACATCTTGCCACCCCTCGACCCCCCTCCTCCCGAACTCTGTCATAGCGCCAGCCCATCCGGACATCATGTCCCTCAGCGCAACACCGGATACACCTCCCGCCGCTCTACCATCACGCACCTCCGCACCCTCACTCTCACCTTCACCCTCCTCCGCCTTCCCCTCCGCCGAGTATGTGACTGAGCCGAAGTACCTCTCAATCTCCCTCCTAACAGCCTCATCACAAACCCTCCTATCCCTCTCCGCAACCTCTACCCCAGACGTCAACTGCACAATCATCTCCCTCGTCTTCCCAATCTGATTCCGGCGCGTGGTGGACGGGTCTTGATCCAGAATTCCTTGGAATGCGTGGTTGAGTTTTCCGAGGACTGCGGACATTCCCATTCCGCTTGATCCGGAGCGCTTTTTGCGGTCTGTTGGGGGTGGGATGGCGACGTCTTCGGGGGGTGGGATATCGTCGTCGGGGCAGGTGGGGGAGGAGGTGATTGAGGGGCCTTGGATCCGAGATAACATCCCATCAATCCTCTTCGCCTCTAACTCAGATTTCTCGAGATGTTCCAACGTCTCCTTGGCTTTCTGCAATGCCTCCCTCGTAGCGATATACTGCGCTTCTTTCCCCGCCCGAAACTTAAGTACATCCCTCACAGCCTCCACAGACCCTCTCCGTTCAACCAGCGACTCGCCGAAACCGGTGGCGATGGATTGTGCGAGGGCAGCGACGGCGAGGTAGGTGTGATCTGAGGCTTGTCCGCAACGCTCGAGCAGTGTTGGGAGGGTTGTGGAGGTAAGTGAGAACCCGTTGTATGCGGCGCCGAGTTCGGCGTATTCGGCACTCAGGTCGGCTAAACGGCGGACGAGGCGTCTACATGTTTTCTCCATGGTGGGTGCGAGTGTGCGTTCGAACTCCTTGAGGCGTGCGTCGAGGTCGGGGTAGCCGGCGGCATTCTGGCGAGCGGTGAGAATGGAGGAGGAGGAGGGCGCGGGTAGGTGTGCGTGTGCGGGTGTTGGGGAGGAGGGGTTGATGGGTGGTGCATGGTATAGGGATTTTGGGAGGGTGTTGAGGGGTGGGGTGTGATTGATCTCGCTCTGTTCATCTGTTAGCATTCATTCAAGGATCAAAGTCAGGTTAACGTACCCAGCTGACGTCGTTCTCCAAGAACCTATGGAAAAAGTGGCTAGCACGAAGATGGGGATGCATCGCGCATTTCCTCAGAAAGACAGTGAGAGCACGCTTTCGATACTCAATGACAGTGACGTCTTCCTTGGCTTTTGTAGGGTGTGCGACATATGCTCCGGCGGATTGCTTCTCCGGGATTGGTGGGATGATGCATGTTGGATAGAGTCGACAAAGAAATTTGTGGAGAGATGCAAAATCGGAGTATCGTCGGCGGACGGGGATGAGGTTGTTTTGGCCCCAGGTGTAGTTCCCTCCCGAGTTTGAGGAGGAAGTAAGAGATATGGTGTAGACAACGAAGTTGCCTTCGCTGGATTTTGACGCTTCCGTGATTGTGATGCCCCCGTCTTGGGTGTTAATGCTGGCGAGGATCTGGCCAATGCGGCAGCATGAAGACGGGTCCTTTGGTCTCAAAACGTCTTCATCACTTTCGTCGTGCTTGCTTGGCGGTTCGCTCGATTCTGTCGCTTCCCTCCTGTCGCCAATGCTCAGACCACCTGAATACTCCGCCGGCACCTCCTCGTCCTCACCCTCACCGAATGCTGGGGACCCGGTAGTCTGTTCTTGCTGTGGTTCCGCTTCCTGCTCGTGCTCCTCCCTCGACGTCGAGCCTGAGGCATAGTAGTAAGGATGGAACGAGCTTGGGCGGTTGTCCTCCGTTGGAGAGGATGAGAATGGATTGTTATCCTCGTAGGACATTGCGGGTGCTGATGGTGTAGAGGAGGTATCCTATCCTGGGTGCGGCTCGGCGGATGACGCTGCTGAGGCACGGTTGCGCAGGGATTGCAGGAGCACCGTTACCGCAACACAGCGAGCGGGACACCAGACAGCCGCGACAACACAATCGCTGTGAATGGCAGAGACAGTGCCCGCCACCGCGTACGAAGAGGCCATCTGCCGCGTCTGTCGCTCAGAATCAACACCCGAGGATCCTCTCTACCATCCCTGCAAATGCTCCGGTACAATCCGATACGTTCATCAAGACTGTCTAGAACAATGGCTTGCACACTCCGGAAAGGATTACTGCGAACTATGCAAAGCGAAATTCAAGTTTTCGAAGATGTATGCGCGTGATATGCCGAGTAGGCTTCCGCTGGTTCAGATTGTGTTGAAGGGTGGACAGCATGCTGTCCTTGGGTTGTTCTGGGTTGTACGCACGATTGTGGTTACGTGTATGTGGTTTGGAGTTTGGCCGTTTGCTGTGGGACTTACATGGCTCATGCTTTTCAAACGGGAGTACTCATGGGCATCCGGTATCCCATTCCTTGCGTCGGATCTCGACACTCTGCCATCTAACAATAACACCACCGCCGCAGTAGAGAGCGCGGCCAAGCAAGATACTATCTACGTCTCCGTCAATTGGCTCGGTATTGTCCTACAAGGCTACGTCATCATCATCTCCCTCGTCGTATCCTGCCTCGCCGTCTTCCTCCTCCGCGAATGGATCGCACAATATCAGCATATTGCCGCTGCCCGCGAGGGCGCCGAGGCGGCCGAGAACAATGCTGCTGCTGCTGCTGCTGCGCCGGCACAAGCACAACCTGGAGCGGTAGTTCGACAACTTGCGGAGGTTGATCTAGCAGCCGGAGCGGGAGGACAGCGGGCTATGTTGCCGGAGGAATTGCGTGCGGCCTTGAGGGAGCAAATTGCGATTTTGCAGGCACAACGGGATGCGGCATTGGTTGAGCAGGGCAACGGAAATGGCAACGGCAACATATTCGAAGTGCCTGCTGCACAGCAAGGCGAAGATGGAGACAATGAAAATGAAGATGATGAGTGGGTCGACGAGGACGAGGACGAGGACGAGGATGAGGATGAGGAGGATGGGGGTGATGCTCAGATGCTCATCCGTGAAATGACTGCAAGGGAAGCGAGAGCAGCTGCTAGGGAAGCGCGAAGAGTTGGTCTGGACCCTGAAGATGCGGAGATCCAGCTTAGGCTTCAGGAGAGTATGGACAGGGCAGAAGCAGCAGCTCAGGCTGACGCGAATCATGTGGAATATGCAATCGAGAGCACGACGCCGGCTGGACCCGCACCTACAGTCCCTGCTGCTCCGAACCAGGGCTTCTTCGACTACATCAACGACGCACTCAACGAACCACCAGCCCCCGACCACGACCACCCCGAGGACGACCCCCTCATCCCCCCCGAAGACGAAGAAGAAGGGTTCGAGGGTATCCTCGAATTCCTCGGTTTCACAGATGCCTTTGTTAACGTTATCCAGAATGTGTTTCTGGCATTGGTTTTCTCGTCTGCGTTGCTGTGTTTTGGGGTTTTCATACCGGCTGCGGTGGGGGATTTGGTTATTCGGAATTGGAAGGCTCCGGTGGATGCGCTTGAGGCGGTGGGGAGGTTGTTGTGGGTACCGGTGAAGGGGTTGTTGGATCCGTTGACGGCGGTTGAGACGGTGAGGGGGTTGGGGGAGAATGTGGGTGCGTTTGTGGCGAGGCATGTGCCGTTTGAGGCTGGGTTTAGGACGAGGGTTGAGGATACGCTCATCAAAGGGATGGCGCACTTTGTCTCATCAAAGACCGCGGCGACGAATGCGAATGGAACGGAACCTGAAGGTTTCATTGTTGCTGCTGCGCCCGTTACCATCAGCCTTTCCAGACGTATCCTTGCGGGGTACGGAGTCGCGTTTGCCATTGGCTTCGGGTATCTCAGCCTCCCCTTCCAACGTCTCCTGCGGCGATTCATCCCCCGTGGTGGACCCCAGGTGGACATCATCGATCAAATCAACGCCGTCCTCATCTCCCTCCGCAATGTCGTGAAGGTCTTTGTCATCCTCTCGATCGAGCTGATCTTCTTTCCCGTCTATTCCGGCGTCCTCGTTGATCTCGCGACTATCCCCGCCCTCGGTCCTGAGGTCACGTTGACGAGCCGATGGCAGTTTGCTGTTGCTAACCCATGGACGAGTGGGTTCTTGCATTGGTTCTCGGGCACGGTGTACATGTTCCAGATCGCCACTTTCCTTTCCATGACTCGCTCTGTCCTGAGGACGGGCGTGTTGTACTTTATTCGGGATCCGAATGATACGTCATTCTCGCCATTTCAGGAGATTGCTACGAAGTCGTTTTTGGCGCAGTTGAGGAAGATTGGGATTAGTAGTATCATCTACTTGATTTGGATTTTTGTTTGTCTGGGGAGTGCGTTGACGATTACGCGCTTTTGCGTTCCGGGTGTGTTGCCGTTGCATCTCATGGGTGCCTCGCCGCTCTTTGAGCTCCCTCTCGACATGATCGCTTGGTTTATCTTCGTGCCGGTCGCTATGCAATATGTGGTTTACCCGGCTCCTGTGTTCAAGGGTGTTTGGAAGTGGTGGTACAGACAGTTGGCGTCATACCTCCGCCTCTCCTCATTCTTGTTCAACGGCCGCTACCCCGAAGAAGAACGTGATGGATCGAAATTATTCCTGCGCGTTCCGGTGAAGGATAACGTTCCCGTAAAGAAGGGAGTTCGGATGCTCGTACCAGTTACGGAGGACAACCGTCGGTTGGATTCGACGGAGAAGAACAAGGAGGATAAGACTAGGACGGATGAGAGGTATCAGGTGGTTTATGCGCCGCCGTATTTCTGGACGAGGATATTCTTTTGGTTTGTTGGGCTTTGGGCGTTCGGTACGGTTCTTGGACTTGGCTTGGGTGCTGCACCACGTATGTGAAGTCTGATCCTTTTGTGTGATTACAGTGCTAACTTTGGACACAGTCATCCTTGGTCGGGTTATGTTCGCCAAGATTCTTCCTGCTGATGCCCCAGTTCCTAGTGATATTTACGCAGTGACGTTGGGCTTGGTACCGTTGGGTTCTCTGGCGTCGGCTGTTGTTGCGTATCATGCGAACAAGAAGGACGTCACCAAGGCACTAGCACCCCCAGGTTTCTTCATGCGGGGCCTGGTACGTGTCGCAAGTTTACTGTTCGTCATGTTCACCCTCGTTATCGTCGTGCCAACAGCCTACGCTCTGGTCTACGAATTGTACTTCGCTGCTCCGCTAAGGTGGTTCTTGGGGGGCAAGACAGAGATAAACTTTGGCATGAGCTGGACTACGGCATTCGTCTTATACCACACGTTTGTCGCCATGAAGTATTTCGTATGGGAGAACGAGACGCAATATGCTAGGGACGTGAGAGCTATCTTCAGTGATGGCTGGCTCCAGCCGAAGGTCCGCGACGCTATGCTGTTGCTCGTCTTGCCAAGCCTTGGCTTGTGTGCGACTCTCGTGATTTTGCCGTTGCCAATTGTCATTCTGGGAGAAAGGACAATTCGTGAGTTGCCTTCATGTCTGTGGTTTTCGTCTGCTAACATCTCTGTAGTACGCGAATCCAGCCCCGAAGACATCACCAAAGCATATCGTCTGTGCTACCCTATCTCCTTCCTGAACTGGATGCTGATAAAGGGTGCTTTCTTCCTGAAGGGCAAGTTCGATGTCTGGCAGCTCAAGGTCAAAGATGAGATCTACTCAGTTGGTACGCAGCTTCACAACATGGATGCCGAAGAGCGCGAAGCGGCGTCTGCCGCCGATGCTGCTACAGATGCCTCTGTGGCACAATAATGCCCTTAAATGCGGCACGGACGACGAAAGGGCAGGAACCCCGATTTTAGGACATAGACGATTAAAACCTCGAATAGGTGTTTCGGTACGATTGCATGGCGTTTCTTGCATTCTATTTTTGCACACACGAGGAAAGAGGAGGCTTTCTGCTGGCTTGAATTTCGTTACACACGGTTTAAATTCCTTATATACCGGTGCTTGTAAATGTACTGAGCCTCCACTTTATATCTTACCATCCCATCAGGCATTTGCATCAGGTGTGTAGATCTCCCGGAACGCCAAGCCGCTCATGGGCCTATCTGGGCCCTTTTTGATCCAGATGTGACTCGGATCTGACCGGGTTTTCGGTCTGATTTGGACCCGTTCCCAGGCCGACTTGAAGGATTTGGTGCTGCTACATGGAGAGGAGTTGAACCTATTGCAATCTCGGAGCGTATTGCTTTCCTTAGAAGTCACAGGGAAGTCGTAGATATCGAGGGACTCGGGAGCCGACTGAGGTCCGCGGGACTTGACTTGTGCTTACGAGCGGAAGAAGAGCGGAGTGTGGTGCGGGAGAGCAACCTGCCGTCGTAATAAATGACATGCAATGTGCTTGGCATGCAATCTGAGGAGGAAGCAGGTTGCCTCTCGATGGCCGGATAATGTTGAAGTGATGCCCTCTAGAGCTGGACCATTACTTCCGTGTAAGAAAGCTTTGCGTCCGTGCTTCTTCGCTATCGTAGGTACCTGGTAGCTACACCCGTAACTATGCATCCAAATCTGAAACTGTCCATGCGCAGTTTCGGTTCGCACGCCCGACCATAAGGACTTGTAAGAAACACCAACATGCAGCTGCTGGCCAAGATCAGCTGGGGGAAAGCAAGGCATACATCCCTCCTGCGTCACTCAACCTTGACGATTAACAGAGGGCCCACGGGCTGGAAGCTCCACACGCCGCGATGAGACTGGCAGATCAATCGTCACGCGTATGCACAGACATCCGATGCTACACAGTTCATCCAAAAGTACGTACAAGCGGTCCGGGCCTCGGGACGTACGGCAAGGCTTGGCTACAATACTTCTCCTCCCAACCAGTGGATCAGGATCTGGGCTTTGATGAGGTTACGGCCGCCATGGACGGATAAACTGGAGCTTCTCAGTACTTCTCGACTGCGGTTACCCATATGCAACTCAGGCTCCGAATACAGCAGCTCGGCCATCTCGAAGGTGTTTAATGACGGGAGGGTCTATTTATAGCAATCTCGGGCGGGTTCAATGCAGGGCTTAAAAACGGAAAAAACGGTTGTCCATGCAGCCGAGACTGTGCTTATACCGGTATATCGTGCACGCTAGACTGGCCAATGTCAACAAACACTGGTAACCTTCACGGCTCAAGAAACGGCTGAGCTCGAGCGATGCCATCAAATATACATCTCTCACCTAAGCGCTTTTGCCTTGGTGGTCTGAGTGGTCTGCTCATTGCCAGTCAGATTTACAACGAGGCCCAAGCTGCTGCGAAATGAGTGTGCATGTGGACGCGTGCGGGGTAAGCCCATCGGTCCCGGGTAACATCTGAGATATCATCTTGGGCCTCTCCCGATCATTTGCAAAGGAAGGCGCCTTTCCACATCGTCAAGCTGACCTCGGGTCTCAATTCCCAGTCAAACCAATCACTCCACCCCTCGGACTCTCCCTATCATGACGCAGGTCGCACACCGGGCATCAGATGCCGGTCCGATCCTGTCTCGGAGAACGGATACGCATAACCACCGACTCTATCGCGGGGTCGGTCGAGGTGATCCCTAAACCCTTCTCCACTGCCAAGGACATCGATGACATTATTGATGAGGAGTTAATCCATTATCGGGCTAGTTTTAGATGCAGCAGCGGGGAGAGGGGGGTTTCTATGCCGCTGGATTGCTTCGCACAAGCCTTGCTGTGTCATTTAATTGCGAACGAGAATAAACTGCGTCGAGAAACCTGGAAGCAGGACCGCTCACACTTCCCCCGAAACGCCTTGCGCCCGCCCTCGTTTAAGGTCATTACCGTGGATAATGGTTACGTCAGCAGCCCCTCCTTCAAGCAGTTGGACCACAGAGTCTCCTTCGCGGTTAAAGTACTCGTAGTACTCGTATACGAATCAGATGGGTGTTCAGGCCATACGATTGTACCTGCTCATGAAACACACTGCGGTCCATGCGTATTGCTTCGAATGCCAATTGTGGACAGCTCCCTCGTAACTTAAGTGCGAGACGTAACCTTGGTGTGATGCCGGGAGGTTATTCGAAGCTTGGCTTACTGATCATTGCAGTTGAATGGGTTGATTGGGCATAATACACCTGGAGCGGGTGAGGTCAGTATGCGGGTAACCTAGACCCCTGTCATATTTAAGGTGACCAACCTTATTTCCCCCACACCTGACCTCCTACCATACGGACGCTTGAGCCGCACCGAGGTTGGGGGAGATATCAGACGGGCCGAAGACGGTGACCACATGCTCTTCGAATTCGCATCTGCTGTGGTACGAAGTTGGTTTACCTAAGCATGGAGCACCCGCGCAGCAGGCCGTGGACACGGTGCGTTGCCTCGCTTGCTCGAGCAATGAACGCATAGGAACGGAGGTTCATAAATACGGGGCCTTCCGCAGCCTTTGTATGCCATCCATCAAGCTATTTGCATACGTCTTTTTGTGACATCAACTCTCGCTTCCATCCTCTCATCATCGGACGCTGCGCTGATCGAATCTGTCTTCGGTCCACTCGTTTTCATTTCAACCTCCCAACCGCGCTCTCGGTCACGAGAAAAGCTTAAACCTGGTCAACGCGCTGGATCGTTCGGCTGTTATCAACTGGTCATCTACAAGTAGCGAGGCCATTGCCGTTTATAAGAAGATCCACCCGCACATCGCCATCAATCAGCATCTCATGCCAGCCATGCCAGCCATGTCACCCACTCGTCGCACTGCTATCGCTTGCACTGCTTGTCGCACTCGCAAAATCCGTTGCGTCCCTTCTCCAACTGATCCCGCTCGCTGCAATCGTTGCACCCAGCTCGGCATTGCCTGTGTCGTCAAGCTCGCTGAGGGTGGTGCTGTTGAGAGACGCTTGAAGGAGGTTCAGCATGTGATCAAGTTGGAAGGATGTTGTTGTCGTTGTCATGAGGTCTCTGAGCCTCCTCCAATGTTGAGTGAACACTCCTCCGAGGAAGCTGCTTGTGAGGAGCAGGAACATGAGTCCACAACTCCTCAATACACGCCTCCGCAAGCGCAATACTCTCCCACCAACACTCACTACTCGCCGGAGCAATCGCAACACTCCTCGGTCCCCTACACTCCTGGTCCCGTCTACGAACCGGCAAGTCAGTTATCGCCTGGACCTGTTCGTCGCCGACCTCAACCTCTCGAGCTGGACTACTCGCCCATCCCCATGTCCTCCCACCAACAACCGCACCCTTCGCCTCTCTATCCCCCCGTGTACACAGGTCCTTCCATGCCTCCTACTGGTACGTTCTCCCATGGAAATTACGACTATGGAATGGCACCGACTCAACAGAACCAACTGCAGCCAGTCGGGGAGATCTATTCGTCGTGGGATGGATTGAACAGCACTCACGGGTGCCACGCTCCCGTCCTCAACTCTCACCAAACTGGCCTCACGGATCCGTCTCAAGCATCATGGCCGCCGAGTCCGCCCAACTCTCTTCCTCCTTCACCGACCGAGGTCGCCATGAGAATTTCACAAAGGCCGAGCCTTGGTCACCGAGCTATGAGCGTCGTTGATACCGGGTACCCTTCTCTACGTCCTCCTTTCACTTTCTCAAGGAGGGCAACGTACCACCCCGAAGGTGGTGCCGGGTTACAAATGATGTGCCATAACGAGATGGCTCCTTTTGATAGGGCTGCGTATGATATTGTTGCTAGCGGTCATGGTGTCGGATTTCCTGCGAGTTTTTAGGATAGCATTTACTGGGTATGGAGCACTTAGCAAACTTCTTGGGTGTGCTGGGGAGGTTTACGTATTGATAGACAGGATGTCTTCCCCCTTTGAGTGAGCTGGTTGGAGCGAACCAAAATGTATGCTACTTTTTGCAGTTGTGTATCGGACTTTAATGGAAGCACTGTCGTTCACGCCCTTGACTTCCAAAGTTCATTTATACTGTGCATGCGGACGGTTTACCATATGCATCGGCTGGTATAATCGCACCCTGGTGTATTAGTTACAGCCGATGCAACGTGAATTTTCACGGATATATGCTTCCGTGAAATGACCCGAGGAGGTTTGAAGGCCATTAACGTGTACCACGGGCTCAGGGCTGGTGCGGTGAGAGAATTGTTACCTGCCCATGGTGGTTTACACGTCTCCGGGCTTATGATGAGAATCACGAACGGAGGGAAGGATTTGAACTGAAACAAAGATGGGCCTAATGCCATTCTATTGACTAGACTATCCTAGAGCTTACGAGTCTACAAGTCTACAGGTCTACTGTTCTGCGTTGATCGAGTTGAATCGATCGTGTTTTCAGCAGTAAACACAGAACGCTGTCATGAAAATCGAAAAAGAAGAAACATACCAGAACGCCCCTAACGCCGAAAGCAGATTTTTTGAACGGTTTTCGTGACTCGGAAAGTCTTTTTCCCTTTTTTTTGTGATTTTGTAGTTTTCTCTAGAAGAGTTGTTAGAGGATCACCAACGAAAGCGTATGCGACACTTACCTGACGTTGAAATCACGGTTGTTCACCAACCAAAAACACTGTTCCGCTTAGAAATCTTGGTCGTGGTCTCCAGCTGCGCATTCATTGCGCTGGCTTTGTTGAGGACAGAGCCGATGACCTCAATTCTCTGGTTCTCCGCCTCCAATTTTGCCAGCAAGGCCTCCATATCAGGTTCGGGCTCTGCCACCTCCTCCGTGAGCCTCGTCGCCTGCTCGCAGGCCTCACTGGCAGTCTGGGAGACGGAAACCTTGACATCGAGTTCGATGTCACTTTTGACCGTCGCGGACTCAATGGAGTCGAGGTGGATTCCGGAGTCATCGGAAAGACGGCGGTCCAGAACAGTGATGGTTGTCAATTGCGACTCGACAACTTGCTCTTCACCCTCCCCAACGTCGGCATTAGCAGTAGCAACCTTGGCAGCAGAAGCAGCCGAAGTCATAGAAACGGTCTCACGAGTACTTGAGAGCACCTCAATAGCTTCGATCTCGGCAACAGTTTCGACTTCATCCTCAGCATAGACCGAGGACGAAGTCGGAACTGGCTCGTCGTCCAACTCAATAGTGACGTCACTGTCTTCCCCGCCCAAAGCGGCAGCGGAAGAGAGGACGGAGTCCAGCAAACTGAATTCCGGGCAAGCCTCAGGCTCCATGAAGGAGTCCAAGGTGCCAACGACACTGTTGGCTTCGACAACGGGCTCCAGGACCGAGGCGGTTGAAGCAATCTCAAGCACTCGGGAAACGATCTCCATGACGGCGGCTTCTTCGCACGACGAGTTAGCAAAGAGGCAAGGGGCAGTGCTCGCCTCAACAACACTTTCGCAAGCTTCAGTAACTTGCTCGATGATGGCGTCACTGGTGACGCAGGCGGTTTCTCCGCAAGCCAAGGCAGTAGAGAGGATGGGGGTGTGATCACCCTCAGCAATGAGTTCACAAGCAATAACGGCCTGCTCGATAGCAGAAACATCCGCGATGGTGGCGGATTCAACGGCCCAAACAGAAGCTGCCTCAAGCTGCTCCTTAGGCGTCAAGCAGCAAAATGTAGAGCGGGCGGCCTTTTTGGCACCCTTAGCGACCTTAGTGAAGGTCTTCTTCAAAGAAACGTTCTTGGTAATCTTGTTGAACATTTCGTGGAAGTTTGGTTGTGTGTGTTTAGGTGTATGTGTGGTAGTAGGAGAGTTCGACAGAGGGAGAAGTTTTCACGGCGAGGAAACCTGGGAATTTATTTTACCCATCCGCACTAGCGTTTAGCGCGGATGCTACTGTCAGTGCTCCCAATCCGGTTTGCCTGGTACACGAGAACAGAGACCGAAGGGCTGAGGATTGGTAGCCCCTTTTTCAGCTTTGTCTTCTTGAGAGATACAACTTATCAAACAGTTGATAATTTGATAATCGCTCTTATATATTTTGAACGAAGCTAATTGAGGGCTCTCGCCCGGCCTCTAATCGTAATAGTTACGAATGTTCGCATAAATAAGATCAAGTTCACGGTAAGAGCAAGTAAGAGACAATGAGTGGCTTTCAGTAATGAAATATTTGTAAGTATCAATTATCCAGATTCGCTAATTCGTACATCGCGATCGCGACTAAAGGCAAAGGTAACGGACCCCCCCCCCCTAACCCAACCCCCAACAGGTATATTTCCCAAGTCAAATGAACGCCGCCATATCTAAGATACACTCTAATAAGTCCATAACAACTATCCATGTGAAAAATTCGCAGCATACATCCGCTCCCTCAGTCAAAAACACCCCTCACTTTCTGCGTAGCACCCTGCGTGGGACCAACCTCATCCTCATCCATATCCTCCGCCAACTTTCGCGTCGCCTCATCCTCATCGTCTTGATCAGCGGGTAAAAAGAGCGGTTCTTGGTTATCCCGCGTAACATTCCGTGAAGGGAGGTTGGAGGGTGGTGGCATCGTTGACCGAGCGGGTGACATCCTACGGTCGGAGTGGGTGTCGGTGGCATGCCAACCGAGTTGATCTTCGTGTGAAGGTGTTTCATCTAGCATTGAGTCCTGGTTGTAACCGGTCATGTGGGAATCACCACCGAGATCCAAGCTTGGGTCATGATTCCGCGCGTGGGCCTCAGCTTCGTCTCTGTCCACGAAGCTCCGACTGGTTTCAAGTCGTCTGATCGGTACCGAGGCATTGACACTAGTCCATCCGCTTCCTCTGCCGATAGAACTGCCGTTTTGGGTACTGCTTCCTTCGGCGATGGTGGAGACGATGAATTCACCGACGACTCCCTGCTCTGGCTTTTCGAAGCTGAAGTTGACTGGACGACCGCCGGATGTACTGTAGCACGCAGAAAGCGGTAATGGTGGGTTGAAGGAGTCTGCGAGGCCGATAATTGCTTTGAATTCGCGTAGTGTCAGTGTGAATTGCGTTGATGCTGGCACAGAGAAGTCGTCAAACTCGGAAGGATCGAGGGAAAGGGTGGTCTGAATAGGTTGACGAAGGGTCTCGCTTTCACTAACCAACCCTTCGGTGAAGGACGTCAAAATGATCCTGCCGCGCTCATCCACAGCGAAGGTAAGCTCCTCCGCCTTATTAGCAAAGTGCTCCGAGTACTCCCGCAACATCTTGCTGGATATCCGCCAATGAGCATTACACATACTCTTATCCATGACAGCATGCATCGGGTTTGCCGCTTCGTATGTGAGCTTGTAGGTCTTGAGAACGCCGTGCTTGCAGATGAGACGAACGATGAGGCGGGACTCTCCATTGGAGGATGAATCAACCATGCGAAGCTCACACTTTTCGACAAACATGTCTTTGTTGTCCCGAGCTTCGATATTTCGTGAGCGGAAGATAGATAGGAGGAGCTGGGCAAGATATTAGCTAGCATTCAACCCTCAAAGCAACAGTACATGCCCGCAAATTCACTCTACAAGTCATCCCCCCTTCGTCGCCACGGTCGTTGAAGTCATATCTGTCGAAGAACTTTGTAGCATGGAGCACTACCATGCCAAAGGCCGATTTGGACGAGTTGAGAGATGAAAGCATGAGCTTGCCACCCTTGGGCTCGATGGTGACTTCATCGCCGAGTTTGGAGAGGCAAACGAGGATGCGGGAGAACTCTTTGAGGTGCTTCGATGGAAAACTCAGCTCAAGTCCAATGATTCATGGGACAGACCTACCTGTCCAGGAATAACAGCATTCATCGTTGGTAAAGGATGGTGTAGAGTCGCAGCACTTGCCGACCGGGACTTCAGTTGCGCGTACGGCGCGTTGGAAGGTGTACGACGCTACTAGTAATGCACCACCCGCAGATCGCATACGGTTTATTTTCGAAAGTTATTTTTAGCAGCAACGACATTTCTCGAGGTACTTCACAGAAAACGTTTTTGCCGAGCCATGTATCGACTTGCGAGAGCTTCGATTACTTCCAATCTGTTACGATGGCCTCAGCAACACCGCTGCTTCAGTATCACAGCAGCTAGCCTTTCTCCAATTCGCCCGAAAGGTGCCTCGCCTGCTGAACGTCTCCGTAACAAGATTCTTGCAGCGCCGAAGGCGGCAGCGGCTAAGGCACGGGAAGTTTCTAAGGACAGAAAACGGCCTCATCCGAGCATGCTGCCTGCAGCGAGGAAGGGGCGATCTGGTGCGGCAAAGTCCGAGAGGAGTGGTAGATTCGAGCGCAAGGACAGACCGGCCAGGACATACGCCAAAGATGGGAAAGAGGGAGGTTCGGATAGGGAGGGAGCCAGAGAGAGGAGAAGCTTTGACAAGGCATTCAGCAGGGACGGAGACCGACCCAGGAGAACGTTCGACGAAGGATCCAGCAGAGACCGACCCAGAGCGCCAAAGAAGTTTGCAGTAACGAGAGACTCCACTGTTCTCACAGATTCCTATTTTCTCAGTGAACGTGTCCAGAGACTCCTCAAGAATGGCCGTGAGCAGGACGCTATTAACCTGATCCGCATGGCTACGAATGAGACATCGTGTACAGTGTCATGGAACCTCATCCTGCAGGAATGTCTGAAGAAAGGCGCGGTAACTGCTGCTTTCAAGTATTTCAACGAGATGAAGAAGAGAGCACACCACCCCGATTCATACACCTACACCATCCTCTTCAACGGTCTTGCGGAAAATGCTCATGTCTCATCGGTGCCCGAGTACTTGAGCAAACTCTGGTTTTCTCTCACCGCCCCGAAATCACCGGTGAGACTGAACACCATTCACGCCAATGCAGCGCTCAAAGTCGCTGTTAAAGCAAATAATTTGACAATGGCTTGGGAGATTCTCGACAAACTTCCTACTGAAGGAGCAGCGAAGCCTGATGCACTCACGTACACATCCCTGTTCACTTTGGTGGCGAATAAAGATGGTGAGGATAAGATGAAAGAAATTGAAGAACTTAAGGGAGTATGGGAGCAGATGTTCTCGGCATGGAAAGCCGGCGACGAAGAAGCCGAGATGTCAGAGACGTTCATCGCCGCATACTGTCGCATGCTCACATCCGGAGGAAAGAAGGATGACTGTGAGGAGGTATTCAAAGTGTTCGAGCAAACATTCGGCATCAAGAACCTAAACAGAACGGCAACAGCAGTCGTCGAACAGCCCAGAAAACTTGTGAAGATCGGCAACAACGGATTGTCAGTGATCCTCGAAACCTGCTCCCAGATCGGCCAGAAACGCCTTGGTATCAACTACTTTGACCTCATCAGAGACCATGGCGTGAAGCCCGACCTCGTCAACTACCATGCCCTTTTCCGACTTTACGTACAATCGCGTGCAGCGGAGGACGCTGATGCGGTTCTGGCCGGTATGAGAAGAGAAGGCGTACGGCCAGACAAGAAGATCTTGTTCTTGGCTTTGCAGGCATGTAGACGTGACGGCACCGAGCGTGGATTCGAAATTGCAACCAACATTATGAATCGTTGCCCGAGTTGGAATATCTTCCCCGACGCACAGCTCTATTTGACGTACTTGAAGTGTGCGGATGTGACCAAGTCGCCCAAGTCCTTGGCTACGGCAGTTATCAAGGCGCAGGACATGGATTTGAGGGGAATGGCTACCAATGGCAAGCGTGAAGGGGACAAAGCGAGGATGGGAGAGGCATTGAGGGTGAACATCAGTTTGGTGGATCAACTGCTTTTTGCAGCGAAGCAGGAAGAAAATCCGGTTGATCTTGCGTCTCTTAACCTTTCTGAGGAGAAACTGACGCAGATGAAGTCCGCGTTGATGAAGACTGAGACGTTGTTACCAGAATCTAAGAAGCCAAAGGAATTTGTCGCTGTCGCAGATACCGAAATGGACCTGGACGGTGCCGTCACACCCACCGTACCCACCGAGGATGTCACCGCAGGCCCATCAGAAACGCTGAAGAACAAACCAGCTCACGCACTGAAGCCGTGGGAACGTGAGAAGTTGCGTCTCCAGGAGAAGGCTGAGCGTCTCAAGGAAAAGATCAGAATGCAGCAAGAGATTGCGGAGTTGAAGAAGAAATCACATGAGTTGAAGGATCAGTCACGTGAGGTGCAGCGTAGGAGACAGCCTGGTGGGTATGTTCAAGATTCGATGAGATGGAACAAGGCTGGTGTGGATTTCAGGGATGCGAGGGAGGGTGGGAAGCCTTGGGAGAACCGCGATCGAAGAGACGGTGGGGAGCGTCGGAACTATCGTGACCGAAGGGATGACGGAGGGCGTAGGAACGGTTGGGAACAGAGGTCCTCCCAGGATCGCGATAACCGGAGACCTCGTCGTGAGCGTCCGGAAAAACAGGAGTCAGGGGAATCTGAGGATTAAGGATCATTGGCGTTGTGATACCGAATTATATGTATAATCATGTCTTCATTTATTGATGCTTTTCTTCATCTTCTCTTGAATCTAAATGAGTGCGGGATAAAGCAAACAACCATGCGCCCTAAACGTACAATAAACCCAGCAAACTATCCTAATAATGTTTCATTCAGCTTTTAGATGATACAGCTCCCTTCGTATTCAGACGTCCGACATTCTCAACCAGCTTAGAAACCCCAGTCCTTGAGCTTCATGGTTCCGTTTTCCATCATGTTGGTGTGCATCTTGAAGACGTGCTTCAAAGACTGGGGCTCGTGACCGGCTCCCCACTTGGTAGCAGCGAACTCAGCGTACTTGAAGTACTCCTCCAACTGAGCGCGGTAGTCAGGGTGAGCACAGTTCTTGATGATGATAGGAACACGCTCCTTAGGAGACAACCCACGGAGGTCAGCAAGACCCTGCTCAGTAACGATAACATCCAAATCGTGCTCAGTCTGGTCGACGTGAGTAGCCATAGGCACGATGGTGGAGATACCGGTCTTGTCGGTCTTGGTCTTACGGGCGGAGGGGGTGTGCATGATGGAGTACTTGGCGTTACGCAAGAAATCAGCAGAACCTCCGAGACCGTTGAGCATCTTGGATCCGTTGACATTGGTGGAGTTAGCGTGGGCGTAGATGTCGACCTCAACAGGGGTGTTCATGGCAATGACACCGAGACGGCGGATGATCTCGGGGGAGTTGGAGATAGCCTGGTTACGGAGCAAGATCTTATGAGCGTACTTGTCCCAGTTAGCGTAGAAACGCTCGAATCCCTCAGGAGAGAAACGGATGGAGGTGGCAGTAGCGAAGTCGAGGGATCCAGAGTCGAAGAGGTCGAGGAAAGTGTCCTGCAAGACCTCAGTCCAGACGGTCATGTGCTCGAACTTGGAGGCACCGAGACCACCGATGATGGCGTTGGCGACGTTTCCGATACCGGACTGGAGGGGAAGAAGGTTAGCGGGCATGCGGCCCATCTTGACCTCGTGCTCGAAGAACTCAATCAAGTGACCGGCGATGGCGTTAGAGTCGGCATCGGCGGGAGCGTTGGGCCCGGTAGCGTCACCACGGTTGACCTCAATGATGGCAGCAATCTTAGAGGGGTCGATGGGAATGGCGGTGGTACCGATGCGGTCCTTAACGCCGGTGACGTTCAGGGGCTTGCGATGAGGGGGAAGGTCCATCTCGGTGATATCGTGGAGACCCTCGAAGGAAGGAAGAGCGGTGTTGACCTCAATGATGACCTTGTCGGCGACGTGCATCAACTCGGGAGTAGCACCAACGGAGGCACCGGGAACGATGTGGCCATCCTCAGTGATGGCGGTAGCCTCAACCATAGCCCAGTCCAACTTTCCACCTCCGGGGGTGTCCTTCTGGTAGAAACCGTAAACAAGGTCCTGAGGGAACATGGACAAGTGCTTGTCGAAGAACTTGATGCGGTTCTCATTGATACCCTTAGCAATGTTCTTACCAACCTGGTGAGGAGTACGGCGGGAGATCATGTCCAACTGAGCCCATCTACATGATTCTGTTAGCTTAGTCATCACCGATCCGTGATGGTTGACTCGTACCTGTCCTCAGTCTCGGCACCAGCAGACGCTCCGACGAACAAGTCGAACTTCATCTGTCCCTGGAGGTTGTTCTTCTCGACGTGATCCGCAATCGCAGTAGGGACCAACTTGGGGTATCCGACACCAGTGAAACCGGACCATCCCAAGGACTGGCCAGACTTAAACCACGGAACGGTGTCTTCTGGCTTAACGAGCTTCTTCAAGAGCTCTGGGTTGCGAACGCGTTGTCTGAGGAGGTTGGAAGCCATCTTGATCTGATTTGAGAGGAGAGTATGGGTATTAGGTTAAAAGAAGATGCTCAAGATGACTGATCTGACGGAGTACGGGTTGCGGGGGGCGATGAGATGCTAAATACCTTCTGGGGTTGGTGTGTGTACTTAGAGCGTCGGATCGAGGGGGATGTTGCCTTTAGTGGTGCAGGGCAAAGTTTTGGTTGAGGCGACGTAATTTGCGCCCCAGACGCGTCCCAACGGAGGAAAGGAAATGGATACCGGAGCAAAGGAACTGCTGAAACTATTGATAGGGATGCCGAAATGTGGAGACGGGAGGCTTAAGGGGCGGGGGACATGCCTTGGACTCGTGGGGAGCATTTTTGGCAGCGGGAATGGCGTGAATCTTTGAGTGATCGGCCGGGTGGCATAGATGAGCCTCACACTTCAACCTTTAAAACTGAAAATGAATTTTTTCTTCATCCGATGGATCAATTCTTAGCTTCACTCCGGGTCGTCTATTTGCCGAAAACGTACACGAGGACCGGCCATGCACGATAACGTAGACTTGCCGAATTTTTTGGCCACCGACAAAAATACCCACAACGTCATACCCTCGAAAATGGCTGACATCGAGTGCACTTCTTGCGGAAAGTTTGAGAGTGAAGTCTCTACTACGTTCCTGTCATGTTACCGGTGCGCGAGGGTGCGGTATTGCAGGTAGAGTTGGCTCGCCACTATTGAGCGTGCACCTTGCTGACTTGGTCGACGTAGTACGGAGTGCCGGAAAGACGACTGGAAGTTTCACCGACCATATTGTAGTAAGAGCGCAGACGGGAACACCGGTGCGGCTGGTGAAGGCGAAGCTCGGCGCCTCATCGAACAATGGCTCACGCCCGCACTGGCAACATCCTTAGCGGAGATCGCTACTTTCAATGTCGCTCTCGAAGACTTTTCTGTGGAGGAATATTTGAAATGGTACACGATCTACGAAGTCTCAATAGGCAACGATGACGTCCCTAAGATTGACGCTGTGATGATGCGACCACTACAGGGTGGTGTTAAGGAGTTGGGCTGGGAATACACTGAACTCCTTCCTCGGATCGAGCGTCGGTTATCTGCAGACCCGCCTGAGCTTACGATTTTCTACTCCGTGCAATTTACTTATGCCGGCAACAAGTATGCTATCAACACCGATGCAGCAGTACCTCAAGGTGGTGCGGCCGCAGCTGCTCAGTTGGAGCAGTGGCAGAAGAAGGCGTTTGTAGACCAGCTTACGGAGAAGGTGAATGACGGGCAGGCACCACGGATGTTTGACGGGAGCAAGCATGAGGTGCAGGTCAAGAAGACGGATGAACAGGAGTAGTTTGTATGCCTATGTGCTCAACACAATCAGAAGAATATTGCAGAAGGTAACGAACAGGTTGATGTTCGCCTTTGTTCCCACGGCGGACCTGGCTAGCGCAGCACCCCCCCGCGCCCGATAAGGCCTACAAGACCGACAAGACCGACAAGACCGACAAGACCACCACACCATTGCAAGATGACAACAAACATCCTGGTCGTAGGCGCAGGTGCAATCGGCGCATTCTACGCTTCTCGCCTGCATCAGCCAGACAACGGCGTGCTTGTCAGCGTTGTCTGTCGATCCAACTACGACGTTGTGCAGAAGGATGGGTTCACCATGGAGACGAGATCGTTTGGTAGATGATCCCATACAGTTTAGGCATGTAAGTGCTGACTCGGTACCACAACAGGCGAATACAGCTTCAGACCCGCCAACGTCTTCAGATCACCGGAAAATGCCAAGTCCTCCAAGATGCAATGGGATTACATCATCGTCGCAACGAAGGCGCTACCGGACCATTCAGACGACAGTGCAATGCTCGAAGGATTAGTTACTCCCACAACGAGCATCGTACTGATCCAGAACGGTGTCGGGATCGAGGAGGTATGTTTCGTATGAACAGCAACATTGCATGTGAACTGATCCATTTATCACAGCCATATGCGAAGCGTTTCCCACAGAGCTGTGTGATTAGTACCGTTACCGTCACCTCCGCCGCACAAGTCTCTCAAGGCCATATCAAACAGCACCGCTGGACACGCCTTGAGGTCGGTGCATACCTTGCGCCCTCGAATTCCACATCGACAAGTACATCCAACTCATCATCCAGTGCACCAACACTTCCACCAGCTCACGAATTCGCCACGAAGAAGCTCGTAGAGATCATGCACCAAGGAGGAATCAAGGATGCAGAATACTGGGATCCAGTCGAGATGCAGCTCGTACGCTGGCATAAACTCGGCATTAACGCCGCTTTCAACCCCAGCGCAGTCCTCTGCGGCGGAATGGGTAACGCAGACATGCTCCGCGATCCCGAGCTGAGGACCCACATCACCGGCGTAATGCGCGAAATCGTCCATGCCGGAACGGCCCTCCACGGCAGGGCGATGCCAGAAAAGCTGGCGACGATTGAAGCCATCTTGAAATCCACGGAACGGAATGCGGGAGCAAAGCCGTCGATGCTATTGGATTGGGAAAGCGGAAAGGCAATGGAGTTGGAGGTTATTCTTGGGAATGCGGTTAGGATGGCGGCGACGAAAGGGGTGGAGATGCCGAGGTGTCAGAGCATGTATGCGTTATTGAGGAGTCAGTCAAGATTAAGGGAGGAGAAGAAGAAGTCGAAGCTATAGCCTGGCGTCTCCGACAAAGGCGGGACGTTGGAAGGATATGTCCGATGTTGTGGAGGCTTCAGATTCGCTAGCACATTTGGCCGGCCTTTCATAGGTCATTGATATCATTCACAAGCTATAAATAATCGAAGACCAAAACGAAACGCTGCAGAGATGCGAATAAACCCCAAAGAAACTGGAAAAACCAAACACCGGTTATCTTCCCCTCACCCGACCCGAAGCTCCCTGGCAAGCCTCTATACCGATAAAGCCACTGATGCTAGGGTATTTGATATTGCTCGAGCGGTCACTGCACACCTGTGTACATGTACACTCACTTCCTCTCGTTCAAGTCTTTCTTGTCACCAGGACCCTTAGTCATACTGATCTCGCCTCCACAACAACATGCAGCGTACACAGCGTGCCCACACGGTTGAAGATTCGCTGGGTTCAGGCCAACGGGATGTGCTATTTGCGGGTTTGGATGAGTATTAGCCCTGCACCGTATGATGTCAGAGAAAAGCCCTTGAAGACAGGAGAGAAACAAGACGTACTGTTGGCGTTTTTCCTTCAATTCTTTTGAAGACATTGAGCTCGTCTAGCGGTATATGCTATCGAATAAATCGGGATGGCGATTTCAATGGCCATGGATGGGAAGATCTCCTTATGACTGTCGATTTGCACTGATTTAAGGTTGATGGCTGCCGCGGGCGGCCGGGAATCTCCGGCGTCGGCGCCTGCGACATGACGTCGGCGTCCTGGGGGTTTGCATAATATAGAGATGAATTAAGAGTTAAATCAGGCCGTTTCAAAAGATACCATCTACGTAATACGATCCGCGAAAGAGAGCATCGGGCACTACGGATTACCTGTAAGACCTGCAATTTACCTCTTATCGTCTGTTCAGGTGCGCGAGATACCACGGTGCCGCATTCGGCAATATCGAGTCAAAACTAGCGGGATCGGTCGTCGTCACTAGTTCCCGCACCGCTTTAGTATCCTGCGCTCACGGTCCCAAAGTTGCCCGACGCAGAAGTTGAAACACGGAAGCTGTGGCCAGACTTTGATCCAGAGTAGGACAGAGGCATGACGACGTTCCCTGCGGATTGTAGGGCTTAGCGTCTTTCGATTTCTTCGTGATCAAAAGGAGCTCGCTTTCCACTTTTCTTTTCTCTTGACTTACCAACCACTCAAAGTATCCGCTTCCACATACTATCATCTACAAACCGCTTCACGAAGCCGTATCGATCTTAACAACATCCAACAACAGCATGTTCTCCATCATTCTCCACCCCATTACCGCCGTCAAGTCCGTCGCTTCCGCCGCTTTGACCAAGGTCAACGCGACGAAGACCGCCGTGACTGAGCTGTACGAGAAGATGACCGAACTCACTCACCAGTATGACTGGTTGAACGAGGAGATCGAAGAAGATGACAGTCAAGAGAGTCAGATTAACGAGCACGGTTCGTACTTCCCTCTCTGACCGGATCCGGACGCGTACTGACTTTTTGTACTACAGTGACCCCTTACGAAGAGGATGAGAAGCTAACCACCTTCGAGTTTCAGCAAGTCGACATTGTCGAGAAAGCTGACGAAGGCCTGGTCGAGCTTGCTGAGGAGAACAAGGAGGTTCTCTTGAAGGGAGTTGAAGGGACGTTGGAGAAGTTCCGCCTCTGGGAAGAGAAGCAAGTCATCAAGGAGGAGAATCAGAAGCAGGAGGCCGAGATGGACGCGCTTTTTGCGGACATCGAAGAGGCGTGCGCGCCTTATGAGGCCGAGAACCAGCTTTGGGACTTGTATGACCGATGCTACCAGCAGGCGGAGATGGAGATGCTGTTTGAGGAGGTCGAAGAGGCGTGTGCGCCGTATGTGGCAGCCGACTTCGACGAGGACCTCATGGAGCGTTGCAAGCAAGAGGTTGCCTTGGAGATGCTTTACGAGGAGTTCGAGGAGGCTGACGTTCTGTATGAGATTGGAGATGAGTTGATGGAGAGGTGCAAGGGGGAGGTTGCTTTGGAGATGATGAATGAGCAGTTCGAGGACGCCCGTTCGCTTTACGCAGCGGAAGCTGAGTCGATGGTGGAGTACGAAGAAGCCGATGCCTCATACGTGGTTTACTAAAGGTGGCTACGGTGGGGTATTTGCGAGGAGAGATGATGACGGCTGCGAAGCAAGACAGTCGAATATCATGGAGTCAAAGCGAGAGAGTCACTGAGGTGGTACGCCATTCCTGAGCCAATCACCGCGACCAGTCAGGGTTCCGATGCATGAACACACACACACACACAGACACACACACACGCATACACGTACAATTCTGTGGCATCGCGCTATATCCCTGGGAGATGGTCGCAGAAGGAACTATTGCGCTGCATTTTTAGGGATGGCACCCGTGTTCCGGTTCCGGCAAACCTCTAAGGAGAACTCACGTGCAACACACATCCCCACGCCGTGAGAAGTCAACCGAGCACCACCTCATTCAAATGTGACAGCTTTGCAGTTGGAGTAGTAGGATGGGAATTTACGTCCACTTAACTCTATTTCGTGTTTTGAAACACCTTGTCTGCCTCGCTGCACTGCAAAATATCCTAAAATAACTCATCTACAATGCCTGCAGCAATAGTATCGCCTCCTGTCCTCAGAATAACTCGTCCCAAATCCTTGCTGTCCTTGAAAGTCTCCATCGGAATACCATTACCCAAAAACGCGATCTCAACGACCGCCGACTGTCCACTCGCAAGATGCCTTGGTTTCTTCTTGATGATCTGTCCATCAGCTCTATCGATAGTTGCGACAAGTGCTTGAATCCTGGCGGCTTCATTGATACGACCACGGTGAAGGACTATGGTTGCTCCATTGGTTATTGGTCGTGCAAGATCGAAAGTGATGATTCTCGCACGGAAGGCTCGTACAGTCGGTACGGGGTTTAGAGGGTCACAGAGAATGTCACCAGCCCTGGGTAACAATTAGTTCGTGTCCGCGACATACGCGTCATTAGTACGTACTTGAGATGCATGGGATCAATGTCGTTAAGGTTCAAGACAACATTGCTTCCAGCAACAGCCCAATCAGCGATATCGTCATTAACTTGCATTGCTGTACAGGAGATTAGCGGGAGTGTATATAGAATAAAAAGCCGGGAAGCTTTACATTTGACAGTGGCCGGTTCACCGCTGGGCGCAGCGTGAACAGTTTCCCCGACTTGCACGTTACCGGCATCCACCCTTCCGGAAATGGTTACGCTGCCACCAGTCACTCCTGCCTTATACACGTCTTGGACAGAAATACGCAGAGACTTCTCGATCGCTCTCGCGGTAGGAGCAATGCTCTCTGTAAATTCCGGTCAGTTTATGCAGACACAATGAAGTGAGCAAACGCACCAAGAGCACCTAACACTGTAGGGCCGTTGAACCAGGTCAAGGCCGGCTCTGCCGAACGCTTCACGAGGTTCTCACCAGTCAAACCACTGCAAGGAATATACTGGACATTCTGAGGGTCGAAACCAGCGTTGGTCAAGAACTGGGAAACTTGCATCTCAATTTCCTCGAAACGCTCGTGGTTCCAGTCGACGGAATCAAGCTTGTTGACAGCCACAATAAGGTTTTGGACACCCAAACTTCTTACGAGGAGGGCGTGTTCCTTCGTTTGACCGCGGACGTTGAACCCGGACTCAAATCCACCAGTGGAGGCGTCGATGACCAACACCGCAAAATCGGCTTGAGCAGCTCCTGCAATCATGTTGGGCACAAAATCTGCGTGTCCGGGTGCATCAAGAATAGTAAACTTCCGCTTAGGCGTCTCGAACTGGTTCGTGGCAATGTCGACTGTTACGCCCCTTGCTCTCTCTTCGTCGGTCGAATCCATGACCCATGCAAGGGCAAAAGATCCCTTACCCATCTTTTCACTCTCCTTCCTGAACTTCTGGATGGTTCTTTCATCGACAGCCCCGATGTCGTAGAGTAAGCGACCCATCATAGTACTCTTGCCAGCGTCGACGTGACCTTTACCACAATCAGTATCAACGCTCCCAATACAAAGAGGGGTTCATACCGATAATGACAAAGTTAGCGCTTTCTTTCACATCGACTTTGGCGTACTCCTCAACAACGTTGACCTTCTTCCTAGCAATCTTGATTGGTGGAGCGGGCGCAGGAGCACCGCCGGTTGCTGAGCTACCCATATTCATAGCCTGCATATCTACTTCAAGCTGATTTGTAGGTGCCGCAATAGCCTGATCCTTCTTGGCCGTCTTCGCCTTCTTCCCACCTACCAACAACGGGTCAGCGACTTTCGGACCCAAGTAGGGTAAACATACTCTTCGGCCCTTCTTCTCTCGCAGCGATCACGACATCGTCAGGACTAGGACCACTGAATACCTTGGCAACTTCGGGAGCGGCGGATGCTGGAAGATAGAAAAAACGGCTGTCAGCTTCTCTTCTTCGTTTACTTCTGTACTTGACTTCATAGTCCTCAGGACCAAACAGCGAGGTTGCGAATACGGATGGTGTGGCCTCGACGAGAGCGGGTTCAAATGTGGGATGTTCGGGCGAAGAAGGGGATGGTGTCGGCGACACCAGGAGCGGGGCTTCTGACATGTCGACATCATCCGCAACGACCGGAGGCGGAGAGGGAGACTGAGGGGGCGGGATAGACGAAGGTTGTGACGACTCTGGCTCTGATACTGCCGGCTCGGCGGGCGCCTGTGGAGCAGGTGGTTCAGTCGGCGTGTCCGGCGCTGCTGCTGCCTTCGGAGCAGTCTTTGCAGCAGTGAGCTTTGACAGCAACGACACACTGGCGAGTCCGGGTGCGGCTCCCTTCTCTGCCTTACTCGCTGCCTGCGCCTCCTTCCTTGCTTTCGCGAGTGCCGCTAGCTTCGACATCTTCCCCGAGCCACCCAACAAACCCCATCCTCCAGGCGGTACACGCGGCGGATGGACAGGTTCGATACTGGCCGTTGAGCCCATACCCCAAGTAATACCATGCCGCGCAATGATGACGCTTGCCGAAATTCTCGCAATCTTTCGTGGCGGTTCGTCGTCGAATTCATCAATAACTAAACGAGGACCGGATGCTGATACACCCCGTATATATCAGACCGACTGTTGCTTGTAGGTTGGCCACACTTACTGTCCGTATCCGTATTCCACGCACTCTCCCAACCTTGTGAAATTGAAAAGTAATTACCTTTTGATGCCGTCGGAGCTGCTTTTGGCTTCGCGGCGGGCTTCTTTACACTGTGCTGTTCTGTGCGATTGCTTAGTCGACGTCGACAGTAGAGATGATTCGAGCGTACCGAGCAACCACGCTATAGACTTCTCCAAGTCGAAGTAATAGTAATACAGCGTCTCGCGGATCTCCTTCAGAGTAATGCCGGGAACGCCGTTGAGTGCATCGTGCACGGCCGCGACGCCAGCTTCCATCTGCTCTTGCTCCTCGTAGGTCATGTCGTGACCATCGCCGTCATAGTAATCATCATCATCGTACATCTCCTCGTCGAGATCAAGGTTTCTAACGTCTCTGTGGCGCGACATCTTGCCGACTGAATGCTGGTTGTTGTTCGTTGATCGGTTGTTGTGCGTACGTGCTCCGACTTTTCGTGCAACACCAACTGCTGCGCCCGACGTCATCGCGAATTTGGGGGTTCGTCGTTGGACAAAAGATGCGCGGACGTGGGAACCAAAAACTCAACACCATGACATTCCTATCCTAAAGCTAACCTAATCCACAGAAATTTCCTGTACTCTCACAAATCGATGAGAGACCCCTCCTGAGGCTGAGGCGTAGGCTTCGTCTGCTGCCACGCCTGGTGTCCTCCATGCTCCACGACCTCCAATCCCGCAGGAGGAGTCTGATAAGTGTTCAGTGCGTTCAGCTCACCTAATGCCCCTTGCGGAGCTGATGGCGCCTGCTCTGCTGCATAGTACGACCCAGATCTCTGCAGTTGCTGATCTTGCCATGCCCGCTGTGCATCCTCCACCGGTGGTGCGTTACCGTATCCTGAGTGCTGAGGAGCCATTCCATCCAGAGGAGGAGCTGCTGGCATCTGCGGATGGTACCCGCCATTTTCGACAGGCCTGGGATCAGGGCTAGAGTAGAATTCACGTTGCGAGCCACCAGTGTGTGCAGCTTGCAGAGGTGCTTGACCTGATGGAGCGGCATGCTGCGAGCCTCCGGTGTACATGGGCGGCATGGGCGGAGGATATGCCGCCTGTCCAAATGGACCCGGACGAGCGACCTGCGGCGGCCCGTATCCCTGCGTGGCATATGGGTCATGCTGCCCATCCATAGGCGGTGGGCTCGTGTACCCCGCAGGACCAGTAGAGTACTGCCTATCAGGCATTCCAGGATACGCCTGCGGAGGTGCTTGTGACTGTCCATAGTACCCTCCCGTAGCCTGTGGACTCATCGTCGGCGCTGCTCCAAACGCAGGCTGCGCATACCCACTTACACTGTGTCTCTCATACGCCCTCCTCAACTGCTCCTCTAGCGTTCTGTCGTACAATCGCACCACTGTTCCGAGCTTCGCGTGCATATCGACTAGAGTCTCGTATTTTCTGACCGACTCGCCCATTGCCCGTGCTAGTTTTGGTCGGAGTAATGAGATTGAGTCGTGTAGAGAGGAGATTTGTGGGTCGGAGAGGATTGCTGCTGGGTTAGGAGAAGCGGCTAAGCGGTCGATGAGGGTTGCGAAGAGCGTGATGTTCTCGGCTTCTGTTGGTGTTAGCTCGTGTGCTGGTGGTTGTGATTGTGGTTGCGGTGCAGGTGCCGATTGAGCAGCAGAGGCTTGGTGTACGTGAGCCGCACGAGCGCTCTGAGCTTGTGCCTCACGAAGACTTGCTTCGATCGCCGCCTTCAAGTCCGGATCTTCCTCATCAGCTTCAGCGACCTGCAAAAGACTCTTACGAGGAGCAGGCAACTCATATCCACTCCTGACGCTGGAAGCACTGCTAGCAGGTGGGTTGTTCGTGGCCGGCACGAACGGATTGCTGCTGTTGCCTATATTCGGTACATATCCACTCGAAACACCATTTCCACGTCTTGACTCCTCCAGTGACATCTTCAGCGCCGTCTGGAAATCTGCATCGTCGTCGTCGTTTACGACACGCGCCGATCTCGGTTGCATATGTCCGCCTCCAGATCTTAGTGAGCGGGGTGGTCCACTCGGTGTGGGTTGTGCCTTAGGTGGGGTTGCCTTGATCGTCTCCTGTTTCTTCTGGTAGCATCCGTCACATACCCTTACAGCCTGCATTACTCCCAGATGCGGCAATGCCATAGTCTTGCTCGAGCACGCCCCGCAAAAGACATTACCACAGTTTCTGCAATGGTGCTTACGGTTGGTGAAGGTAAATGTCGTTCGACAACGCATACATACATCCGAATCTGTCCAATCTGGCGGTGCTGCGGTGTCAACGAATGATGAGGTGATTTCGGTGACGGAAGGGAATTGAAAGCCAGTGGAGGCAAGAGAAGATTGTGTATGTTGGACATAGTCCAGATGAGATTTCCCACGGAAGGCGATTGCCCAAGTCTGGATGCACTCAAGGACTTTGGACATGACGTCGGGATTGAGACCGCCCTGTACGCAATACTCAGCTACCACGGCTTCGAGACAGGTATATCGACATACCGATGCGTTTAACAGAGATACCAGGTTGTCCATGAACTCTCTCGAAGCAATCTCTGTTAGAAAATGATTACCTCCATTCTTGACGCATACATCCGTCAACTGAAGCAGATATATCAGCATACACCTCGTGTGCAATCCTCGGAGTTGGACCCACCTTCAAAGCGGCAATCTGCACATTCGGGTTTCTGTGGTTGATCCGCTTCTTCAGGGACCGCATAGCAGTCTTTGAATCGACGGTCTTGCTTCGAATCTGATCACATATCTCGAGCGATAAGGCGAGGTCTTCGGCCCCAGCGGGCAATGACTCCGACGTCGCACGTTCTGCGACAAAGAATTAGCACAGTGCCGTAGTCCCAGTAAACAAATCCATACCGACTTGCTCATCCAACGGATTCGAACCGAACCAGCTTGCCATCTTCGTCAAATGCTTTTGTGTCCGCTTTGTGGTTGCCCAGGCGTGCTCTCTTATCCGCCGCACCGCGTGGCCCCGCGCGGCGCGATACGTACGGCTGTGACTTGGGCGTATCGAAATCCGCGGCTGCACTTGCGAGATATCACGCGGCGCGAGATGACCGAAATGACGTTCACACAGCAACTCACCGCCAACCTTGCGTTTTTTTTGTTTTCATGGCCGTTTCATTCGATCCGCAATTAGCAACGTTTCAGCCGTCATCAGTCGCTTCAGTTCCCGTTTCTACTCCAGCTGCCAATGCTTCGTCGCCGAGTCCGGGTTCGCCGAGGACGCCACCAGTTTGCAAGTTCTTCAAGTCACCGCAAGGTAAGATGTCAATCCGCATATTCTTGGATATAGCTAACACCGGGCTTTATAGGCTGTAGGAAGGGAGATCAATGTCCGTTTCGCCATGTCGTGAAGGCACAGTCGCCAGCACCTCTGCCCTCTGTGGAGGCGAAGGAGATCAGTGGATCCAGTGCTCCAATTCCTGGACCAAAGGATTCAGTCAAGGCATTTCAACCTACGCCTCAACGACGGCATAACTCCGCCGTTGATCCAAATAGAGTTGTCCAGCGTCCAACACCGAAGGGCGTGGCAAAGGCAACTCTTCCATCGATCCGCGCATTGGAGATCACCCAACTGAGGAGGCGTTTCCCATTTCTCGCCGAGAGGGCGGGTACCGACGGAACAACCATTTTATCGATCAACCTTTCACCATCTGACCCAGATTTTCCATATGATATTACAGCTCTATCCTTCGACTTGTCAATCCCCGACAAGTACCCTCAAGAGCAGCCAACATTGAGGGTGAAGAACTCAGATATTCCAGTGGGATATGCTGTCAATGTGGATAGAGGCTTTAATCAGCTGGCGAAGGAACTGGTAGGCAAGACAGCTTTGCTGGGCATGGTGAATCAGCTTGATCGGAAGTTGGAGGAGTTTTTGGCTGGCAAGAAAGCAGAGACATTCAAAGTCGTACGGCATGCTGCGCAGAAGAAGCCAGAGGAAGCCAAGTCGATTCCCTCGGCACCAGTGACACAGTCTCCACCGCGAATGCACCCAGTGCAACCTCCTAAACCGACTCCGTCATACACGGCTGACCAGCGTACAACTGCAACGATCAAGAGAGAATCAGATATCCGTCATCTTGAGGCTAGACTGCGCGATGCCAAATTATTCTCGACAAACAAGAACATCACGACGTACCTTGTCCCGCTGAAGATTACCAACTTCACCGGGCTTCCATCCGATATGCACGGCGCATTCAGTGCCAAGCTGCATATCCCAACGCTCTACAACCTGGAGCCGTGTACCATCGAGCTGCCAAAGTCTGATCCCGAGGTTGCTGGTAGGATTGAGAGGAGGTTCGAGGAGTGGGCTAGGAGTCATGCGGATGGAACGCTCGTGAGCAAGTTGAATTACCTCACGGTCAATATGCACAAGATGGCTGCGCCGGAGGAGGAGAGGAAGAAGGTTGAGGAGGTTGTCACTCAAGCTATGGCAGCCATCTCCGTCACTGATACTCGAGAGGGTGACGGATCTGAAAAGATACCAGCGAAAGATATCTTTGGTGTGGTTGACGACGAGAAGCACAATGTACAATTCATTCTCAGACCAGATCATGTGTACAGTGTGGGTTACGACGGGGGAACGCCAAGCTTGGAGGAAGAGAGCTATTCGTCTGACTACAGCTCCTCAGAAGAAGACTCCGAGGAAGAGGAACGTGCAGCAACCGTTGAGGCGGCAGCAGTGGGTGATACGAAGGCTCCACCTCATGGCACTGCCATCTACCTTCCCGAGATCCGCCTCGAGAACATCTCGCTTCTGGAAGCGGCATCTCTCTCCATATCAGTCAAGTGCGAGCGATGTCGGCATGTCTCGGAACATCAGAATATCGTTCCGAACAGAACTCAGCCTCGCTTCTTTGCTTGCAACCAATGCTCGCGAACTATGGGTATCGACTTCCGAAAGGAGCTTGTGCACGAGAATTCGAACAGGTTGGGTTATCTTGACTTGGATGGGTGCACCATTTTCGATATGCTTCCCTCAAACTTTACCGTGACATGTGCTGAGTGTGACATTGCGGCACCGAGTGGGGTCAGGAACCTCGTCAAGGGTGATGCGAGCAGTATCTTCTGTCATAAATGCCACACGAGGCTTACCGTTCATCTCAAGGACGTTCGGTTTCGCAAGATTGGAGCTGGTGGCGCGGAGCTTACAGGAGGTTTGGCTCTCAAAGCAAGAAAAGAAAAGAAACAAAATCTTGGAATCACTGTCGGCACGGCTCTGCCGGACAAAGGTGCTTGCAAGCACTACCGGAAGAGCTACCGATGGTTTAGGTTCCCATGTTGTAAGAAGGTCTTTGCGTGTGATACGTGTCACGATGAGCTTAGTGGGCATCCTCATGTCTTTGCTACACGGCAGATCTGTGGCTTCTGCTCTCGTGAGCAGGTTTATACACCCGATAAGCCGTGTATTGCCTGTGGTCGTGGGATGAAGTCTAGGAGAACTCGTTTCTGGGAAGGAGGAGAGGGGATGAGAGATCAGCGCAAGATGTCAAGGAAGGATCCAAGGAAGTATAAGCGGAAGCTTGGTAGTGCTGCCAAAGCTGCGGCGAAATAATTAGCATAGCAAACCCGACATGCATTGTCTCACGATACCGGAACATTGTAGTGCGTTGTCAAGTTAACTCTAAGGCGAGGATGATGCTATGACGCATGGATGACTTCAGCAAATGAGGCACTTTGTGCAAGGATCTAAAGGGGTATCGATTGTACGAGAGGGTATCAACAGTAATACGAAGTCACTGAGCATCATCGGGTCCGTCATTGACGAGTGCGATCAACCTGTCCAAGACCTCATCCACCGGTAGCTCGTCACTAGACGGTGTGTCTTTCTCCAAGACGTACTGTGGAACCTCACACGGCAGCACCATATTCGCACTCCCCATCTCCAGAACCGCGCATACAGTCAGGCATCCTCTTGATCTCCTTGCCGCAATACGGTCCGGATTTTCGATCCATGGCCATCCTAACCTTGCACAGATCGTCTCGGCAGCTTCCGTGCGAATAGACTCAATGCGGAAGAAACCATTTGGCGAGTCTTGTGGGATAAGCGTGAGAACGGCGAGGTGCGAACAGGGATCAGTAGGGTTTGATCGTATGTCGAGCTCTGTGTATGCTATCTGCGTGATTGTGATGATGTGCTTCGATGCCCTGTAACCTGTTGTTAGCTTCTCCGGCGTACCGTATATACTTCCGCTGCCGGGTAAGGACAAACCAGTCATTCATAGCAGCGTATGTCAGTTGCAACAGTTGCCGACGATAAGCGTCGTCCGTGCTGTCTGGCTCCTCCCGTACGATCGGCATGGCAGCATCGCCGTGCTCGCTGGACGTCGCCATTGCAATTGAGTTCTGTTTGTGTCCTTATCGTCCTTATCCGGGTCAAAGCGCGCCCACTGCGGAGGCCCTGCACAAGAGTCGCCGTACGCGTTCACCGCCGAGCGTGAGTGAGCACACACCAGCAAAGGACCTCGGAGCAGCTGATCGCATTCACTCCGTATGCTTGTCTGAGCATTCGTCACAGCAATGGGCCCTGCAACGCTTGCTCAGATCGTGGAGCGCGCAAAGGTCGTTAGGAAGGATGAGTTCGCTGTCCGGAGTTATACGAATGTAGCCATGCAATGCTTGGAGAACGTGGGTTGGCAGAGTCACGGTTTGGAAGGCTTGCTGACATCCTGAATAGGCAGACAAAGTACTTGCTGAGGGTCGTCGCGAAGAAGCCTACGAGTTCTACCTTAAGGCTAGTAACATCCTTCTCGATACCATCCCGGGTCACAAACAATTCGCGACCCTCACCGGTTTGCCTTTAACGCAATATTTCGACGTTCGGCAGAAAATGAATACTAGATACCCCACCTTTTCGGAAATCAAAGAACAAATCAAGGCTGCGGAGCCTCCGAGTCCTCCAATGTCGCCGCCGCCTGCAGAAGTGGAGGAGCCAAAACGAGACTCCCTGGAGGAGAAGTTGGAGAGATTGAGAATGAATGGAGTGAATACGGGCTCAGCAGGGCGAACGGCTACCCCGGCATTCAAGCCCAAGGCAGCTTCGCCAGCAACTCTTACACTTCCGCGAGCGAACGACATCGAGACAAACCTCGTTACTGCGAGAGAGTCGTCTTCGTCCACTAAGAGCAGCCTCACTGCTGACTTGATTATTCCACCGTTCCGTGGCCAATCGGCTGCGAGTGCGGTTAAACCCTCATCTTCTGCTGTCCTGGGAACGAGTAATGGCGATCACGCAGTGGACAAGCCGCGACCAACCGTTCCCCACAAGCCGGCATACCTGCATTCACCAGTGTCAACACAGTCTCCGACGTTTCCAACGCCGCCGCCGTTGCACCCTATCCAACCACCATCATACCCGACTCAGTCACACACGGAGGGCAAGGTTGGTGTCAACCTACCTCGAATACTGACAGATGCACGGTTTCCAAAAGCAAATGTGGTTGATCCAGAGACGCTATTGGGCTATACCCAGAGAACCACAGACCGTCCTTCTATCCTGTTTTTGGACGTCCGGACCCGCGAGGAGTTCGAAGCGTCACATGTTAGTGCAGAATACATCGTCAACATCGAACCGCTCGTTCTCCGGGAGGGAATGTCTGGTCAGCGACTTGAAGATGCCCTTGTACTGAACCCACAGCACCAGATCGAGCTCTTTTCTAGACGGAATGAGTTTGATTTGGTGGTGTACTATGACGATGATAGTCGCTCGCTAAATGCACGGCCAGAACTCACTGCGCTGAATACCGCGATTTATGAACTCGCAAACTGGAGAAAGTACCTTGTGCGATCTCCACTACTGCTAGTCGGTGGGTTGAGCGCATGGAAGGAAGCAGGCGGGCTTTGCGTCGGTGGTGCCTTGAAGTCAGATCAGACAGGAGGTAGTGCAGGTTCGACAAGCTCTGGTGGTCTTCGTCGGAGCCCGGCCCTCCCGTATCGAGTGCCCGCGCAACGGCAAGAGCGGTCAAGATCTCGTCCGCCGGTACCGCGACCAATCGAAACCATCGATGTCGAGAAAGAAAAACGATGGATTGCTGAGCTGCAAAGCCCGAATAATCCTATCGCTGTGGCGACATCGCCCGAGCACGACCGAATCGCAGACTATAAGAAGAGAAATCGCAATACTGCGATTGTAGCGACGGGTGAGGATGAGAATGTGAGTCCGTATGCACGTACCGTCCAGGATTTCTTCGCCAAGTATCCGAGTATTGCAGTGGACGAAAGACCGCCACCGCCTTACTCTCTACAGCCAGGAGGTGAACGAAGGGAAAGCAGAACAAAGTTTGATTATGAGCTTCCTAAGAAGGTTCACTCAGTGCCAGAACCAATTGAGAGACCTGGACACGGGCTCAGGAGGCAAAGCACATTCGTGGATCACCCCTTCCAGGGCTTCGCAGAAGTCACTCATCCAGAGTTTCAACCTCCGACACCAACGAGAGCCGCGCCGCAGCCTGATCCTGAGCTCGCACGTGCCCGCGGATCTACAAGGGACTCATTGCAGTACCCCGTTATGGTGACGCCTCGCGCGCCGTCTGAAGGACGTACGTCGAAGGAAATGTTGCCCATGACGGCAATGACACCGGCAGCTGTACCTCGTCTTCCTTCTCAGGCGCCCATGCAGGCTGTTGCACGACAGCGGATGTCATCATATAGCGGTGACACCAATTACGGAACTACTGGGTTGAAGAACCTCGGAAATTCGTGCTTCATGAACTGTATCCTGCAGTGTGTCAGTGGTACTACGCCGTTTACCCGTTACTTTTACAACGGAAGCTACAAGAACCATATTAGCAAGACTAATCCGCTCGGTACCGGTGGTCAGGTTGTGTCAGCATGGAGCAAGCTCGTGCGTCATCTGTGGACAGATTCGTACAACTTCGTCAGTCCGGTTACATTTCGAGACACGATTGGGAAAGTGAGAGATGAGTTTGCCTCTGGGCAACAGCAAGATGCACAGGAGTTCATGCAGTTTTTCCTCGATGCTTTGCATGAAGATTTGAATGTTGCTTCAGCTAACAAGAGGCTTCTGGATCTGACACCAGAAGAAGAAGCCTTTCGGGAGCAGTTACCGGTAGCAGTGGCCGCACAGTACGAGTGGAACCGCTACAGACACCGAAACGAGTCCCTAGTGACGAATCTCTTCCAGGGGCAGTTCTGCAACAGGTTGAGATGTCACACATGTGGGCATACGAGTACTACATACAACCCATTCATGTACCTGTCACTGCCCATCTTGGTGAGGAAGGGCAACAAGATCAGTACTTTGCGAGATTGTCTTGATGGATTCGTGCACGAAGAAGTGATGGCAGGAGATGATGCCTGGAATTGCCCAAGATGCAAGAAGCCACGCAAGGCCACGAAGCAGATGACTATTGTCCGTTTGCCTACCATCCTCATCATTCACTTCAAGCGATTTATCGTGAAGGGCCGATGGACGGATAAGCTTAATGCTCCGGTTCAGTATCCATTGAGGGATCTCGATCTCTCCGCGTATGTCCCTTCAACTGATAATGTTCCCAACTCGGATGCGCCACCGCCACCTCATGTCTACAACCTTTACGCAGTTACAAACCACTTTGGAACTCTGAACTCGGGACATTACACCGCATATGTTCTCGACAAATCCAAGAACCGATGGAATTTGTTCGACGACACCAAGGTTACCAGTTGCGATGAGTCACAGGTGATATCACCAGCCAGTTACATTTTGTTTTACGTCAGACAGCGTGTATAAGCATATTCTAAGCCGGAGTTTGAAGGAATGGAGGAGTCCCGGCGCTTTCTGGGCATCAATATATCTACGTAATGATACCATAGCAATACGGCCATGATCACAGTCACCTTGCCAGAGTAATCCTTAGCTGAATGTTATATATTCTGTAAGAAACTTGGGTAATGCAAATTTGCAGGCATTCTTCCATACGCCCGCGAACGCCTCCAGCTCCCCTAATGCTCTCATGTCACGCTGCTCATGAACAAGTCTCAGCAATGCACACCCTTACAAGTGAAGCCCCTCATCAGTCGTGTCGTTGTTATCGTCGGCGCCAGTTTCTACGAAGTCAGCCATGACCGCGTCATCGCCGTCCGGGGTGTTTTCGGCGAAACGTGGTGACGAGATCCCATTTTCACTAGCCTTCTCCCATGGCTCGGCGTCACAGACAGCAGGTGATTCAAGCATACGCTCCCTGTCGTCGTCGTTGGTGTGTGCTGTCGCTAAGCTGCTCGAGGAGGATGAGTTTGAGCCTCTTCGAGCGTAAGTGGTTGGTATAAGTCCAGTCATGTCACCAATTGCCACAGTATTGTGCTCGTCGTAAAGCGTTGGCGCGGCATCGACAGCCGCCTTATGTCCCTCAAGGTATTTGACAGTCTTCCAATGCGTTTGGCCTCCAAGAGGCTCCGAAGAACGGCGACGGTAGAATAAGAGGTAAGCAGCGGGCGTAACGATACGATCCTCGTCCACAGGAGATACATGAGAATCTAGTTCAAAGGTTAGTAGAGTACTATAAAGCATATCCATGAATACAAACCATCAAAATTGTAGAATTTGCCATCATGGAAGTTCTTTGTGTAACTCGTGTAGTGACCACCACCCAAGCCTCCGAAGTGATTGACGACGCCGAAAAGGTCATACACCTGACTGCTCGTTTCCTTGCCCTTATTCTTTTTGATTCGATGCTCGCCAACTCGTTCCTCCAGATTCAAACCTTCAAGAGGGAAATCAATTAGGTTGTCAATCTTGCCTCGTGTTACGCGTCCTGAAGAGAACCGCTTCAGGTGCATGACTAGGATATCTGGCGACTTCCAGAGCTCCATGGTCTTCGTTGCTTGCCTAAAGTCCTTACACTGCGGGCAATACCACAGATCATCCTCGCCCAGCTGCTCAGTCTTAGCGAATTCGTCCAAGCAGTCATTGAGATTCACCTCCTTATTTGCTGCCTTCTCACGCGCAGCCTCAAGAGCGGCTTTCTCGTCTTCACTTTCGAAATTTTCAAACGTATCCTCGTCCCATTGCGCGGTACCTCTCATGTTGTCATCCGGACCGGTACCATTGAAGAAAGCATCATAGACAAGATCGGGCCATTCAACAATCAGTGCATCACCGGGGTTCAAGGGACGCTGGAAATCACTGGCGGCAGGTGCAGCAACCTTGTTCAAGATCGCGCTTGCAATGGGGAAGGAATCGTCATCATCTGCAGCGTCACTCTTTTCGGCGTCACGAAGAACCTCATCCACGGTCACCGCGGCATCGTCAGCTTCATCTCCGTTTGGGGAAGTTTCCCTGACTGGCTTCGGGTATTTGTCGCGAAGATCGGGAGCTCTGTCGAGTCCATACACATTGGTCCAAAGGGTAGGTACAGCCATATCTGTGCCCCGAATGGATGAACTGAAGGCCTTGATTGTGAAAAGGTTAGGGTGTGGTTTAGCAGATGACATGCTTGCAACGCTGGTGGCTCTTGTGTCTGCAGAGTCTTCGGCGGATTCCGTGGGGGTAATCTCTACGACACCATCTTCGGTTTCGGACGCCGTCATATGCGGCACTCCGTTAGACTCATCATCCAGTTCCTTCTTGCTGTCCCCCACGGCCTCAACGGCTTCCTCCTCCTTCTCCTCCGCGACAGGGACAACGACTTCCTGCTCGGGTTTCCGTGCGGCAGCAGAACAAAGTTCATCCTTTGCAGTAGTGAACTGCCCATACTTCTCAACTACTTTCTTATAGACCGCGTCGTAACTCTTCTGATCTTCTTCGGTGACAACAATAACAAAGGGCGACCCGAAAACCTCAGAGTCCGGGCTGGAGTACTTCGAACCAAGTCTATAATGGAAGACCGGAACAAGAACACCGTCAGAAGCACGGTCACCATCAGCACTCTTGCGGCCATCAGGCACCGTGAAGTCGTCAGGAAGCTCATAGACATAAATCTTGTCCTCTGACCCAGTGATAACCTCAGAGACAGCTGCGAAGTCCGGATGATGTCGGTAGAATTTGTGCGAGTAAACCTCACTGCTAAACAGCCGCTTGGGATCGACACCCACCCTCTGCCCAATGTGTGCTTTCATAGCTTTCACACTTGTATTTCCCTCCAGTTCGACGGTCAACTTTGTTACTTTCTTCTCGCTGCTCCACGGAACGAAGAAAACCTGATGTCTCCACTTCTTGCTGACTGGGAGCGGCAAAGTAAGATCCATAAATGGATCGAAAGTTACGCTGACCTTGTCACATTCCGGACATATCAGAGTGGATTTGTACATACCCTGAAAAAGATCCACGATCACGGAGTCATTGCGTTGCTTGTGAACATTCCAGCAGGTGTCTGCAAGGACTGCAAGGGAATCCTCATCTGTCTCCTTAGAATCCGGTTTCTCGGTGTACGGCTTATTGAGAATGCGGTTCAGATCCTCATGAAGTCCATCAAGTAAAAACGCAAGAAACTCCTGAGCATCCTGTTGCCCGTAGCCAGAGAAGCTTGGCGCAAACCTACCGAGAGCGTATTTGAAGTCTCGTGGAGCGTAGTACATGAGCGGCGGTTGAGAGTAGAGGCCGTTCTGCAGCAAACCAGCATAACTGGTGGCCAGCTGACCGGACATACCCAGAGGATTGTCAACGTTGAGCTCCTCCTTGTAGACACCGGCCAGAAAGTACTTGGTTAGTTCCTCGGTATGCGACAAAGCCTGAAGCGCAGAGTTCATATAGCAAGTGTTTCCAAGGTTCTGTAATCCTGAAGTGCCCTCCACACGTTTCGGGGTTTCGTCGATCGTGAGACTGGCAGATCCAGACGATCGGGAAGGAGCTGCAAGACGCGCGCCCGCCAGTGTCCTCGGTTCAAGACTGTTGACAACGTCGTCCATCTCCGTTGCCCACTTACCATTGACCATTACCTCCACCACCACAGACTGACTCATGCCTAAATCGACCTCCTGCAGAGACTTGGACGTGTCTGCTTCACTCAAGTCCGGCTCACTTCCCAATTCGAGAACAGTCTTGGCGTCCAGAACAGCCTGATTCTCCGGGAAGTCACCTAACCAGAACTTGATGTTGACATCCTTCCCAATATCAAGGGCATCACGAGCAGCGTCGATCAAGTTCTGAAGCGGGGTCATGGCAGACACAGTAATCTTAGGAGCCCTCTGAGCCCGTGTGGATACGAAGCCCGCTGAGGCACGCAGTCGCTCCATAGTCATCGGACCCGACGCATTTACTGAAGGGCGTATTTTGAGCAGTCGGAAAGTAGGAGGGTATACTTCAACGCGCAGGTTCTTGCCAACTGCTCCAGACGGCGCTGTGTTGATGACCAAACGTTCGAATTCAGGGCCATTGAGTGTATGCCTGTAGCGATATGTGAGCATACATTCACAGAAAGAAGGCAACATAATCCTTACCATTCTTTCAAAGCATTCCAAACTTCCTCTGGGACAACTTCATACTCTTCCTCAATGCTCAACCCCTCCTTCAGCAACCCCTCGTCGTCGGCAATACTGCTATTATCAATGGGTCCTGGTGCTGTTTCTGTTTGGCCCTGTACCCATGCCTTCCAAAGGGAGAGCCACTGCATATCAATGATATACCATACGTCTTCCTCCGCCAACGCCTTATCAAGCAGCCCACCAAGCTGGCGCCATTGATCCTCCGCAGATGGCATTACAACAGACACATACGCAGGTGGCATATCTTGGTCCATAGTAGGTGTTTCGGGTATCGAAGGCATTTCAGAGATAGAGTCCGCCAATGACAAACCTCGTGCGTCAATGTCGGGAGAAGGCGAGAGGCGACGGCCGCTGTCGGCAGGTGAAGGTGAACGAGCGCGTTTGGAACCAGTCGAGGACGACGAGCGGGGTTCTGTGAAGGTGGACTCGCGACCGGACTCGTCTGTCACTGCCATCGAAAGAGGTGGATTGTTTGGAGGCCGAGGAGAGTTGCGAAGCCAATCCTACGAACTACGTCGCCATGCATGCAGGGGTGCAACGCGTGCAACGCGTGCAAAATCAATTACGAGCAGACCGGCACCTAGTCGAAAGCTTATTTGTTTCTTCGTCAATCGTGAATATGCCTACTTCCTAACCTTGGCACCTTTTCCTTGGGCTCGCTTCATGGCTCTTTGCCTCTCTTTGTCAAGCAACTTTTTCTGCTCCTCCGGCGACAGAGCCTTCTTTCGCTCTGCCTCCTCCTCCGCCTTCTTACGGTCCCTCTTGGCTCTGAGCTCCTCTGCCTCCGCCTCCTTCTCCAGCTTCTCCAGTTTTCTTCTGGTGTCGGCTCTGTTGCTTGTGACTTTCCTGGTGACTTCGGGTCGTAGCGAACGAGTAGCCTTGGCAAGGTGATCGGCAAGGTCAATGACGGCGCTGATCAACTCGGGGCTTTTCTTATCAGCCCGAACAGACAATGTGATCCTTCGGGGAGAGTTCTCCAAATCCTTAGTAGCATTCGGAGCCTCCTTCTTCTGATCACTGACAATAACGTACTCCAATGCTCCATTGCAGTTCTTCACCGCCTCGACGAACTTTTTGTCAGCCATGATGAACTCAGTAATCTCAGCCGATTCAGACATGACCGTATATTCCCTAGGCAGATCCTTGTGGTCCTTAGTGGCAGTGTAGCCGAGGTCCCAACGTTGCTCCCTGGCAGCCCTCATCAAACCCTTCTCCACGAGACCCCACACATAGCCACCCCATGCGCCTTCATCAGCCTCGATCTCGATGGTTACACGGTCAGCGACGGGCAACATGCCAGCACCACCCTCCGAAAGCGTACGGTATCCGTAGTCGAAGAGGAGGGAGATGGGGTCATGGCGCATGACGGTGTCAACGAAGATGGTCGCAGTCTTGATAGTCTTACGTCCGGAGGCGTAGGAAATGTACTCAGACGGCGAGCTATAGGTAAGAGCACCGGTCGACTGCTTTGCAGCACCAACGTGGACGAACTGCTGAGAGAGTACTGAGCCATGGTTCTTCCACCTATTGTACGTGTCAGCGACGAATCACAGCCTGCGTTTGAGACAGATCGAAACGTACCATTTCTTAGCGATGTCTGTGTTCTTACTCTTTCCAATGAAGTAGCAAGCAAGGTAAGCTGCCACAACAAGCAAGAATACACCCTCAAGCTTAAAGTCCTTCAAGTGAATGTCATCGCGCTCCCAGATCTTCAACGCCTGCTTCAAAGGCAACGTGGAAAAACGCGCAGCAGGCGAAGAGGTAGCATCAGCGACGACCGTGGTCCTCGCCGCAGCAGTGGAGGCTGGTTCGGGAGCGGCCTCGTAATCGGCGAAGTCGGGCATCGCAGCGAAAACAGTTGAGGCCAAGGGCGCGATAACAGCCAGCAGCGGCGCCGGCGACAACGTAGATTGGATCGGCATCCTGAATGAATATGGCTGTTGGAGATGGCCGACTGCTTGACAGCCGATGCGATGAGGCCAGCCTGCAGCTAGCGTCTGGGGAACCAGGGGTGCAGAGCCGTACACGTCCGCGCTCGAGAGCTTGAGATAGGGAACAACCGTTACAATTCAATTCATCAGGTATCGTAGTAATCGTACACTCTCCAACAAAAAGGGCATACGACCCAAATGTAGCAAATAGCAAACCCTAGAACGCCCAAAAGCAAAACTTTTAGGTCTCGACATGTCAGAGAAGAGAGAGTACACCGGTACCACGGCGTGGGCAAAATCAAAGCAAAAAGAAAAGTCATAACGCCCGCGCCTGCGAAAGAATCAAAGCAGCATCATACACCTCCTGTGAATCAGGCATCAGCCGCCAGAGCTTGTGTGCCCCATCTTTCCATGTTGATTCTATCCAGCTCCTCCTTGAATCTTCGCTTCTCCTCATCAATCTGGATCTGCGCCAGGTTTCTGTGGCTTTCTTCTCTTGCCAACCTGGAGCCAAGCTTCACGACTTTCCGCTTCTTCTCCTGTTCTTTTCTCTTGCGAGTAAACGACGTCGGGTTCCGCGACAGCTGCGGTCTGAGCATCGTCTGTGCGACAGGGGTTGGCGGAGCATCACGCAGAATAAGCGCCCTGCTTGGCTCCTCAAATCTTGGCCGGGCCAGGGGTGGGAGAGATATGGAAAGGGTATGGTGGTGGTGGTGCACCGGTTGAGCCTGGGTAGACTTGCGCGACGCGAATGCCGTAGATCGGTAAACAGCACCACGAATCGCCGGAGTGAAGACGGACAAAGTAGCCTGCGAAGACGCAAGAGCGCGAAGACGCAAGAGGTTTGCATCCGACAGACCACGCTCGGGATCGATCTCAGCCAATGAGATAGGTTTAGTAGACGAGCCAGCGGGCTGCACTGCAACGGGAGACAGCATGAAATCGTCCTCGGAATCGTCGAGGTGAAGTGAATCGACGTCGATAGGAGGAAGCTTGACAGGCTGCAATGGGGGGGAGGCAGCTTTTGGTACAGAGGTCCAGGAAAGCGAAAGCTTGTGGATGATACCGGGCAGTTCTTCCTGGAACAGCGAGCGCAGCTGCTTCTCAATCTCTGCCTGCAAGAAGCGAGCAATTGCGGGTATTGAGTCGAAAGTTGAGCTGACTCTGACGGACTCCAGAGGATCGTTCCGGAAGACGATTGTCAGACCCTTCTGTTTAGAAAACACCAGAATGACGATGCCGCTCAGCTTGAGGTCGCTTAATCTCAGAAACATAGGTACGGTCAACGGACTTGATGCCGCTCCCATTTTGACGCGAGAGAATGGTTGTGATGTTCGTGAATGCGTGTTGAGAGGGTTCGCCTGCACTTTGGTTTGCAGGACGATAGACGCATCGCCGTTGTAATTCAGCTTGAAAATTCCGCGGAAACGGTCCTCAGCAATGTCGCCAATCTCAAGGATCTCTAGTTCAGGAGGCTGCAATTGATCGTTAGCTTCTGCCATCATAGACGCTTTCAACAGCAACTCGGCATACCTGAGTGCCCATGTCCAATTCCTTCACGCTAATCTTATCGACCAGAATGGCAGGTTTGGAGCCCTTGTTGAGAGCTGTACTCAGCAAGTCTTCGGCCTTCTCATAGAACCCCGCTGAGAACTGAGGCCATGAGAACTTGAAGGCCATCGTCGGTCGTTATTGCACCAGCGGCGGAGTGGCCAAAAAAGGGGTATGGTGTCGGTGTCGGTGTCGCGTATGAGCAGAAACGGCAAAGAGCGGAGACTGTAGAGGATCGAACAATCAATCGTATGGACTCCGCGATGAATGGCAATTGCCTTGGGTAAATGGAGGTTTGTGGGTGGATAGGATTTTATGATGTATCACTTGCAGGATCATGCCGCGAAATCTGTGGGCCTGTGCGAGCCTCCCCGCCTGGCCGCAGAATCAGGGTAGTAAAAGTCGAGGCACCAACCTGCAGTAAGAATACCGGCCAGTCGTGACTGCAGCGCTTACGAGCATATATTCGAAGGAAAACAGTCCGCCATCATGCTGTACGTTGCTCCTCTGCTCGTGTTGTCATTCAGGATCTGACCATTGCAATAGCGACTCTATCGCCAACCGCCCTAACAAGGTTCCCCACTACCAGAGGCTCTATCAGGCCAACCCCAAGGTTCCTATCTACATGAAGCACCCCAGGTCAAAGTTCTTGATCTACCCCTTCTACGCTATCTTCGGTGTCGGAGTTGTTGGTTCTTTCTGGGGTCTCACCCGTATGGCTCGTGTATGTTTACCCTCGTCATTCGTGATGATGACATTTGCTAATCAATGTACACAGGGTATCAAGGAGTAGACTGCTACGGGTTCGGAGCGATAAAGGAGGAAGATTACTGTGGTAGCATGCTGCATGACAAGAGCAAAGACGGTAGAGGATGTTATACACTAATAAAACTATCATACACCTATCTACACCCGTCACAGCGCGTCCAGCAAGAGAGATATTACGAAGCGCGGAGATTGCAATTGTGCATGCCAGGAACACGATTCTCAGAAGGCCCCACGACGTCTTCTGCGTAGTACCCTGAAGGGTCAATATGCGAAGGTCGCGTTCTGCAAGGAGTCCGTCATGCCCTCATTGGTACTCTCCCGTCCAATCCGCATGACGAGGATTAGTCTTCAAGAGCATTTCGCTGCTTTTCTTCACGGCGGGTGTTGTTTTCTCCCGCAGGAGTCTTTTTGCCGGATCGAATCATATGACCTGCGCTTGAATATGCCCGACTTGACATGCGTTTCATAGCAGACTTCAGGAGTCCGCTCTCTCTAGTCCCAAAAACGCCCGGAATTTGTGCCTTCTCATCACCAATCACTCGTGTCGTTTACCGCTTTCCTCCTACTCGTAGGTCCGAAGTCGTCCATCTCATCCTCCATCTCTCTCCGCCTCACTTCAAGCCCAGGGTCTCCTTCCTCCACCTCTAACGCACAGATCTCGTTGAACTCCTTTCCTGAGTTGCCGATGAAAGCTTCCGTTTTCCACGTAGTACACAGCAGAGTTAATATCTTCTTGTCAGCTTTGGCGTCATCACCACAGACTTCCCAGGCTATTCGTCGCTTGGTATCCATCTCTTGACGGTAGCATGTCAGGACTTCAGATGCTGCATCTGCAAAGCGATCCATGGTCCATGTGCGCCATAGAGGCTTCAAGAAAACGTATGCATTGCCCTTTGTCCGTGAGACTTGAATAACCAGCTCATGAAGCCGATCCACGGAGTCAGTTAGTCGTCGTAGTAATTTCTCCTGAGTGTATGACGTTAGCGTTATGGTCGAGGCACGGAAGGTGAGGGACGTACAAATGATTGTATGATCTCCTGTAACCTTTCGGACCACTCCTTCAACTCTTGTTCAATTTGCTCGGCCGTCTTCCTTGTCTTAGTCTTCTTCTTTGGTAGAGAACGTCGTAGGCGAGAGTTACAAAGCTCGAATAATATGTCGTGTCCGTCGATGTTCATGTCCGCCCACTGCTTTCGCAGGTTCGCATTCTCCGAAAGCGCAGTCGCAAAACGACGTTGGTCGACATCCCACGCTCGGTCGTTCATCGTACTCCAAATCACAAATGCTGCTGTCTTGCTGGTTTTTGACAGCGCTCGTGTAGATTGCGACGACTGCGTAAAGTTGTGGAGAGTTCGTACAAGCAGCAGTCACGCCGACAACCTCCTCGAAGACCTCGAAGCGCCAGGCACGCGTGAACGGCACTGAATTATTCACCACCACCCTCCTCGATCCTATGGAGAAATACGTACGTTTGCTTGTGATGGCATGCTTCTGTGCTTCTTGCTGACTTTTCAAAAATCCAGACGCGCTTCCGTGATCCGGGCACAGGCCTTGCGCCCTTCCTCCCCGTTCCGGGATACACTCCTCCAGGTCCTCCGGCACTCACGTTGCCTCTGCGTGTCGTGCTCTTTGCGATCCGCTTGCCAGTTGTGTTGGCCATCTTTCTGCTGCATGTCTTAGTGTTCGAGTGTTCACTAGCTCCTCTGTGGTGGATCACTGGTCCAGACGTCTTGGGCTGGCTGCGATGGATATTCATAAGAGGAGGGGTCATGGGGATAGCCGGCGTATGGTGGGTGCCAGTTCAGGTTGATAACAGTGGAGCAGCTCTTTCGAGGTTTGTCCCTGTCTATATGGTCACTATGTGTGCTAACGTTCAATGTAGCCGGAAGACCTTTACCGCTCCTCTGCGTGCTGGTGATATCCTTGTTGCGAACCAGACCTCGCCTTTGGATGTCCTCCTGCTAGCTTCAACTCTCCCTTCAGTTCCTCTCTTCACACAGTCGTACCCTGGCACGTCATTGGTTGAACCTATCTCCTTCCCTACGGCCATCCTCAGATATCTCATCAAGCCTTCCGTCAAGGCTCCAACATCAGGCATGATGGCGCTCAAGGATGTAACGAACAAGTGGCAGAAGCGGATCGTGGTGGTTTTTCCGGAGGGTACTGCAACGAACTCTCGTGGCCTGTTGGCGTCTACCCCGTCTCTTTCGTCGACTGGTGTAAAGACGAGGATCTGGCCGTACACCATCAAGTACACCCCTACTGCCGACTTGTCAACTCCCATCAATGGCTACAAGGCTTTCTGGTCTTTTTTCTGGAGGTTCTTGTCGCAGTTTAAGAGGGAAATTAGACTTAGGGGAGCCGCCCAGCCTATCATTGTCGATGGCGAGGAAAAGGATGGTGAGGTCGTTGAGAAGGTCATGGACGCCTTGGCAAAAGTGGGTAGAATGAGAAGGCTGGGATTGGGTGTGCAAGAGAAGCGGGACTTCTTGGATATTTGGGGGAAACGTTCTTGAGACCTGATATAGCTGGGCTGGAAATATCAATTCACATCTATAAGGTGATATGTTATCTAAGTCTATTTGTATGCATCGTATCAAACATGTGAATAACGGGGGTATCGTAACTCTTACTCCCTATGCTCCACCTCCGGCTTGTACTGGTTTCCATGACCATTGCTCGTCCTCGGCAAGCTAGTCTGGCTTCCAAGTCCATAAGCACCCTCAACGGCCTCCTCGTTCTTCGGTCTGTCAACGAAGACATCCAGCTCGGTCTCGCTCGAAAGGTTAGAAGCACCCATGTTGGTGTTGAAACCGGCAGCGTGCTCCTTCTGCAACGTAGTCTCGTAACGTATCCAGTCCTTGACGGCAACACGGTTCATGTACATCTCGTTGATCTCCTCCAAAGAGCGGCCCTTGGTCTCTCCGATCATGAAGTAGACGAATACAACAGAGATTGTGCAGCCTCCTGCGTAGACGTAACCGACCATGGGTCCAAGGCCTGCCTTATCAGCGTCGAAAAGGTAGGGGAGGGTGAAGGTGACGACGAAAGCGACGATCCAGAAACAGAAAGTGGCGACGGCGGTGATACGGTTCCTGTTGCGTCCAGTGGCGAGTTCGGTGGACAAGACCCAGGCAAGAGGACCGAAAGCCAGGTTGAACAACAAGACATAGATCATGATGAAAACGACAATGCAGGTATTCTCGCCAGTAGAACGGTTGGAGGGAGTACCGACACCTCCGACGATAAGAAGCGAGACGACCATAGCGATACCTGTGGTAAGCAGCAACGGTCTGCGTCCATATCTTGGAATGAGGAAGAAGGAGATAACAACACCGAGAACCTCGCAAATATCAATGATAATAGTGATCAAAAAAGCGCTTCCAAGACCAATATCACGGACAAAGACAGTGGCGTAGGAGAAAATGAATTGGACACCGGTAATCTGCTGCGCAACCAGAATTCCCACAGCACAGAAGAACTTGCGACGCTCGATAGGGTCGCTGAGCAACTCGCCCCAAGAACCAGTCTGACCACCCCTCATCTCTGCCTCGTGATCGTCGACCATAAGCTTAAGCTGGGGCTCAGGAACGAAAGTCTTGTCCTCCTTGTTGATGCGAATAAGAGACTTGCGGGCACCCTCGACCTTTCCGTGACGAATCAACCAGCGGGGAGTCTCGGGTATGAAGAAAACACCAGCCAACATAACAGTCGGAATGAACAAGTTGAGACCAATTGGGATCTCGTAGGAAGCCTTGCTGGCGATTCCCTGAGTTCCTTGACACACGCAAGCTCCGACGACCTGACCGATCGCGAGGAAGAACTGCCAGGATCCAACGACGACACCACGGAGAGCGGTGGGAGAAATTTCGGAGAGGTAGAGGGGAACACAGTTGGATACTGCACCGATACCGAGACCGAGGACGACACGACCAACGACGATGACAGCCCAGCTTGGGGCGGCAAGTTGAATGATAGTACCGGCGATGACTCCGATTGCTGCAGCGATCATTGCTCCACGGCGACCCGTCTTCTCACCGATGGGTCCAGCGAGGAATGAACCAGCCGCTTCTCCAAGCATGACGAAAGATGCGGGAATAGCTAGGTGAAGACCATCGAACTTGTAACCGAGTGTTGTATCCGGCGCTCGTTCTCCGAATTTGACGATGAAGGGGTTCATGGCGACCACACCAGTGAAGTAGGTACCATCGTAACTGTAGACAATCCGTGAGCGAACGTCCACCAACGTGAGAAACCCGTACATACCCATAGAGAACGGCACCAAGAACGGCAAACCCACAAAAGAGAAGAGCGTAAAAGTGTTTTGGCAGCGCCATGACTGGTTGCTAAACCTGCTTATTTTTTCTGCAAACCCAGCTGGGTGGACGTGTTGCAGATCTTATACTCACACACCACAAATTTGTGTGCCTCGCCGACGCTTCCCCATTCAACCAACCCCACAGAGAATGACGTCGGGGCGTCTTGGGCCTCCCCGTTAATGGCTAACACTTGCATCGGTGGAGTACAACTCGTCTGGTAGCGAGTGGGGCTAGATGTAGGGGCCAGATGATGTGGAGGGAGAGTTCCGTACGAGGCTGTTTTGCGAGCTGATCAGTGGCTTTGAAGTGCCGTGTGCTAAGATTAGACCCTGCAATCTCGGCGTGCGGTCCTGACGGGTATGCCGTTTTGACATGTTAATCGAGTTCAACTGATACTCTGACAGAAGATCGGCTTGGTCAAGCGGATCGAAGACAACCCGGTCTCCCTCTATCCAAGTGTAATTCTCTCAGCAACCCATCACAGGGAACAGTGAACCGCGAACCCTTGAAGTCGCATCGTCGGCCTCGGAACATTTTCGGTCTCGGTACCCTCGCCGTAGCGTTACAGTAATCTTCCGGGTGGCTTGAAATTCCAGGCGAGGCCCGTGCGTGCGCGTCCAGAGTTTCCGAGGCCGACGCGACGTTGAAGAAGGCAAATACGGCAGGTAGCATTCACGTAAAATCGCTAGGACTGATCTATTTTGTGTAATATCTATGTCGTTAGTCTATCTAAAGTCCCGAGTCCAACGTCCTAACACCCCAAACAGCGTGCACGACGTATTCTCAAGCTCTCAGACATACAGGACTGCGAGCATCAGATGCGTCTTCTCATAAGCACCTTCCGCAGCGATAGTCATGCGATATCAAATACCTGGCACTGCCTCCCCGCCCACGGCGCCGCACAATTAGCGAATATCGTCCGCCGCACTTCACCTCCACCCTCCTCCTCCACCACTCCCTTCTTGGGTGACTTCGACGATTTGCCCTTCCCCTTCCCACTTTCCCCATACTCAAAGACCTCAACCCCATAATCATCATGAATATGCCCCCAACAATGCAACTTCGGCTTGACCCTCTCCAGCACCTCCCTCTCCAACAATGGACAGCCATGTCTCCCCTTCGGTTTCGGATGACCATGTGGTGGGCCATGCGTGATGAGTATATCTGTGTTGGTTGGAACTAGGGTCCATGGGTTCGGTTCGGATTTGGGATATGCGAAGGCAGAGGAACCAAAGAGGGGGACGCGGGGTGAGCCGAAGATATTCCAGGGTTTCCCGTTTATGTGGAGTGTTGTTGATTCGTGACACAGGTAGGTTATCCCCCGCTCCTTCAAGCCTGCTACGAGCTCTTCGACCTCCTCCCATCTCGTCCCAGCCCGAATAATCCTATAATGCCCATTCGCCCCATGACACTTCCTATCAAGCGGATAATCATGATTCCCCGCCACGACGATCTTGACAGGGTGCGGTAACGCTTCGATCCAACCGAATGTTTCTTCCACCTCTGAAAGTTTACCGTGGGCGGTTAAGTCGCCGCAGTGGATGAAGACGTCGCCGTCGGGTATTGAGTTTGATGGCGGGACGCGGCTGTGAGTGTCGGAGATGCAGACGAAGCGGGTGGTAGCATTGGTGTTTGATCGGTGAGGCATGATATCTTGTTCTTCAATGAAGGGCTTGTCTGTTGTCATAGTCCGTTTGATTTGGTGTTTGGTTGTTGCCACCCGTCTTCAAATGTTTCTTGCATTCATGACTGCTTCGGGTTGGCGTCGTTGTGAGGCGGCCGGGCAGCTGCAGGCGCGAACCTTAATCTCGGTGGGAAAGAAAAAGAAAACCAATCGGTTGGTAGACGTGAAAAGTCAAGAAAATGTAAACCTGGAATGCAGGTATGTTATTAATATTAGGGTAGGTGACTATGCATATGCTTAGAAAGAACGCCGTATGTGAAATCCCAGAAACGGCCAAACACGATATGATGTGCCTTTTCACCTCCTAGCACGCTCGTTTCTTTTACTTCCATCGCTCCGTCAAGCACCTTTCTAGACGCTTAACACTTCGCCATCAACTTCCAGTCCGTCCTGATCAACCTTCCAATGGTCATGACCACACCACCTGCCAGCACAACGATACCGCAGAAGCACGTAGCCTGGACGTAGCTTCCACCAGCCTTCGTAACCAACGCACCTGCGATGGGCGTACCAGTCAAAGCCGCCAACGACACGAACGCAAATCCCATTCCCATACGCACACCAATCAACTGGGGGTGAGGAGTAAGCGAGGCAATACAAGCCGGGATAAGGGAAACATAAGCTCCACTGAAGAAACCAAAAACCAGGGAGAAAGCGATCAAGCCGCCGGCAGTGGTGGTAGCGAGCCAAACAAAAACCATCATTCCACTGACGTAGACGCAAGGAATGAGAACGTTCAAGCACCCGATCCTGTCGGCGACGAAGTTCGGGAGGGTACGTCCGAACATGGAAGCGGCATTGAGGATGGACAAGAGGTAGAACGCCAAGTTCTCGTCAACGCCGTGCTCGATAGCGTACGCCTCGAGGTAAAAGAAGGGCAAGTAGAGGCCCCACAAGACCAGGAAAGCTCCGGCGACGAAGAGCATGTAGGGAACGTCGCGGAAAGCGGTCATGTCGAAGAAGGGGCCGGATTCGCGAGGAGGAAGGCGGGTGCGCATGGTGAGGTTGGCGATAACCAAACATCCCAAGATGAGGAACGCAATGACCCGGACGGTCCAAGGGTACCCGATCTTCGGAATGAGATGCTGCAACATGATCGGGAATATGATACCACCAATTGACGATCCGGACGCCAACAACCCCATAGCAAGCGCACGCTTCGCACGAAACCAGTGTCCAATAATCGAAACCGCAGGCAAGAACAACATCCCCAACCCAATTCCAAACGCAACACCCTGGGCAAGGAAGAACTGCCAATACTTATGACACAAACTCGTCATAAAAATCGAGAACACATACAAGACCGACCCTGTCAAACTCAGACTGCGTCCCTTCAACCCGGAGCCAAAGAAGTATCCTCCATCAAAGTAGCGACCGACGAAGAGGCCGGCGAAGAAGATGAGGAAGAGTTGCATTGATCCGATCCAGGAGATTTCGGAGGGGGAGTGTGCGGATAGTTGGTGGGTTTGGTAGTAATTTTGGAAGACACCGAAGGCGTTGACGAAGCCGAAGGTGACGAATGAGACGCACCAGGCGCCTACGACGACGATCCATGCTCTCCATCCACCGTCCGGGAAGTCGATTTCGTGTGCGTGTGGTGCAGGAGGTTGCGACTCAGTCAACTTTTCTAAGGTCTCGTTTGGCAGCTCCTCAAGAGCATGGTGATTGCGATCCGCCTCCTTCTCGGCGTACGTCTCTGCCTGACCTTCAGGCTCGAAGATTGTCGTATGAGTGGATGGCGTAGCGCTCATGACCTCCAATGGATATTCAAAGGGTATCGTTCTGGTGCAAAGCTTGATCTCCTGGATCCTTCGCTTCTGTGTTTTTCTTCGGGACTCGGCACGCGCGGCGACATTCACGCTAAGTGCTTCGGACGCCGGCAGAACGAAAAACTAATTACCGCAAGGACGCGGCTACTTGCCGAAACATATTGAACTACGAAGAATCGACTTGATGAAGAATAATGAACGAAACGCCAAAACACAATCGCAAAGATGCCAAAACTCCCATTCACTCGTTTTCACCTCCCTCTTCGCTTGCCAGAGTTTGGCTCCGTCGAGTTATCCACAAAGTCCCACTGGTAGCAATCCACGCACCCCTCGACAATCTCACAATTTGGCACGTCATCATACTCCAAGATAACATCGTCAATAACCTGTTTGATCCTGTGCGTACCAAGTGCGACTCTCCATCCTTTGTCCCTGACAACATCGTACACACACTCCAGTCCTGTATGGCAGTGGGTTTCCATGGCATACCCACCAAGTGAGCAGGTAGATCCCGCACCATTGCACACGCCCATATAGATCGGATCAGCCGTGTGTCCGAAGTGCCATACAGCAGCCTCGTCATCCGGCATTCCAGGCGGCAAAGGCAGATGAAGACGCTGTGCTGCAAGTCTTTCTCCGGGTGCCTCAAACGTCACTGTTGGTAATCCGAATGTCAATCCCGTCAAGGCCGCCATGGCACCTCCGAGTGAATGGCCTGCCATCCAGATCGTGGAGTTAGGGTATAAGGATGAGATGTGATAGAAGATGTTGATTGCGGCGCTGTAGTAGCGTGATTCGTCGAGGAGCTCGCGTTCGAGGCAGGTTTGGTCGCAGGTGTAGGTTGAGCGGTAGCAGTCGCAGACGGTGGTCCATGACCAGCTTACGCGGGCACAGCAACAGGAAAAGAGGAGGTTGTCCTGTGAGAGTGAGTCAAGGTCAACATAATATTCTTCATCCAAATTCCTCGACACTCACGTTAATCTTGTCATTTGTGGTAGTTCCACGTCCATCAAACACAGCCGGACTCGTCCCCTTGATCCCGACCACAACAACCTCCTCCTCCTCGTCCACAAAGACATGACCTCTCAGCCCATCCGTATCCCATCCAAAATCCATGCTGATGTTCCACTTTCCTCCGATATCAATCCAGTCTTCTGTGCCAGGAACAGCGATGTATGCATCCGATGTCACCTTTGCTAATTCGAGGACTGTGTGTTTGTGCGTAACGTCTGGCACGACCGTGAGCTGCTTGTTGAACTGAATCGAGAGAGTTTGGGGCTCTTTGTAAACTTGTGCTTGGCGGTATGCCTGGAGGTCTTCCCGAGTTAGGCTTTCTGGTCGGGTTATATGCCGCGTCTTCTTCCGCATCTTCGGTCCAGTACCACCAGCCGCAGCGACTGCCTGGGCTGGCGAAACGTCCGCTTGTACAAATAGCTCAGGGTTTCTATCAGCTCCGTGATGGATGATATGTCGCAGCTGAAACTGGACCTCGGTCGGGGTATCTGCTGGTGGCGGCGGAACGGAGGGTATGGTGAGAAAGGGAAGCTGCCACGCAGTAACCGGCCCTGCTGACAAGAAGACAGCCAGCAGCGATATAGCGAACGAACTGAGCATTACTCTGCGTATATGAGATGGTGAACGGTTAGTCATGGTTCGTTGCAATTGGGGGTGTTATGGAGGTTGCGCTATCTTATCCGGCCGCAGCAACCTTAACTGTGAATGACGACGGCGGAAGCTGGCCAAACATCGACAATTGACAGTTGAGAATTTGGACCATGAGCTCGTCGCCGAAACCGTCTATCTTTTCTTCGAGATCCTTTACTCGGCTTGCGTCGGCAGTTTCGAGGCCGCGGTCGTCTTCCAATGCCAGTTTGAGCGCTTCTTCGTTCGCTATACCCGAGGACACAGAGAGTGATGTAAGTCAGCTGGAGGGAGAGCTGCCTGCTGAAGTTGCAACTGCAGTATATTCGTGAGTCATCGTATTGTGCTCTCTTGACCCACCCGGCTAACACTGGTTAGCTTCCTGAAATTCCTGAATGGCTCGAATGTCACTGTCACTTCTACTCCTACGCTTGTTCAGAACTTTTATCATTCGACTCTCGCGCTCATCGATGATGCATTGCCTCAGCTGAGTCTGACAAGCCCATCTTCAGAGCTTGACGGCTCAGAGATGCTATCGGGAGATGAAATTGCACAACGGAAAGCCAGCCGCTTAAGAGCCGAACGTCTACGTACAGAATGGGCGGAAGAAGTAGAGAAGAGACTATGTGAGGGCGAATACGACAAACTTTTGTCCATCAAGGACTCCGACGATGAGGTCCGAGATGAAGCTTTGGCCTCAAAAGTTGCCGCACTGAACATCCTAGATGTGACATTGAAACACCTGGGGGTCGAGATGGGGGATGAAGAGGAGGTACATGCAATTGCTGTGGCTGTCAGTGCTGGAGAAGGTTCATTTCCGGATCCATCATCGTTTATATGTTGCTGACGGAATTGAACAGAACTACAGAAACTGAATGAAGTACAAGCACCTAAGGCGAAAATTGAAGTGCTAGTAACCACACACAAGATCCTTGTCGATGGACTTTCCGCTCAGCCGTCCGGGACTTCTAATAACTCGCCAACAACTTCGGCTCACTCGGCTGACCTTATTCTGCCAATACTCATATATACGCTCATCAAAGCGAACCCGCCGTATTTGGTATCTAACCTTTATTACATTCAGAGATTTCGCGGTGAAGACCTACTTGTAGGAGAAGGGAGTTATTGCCTTACAAACTTGGAGGCTGCGGTGATCTTCCTGGAAACTGTTGATCTAACGAGTCTTGGGCTCCTGCCGCCCGATCATATGCCGAGCGACAGTACTGGTGAGCTAGACTTTACTTTGACGTCCCAGAGATTAGAGAAGAGCCTCACCGGATCGCTTCCGTCTCACGCCACTTCAACAACCGCTTCGCTTGCACCTGAAGTCTCAATTTTCACTGCTTCGGCCGAGATTTCGACCCCTCACAACGCCCCAGCTCTCGCAGATGATAGCATCAACTCTGCTTCATCAGCCCCTCCTCCCCAGGCGGTGTCGAACCTTCGTGCCTCGGCGGACCAAGGGTTGAAAAGTCTGGGGTCTGCGCTTGAAAGCTCTTACAAACTCTTTGTTTCGCGCATACCAGACCCACCCAAGACGCTCGATGATGTGCGATCACTTGTCATGGCCGCTGCCGAGCAAGTCAGCGAGCAAGTCGCTGCAGGAAAAGTCGATAGGGAGCAACGTGAGACTCATTGGAAGAGACAGCGGGCGGAGTCTTTGTCCAAAGTGAGCGCGGGTGCAAAGACCATTACAGGAAGTTTGGGCCGACCTTTCAACTTTGTGAGAACGATGTCATCGAGCTTCGCAAGTGCGCGTCCGCCAATTCCCGCGTTCGGGAAGGATGCGGCTGCAATTGATTCGCCATCCCAACCTTTGGCGGAGACTATGAGTACACGCTCTATGTCCTTACCTGGCATTGAGATTGCAGAAGAGGTGATTCCGGTCGACAGTGTTATGAAATTAGCGCCTCCGCGATTTGCGAATATGGAGGCAAGCGAGCTGAAGATAGGCGATGTCACGGACCTACTGGCTGAGTATAAGATGATGGCAGAGACATTGAAGCAGCTAAATTTGTTTACCTAAAGAATATACCATTGATACCACACTTAACAATACCTTACTCAGACTTGTAGTCGTTAAGATCAACTACCGCACGGCCGGCGATCTTCCCCTTCCTCAACAATTCCACGGCCTTTGGCAGATCGTTCAAGGAGAACTTCTGGTAAACGGGTTTGAGCAGCCCACGAGCGGCAAGGTCAAGAGCCTTAGCGGTATCGTCGTAGCTTCCCACGAGCGTGCCCTTGACGGTCAACTGCTTGAAGACGAAGCCGGCCGGAGAAGTTCCCACAACCGTCTCATCAGAGGTCGGCAAAGCAATGCACATAACGATACCACCGACCCTCAAAAGGCTTGGTGCAGTGACGTAGGCACTTGGGTGAGAAGCGGTCACGACAACACCGTGAGCTCCAGAGCCAGTAATCTTCATGACCTCGGCGGCGACGTCCTTGGTCTTGGTGAGGTCGACATAGTGCTCCGCACCCAACTTCTTCGAAAGCTCGGCCTTTTCATCACCCGCGTCAATGACAATACACCTCAATCCCATAGCCTTGCCGATCTGAAGAGCCATGTGTCCAACACCACCTCCACCACCAGGAAAACAGCACCACTGACCCATCTGCAATCCACTCAAGCGCAGAGAACGGTAAGCAGTTCCTCCAGAGCACATGATCGGACCGGCAACAAAGTCGTCAACGCCATCGGGGATGCGCTGGGTGTAGTGGGCAGGCGAGCAGACGTACTGGGTGTATGATCCCATGGCGTTAAATCCCGGAAAGGCGGCTTGGGGACAGTGCGTCTCCAGATCAACACGGCAGTTGTCGCAAGTGCGACAGATGTTGTTGACAGGCTTGATACCTCCACGGTCTCCGACCTTCCAATCCTTAACGTTCTCTCCCACGGCGACGCAGACACCCGCTCCTTCGTGACCAGCAATGTTTACCTGGGGAGCCAAACCTTCCCAATCGGCCATCCTGTTCCGAAATGAGTAAATTGCCGGAACACTTTTAGGGAATGCTACTCACATGAAATGGATATCACTATGGCAGAGGCCAGTTGCGTTCAACTTGAGCAAGATCTCATCAGGACCGGGCTTGGGGACTTCAACATCCGTGACCTCAAGTTTGAAGTTTGGTCCAGGGTTGGAGAAGGTGGCTGCTTTGCAGGTCTGGCTCTTTGTTAGTGACCAATCTCGAGCGAGAAGGCATGTGGTGTACCTTGGGAAGTTCGTCGGCAGAAGGCATTGTTACTTCGGTATGTCAAAGTGTGATGAGAAAGGGAGGACCTTCGTGGTCAGTAGGCTTTATATGGTGCACAAAACCGTCTGCCAAGGCGTCTGTTGATGAGGGGGAGGTCACGAGCCATCCAGGGTTGAGTATATGGCTCAACCTCGGGGCCCGATCTTTCCGTGTTGCCGTCTGCTGGCACGGTCATTCATGTCTGTGCAAGGTTGTTTGCTTCCGTTGAGAGTAGAAGCAACAAAATGAGGGTAGCAGAAGCGGTGGGGAGAAGATCACGAGTGGATTGATATGGGAGGTTGCTTCCGAAATCATGTTGTTACTCGTATTCATGTTCAGGTGACTGCGGTTGTAGATGAGGGGAGACGTCGGATTTCTCACGGTGGGGTCGCACGTCGCGCATGAAAGCGGGGTCAGCGCAGCAGCTGATGATGATAGTTTACGTGAACTTTGATGCAACTTGAACATCTTCGCTAGCTTCACTCGCTGTTTCTTCAGGGTTACTCTTCCCGTATACGTGGCCTAGCTCATGATTAGCTGCAACATTAACTGACCGAGGCCGTTATGAACTGCACACATGAGTGAGCACTCGAACAGCGGGCCGGACCGAGCCAAGAATGAACATGTGCCGTCCTGGATCGACTGAAGACGTGAGCAGACATACTATTGCCCTCCTCCAACTTAGCAACTCTCGCCAAATACATCGATCATGCTGAAGCGCGGTGGCTTCTCTATCATTCCATCTTTAATTGGCATGTTATCTTCTTTGCCTCTTGCTCGCCTGCTTGGCTAAGTTATGTGCACACAAAGTAGGGGTGTTGTGTCTGATCACCGGAACCGCAGCGCAAGGTGCCCAGTACACTGATGTCTTTAGCGGAATTTGCGTAGCCGCCGTCGTCCCCTTGTCTTCGAATGGCTCGAAGGCTATTCATCTTCAGATCACGGCACCGAAGGAGGTAGGCTGGGTGGGGGTCGGCTTGGGTGATGGGATGCGTATGTGATCCCAAACCTTATCGCGTGCATGTGCTGAAGATGTGCACAGTCAACAATCCGCTTATCGTGGTAGCTGAAGACGAGCACTCAAAAGTGGCTGGTTCGCTTCGCTGGGCAACAGATCACTCTGTTCCCAAGGTATACGACAAGGCCAACTTCACCCTCCTCTCCTCATCGCGGCTCACTTCAACATACATCGTCGCAGATATCGAGATTTCATATCTCGAAAAAGCGCTCACTACAAATGGCGAACAAAAGTTCGTATGGGCGCTCGGCGCGACGAAACCCAAGAATATCACGAGCGGCTCTTTCTCACGTCATGTTACTGTGGGTGACTTTACTTTGCGCCTACCCACCTTGGACACAAAGCCAGAAGTGACAGTCCCCTATGATCACAACAGCTGGAGGTTTCTGGTTCTCGCTCATGCTCTATGTATGGTAATCGCATGGTGTATCATCCTTCCTCTCGGCGCATCGATCATCAAGCTGTTCAACGAGATGCTCCCAAATGCGTTCAAGGCGCACTGGATACAGCAAATGTGTGGGATGGTATTGATCCTCCTTGGTGTGAGCAGTGGTGTCGGAGCGAGTCGAGGTCAGCAACTTAGCTTTGCGCATCAGTGGATTGGGCTGGGGCTCATTTGCGGTCTTTTCCTCCAACCTTGTCTTGGCTATTGGCACCACAGAAGCTTCGTCAAGTATAAACAGACACATGGGGGTAACCCTCGACCGGTGCGGATGTGGTACACCTATGGGCATATCTGGCTTGGTCGCACATTAATCACGGTCGCTTCCACAGTCGCAGTCGCAACGGGGTTGAATCTGGCTGGGGCCCCTCTCTGGGCCATCGCCGTATGGCTTGCCGTTCCCGTCCTTGTGATTCCCATTTACGCCTTTTTCGCATGGCGTAAAGAACGCCGTGCTCGTCAGCGTGAGATTGTCCATGGTGCACAGTTCGAACCCATACGCGGATTCGAGCGAGTCCCTTCCCCTTTCCATAGGGATCCGAACATCGGCCCCCAACTCTATGCGCGGGCTCCAACGCCGAGTGAAGCTGGAAGCGATGTCGGAGACCTCGGCCATGGATATGATCGTGGAAGGCAGCCATTCCGAGACCGCTCAGGAAGTAATGCGAGTGATGTCTACGAGATGCAGAGGAACCAGCTGCTTGCGCCCGGAGAAAGTCCTCCTGGACTGAAGCCACTGTATCTTCACGCTGATCGTCCGGTGAGTCCAAGACCTCGCGATCGTTCGACATCGGGCAGCCCGCCGTTGTATAGGCAGTAGTTGTATTTATAGGGAGCGATTGAGAATGTGTCTGTGTAAGAATGCTTGGTTATGCCTAATACTATGCAAAGTCAGTTAAACGAAAACTCCATGAACCTATGCCAAACCCCAAATTATGTATGTGCATGTACTATTCATCTTCACTCTCCTGTACTCAGGCTTTTCAAACCGGGATGTAAACTCATCCTCTTCTGCCTGAGAAATGACGGCGCCGGTAACCTGCTAGGGCTTCCAGTGGGAGACTTAGGGATTCCACTCCTGGCGGGGGATTCCACCTTTATTGGTGCACTGATGAGTTTCTCAACCGTTCCAGCTGACTGCCGTTCTGAGGAAGCGGATCTAAGGTGGGCAAGCGAGACGGTCGCCGTATTCGGAATCTGCAGACTCTTGCGTCGGTCGGCCATACTCATGCTGCTTGATATTGAATTATTGACTCGTGATCTTGGTACGCGCGACGTATCTATTGCTCCAACTTTCCGTGGCAGGTTCAGAGGCAGATGACTCGGCGAGTACAGCTTCGACTTCTCTGTAAGGTGTGATGGCAGCGCCGCTTTCGGGGTCATGTCGTTCGTCGGAGGGTTCTCCTCTGTCGGCGTAGACACTTCCGGTACGGGAGCAGTTGCAATCGCTGAAGGACCCTGTATTGACAAAGGCCTTGGCCTGCGGCCGTGTGCCGCGCTAGGTCTCATTGAATCGGGTGACAGCAATGCAGAATCAGCTGCAAGTGTCGCGTGCCCAAAAGGCGGACTCCTGATGGAAGACACATCGGAATGTGCTGAGCTCAATCTGCGGGACCTCAGGGAGGAGTGCGACAAAGCGGACCCTGGACGGCTTGCGCGGCTCGCTGGTCGATCATCGTTCCGGCTTCCTGCGCGTGAACATGGGCGAACATTGAATGTAGAGGAAAGCTGACCACGCATTCGTTCTGTTCTGGCTTTGAGCTCCTGTACTTTGAGCCATGCACTGGACTCGCGACGAGGGTTGCCGCGTGATCGGGCAGGGGGTTCTGATGTAGTCCCGCTGGGCCGCCGCGACAGTGAGACTTCTGAGTGAGCTACAGACGCCCTTCGACTTGGCTGAACAGAGTTCGACACGCGAGTGCCAGCATTACTTGGCGGCGGTGATGGAACGTCGCTCATTGACGATGCAGACGGAATCAATGCTGGTCCCTCTTTCTCTAACTTCGCAATCTTCGCTTGCAGGACCGAAATCTCTGCGTTTGCATCCCGAAGCTCATCGCGTAGACGCTGGTTATCTGCTCGTAAACTCTCCGTCGCTGCATAATCACTCTCCAGCATTGCATGCTGTTCCAACAACGCCTCATGCTCTGCCCTTAGTCTCTCCAAGTCCGACTGGTGTACTCGCTCGTTCCTCTCAATCTCATCATTACTCACTTCAACCTCACGTAGCTGCAGCTTGAGTTTCTTTTGTATCTCTCGCAACGAATCGATCTCCTTCTGCATCGTCGTCTGCGCTTTGGAGGCTTCTGTCGTTGCTTGTTGGTATTTGTCCTTCCATGATTGGATATCGCGCTGTAACAGGTCCTGCTTCTGCTGCGCCTGATCGAGAGCGGTTTCGTTTGCCTCCAGCTCCTTCATGAGTTCGTCTTCGAGCTCCTTTGATGCGGCCTGATTCTCCCGGGCATCAGCAAGGTCTTCCTCCAGCTGTGCAATGCGTGCCTGCAATGAGGCGATGCTGAATAGATAGAAAGTCAACACATATCCCTAAGCATTCACACAGCAGCATTCACTCACTCATCTGTACCCGCCATGGTTGGCTGTGAATGTATGTGCTCTGTTGTTGCCCTCTTCTGCTGGCGTTGAGTATTGGTCTAGCTTCCCGCACAGCGCTGCATCCGTGACAAGTGGGCAAACCTTATTACCGCGAACCGAGAGAGAGAGAGCGACGAGAGAGACGACCATTCAAACACCATCAAGACGAGAATGTCCTCGACGACTTCCTTGGACCGGATACCAAGACCGCCTAATGATACCGATGACTTGGAGAGTGCGGACGTTACTACGACGTTGTTGCCCACGCCCGTGTCGGCGGATGCTCAATCCATCAAGTCCGACAAGGCGGCGGCGAAGAAACGTGTATCCCTAATTGCATGCATCACATTGATGCTCGTCGCATTATTTACAGCTTTACTTTTCGCTTGGAGACATAGCAGATCGCACGGTACGTTGATTGCGAGTGACTCCTGAGCTGCTGACTAAGCCGACGCACAGACGAACCCACCCGACACAAAGTCCTCGTTCAAGCTGCTCATGGCGCCGTCGCTACCGAGGTAGATACATGCTCCGACATCGGCGTTCAAATCCTCAAGGATGGAGGCAACGCCGTGGACGCCGCCATCGCCGCCGGTATCTGCGTCGGGTCCATCAACATGTTCTCCTCGGGTATCGGAGGAGGCGGGTTCATGATGATCAGACATCAGAATGGAAGCGCACATAACATTAACTTTAGGGAGGCTGCGCCAGCGCTGGCGCACAAATGGATGTACGAGGGCAACCCGAAGGCGAGTCAGATTGGTGCGTTAGCTGTTGGAGTGCCAGGAGAGGTTGCTGGGTATGGAGCAGCACATGCGTTGTATGGCAAACTTCCGTGGAACAAGTTGGTTGAGCCTTCGATCAAGCTTGCGCGGGAGGGTATCTTGATTGAGAGAGATTTGGCATCGCGACTTAAGCTCCTCGAAGATGACTTCCTGGCGGACCCCGCATGGAGGACAGTCGTCGCGCCAAACGGCACGCTGCTCGCTGAGGGCGACATGATGTACCGCCTCAACTACTCCAACACCCTCGAGCGCATCGCTTCTCGCGGCCCTTCAGCATTCTACGAAAACCCCATCGCCTCTCACATCGTCGACTTCCTCGCTGCACGCGGAGGTATCCTTACCTTGGACGACATGGCATCCTATGAAGCAAAGGTCGAAGAGCCCATCAAGGGCTGGTATCACGGTCGCGAAGTCCTCACCTGCCGTGCGCCTTGCTCTGGTCCCGTTCTCCTCGAAGCCTTGAATATTGTTGAAGGTTTGGATTTGAAGAACGTAGGATACACCCCGCTTGGCGCGCATTACCTCGTTGAAGCAATGAAGTGGGCTTCGGCGGGCCGTACAGAACTCGGTGACTACGTTGAAGGCGACCCGGACAACTCTCCTCGTATCGCAGAGTTATTGACAAAGGAATGGGCCGCGAAGGCTCGAGCGAATATCTCTTCGGATGAGACGTATGGATGGGAACACTATGGCCCGAAGTACGATTTCATCGAAAATCACGGTACTACGCACCTCAGTGTCGTCGACGAGGACGGCATGGCTGCCAGTATCACCTCGACCGTCAACCTGTATTTTGGCAGCAGATTGATGGAACCCACTACTGGAATCATCCTGAACGACCAGATGGATGATTTTTCGCAGCCGGGAGTCAGTAACGCATTTAACCTCACGCCGAGTATCTACAACTTCATTCGTCCGTTCAAGAGGCCGTTGAGTTCGAGTGCGCCGGCTATCATCGTGCATGACGGTGACTTTGAGCTCGCGTTGGGATCATCCGGTGGGTCGCGAATCGTCACAGCGGTTTTCGAGGCTATCGTCCGTACTTATGACTGGGGCTTTAACCTCCTTGATGTTGTCGAGGCGCCTCGCTTGCATCACCAGCTTCTTCCAGCTTCGGTGTCTGTCGAGTCGGGCGTCAGTGAGGACATCGTGAATGGATTAAAGGAAAGGGGTCACGAAGTCGACATCTTCCCAGCGAGCAGACCACGGGCTGAGGTACAGGTCGTGAGGAGATATAAAGGACGCCAGAAGGGCAAGACAACTGGTTGGGTTGAGGGTGTCTCTGACTCTAGGAAGGGTGGGGTCGCGGCAGGATATTAGATTTATTACCTAGACTTAGGATTTGGAGGTTAATGTTAGTTTACCCTGCTCAACAGGGGTTCGCGCTCGGTGTTTTCTGGGCCTGAGCCGTTCGTTGCTTCCTCCCTGGCTGCCTTCTTTGCTGCTAGGGACTTCCTCCACTTGGACCAGAGGGACTCGCCATTCTTGGCCTTTCCGTAGATTCTTTCGGGTCTCACGCGGTGCCTTTCATCGACGACGACCGCCAAACAAGCCCATACAGCCATGACAGTCGCGACTCCAGTACACCCCGAAATCACGAAAATCAAGACCAACTGGTACTTCACTGCCTGATCCACATCCGCACCACCCAAAATCGTTCCCGTCATCGTTCCCGGAATCGAGATGAGACCCATGACACTCATCTGCGTAATACTCGGTAACGTGGCGAGCCTAATCGCCTCCCTCAACAACGGCCTCGTAGCCTCCCACCTCGTCGCTCCAAATGCGAGGCTCATCTCGACTTTCTCACGTTCGGCTGTACCGAGAACGTTGAGGACGTATCCAACTCCGACGCTAATTCCGGCGATGGCGTTCCCGAGGGACATTCCGAGGACTGGGATGAACCGCTCGGGCGACCACCAAGGTGTTGAGCCCATTGCCCAGCGGGAAGCGAGGGAGGCGCAGATGACGCAGGTTAGACCCATGGAGAGGAGAGTCGACCAGAACATTCCTTCGAAGCGGCGTTTGGATCTGTTCCACGTTGCTTCCCACGCGCCGAGGATTACGAGTGCTCCACCCATTGCCGAGACTGTCCATGGGTTTTGGCTGGTGAAGACCGTTTTGAGGATGACTCCGAGGAGGGAGAGTTGAACGAAGCATCGGAGGGCTGCAACGAGAAGAGGTGTCGAGAGACGGAGGTTGAGGGACAGCGAGAGGATAGCGTTGAGGAGGAGAGAGATGGATGCCAAGAGAACATTAAAGTTCGTCAATAGCGGCGTATTGGGGTCCTCCGGAGGATACGTCCCATTCTCAGGATTCCCAGGCACGGTAGTATTGAACAGGACGTATACATCCATGGTGGTTGCTTATTCAGTGAATTTTGGTTGGACGATCGCGGGTGTAACGACGAACATTTTAGTGCCTCTGACCGAATTTAGAGTTTGGCTCAACAGAGGGGGAGGGGAGCTGACGAGGTCAAGGCGCAACACCAGAACCATTATGGTATGTTCATCACGAATTTCAAAGACGGGCGATGTAACTAATAGATGGACAGGCAAATCAAGCAAACAAACGTCTGGCGATTCAAAACGCCCGCATCGTTGCGAACCACCGCCTATTCGCGATGGGTCTGCATGGTTTCTTCATCCTCATGCGCCTCGTCCTCCGTCTACGAGCATTCTCAACTGGTATGCTGATCAAATACCTCCTCACCACTGCTCTTTCCGGATTCCTCCAATTCACCCTCGAGAAGACTGGTCGTGCACGCTACAACCCCGCCGGTGAACTCCTTAGTGCCGGACAGGACCTCAACCAGGCTGGATTGACGGAGTGGATGTGGGATGTTATCTACGTTTGCTGGCTTGGGCAGGCACTCGCTGCGCTTGGCATTAACAGGGGATTCTGGGTGTTGTGGGCTGTGCCGGCGTATGCCGTGTTCAAGGTCGGACCCATGGCAGCGAGGTTCTTGGGGCTCGGCAACATGTTTGGTGGAAGGGGTGCTGCGGCTGAGGCTCAGGAGGAGGCTGCGCCTGCGATGAGCAAGAGGCAACAAAAGATGGAAAAGCGTGGTGGTCAGAAGATTCGATACCGTTGAGCTCGGTGTACGATAGAATGGACATTGTACGATATTGTACGGAATACATGTTGCACAGCACAGGAAGGGTAACAGGAACCAGAAATGGCTTTGAAGTGATCAATTTCAAATACCTAGTTTAGAGATGCGGTATGAACCGCGGCCGCGTTGTGTAAATAAGAAACCCCGAAGAACACCGATAGAAAGACCCGAGACCCAAGTTTGCCGTTGTGTAAAAAAAAAAAAGAAAGAACCCACCCCGAAACAAAACGAAACGAAAAAAGATAGCGCAGTGCTCGGACGCGATGTATGCATTTATCCACCGAAACCGTAGATGGTACGGCCCTGGCGCTTGAGAGCGTAGACGACGTCGAGGGAGGTGACGGTCTTGCGCTTGGCGTGCTCAGTGTAGGTGACGGCGTCACGAATGATACCCTCGAGGAAGGTCTTCAAGACACCACGGGTCTCCTCGTAGATGAGACCGGAGATACGCTTGACACCACCACGACGGGCGAGACGGCGGATAGCGGGCTTGGTGATACCCTGGATGTTGTCACGCAAAATCTTCCTGTGACGCTGTGAGATGAGTTAGCATCGAGTTGAATACAAGATAGACGCGATAGAATGTACCTTAGCACCACCCTTTCCGAGACCTTTTCCACCCTTTCCGCGACCAGACATTATTGATAGAGTTGTTGAGTTGAGGGGGTTTGAGTTGTTGAGTGAGGTTTGAAGGAAGTCGGGGGGCGAGGGGTATTTGTAGTTGGGGGGTGTGTGTGTGAGTTGCCGCGCGTACTTCTGACAAAAGGGAGTGGAAAGCGGGCTCTGATCCGGAACGATTTTGATGCGTTATTCGAGTGCCAGTTACAGCCGCGTCCTTGTTGCCTCACATCACACTTCACGCGCGCGCCAGACTGCAACGCACCAGCTGACGTGAATTGCGCGCGAGGATCAGACGAACGCCCAAAGGGGAAGTCTTACTCTGAATTTGCACTGCTCGACGGACGCTGCCACAAACTGAAGTTAACTTGGAGACGGCACAGGTTAACTCAGACGCCGTTGCCAACCGCAGAGGTATCTTAGTTAACGACACTTGAGATGGTTCCGGCAAGGAAATCAGAAAGGCAGGTGAAGAAAAAGTTGTCAGAACCGAACAAGTCTAGAAGGGAAGCTTTAGAACAGAGAAATCAGAACAAATCTGCCTTCTCCTCGTGGAATGACGCGTTTCGACTTGGAGCGGTTGTCGTGCCGAATTCGGCGGTAGAAAGTCTACGTTACATTACGCGCCCGAATTTGGGCTAAAAATAGAAGCACCCTGAGGATGCCACTGCGTTCTTTCGAAAGGGATCTCTCTAATCTTGTAGAGTAACATCATAGCTCAGTGAGAATAGTCATGATGTTGTGTGCCTTGTTGACCAGTGCAACTACCATTCCTGACCAAATGCAGAGCTGTCCAAATACTTCGTGGTATTGGTTTATGTCTGCAGAGGCAAGCCGACCATTAGAAGTGCCATCTTCCACAAGAACGGATAGCTTTCTTGACAAGGCAAACCATCATCAGAGTGTGGTGAAAATATACGTCAAAGATCTATGGTATGACGACTGGGCATACTGAATCGATGAATTATGAACTGCATACGGCGTACAAACAGAACGTTCCCACGCCTCACCGTCCACCTTCCATGCTAACTTTGACTTCCTGACCTTCCTTCTTCTTGTCAACATAATCCCTAACTCCATCCTCGACCTTCCAAGTCTCCCAATCCTGATATACATGATTATCCAAATTCAGATCGCCCCGTAAATCGTGTTCCGCCGGTTCAACATACTTCCCGCCGCGACCTACATACGCGCCCCCCTTCGCGATGATAAGTGCAAAGATGGAACACTTCTTTTCGGCATGGCGCGTTTCGGATTCTTCAAGCGTATGTTTAGTGACCGCGAAGTTGGTCTCTGTAAGTCACGCATTAGCTCAAACTCCGAGAAAGGGTTACATACGCGAAGCTCACCCATTTCTCTCTCGAACATCTCCACCACCTCGCCCAAGGACTTCACATCCCCACAAATCCTCACCTCAGCATTCTTACTCTCATCCCTTCCCAATGCCGATGCAACAAACTTTCCAACATCCCTCCTCGACGTCCAGGACACCGGCGCAATGCCTTCACCTTCCAGATCCGCTGTCTTTGCGTCGAGATTAATTCCGAAGCCGGAGCGGTGAGTGATATATTCCGTAAAGTAACCGCAGTAGAAGAACGTGTGGGAGATCAGGCTTTGGTGCTCGATGAGGTATTGGCGGAGTGAGGTGCGGAGGCCGAAGATTGGGGATTGGGTGAGCGAAGATGTGGGGGCAGTACCGAACTCGTTAGGAACCCACCTGTATCCTTGAATTAGCGACTGATCCTTTCGCCTCTTGGATTGCGCGACGTACCGCTTCACGCCAGCTTTGATTGCCAATTGAATCCATCGCTTCTGCCCGTCGATTGCATCCAGAGTGAAGGCAGGCGCCAGGGTCACCACAGTATCAATTCCATCAAATGCCCTCAAGACCGACTCTTCCGTATCATAGTCGACCTTGATGATCACCGCGCCTGCTTTCTCGAGCGCTTCGACCGCAGCGGCATCAGAGACAGTTGCGGAACGGGTCAGGACACGGACAGAATGACCACGCTCGATTGATGCAAGGGCGATCTCTCTGCCCAAGTTCCCCAAACCACCGATGACTGCTACGTTGATTTTGCTCGACATTTTCCTGAAGAGCAGTGAGTCCTGCGATGGTGACGTCGGAGGGTGTGCTCCGTAAACTACGTTACCGCACTAAACCACGTTCGGCAAGCGGCACGGCAAAAGTGATGGCCGGTAGTTCTCGATCGAGGGCACAAAGGGAGTTATCGATTCCAGACACGGCAAAGCTACCATGATACGCCAACGAAGACCGGTTCCAGATCGTTCAGCTTCCCTGTAATCCAGACCTCCGATAACACTTTTTGTACGCCTGGAGCAGCAGTGATCCCGCACAATCCCTTCCAGCCTTCGCCCGCGTAGATGTCCTTCATCCCATCACAAAGCTTCCTGAAGACACCCTGACCCGTCGCTTGTGGTAACACCCCACAAACCTCTACAAACAACCACGGCTCCGAATGTAACCCCGGCTTCGCCTCCTCGGCCTGGTTGTGCATCTTGTCAAATGTACTCAGCAGTTTCTTGTTAAATGCATCGTCAGGAATAGGTTCTGGCGCATGCTCATTGCGAAGATCTCTAGCCAGCAGAAAAGCTGCAATATCGCCGTTGTCGTCAACAGCTACTAACGACATGATCTTGACCGAGGGTCCGGAGGGGACACATTCCTCGATGATGGAGTCTATCAGTGGCGCGAGGTCTTCTGGACATGGTTGTGGGTCGAAAGACTGACTCATGGGTTCGTAGTTGCAGAAGTGCCTTGGTACGATCTCTTGTAGAGCTGTCACGTCATGTGGTGAAGAGCGGCGAACTGTAAATGCCATGACGCTGGATCAAACGTGGTCGTTGTGATGGTGATGGAGACAGTGGACAAACATGGCCTCCTTAAGAAAATCCGGCTTACGCAAGCTTTGTATCGTCCACATGGTTCATCTTGACATCCTTCGGGCGTCTTTCATCCGTCTCCTAGTAACTTTAGGTCATCCTCCCTCGCTTTCGATAATTCGGTTGCACAAGCTTTGCCGTATGGACCAGTCGCGACCCCTGCGGAATTCGGAAGGTTTAACCGCAAGCGCGCGCGTACGCCCAGGCTGCACGCAATTGACCGCCAAAGCCCAAGAGCTCCGCGGAGTGTGAATGGATCGTCGATGCGGCATCGGTCTAGTGGATGTAGAGAGATAGATATTGTTACCGAGTCTAGTGTAGTTATACCGCTGATAAGGTGTCCTTTCTCTTGTTGTCAACGCACACGTGTATCAAGTCCCGCTTCAGAAGCCATCTCCATCGAATCCAGCAAATCCCGCCATCAATAATATCCTGTAGTATGGTTTCTTCGAGATGGTGTTGCACCAATTCCACGCAGACGTCAATCTGCCGTCGATACACGACCCAGCATCGAAGAAGTTGTCAGCTCCAGAACCATCAAATCCGTGCTTGAAAAAGTCAGACAGGATGGTCTTCTTCAATGTCTCAACACCGCCAAAGGACTCCTCGATATATCCATGAATGAACGGGTCTCTCGCGATCCTCTCCAACTCCTCGACGGCAATCGTGATGGGGTTCAAGATTCGTGGCACCTGAAGGTATTTGTCAATGAACAAAAGGGCGTTCGGTACGTTGTGGTCTCCGAGGTGAATAACCGAACTTCCAATCCAGGTTCCTGCCTTTTGCTGCGCCTTCGACAAGATGGAGTGCATCGCCCTCGACAGTCCCGGACAAGCCTGAACACGATTGAGACCCTGACCAGTGTCGGTCAATCTATACCGTGTCCGTGATGAGAGTAGATCACTGTCAGAGAGGGACCAAAGCATGTACATCTCGTGCATGATCGAGGACCATAGCGACAATGACTGGTTGACGTAATAGTATTGCTTCTGGTGCGAGTGACTGAGACGAGCTCCTCCCCTACCAGCTTGGATGGAGAGGTGGAACTCGGAATCAGGCTTCTCAGGGCTGAAATACTGCTGTAGAAGTGCTCTCATCTTATCGCAAGGATCCCGGTTAGCTCTGAGGTATGCGTGGTTGTCTCCGAGAGCGTACAAGCATTGTCTGATATCCTCCCGGCTGATCTTTGGGCTAGCATGCTTCTTGCTTAGGATCTCGATCGCACGTTCTTTTTGTTTGATTTCGGTTTGGATTTGAGTCCGCTTCTTGCCTTCAGGTACAACCTCCCTTGTAGCATGGACGATGATGTCCTCCTTCAATAGATCAAGAGCGTCGCGATCTGCGAGAAAACTGTGTACCGTCTCGATAGGTTTGTAGAGGTTAAAGCCGAGTGTCTCCTCCACCTCAGGGTTCATCGAGTCCTGAACCATGTACATCATCTTGCCGTATGTATTCCGCATCTTGTCCGGGTTCTGAATCTTGTACCTTCTCCCAAGCTCAAAGATAGTCTGGAAAAATTCCGAATTCTCTTCGTAGTCCTTATCCTGAAAGAGCTCTTGTCCTGCTTTCATGTCACTGGCGACGACGAGACCGGCGAGGGTTGCGCACATGTCCTTAAGCTGGGCGACGACACGCTTTGCGCGGGAGGAGTACATGGCAAGAATGTCAACCTTGTCGGTGTACTCAGAAACGCTGAGAGCAGCCTCAAGTAGTCGGAGGTACTTGCGCTCTTCGTGGGTAAGACGAAGGGGGATGTGCTTTGCTCTGGAGGTGAGCCAGTCGCCGAAGGTGGAGGACGAACCCACGGAGTGAACGCCAGGCAAGTTAACGTCATCCTCGTCGTCCTCCAGTTGTGTCTCTTTTGATGCCGAAGCTTCTGTTGCTTTCTTGGGCTCGGCGACCAGTGAATGGCCATTGGCGGTCTCTTCCGCCTTCAACGGACGGAACTCGTGAGCTTTCCGCTTGCCGGTACGGTGCAGAAATTTCCCACAAACATCACAGAAGTTCTCGTCACAGTTTTGACACTCGACAACTGCCGGCTGATCTTGGCATCTGGGCGTTTCTGTCAGCATTGACTCCTGGCACACGAAACCGAGCATACATACTCAGCGCAAAAGGAAGAGTCTACGGCCTCCTCAACGGGCTCGGCATCTGACAATTCAACATCGGACTCCTCCTCAACAATCTCCGTATCTGCCAAGAGAATATCGCCAAGGGAACGTTTCATGGTGTCCTTTCGGGAGTGTATGCTCTCTGTTCTATTGCGCAAGTACGAACTCCAGCGCAGAACTTTAGAGTTTCCGACGGCGCCTGCAAGACATCCGTAGCCGTGAGGATCCGCAGATGGCGGCCGACGTCACGTGAGAAGAGACCCATTCTCATCCGAATCAAAGAGTATCAGGACCTAATAACCATATCAAGTTGAAGCCAACGTGCAATTCGCCTCTTTCTCACCTGTCCCACCTTGCCTGCCTTTCCCTGCCGCAAATCGATAAGCGCTGAAATCCATTGCGAGCTAACGTCAAATTTTGCAGTGCCTAAAGCGGCCCTGAGTGGATTTGCGGTGGCGAACCGCGCAGGTATAAGAAAGGCCCTTCCCCCAACTCCTGGGCTGATATTCAGAGCATTCAACTCCGACTTCTCCCTTTACACATAACGAATAACATGTCTGGATACGGAAACGGAGGTTACGGTGGTGGTGGAGGCGGTTACGGAGGAGGAGGTGGTAGTGGTGGCTACGGCGGTGGCCGTGGTGGTGGTGGTGGAGGTGGAGGATACGGAGGCGGTGGATACGGTGGAGGACGTGGTGGAGGCGGTGGTGGTGGTGGTGGTTACGGCGGAGGAGGATACGGTGGAGGTGGAGGTGACCGCATGAGCAACCTGGGCCAGAACCTGCAGAAGCAGACCTGGGACTTGGAGACCATGCCCAAGTTCGAAAAGAACTTCTACCGCGAGCACCCCTCAGTCGCTGCCCGCACCCCGGCCGAGATCGACGAGTTCCGCCAGAAGCACGAGATGCGTGTTTTCGGTACCGATGTTCCTAAGCCTATTACCAACTTCGACGAGGCTGGTTTCCCCGCATACGTTATCAACGAAGTCAAGTCCCTCGGTTTCGCCGCTCCCACCTCGATTCAATGTCAAGGCTGGCCCATGGCTTTGTCTGGTCGTGACCTCGTCGGTATTGCTGCTACTGGTTCTGGAAAGACACTCTCTTACTGTCTTCCCGCTATCGTTCACATCAACGCTCAGCCTCTTTTGGCTCCTGGCGATGGACCTATCGTTCTTGTCCTGGCTCCTACTCGTGAGCTTGCTGTCCAAATTCAGGAAGAGTGCACCAAGTTCGGAAAGTCCTCCCGCATCAGGAACACCTGTGTTTACGGCGGTGTTCCCAAGGGTCAGCAGATCCGTGATCTCTCCCGTGGTGTTGAGATCTGTATTGCTACCCCTGGTCGTTTGATCGACATGCTTGAGTCCGGCAAGACTAACCTTCGTCGTGTTACCTACCTTGTTCTCGACGAGGCTGACCGCATGTTGGACATGGGTTTTGAGCCCCAAATTCGCAAGATCATCGACCAGATTCGCCCTGACCGTCAAACTTGTATGTGGTCCGCTACCTGGCCCAAGGAGATTCAGCGTCTCGCCAACGACTACCTCAACAACTTCTTCCAGGTTACCGTCGGTTCCCTCGAGCTCGCTGCCAACCACAACATTTTGCAGATCGTCGAGGTCGTCTCCGAGTTCGACAAGCGTGGCCGTCTCATCAAGCACCTTGAGAAGGCTATGGAGGAGAAGTCGGCCAAGACCCTCATTTTCACCGGCACCAAGCGTGTCGCCGACGACATCACCAAGTTCCTTCGCCAAGACGGCTGGCCCGCATTGGCTATTCACGGTGACAAGCAGCAGGCTGAGCGTGACTGGGTTTTGAACGAGTTCAAGGCTGGCAACTCTCCTATCATGGTGGCTACTGATGTTGCCGCCCGTGGTCTCGGTATGTACTATCCCTTCCCCGTTCATTGACGCAGAAAAACAGGCTCTTCTATAACTTTCAATCTGGCGTGATTATATTCGCAGCTCTTCGCTTAGTCATCTGCAGTGTTCACTTTCGACAAGGAGAGGTTTTCATGTTCCTCAGCTACATGTGTTAAAAGTCTGGCATGGCGCGTCGCAGTCTCTTCTGCTTTCCGCGCGCTCTTTTCTGGCTTCCTCTTCTGTGATTATTGCAGTTCGGCTCCGCTATCCTCCCAAACCCTTGCATGATGTTCTTCTGTGTGACGCGTCATGTCAAGTACTTCCCGTTCCGTATGGGTTTGGCTCTCAACGCTCTATACTTGTAATGAAGTATAGGTGCGCTGTCTTGAGAGGTCATCTGGTCACTTGTGTTTTATGAGTGTCTGTGTATGATGTTATGTGTTTTGTGTGCAAACCTTCTGTCTGTCTCTGTACTATGTACCAAGATCGAAGGCATTGTCATCTGGATATGCGCGAAGAGCTTCAGCGATTACCAGTCCCTTACTTTGCGAAACCATGCGCTTTGCCAGGGATACGAAGTACCGCTGTATTGAGAAGAACGAGGGCTTTTACTGCGATTCAATGAGCATCATATGCTCTTCGAGTCGTATGCTAACTTTCGTGTTACAGATGTTAAGGATATCAAGTTTGTCATCAACTACGACTACCCCAACAACTCTGAGGACTACGTTCACCGTATCGGTCGTACTGCCCGTGCCGGTACTAAGGGTACCGCTATCACCTTCTTCACCCAGGAGAACTCCAAGCAGGCTCGTGACTTGTTGACCATTCTCCGCGAGGCTAAGCAGGAGATCGACCCCCGATTGGCCGAGATGGGTCAATCTAGGGGTTACGGAGGAGGAGGAGGAGGCCGCTACGGAGGTCGTGGTGGAGGCCGCGGTGGAGGACGTGGTTACGGTGGAGGAGGTCACGGTGGCCAGGGACGTGGGTTCACTGGTTCCAACCAGGCCCCTATGGGTGACAACCGCCGCGCTTACTAACTTTGAGGTTCCTTCTTGCATCATTATTCATTAGATTTGTATTTGGGTTTGTTCATTGGGTTTAGGTTATCTGGGTTGGCTATAGCTTTAGAGGTCACTTACTGGCCAAAAATAATAGGGTTCTGATCATTCCACACCCCTCAATCTTCATACCACACCCCGGCGCACTCACAATTTCAAAGATATCTCAACAGCCATTGAACTTGGGAATACGGTAAGAGCGTAGAGAGATAGAGAGTACCTTTGTGAATATCCTGATACCTTTAACTCGCAGATTTCACTCCACCAGCTGCTGTACTCTGCCAAATACTGCTGAGATGTGATGTGCAGATTTATGCATATATGCGCTGTGCCACACCAGCCGCAGCGCCGGGCTGAGAGGTGAGAAACAGTTGGTATCTTCTCCCAGGAACCTTCAAATCCGAATATGAAGGTGGGAACGGATTCAGGGGACTTTTATCAGTCTATATACTCTCTACCCTCCGAGATCCGATTTGCGGTTGGCGAGATATCCTGAGTTTTTTGTTGGCGCTGGGGTGTGAAATGAAGAAAATGGGGTGTGGAATGATCAAGACCCAAATAATATCTGGCTGCGTCATATCATGTATCTTGTCCCTGTAACGTTGACTCTCCATTTGAGCTCCCAGGTGTGAATGCGTCACATACCATACCACCTTGATACGACACAACCATCAGCGGAATGCAAGGCTTTGGATACGGCAAATACTATCCTCCAGATTTTGATCCGAAGAAGCACAAGACGCTCAATGGATACGCCGGTACTCATGCGTTGGGTGATCGGGCACGGAAGCTAGACAAAGGGTAAAATGTATAGTTGGAAGTTTCTCACATTGACGCTGACATTCCTGCAGAATTTTGATTGTCCGGTTTGAGCTTCCGTTCCATGTTTGGTGCACCAATTGCGACACGCTCATCGCACAAGGTGTTCGATTCAATGCAGAGAAGAAGAAAGCAGGAGCGTACTATACAACGCCAATATGGAGCTTCCGGATGAAAACAGCATGCTGTCAAAGTTGGCTGGAGATCCATACAAACCCCAAGGAAACCACATACGATGTCATTTTAGGTGGCAAAAAGAAAGCAGAGGAATGGGATGCCGCGGAAGCGGGAGTTATCAAGATTAAAGACGCGGCAGAAGCCGAAAGGCTAGCAAGTGATCCGTTTGCGCGAATAGAAAAGGAATCCGAAGACGTGAGGAAAGGCAAGGAAGCAGCACCGAGGATCGCGGATCTAGCTAATGAAAGCGAACGGCAATGGGCGGACCCTTACACTCAATCCAGGAGGATGAGAAACGTGTTCAGGACCGACAAGAAGGTTTTACGGGCAAAGGCTGCCGAAGCAGAAGAAATCCAGAAGCGGAACAGTTTGTCCATCAAATTGCTGGATGAATCACCGATGGACGCCAGGAGGGCTGCCCTTGTTGAGTTTGGTGCTCTGCAAGCGACGGATGAAGCATCAAAGAAACGGAATGTACTAGCAGGAGCCATGTTTCCTCGTGCGAAAAGAAAAGCGACGGCACCCGCTACTACTAGAGAGAGGTTGCAACAGGAAGTTGTGGCCAATGCTCGTTTGTCAAAAGATCCCTTTGTGAACAAGGCAGGTGTATTGGAAGATGAGAAGACGACCCTGCCAGCGGGCGTTATGGTTGGTAAAGGAAAAAACAAGGAAAGTTCGTTAAGAAGTGAGAACAGCAGTGAAAGGTCAAGTCCATGTTTGGTTGCCTATGGCTCGGATGACGAAGAGGGTTGAGGTTATGGAGGTCCATTTGATTATAGGGCAAAGGAATAACAGGACAACGGGGACTGGGGCGTTACACTGTCGTTTTGTGAGAACTTTCGATTTGTTTAGATATGGATCTATCCAAAGATACGGAGACCATCGTCTGGGATGACCTCCACTTCAGCTTCCTTCTCCTCCTCCTCATCCACGCGTACACGCTGCCCCAAAAGACTTGCAAACAACTCATCAATCTGCTCATCATGCCACTGTGCCGTAGGAATAGGTGCCATAAAGCTCTGAAGCTTCTCATGAACGTGATATCTCAGCTTTCTACCCTTCGATGCCTTCGTGTCGACATTCGCCTTCTTCTGCTTCGGCTGCTTGATGGCGGCCCACTGTGTTCCGGTACCGTTTCCTGAATCAAGCATACGTCTATCGATGAGCTCCTTAAGCATTCCCTGGTAAAAGTCGGTATCATCGAAAATCTCGGAATTGAAGTTGCGGAGGTGTTCGTCGGTTGCATCCTTGCTAGTCTTGTCCTCCTCCTCTGCACCCAGAATCTTGTTGTTGCTTCGGTTCAGCCTGGTTCTCTGGACGAGACGGTCCTTATCAGACAAAGTCTCCTGGATTTGTGCGAGAATGCCCTGGTTGACGGCCTTGAATTTCTTATTTAACGGCACACCGGAGGCTGCTTGGACCTTGTTAGACCACTTCGTAAGGGTTGACTCTTGCCATCCCTGGAACTGCTCGTCTAACGCCTGGAAGTCGCTCCAGATGTTGTTCAAGTCGACGGAGTCATCATCGTCTCTCTTTCTCTTCCTGCTCTGGCATGCATCACCATCAATTTCCATACCGTCAGCCTCCCTCATGAACTCCATGCGCAAATCAAACAGGTTGTCAATGAGCGACAGGGCGAGCGCCTCGGCATCCTTGATCGCATCTGCAGACTCCTCATCGACGAAAGTCGCGAAAGCATCGCCCTGAGGGAAGGTGTTGACGGCAGCCAAACCCTTCTGGAGCTTGATTCTGGAGTCGAGGAGGGAATCGTAAATCTTCATCTGGCTCTTGACATGTCTGCCCTTCTCCGCCTCGGCCTTGGCCGTCTGCGTGATGTTTAGCACAAGACTCTTCTGCTCCTCGGCCATCATCTTGCGGAGCTCGTCGTTCTTGTCATCACCATCCTCGTCCTCTTCATCATCCTCTTCTCCGCCTTCGAATGCTTCCTCATCACTGCCGGACTCGCCGTCGTCCGATCCCTCCTCGCTCTCCTCGGCTTTATCATCGATGAAACCAGAAACATCCTCCTCATCGGATTCTTCTCCCTCAAGATCTTCGTCATCCTCACTCATGGCCTTGAAGGTGTCTTCACCGAGAGCCGCCTTACGACTCGAGCGCTTGCCTGCATATCGGGGATCGTCGAGAATATGGTCGTCTTGTCGGAGTTTACTCTTGCTGACGGTAACATAGTGCTCGCGAATATCGCCCTGGTCGACATCGGATTCGTCGTCGGAGCCACCTCGGGCTTTAGTGAAAGGATCATCAATTGCTTCCGGGTCGTAATCGAGAGGAGCCGGATTGGCCAACTCAGCCATACGCTCAGCCAGAGATTTGCCAGCCATTATGTGTCGTCAGTGATCTTGTTATTTTCTGGACTTCGGCTGTCCGCCTTCACTTCACTTCTTCTCGTGAAGCACCGGTTGACGTGAATTCTAACTTTTTTGAACCGGGGGCAATTGTTGCCTGCCGAGCCACCCGCGCCACCTCTCGATACGGCAACTGCTCGTACGTACATAGGCACGTTGCCTGCCAGTGCGAGAGCAAAATGGCCTTCCAAATCAGATCAATAGCACCGGCATGCCGTTCTCTCAATCGGACAGCATGTCTCATTAAAAGGCCGGACAGCTTCGCACGGTTGTTTTCTTCCGCACGGATAGTCCTACACGAGAATCCTCTGGTGAGCCAGGATCGCCGTTGATCCGCGAAGACGACTACTAATAAACTTGTTCAGGGCTTGCCTCGGAGCGGTGCACCTCCTACCCTTCCTAGAATGCAACGCGGACTACCAACGAAACGCAAGCTGCCTGGCGTGGACAGGATCATTGCGGTATCCTCGGCGAAGGGTGGTGTGGGAAAATCGACAGTATCAGGTGTGCTCTATTAATCAGGGTCATAAGTCACATATACTGACCAGATATTGAAGTAAACACTGCGCTTGCACTGGCACAGGCTGGAAAGCGTGTTGGTATCCTTGATGCTGACATCTTCGGGCCATCTATCCCCAAGCTGTTGAAGTTGTCTGGCGAACCTCGTCTGTCAGAAAACAACCAGCTTTTGCCAATGTCTAACTATGGTTTGAAATCCATGTCTATGGGCTACCTGGTGGGCGAGGAGGCACCTGTAGTATGGCGAGGAGCAATGGTTCAGAAGGCAATGCAACAGCTCCTCCACGAGGTTGAGTGGGGAGGGCTGGACTACCTGATCATTGACATGCCACCTGGTACTGGTGATGTGCAACTTACTATCATCCAACGGATTATTCTAGATGGTGCTATCATTGTTTCTACACCGCAGGATATCGCCCTGATTGATGCCGTGAAGGGGCTCAACATGTTCAAGAAGACGGACACGCCTGTTATCGGCATGGTACAGAACATGAGTGTCTTCGTTTGTCCAAACTGCTCAACGCATACGCATATCTTTGGTACGGAAGGTGTCGTACGGACAGCGGAGAAGCATGGATTGAGTGTTATCGGGGATGTACCGCTTCACGCGAGTATCTGCCAACATGCAGATGAAGGGAAACCGACTGTGGTTGCTGAACCGGAAAGTGTTTATGCGCAGGCTTACAGGAAGATAGCTTCCGCCATCATTGAGAAGTTCACTTAGATTATTTGCGCGTCGTAGTCGTGTGACAATGCATGTCGGGTTAGCTATGCTAATTGTTTCGCCGCTGCTTTGGCAGCACTACCAAGCTTCCGCTTATACTTCCTTGGATCCTTCCTCGACATCTTGCGCTGATCTCTCATCCCCTCTCCTCCTTCCCAGAACGAGTTCTCTTAGACTTCATCCCACGACCACATCGATACCCCTTTCCCTGCATAAAGTGCCTCATCTGCTAAAGTCATTCAATCGTCATAGCATCATCCTCGCTTAGAGCTGACCTGACAACGCACAAGAATCTTCCGAGGTGCATGCTACCTTCCTTCCCCGTCGAGTGGAGCACGTGTAGCTAGATCTGGGTGAATGCTTCACCCGGTAACAACAGAGTAACAACCGGGCCCGGGAGTGTATGCTACTCGTCTTGTTTCGTGAAGCTATTTTTCTTCCTGCCTGCTCAGGCGTGTTTGCTCCGGCCTTTGTTACGACCGTTATCGCCCGTTTAACCCCGCCCTAGGCGTCGCCCCCCCCGTGGGGCTCTCGCGAGTGCCGAGCAACACCAAAACAGGACCCCCGGTGGCCGCTCGGACGACGGGAATAGTCCTGCTTCCCGCAGCTTATCGGTCTTGTCATGACGGTTGCATCACAGGGTCTCGCTTTTGTTGTCCGTCGGTTGCGCCTGTGTCGACCACTACCCAATTGTCCACCCGATATGAACGCGTCATACGATCAACAAGACATTCAACCGCCCTCACATGCAGTCACCTGAAAACGAGACGTTTCAGCGGCCGTGGCCGAAGCATTCTAGAGGTTATATGGAGTGACCCGGAGTATGTACTGTAGCGTTCCACTACGAAGATCATGATCATACGAGCGGATATGCGTACGAATAAGGTTCCTTCCGCGACATGACGGCGGGAATCTCAACTTAAAGCAAGCTCGCGAGTTTAACACGGATGTTGCCAATCATGTGAAATGTCAAGTAAGCACAGAATGACGAGTCCCATTCTCGATTGCGCGCATAGCGATCGGCCTGGCCCGCAAGCGAGGGTTTCGGTGCAAAGTGTCGGTGCAAGGACCGCTTACAGAGAGGATGGGCGTATCTTCAAACGGGAACACGTCCGGTATTGTACGCGCGTAATGACCAAGTGAAAGGTTGGGAAGTTACACGATCTCAACTTTCATGCCCCAACGAAAAATTGGCAGAACATTGCAACGCGGCGAACTGACCGACCGCCTTTTCCAGGCCGCTTCCTTCCATGGGCCAAAGGTTGCCGAGGCCGCGGAGGTCGAATCGCGCACGAGTCGACGGATGCTTGCTTCCAGCGCGCGCAAACGCAAGATGGCCATGGAAGAGGAAATGCCGGTGAGTCAGCAAGATCGCAAACGCAGCTGATGGGGGAGGCGCCGGAGTAAGGCCTCCGCGGTTGGGGGTCACAAGAAAGGGGAGTTTACAAGGGAGAGAGCGGTTTATGCCAGATGGCGGGGTATGGAGGGGCGGAGTAAGTAGTAAGAAAGTATGCGGGTGGCCGTAGTCACAGGACTTTCAACAGGAGCGAAAAGTGCCGGGTATCGACAGAAGCACGCCTTGGGGTAGCGCCAACGGCCACGGAGAAGCTTGTCCGGGAGGCAGTTGGAATACCAACTCGTCGTCTAGAACGCGCGGAGTCCATCGCTGCGCCTCTCCTTGCCTCTCTCACCCTGACCTACAGGTGTCTTTACAGGGCGAAAGAGGCGAAGTTATTCGTCGGGATCATCTCGGGCTTACGGGGCAACGCATTTGATTTCGTTATGCAGGGCGGATCTGGACGGAAATCGGCTGCTGGGCTTCACGTGCAACAAGCCTACGTCGGGTCATTTCCGGTAGCGGACATGACGCGGACGGTTTGCTGGGGAGTCAGTCGTCGATTGGAGGGGAGAGTCGAGCGAGAGGACGGTGGACGAGCAGAGCAGCTGGAACGATCCGCCTCTCTCCTCGGACTCTTTTCCCGTCGAGATGAGCTTCGAATTTCGTTTCGTTTCGGCGCGCGTTATTTCCTTCCTGCTGCTCCTTTTTAGCTCGCACACGAGTTTTCACATTCCGGCCGGCCAACGCCGAACCGCCGCCGTATATAAGATCATGCCCCCCCCCACCCCCTCCTCGGCACTCCCCCAAATAAACAACACACCTTAAACCAACGCAGCTGGGTAACAAGCCAGTGCCAACCGATCTTTCTCTGTTGTTCAACATATACGCCTGACTGCCGCCCTCCTCGTCATCGTTTTGCATTACACACAGCATACTGCGCGCGACTTTCGACCAGTCAACAGCAAGCATTAATCACAAATTCATAATGCCTGGACGTGCTACTCTTCCGGATCCTGTGCTCTCGTTGGCGCCCAACGGCATCACGAAGCTCGACTCTATTGACGCCGATAACCTGAGTTGTATGTGGAATGGTACGTGCCGACATCCTCGCCTCTTTCTTTGAGAATTGCATGCTAACGCGTTTCTCTGCTACAGTCTTCACCAAGTGCAAGGAGAACCTCGAGAATGGACGTCGTTTGGAGAACCTTTCTTGGCGTCTGTGGTACCGCGAGGCTTTGATGTACGACCACGACGACGAACCTACACAGACCACCGCCACCGCAGCGCATTCAAAATCAGCGAACGACTTGCCCGCGCTCTCAAGATCGATCGACTCTATTGCATCGGAAGCCGCACCTGTCGTCGCCGCAGCAGCATCAGCATTGACTGCCAAGCCCGTTCGCCCAACACTCACCCGCAACTTATCGTCAAAGCGTCACTTGACCCCAGAGAGCTTCCACAAGCTTGTCACGGGTCTTGGACCTGTTGGTGCCGACGCCGAGTCATGGAGGGCTATGGCCAAGAAGAACGGTCAGCAGCAGGCTTCCAGCGCCCCCGGCAAGCAGGTTACGACGGTGAAGGACGAGAAGACGAAGGAGGTTGAGGCCATTGCCGCCAGTGTTAAGAGCGGTTTCTCGAAGGCGTCTACCTCATATCCGGCTGACGCGTCGACCAAGTCGAGGGCCATGTCCGTCCTCACTTCCGCCAAGGATGAGTCCAAGGAGGACGACGCCCCTATGATGGCCTCCAGTGTCGTCAGGGGGTTTGAGTTGCCAAAGGTTTCTGCCATTGCTCCCAAGCCTTCATTGCCGACTCCTGTACCCGTCGTTGCCCGCCCTGCCGCCGAGAAGAAATTCTTCATCAAGAGCACGCCCAGTGATTCCGAAACCGACTCGGACGCTGAGCGTCGTCGCAGACAACAGTGTACTGTCCAGCAGAAGAAGACGGAGAAACGTACGAGTTTCAAGGAGGAGAAGGAGATTATCAGGTGTGCGCAGGATTCGGCCATCGCTTCTGACAGCGAGGAGGAGGATGAGGAAGACGATGGCGCCGTGTTTGAGGATACGTCTGATGAGGAGGACGATGCTGGAGATGAGGATGATGGTGACTGGGAGGACTCTGAAGGCACTGGTTCTGTTGGATCTTCGGTTGAGGACCGTGCCAAGGTGAGGTTTGGCAAGAGCGAGCGTCCTGGTTTGCCAAGTCGCCGCAGTATGTTGTCTGCGCTCTTGGTCAAGCGTGACGCGATCAAGGAGGGTGGTTCCAGGAGCGACTCTTCCAAGTCCTCCAAGCAGTCTAGCCCCATCAGCAGCCCCTGTGCACCCCGCAAGGCCGCTTCCGTGAACGAGGCCCCTCAGACCATAAGTGCCATGAAGATCAAGCGTTCTTCCTCTACTCAATCCGACCAGGTGGCTCTCTCGCCTCGCACTACGCGTCGCAACATGCTTGCTACCGAGCTGAGTGAGAGTCTTAGGCGCAACTTGTTGTGGGAGAGGCAGCAGAAGCACATGACATCCAACGCCGTCCTCAAGCGTCGTGCGGCAAGTGCTATGGACGTCAGCGAGATGGGCAAAGATGCCCTCGATGAGGAATACGGGTACCACGGAGCAGGATGGTAAACAAAAAGATGATACCATCTACTTTCCCAGAAATTCGGTTTTTATTGCTGTTTGTGTTGTTTTGCGGATCGCGATTGCTTCTTCCGCTTGGGTTCACTATTTATGGGCTTACGCCAAAGCTTAAGCATGGCGTCTCTTTTTTATTCTTGTCTGGATGGCACCGGTGTTTTTGTTTTTTCCTTCCGCTTCTTTTTTATTTACGACCTGAGAACATTGTCTGCTGGGTTTGTGGGTTTGCAGTTGAGGATTCATGGAGGTCGATGTGATGACGATAGGATAGGGTAGCTTGTGCTCGCTGAATTGATCTTCTTCGATGCTATGTTTTCTTCCATTCGTCCGTCTTTTTAAGTTCTTGGTGTAGCAGTTGCTTGACCGAGCACGGACGCGGGAAGTGCAGGTATGTACACGAGTTCTGCTGCGCATTGACGTACGACTCCAAACACAAACAGCAACCGGCAATATGGCGACCGTAACATCCCCGACATCCGTTGATCAGGTCAAGGAGGTCAGCATTCACGCCATGGCCAATCATCGCTACTAACGATATCCCTGGCAGTTGATTCGGCAGCTGTATGCCCCCGGACAGAACCCGGAATGGTTGAAAACGGCTCAGAGGACTCTCCAAGGGTTGCAGCATTCACCTGATGGTTGGGCGTTAGCAGAGCAACTCTTGGCAAGTGAGGTATGAATCCTTCCTCATTTGCGAGTATATGCAATGGCTTATCGGGCAACGGGCAACAGGAGGACAATGTCCGGTTTTTCGGCGCGTTGACTTATCAGGTCAAGATCAATGCAGATTGGTGAGTTTGCAGTGATAACGCCTTCTGTAGTGGTGCTTATAAATGCTTTAGGAAGACTCTACCTGAAGAGTACCATACGCAACTACTGACAACACTCGTTTCATGGCTGCTACGATACCAAAACGGGCCTTCACTCGTCGCACGAAAGCTCGTGGCCGTGCTAACTACCTTCGCCCTGCATACCATTCCTACAACTTGGAAATCACCCGTGAAGTATTTGGCTGCATGCTTGGCAGCCAAATCTCTGGTACCGACAGAAACGGCGGAGTCGCTATCCATGAAGGACCTCGTGGGAGGACTGAACGAGAGCGAATTGAAGGTCACACTCGAGTTTGCGAACGTTTTGGCGGAAGAAGCAGATAAGACAGATCTTGTTGCTGACAGGAAGTGAGTGCTCCTTTTCAACTCTCGTCGTTCACCCTGCTAAACCAACCTCAGGATCCAAGTTCACCAGGCAATCAAGGACAGTATGCACGACATTGTTGACCTGCTGGGATATTGCCTGAGTCTGCGTGGCAGTATGCGTGAAGTTTCCGATTCAGCAACGACTGTCGTCAAGGCCGGCTTGGGGTGCCTGCAGTCTTGGCTTCTGTACAGTGCTGATATGCGAAGGTACGTGATCCAGCCTTGACATCTCTTCTGATTGCTGACCTTGGGGTAGTCTGTTCCAAAGTATGGTTCCGGATGTATTTGCTTGCTTAGCCCATCCGGTTCTTTTTGGCGCTGCCGCCGAATTCACCGCGGAAGTCCTCTCTCACAGCAGATCTTTCTTCCCTCGAAGCAGCATTCAGGACCTGGTACAATTAGTGACAGGACCTTGGGGCCAAGGTAAACTGCGAAGTCAGTTGACGACTGCGGCGCAAGGAGATGAGGAAGACGATTCTTCAAATTTCAACCAATTGCTCATAGCGCTGGGTGAAACGACGTCAGAAACCATCGCGGACCAGATTATGGACCCACATATGCAGGTGCTGTTGAGTATGCTTCTTGCGCTCCTGAATTATCCCGGCTATGCAGTTGCAGATGAGGAGGTCTCTCCCTTGACGCAGGAGTTTTGGTGTTCAGTCGTGGAGTCTATCGCGGAATCAGAGACAAACTTGGAGGCAGGGAACGCTCTGACCATGGGTGTGGTTGAAGCTGTATGGCGAAAGATTAGATGGCCATCTGTCCACATTGAACGTCAATGGGCGAGGGACGTTAAGGACGATTTCGCAGGGTTCCGACGTGATCTCGGCGACCTCTTAGAACAATGCTATCCAGTACTGAGATTGGATTTGATCACTCGTTTGATGAATCTACTTGAAGAGCAGACAGGATCACCCTCAAATGTCTCGTGGGAAGATGTTGAAGCTACGCTATTCTGTTTTGTGTCGATTGCGGACGCCGTTCCAGAAAACTCGGAAGAGACTGACCGGATATTGATTCGGTTGTTTTCGGGGCCGCTCTTTGCGTTGCAACCACCAGATGCATCCTTGCGTCTCCGGCATACCATCTTGAACATGACAGGTTTGCCTGCTTATTCGGTGACATATTCATCTGCTAATGAGTCAAGCAGGTGCGTATTCCGATTTGTTACGCCGGTATCCTAACAACCTGCCAAATGTCCTGAATTACCTCTTCAGCTCATTATCCATGCCTACCCTTTCAAACAGTGCTTCGAAATCAATTTTGACGTTGTGCTCGGCATGTCGCGGTCATCTCACTAGTGAACTTGCGAATTTTGGAAAGCTATACATGTCCCTTTCGACATCCACCGACCTCGGCACGCTAGAGAAGGAGCGGGTCACCGGTGCGATCGCGGCGATCATTCAAGCACTGCCTCGTGAGCCTCAAAAGCTCGAACCTTTGTCGTTCTTGATTGAACAAATCTCTAGGGACTTCGAGCTTGCGCAAGTTGCCGCTGAGGCAGGGAATTTCGAGCACGCTAAAGAGCTGGCGCTTTCAGGACTTTGGTGTCTCACGGCGGCTGGGAAGGCTTTAGGAGCCCCAGAACAACCACTGGTTATTCTGTCCGGTGAAACGACGACTTTCGATAAAAGTCAATCCTTCTGGCAAAAGGACGGTCAGATACTGCAGTCCCAGATTCTGACGTGCGTGTCCAACGTGGCGAATATGTTCAGGAAAGATCCGGAGGTCATGGACGGCATTTGCCAGGTGATCAGGATCGGGTTCAGAGAGCAGGAACCTGGTCCGTTCGTTTTCCCTATCGTTGATGTGGTGGACTTTCTTGTGCGCGAGATCGAAGCGCAGCAGCAACCCATGTCTGCGTGCCTCTTGACAACCTCTTCGAAATTTCTTGCCTCATGCAATATCGTAGGTACCGAACGCGTTGATTCGGAAGTAAGCAGATTATTGGATACAGTCTTAACATGTACATCACATGCGCTTGAGGCAACGGGACTCAAAGAGAACCCCGACGTCCTGCATGGATTGTTCGATCTGCTTGCCAAATACCTTCCGTGTTATCCAAAGGTCCTTTTCGCTGAAGCACGGTTACCGAATTTTTTGAGGTTGGCTATTATCGGACTCACGCTGCAAGAACGACTGGCACAGCAGGGAGCATGCGCTTTTCTGTCGGATCTCTACGCTCGTCACTTTGATGATGCTGACCTTGACAGGTCGGCAAGCGAAATTACACGTGCTATGGGGCCGGAAGTCATGAAACAGCTCTTGGTAGCGTTCGGGGGAGCCATTCAAAGGACTGCTTTACCACAGGTGTCCGAAGTGTTTGGAAACCTGCTGCGTAGACATCCCCAAGATAGCAAACGCTGGCTGACAACCCTGTTTGCACAGCCAGGATTTCTGTCCGCACAATTACAAGAAGCAACCAAGGCAACGTTTTTGAAGCAAATTGTTGGCCTGGCATTGGGTAATAAGAATAGACAAGTACGTGACCACGTGAAGGCGCTTTGGCTGCAGTCGCGAGGGTTGGAGAATATGAGTTGGTGATGGATTCCACGTGAGGACTTAGTCGATACAACTCTACGAAAATGCCTTGTGGAAGAGCCAAAACTACAGCACCTGATTCCTCCCAACGTAGGGCATCTTCTCGTACCACCAGACCCCCACCCCGCTTCATCGATGATGTCCCTGATCCAACCCCAACAGCAACACTCCCCCCAGCAGCGAAGCCCTGAAAATGCAATCGAAATCCTCGAGGAACCGCCCGCTAGTCAGCCAGACATTACTATCGAGGAATTTGACGCGTCTCTCATCATTACCCGCAAACCCGATCATCGGTATCCCTTGGCACCATGTCGAAAGAGATCTGCTCGGTTTAGCATGCAATGAGTTGCTCAATGACCATGACATCACAGAGAGAGTTCATGTCGACATGCTGCGCGAGAGAATGAGTTGGAGGGTGGTTCATGGTAAGGCTAAGCATTCACCATGGCAGCGCTTAAGGCAACCGGAGGACTGGAAGATTGCTGGCTTACGACCACAGGTCTGGTTGCCGAGACGTTTGTGTGTACCTTCCTCTTTGTATCTCTTGACAATTTGGTACATTGTAGCTACTGACTTCTTCGCCAGGTCAGCTAGTCGGTGTGACTCTTTCCCATCCTTCTAATGGAGGATAATACTGCGTCGCTCTGCATCGGTAGTGACTTCACCGAGCATTTTGAAGTCTTTCTGGGCTTCCCAGACCTTACAATGGTTTGTTCGTTGGTATTTTAGTGGTCGCGGTTCCTTGGAGTTTAGGGACCCTGGCGCATGTCGCAAGAAATCTCACACCGCTGTACAAGCAGAGTAAGTGGCCCAGGCTCAGACCTCTTACGAAATACCAACATGGCGTATCGCCAAGACCTCATCATATGTACGGGTATGGATCAATTGCAAACGTGCCACGGCCCGTCCACGACAAACGAGCTAATCACGGCGAGATTAACGTGCGTCAACGGCGTCTCTTTCCCTGCCAATCGTGGCCGCGTTTACAGAGGGTTCGCATCCAGCGATATGGACCAGATCATCAGTGCCGGGTGTGCCGTGCTGAGAATTTATACTATGCCGCAGCCCTGGAACAAGCCGAAGTCAGTGAAGACTCGGTCGAGCGGCACTGTACCGAAAACTCGGGTCCGATGTGCAGGGCTGGTATGTACCCGTAGGTAGGTTGGTGCTGGCACCATTACGTTGTTGTGGCATGTAATTTCGATAAACGCAGGCCTAGAGCAGCAAGATGAAGCGGATATACGGATTTGAAAAAGATGAGCAACTTTTTCCTGGTTGCAATTGCAACTGCTGGACGAGCTCATGCAAATGCTTAGCTTGCGCCTATCGTTTGAAGCTTGATCGTAGACTCGGAGAATAGAGATTCAATCGCAATACTGGACATGCTTAAGCTTTGCAGCAGTTTCCGTTGGACGGTGCTATTCCCCGGTTCGGGACTCGTCTCACGGACCGTTGATCCGTAAGTCGGGTCGTGCCGTTCTGGACAACAGAGGCTTGTTAATCGAAGCTGAAGAAAATTTTGCAGTTGCCGGCGAGTTACCGAAGGCGTTCAGGAAGGCCTAGGGTCACCATAACAGTAAGGCGCAAGATTTCGATATGCAAGCCGGAACGCTTTTTACCCAAACGAGGCGTCTACCATGGTATGTATGTATATGCGATGCCGCAGTTTGTGCGCCCTTTTTCAATGCAATACGTAACTATAGCAGTTGAGATTGATATCAAGTGGATCACAGGGCACGGACGATTCCTGTTGATCTGGGGAGCTCGAGGAGACGTGACGACCGAGGGAGGCATGCCATGCCAGAGCGCTCATCGCAACCAATATAAGCAATCCCATGAGCATGTCCATAGGCCTGTCCATTATAGAAGCGAACAATACTGACCGCGGTCAAATCGTATGTTTGTTCGACCGGGCCCACGTAACGGGAAGAGCCGCGCGCAAGCCACCCTCGTCCCGGCAAACCGGCTCTGTCGATCAGCCATCAAAACCGAATTCCGGGTGAAAACGATTAGTCGTGCCCCGTCGACCCTACATATCCTGCGTACGGTGATGGGTCCTCTGATGCTCCCGTTGACCAGCAAGCGACCATCCTCCTCCCTGAGACAGCTGCAGGTCTCACCCGGACGTGACAGATCTGTAGCCCCTCGGTCTCTGTCACAGGCAAGCGGGGTGACACCTTCTTGGCCGCCGTTCCAGCTCATCTTGCTCATCACCACATTTATGACCTTCGCTCCCGCCAACTCGGTATGCTGCAACCTCTAACTCGCCATCTCGCCTGTTAGTTCACACTCTTTCACGACACTCTCCACCTGATCTACGGATCAAGAGTGGTCGTTATTGCAACAACAACAACATCAAGCCCATGCCACCTCGTCGATCCCGAGGAAGACCTTCAACATCGCGCGGACGAGGCTCAGGCAGAGGCCTTACAACCACCACAACGGGAGGAAACATCTCCTCCTCACCCGGCCACGCCCGTTCGCGAAGTATCATGCCAGAATCGCCCGGCGAACGACGCTCTCTCCGTCTACAGGGCATACCAGCGGCTTCTTTGGATATAGCAGAAAGTATTCGCGGCCGGAGACGATCTCAAACCCGCGCAGCGCAAGCTGGTGAAATGCTTGCCCAAGAACACACACACGAAGCAGCCGAGACGGCGCAACCCACTTCACCTTCATTACCAAACCCACCACCGGCTGCGATCACGAGTCGGGATGAGGAGGACTTGGCGCTTCAGGCTGGGGGATCAGTGCTACAGGCTGGGGGATCACCGACAAATGTTCAGTCTCACGCTCATGCCGTGCAATTTCGGATGGAGATAGCTTCCATCGCGAGAGAGGCCGATCCCAGCTCACCTCTGGATCCACCACTGATAGTAAGGCTGCGAGTTCATGATCCTAACAGCAACGATATACTCGGGTTAGTACTTGAATTGATCAATTCTTTGGATGAAGACTGACACGTCTATCAGGGAGCAATACCACCCACATCTGCTGGCTCATGTGGGCCTTTATGATGAACATGGTATAAATATCCTATCTCCACCTGATCGCTACCTTTTCAGAGGTCCCAACCTTGCTGCAAGCCCAGCGATCTTCAACGAGCCCGATTTAACCTTGGAAGCGATTCTTGGACCAGATCACACAGTCTATTCTGGCTCCGCTCCGTCCCACAGATCAGTTTTCTTTGTCTATCCAGGTTTACACATCACCAGGCCTGGCAGATATAGGATGCGGTTAAGGCTTGTTGGTATCGGATCCGATAGCCCAGGCGGGGGAGGTACGCTCGCACTCGCTACCAGTGGCATAATCATCGTCGCGCCCGGAGGGCATACCGAAGGTACCTAAACGCAGAAGCGAAGGCAATTCATGTCGCGGAACTAATCCTCATCGTCCGTAGTCTCTCCCGCCGCTGCACGTCTGGTCGCGTCAATCAATGCCCAGATTGCTGTGGCCCTGCAAAGCAGCTCGACCTCAGACTTGTCAACCAGCAACAGTAGCGGATCTGGGTCAGCATCTTCGGAAAACGCTGGTTCAAGTCCAGTATTACCATATCGTCCGCCGTACCCGGCTCATCCGCCAGTTGGAACGCCCCCGTGAAGCCAAGCGTCCAGGGAAGGCAAAGGTAGAGTCCGCGGACAAAAAACAAAAACAAAAAGTAACTTCATCAAAAATTGAGAATTTCCCACGATTAGGTCAAGGTGATCAAGGTTGCCCTGGCAGCGCGCACGTAAACACTACACGTAAACAAACATCGCCGAAATCTAAACGTCCAGTCAGCTTCACAATAGACACAAACAACACCCGTTCACTTTCGTTGACTATGGAAGCTGACCTTGCGGTAAGTACTCATTCATGGTGGACTATCCTTCCCCTCCGACTATCATGGATGCCTTCTCCCTTTTCAACCGTCGGAGATCATCGCTAATGCCATTCGAGGGCTCGCGTTTGCCTCTGCCCCAGGGTTCCGTCGCTCCTTCAAAGATTCCCAGTCCCGTTAAGCCAACGCCGCTCTCCGAATCCAAATCCGCCAACATCATGCCTATGGATCCGCCAAAGATGACTACAACGGGCCTCAAGAAGGTTCCGGTAACTGGTGTTACGCGACCTATAACCACAACGGCAACTGGCACACGCAAGACACTGGCGGAGCGTGCTGGCGAAACTCGCTCCATGGCCGCACCACCTCGACCATCCTCACGTACTGCAACCTCCGCGAGCGCAACCTCCGCTACTACTACCCTTAAGCGGTCACAATCGGTCAAGGGAATTTCGCGTGTCGCCGCAGCAGCTACCAGTATCTCACGTACGACTACCACTCGCCCAGCCAGCGCCCTAGGAACAGCCCGTCCGCCGAGTGCAGCCTCCACTAGGCCCACATCGGCTGCTGGAACGCGTCCAACCAGCGCGACCTCCATGCGACCAGGCTCAAGCGGTTCGGCGAGCAGCAAAACCTCTACAACCACGGCGTCTGCCCCGGGAGGTACCAAAGCAAAACGTCCCGCGTGGGATACAAAGGGTCGCCTCGAAGACATGGAAAGCGCCTATGCCGAACTCCGTACTCAATTCGTAACTTCGAAGGCTTCTGCTGAGACTTCTACTGAATTGCTCGAATCGGAGCGAAGACGAATTGCTGAACTTGAACTTGGCAGAGTTACATTGACTGCACAGCGCGATCAGCTGGAAGCAGATGTTGCACGTGCGGACCGTAAGGTGAAAGAATTGACGGAGGATCTCGACGCGGAGAAGAGAGCTAGGCGTATGGAGGCCGAAGATTCCGAGCGCGCCATCCGTATGCTTCGTGACGACTTGGAGAGGAGAGAAAGAGCGACAATTGATGAATTGAACCGAAGGTTCCGAGAGGAGATTGCAACTGTTGAGTCGAAAGCTAAACGTGACATTGAGGACATGCAATCACGAGCGGAGCGTGAAATCCATGATGCTTTCGAGAAAACAAGGGTGGAGAAGGAACGAGTTCATGCTGAACTAGAAATCAAAGATCGTGAATTGAAGACTGTTAAGACGGAATTTGCGTCTACCCAGGCCGCTTGGGAGGCAGAAAGGCACATCACGGCAACTCTTAGGCAGACAGTTGCGGAGCAGTCCGCTGCTCACCTGGCTCTGGAAACCCAGACAAACGCTTTGAAAGCAAGAAGCGATGGACTTGAAGGCAATGTGTACGAGATGCACAGCACGATTCAGAAATTGCGAGAGGAATTGGCGGAAGCGCAGCACAAGCAACAAGCCGCGGAAACCCAACTCATCACTGAAGAGACAATCCGGCGAAAGTTGCACAATCAGATTCAGGAGCTGAAGGGCAATATCCGCGTTTTCTGTCGTGTCCGCCCACCTTTGGAGAAGGAACTTGGCATGGAAGGAGGCTTAGTGGAGATGAAGATGGAGGATCAAGATAGTGAAGGTAAGGAGATTGAGCTTGTTGGAACCGAAGAGAAGACGGCCATGGGTGGTGTCAAGGCTGCCAAGTCTTGGCCGTTTTCATTTGACAAGGTGTTCAATGCTGCCAGCGCCAATCAGGAGGTCTTTGAAGAAATCAGTCAATTGGTCCAGTCGGCTCTTGATGGATACAATGTTTGCATCTTCGCCTATGGACAGACTGGTTCGGGTAAGACATACACCATGTCCAGTGACGATGGTATGATCCCACGCGCCGTTCACCAAATCTACTCGACGGCCGAGGCACTTCGCAATAAGGGCTGGACATACACTATGGAAGGCCAGTTCCTTGAAATTTACAACGAGACCATCAACGACTTGCTTGGTAAAGCAGAAGAGTTCGACAAGAAGAAACACGAGATCCGTCACGACAAGGGCACCACGATCGTCACCGATCTCACTAGTGTTCCGCTCGATACTCCGGGACGCGTGGCAACTTTGTTGAAACGCGCCAGTAACAACCGTTCTGTTGCGGCGACGCATGCGAACGAGCGCTCTTCGCGTTCTCACAGTGTCTTCATGTTGCACCTGCGCGGCACGAACTCCGTCACCGGCGAAAAGAGCCAAGGCACATTGAACTTGATTGATTTAGCCGGAAGTGAACGCTTGAATCACAGTGGAAGCTTCACAGGGGATAGGCTCAAAGAAACACAAGCTATCAACAAGAGTTTGAGTTGCTTGGGAGACGTCATTTACGCCCTGGGCAGTGGCAAGGAAGGAGGTCATGTTCCGTACAGAAATTCCAAGGCAGGAAACAAATGGGTTCGTTCCTCATCCAAATGCTAACAACTTCTTCCAGTTGACATATCTTCTGCAAAACTCTCTTGGTGGAAACTCTAAGACACTCATGTTCGTGAACATCTCTCCGTTGCAGCAGCATCTGAACGAGACATTGTGTTCTTTGAGATTCGCGACTAAGGTTCGTGCGAACATTTTTTGGTGGTCGAACCGATACTAACACATTTGATCACAGGTCAACTCTACCAGCATTGGCGTGCCGAAGAAGAGGATGATTAATGCCTGAGAATGTAGAATTGGCGTATGGTGTATATTTGTTTGATGTCCCCTCCTGAGGACGCAGCGAGCATGCTGCCGTGGCGTCTCTGGTATTGATATGGGGTTCTTTTATTTGTTCTGTGCGAATGGTGTCCTGGGCTTCTCTTTCAATGATCTAATTATATCTCAATTAACTCACCCCTCGCCTCCGAATTTGTTGTCTAAGCCGACTGCCTCGTCAACTACTGAGCCAGTGCTCTGGCCTACTCCTTTTGCTCCCTCTCTTAATCCGACATCTCCTTCATTCTTTTCCCGAATACGTTTCTCAAGCATCATGAACGCACGCATGCCCGGACTGACCTTCTCCAACGGATCATCCTCAACTCCGATATCTGCGTCAAGTAGGAACTCTGGAGTAGGCAATGGTGGATCGTGAGACCGCAGAGCTTTCACAGCTCTTCGTCGGGCGTCTTGCCACTCTTGTAAATCTTCTCGGTAAAGATCCCAAACGCAATGTATGCAGCCACTCTGACAGCAGTTGTCAGGCTCCTCTGGTTTATTTGGAATGGAAACGCCTTGAATTGTTTTCGCGTTTCGCTGCATAGCCTCTTTACGCTTCTTGGCGTCCAAAGCATCACGTTCTGCTGAGGGCTTGATATAGGCAAACTCTGGGGCAGCCGTGGATCCACCGAAAACCCTTGGCCCAATTCGCGGTTGCTCGAGCAAGACTGGCACAGTGGTGAGTATAGGTCAAAATCGGACAATACAGGGCAACCAACGGTCATAGAAGTCAGCCCATAGCCGAGACGAAGACGAGAATGGTCTTCTCGCCCAAGAAGAAACGAAAACAGGAATCGGTCTCATGATGTCAATTTTGGGGAGTCTTCGTTACCGGTGCACTGCATGAAGTGTGTTCCTGCAATGCTGGCCTCCGAATTCATTGAGCAAACGGAACATTCATTGAAACGTACATCCAACGGAACACCAGTTGACTTGAGCCTATGCTTCTCGGGTGGTAATGTCCAGCGACTTTCCTCTAGGTACAATCCCCGAGCGTCTGCGTTGTTCCAATTGCCAGCAATTCGTCAAGCGACCCTACAAAACGCCCTGTTGCGAACAGTCCATCTGCGGTAACTGTCGTGATGATCTTCCTCCCTCGTGTCCAATATGTGACCATTCCCCAACCACCCCGGAAGACTGCACAGAGAACCCGAGTTTGAAGACAACAGTGGCAGTATTTCTGAGGATGGCAGAGAAAAAGTGGAAGGATGCTCAGACGAAGGAAGCCAAGAAAAGGGTGGCTGAACAGTTCAATGTGCAAGGCTCCGGTACTGATCCCGACGTACCAACCTTGAAGCTGGAAGTGGTACGTATGGCCGGCCAATTGATCTCATACACATGTACTTACCTTCTGTATAGAGTGGTGGACAGAAGAGCGATGAAGTCCAGGATAACACTGATAGCGACAATAACACAGCAGCCAATGGTGGCCTGGCGGATCTGTCCGCACAGTGGTCTGTTCAAAATCAGAACCCTTATGCGTCTGCGAGTAGCATGATGGGTCTCTACGGAAATATGGGTACTTCGGGAATGTTCAACCCACTTTCAATGGGCATGGGTGGTAGTGTTTCCTCTTTCTTAGCATTATTCATGATTTCAGTCCAATTAACATGTGCTCTTCTACAAAGGCTACCCTATCGTTAATATGCGCTTCGGTGCTGTTGGCGGAACAGCGAACGGAGGTGTGAATGGCAAAGGCGACAATTGGGCTGCCCATCAGCAACATCACAGACAGCAGCAACATCAGTCTCAACGGCCGGTACCCGTCGAGCGGTCATCAGACACTATGGCCCACGTCGAAGCCAAATCAGGCCATAACATGCAAGATTTGTCTGGCTCGGAGTCAACAAATGGCACGGCAAAGCATGAGTTAGACCTGACCTCAGGGCCGAACAATACTACTCAGAAGCTGGACCCTGATAACGTGCAAGCTCGTATTGATGCTATTATCAAAGCTTCCGCGAGTGCATCGCCTGCACCTCCTTCCGATATGGCTCCTAAACCGATCGCACATTTCCCTGCAGGTCATGCTATGTATGCCTCCGAAGTTGGTGACCTTGGTGGGATGTCTGGCTCTTATCAGCAATACGCTCATGGGCGAGCGATTCAGGCGTACCGTGGAGCATGGTCAATGGGAACGCATCCTGCTGGTCGAGGGTCATCGACTCTACCGCCAGCCCCAGTTATTGTGGAAGGGGCGCCGATTGGTCCTCGAAGCAATGTGCCTTCGATTCGTGGTGGTCGTGGTAATTTCCGTGGTGGTATGCAGCTGCGAGGAGGTTTCGGCTCGAGAGGTCGGACTGGACATACTTCTGACCTGGGAAATATCCTAGGTGCTATGAGGTCGCACGGGCCTCAGGACGAGCCGATGTTTAATGATGAGTACAGAGGGAAAAGTGCAAGTCGAAGTAGGAGCAGGGGCAGAAGTCATTCTCGGTCAAGAGCCCGATCTGTCGGCAGCGACAGAGATACCCCGTCGGTTCGTTCAGGCTTGAGTCAATCGTCAAGATATCGTTCCTTCCCCAGAAGTCGCGAAAGGTCGCGATCAATGTCGAGGTCAAGATCACGCAGCAAAATCAACACGTCGGGGGATCGACTTTGTTCGCGATCGAGAACCCGATCCCCGAATTATACGAAGCGCGGTCGCTCCGCTAGTAGCAAGGATCGCCGCAGCAGAAGTAAGAGTAAGAATCGCAGTGCAAGCAGAAGCCGAAGCCGAACGAGACATGCGAAGCGGCGTAAGCATAGGTCCTCGCGTCGGCATAAGCGTGAATCTTCTTCGCCGCGGCGATCCAGGTCAAGGTCTAGGTCCAGAGAACCGACACAGACAAGATCATCTCGCTCTCGCAAGGAAGGACTTGCGAAAGACTCCACGAGACGCAGGCGGCGTAGTGGTTCTCGGTCTAGACGTCACGGAAATTCTAAGTCACCTCACCAGTCCTCGCGCCGTCGCAGACGAGACCGATCGTCCACACCTCGTGAAGAGAGGCGAACTCGGAAACGCCACAGGCATGATCGAAGTCATCGTGACAGAAGCAGTTCCCGCCGTCGGACGAGAGACACACCTCGAAGCTCGAAGTATGATGATGGGGAAACGCTGGAAGAACGCGAAGCGCGCGTGGAGCGAGAGAGAGAAGAAGAGCGGTGGGAAGAAAGGAGATATACTTAGCTAATTGAGAATCGTATTTCTATTTCCAGATAAACTTCCAGGTTGTTTCCCACCATTCGCTCGCCCTGGCTTCTGTCCCTGTGAAACATCTTCTACTCCCTCAGCTACTCCTATTTAACCATCCGTTTTGCTGTACAACCTCCAAGCCATTTACTTCGACGTCTTCATGTTTCTTCTTTTCTTGAGTTCCTCCTCAACCAACTTGGAACCACTAGAAAGTTGGTACTTCGTCTTGCGGCCACTCTTGCGGTCCTCAAGTGCCCGCTTGTTTGCCTCAACCTGGGCAGTCTTCACTGCCTGGTCGTACTGCTCCTTAGCAACGTTTATCGCAGCCTGGCAGCCAGTCTTAATGCCCTCAAAAAATCCCATTGACTTCTCCGGAACAGCTCCTGGCTTTAGTGCTGGAGGGTTGGGAAGAGCGGGGATACACAACTTCTTGCGCACATTAGGATTGCGCAAAAGGCCTGCCTGACAGAAACCGAAGGCAGCATTGGGAATCCAGAAAGCAAAGACAGCGGCGGGGAGATTTGCAACGAACGGAATAACCAAGACGGCAAGCAACTGAAAGACGTTGCTCATGGTCTTAGTGGACGTACTGTGTCCAACCTCAGGACCCATACGAAGGGAGCCGATAGTAATCGCCGCAGAGATACATGGAAGGGCGACATATGGGTCGGCAGCAGTCAAGTCAAGGAACCATTGTGTACCGCCAGTCTGGAATCCAGGCACAGGGAGGTTAGCCATGGCCCTCAAAGCGAGGAAGAAGGACATCATGATGGGGACCTGCAATGCCGGCAAAAGCAGAGAAGAGAAAGGGTTGGCCCCGTTATTCTTGAACAGAGTCTGAAGGGCCACCGAAGCCTCCTGTTGCCTGACCATGTCGCCTTCAGCCTTAGCCCTCTTGAGCTTATTGGTGAGTGCTTCCTGCTTAGGTTTAATTGCAGCGAGCTTCCCAGTATGACGTGCCACAAAGACAAAGAGCGGGAAGAGCGCAAAACGGAGACCAATGGTCACAGCCGCGATTGTACCCCACCAAGGCAATCCAGTACCAACATGAACGAGCTCCATAACCCCTTCCAAGGCACCAACCGGAGTCCAGTGAACCAAACCCATAGCCTTCAAGTCACCAATCTGGTGGGCAGCCTGCACCACAGCCTCAGTGGTAAGAGGATCCACCACGGTCTGAAAAGATTCAGGAATAACAGGGAGTTCGGGCGTCGGTGCGGCATCGGCGGCAGTCACGACTGGCATATGTGAGGTAGTGGTAGCTTGCAGACCACGCTGGACGTCGGCGAGATCGGCAGCATTGTCGGTAGCGGAAGGGACTGTGGAGTTGTTGCGAAGGGAAAGAAGGACGGGGCTAGAAGCCTTGTGGAATGGTGATGGTCGTGCCCGGGCGAGGATATGGATAGACCGAGAGAGCTGTGCAGGTTGAGCACCAAGCTTTGCACGGACAAGGTTCTGAGCGGAGAAGCTACACAAAAGTAATTAACGGGAAGAACACACGTAGATAGAGAGGCGAACCTCGATCTTGTTGATAACCGGGCGTACGCTCTTGCAGCGGCCATCATCATTTGCTGTTTTCGGGAGCTGGGGGTTGCACTTAATGTACATAAATGTAGGGCAGCCGTCGGCGCGTTCACGTGCACCGCCCAGCATACACCCGCAACGACGACCTCGGAGCATCAAGGACCCGTAGCAGTGCCCAGACTCTGCCTGTATGCCGCCGAAGAAGAAGAGAATCGATGAGGCCGACTATGGCATAAATCGGCAGGGTAATGACGTAAGTCAAGTACATCGTCTTGGTAGATGAAGCTGACGAAGTTGTAGTTCCGTTTCAGCTCAATTGAGCCGTACTACGCATTCAATCAGAAGAACGCATACGCAGAATATCTCAAGCGAGACGAACAGTTCTTGTCATACAGATCGGATCGTGAAGAAGCAGAAGCAAAAGCCGCTGCAAAGGCGGCGACCTCTGTTGAAGGAGACCCTCCCGAGTTAGATGACGAGGACACCAACATTACAGCAGGAAATGAGAGGCTGGGTGCGAAAACCATTGTTGTTCATCCTGGTTCACGTAACCTACGTCTGGGCTTAGCCAACGCGGCTTTTCCGAAGACGGTACCTATGGTTATCGCAAGGCTGCTGCCGGGACACCAAGGGAGAGTCATGAATGGCCGCGAGCCTGAGCCCAAAAGAATGAAGCTAGACGGAGGGGAAGGAGCTTTCGGTGATTGTTTTGAAACCGAAATTGCGCCAATTGAAGCGTCTTTCAGAGCTCGTATGCGTTTACTCAAATTACGCACTGTACCTCAGGGCCATGAGCTTGCAGCGTCTTACAACCGCCGGATGCAGCAAACACCTCCAGAAAAGATTCCAGAGCATAACGATCCGTATCGTATTGACTGGACTGATACGACAGCATCACCCAAGCGCGTGTGCGGTTTACCGGCTCTGAGATTGAAAGACGATCGATACAAGTTGTTCTGGCCTATACAATACGGCATGCTCAACGAATCCGATTATAATTCACGTGAGGAGCTAATGGGCGATATGCATGCTATTCTGCAGGATGCCCTAGATTCGGAGTTGGGTATAAAAGCCGCAGATTATGGAGATTATTCCGTGTGTCTTGTTGTACCAGATCTCTACGAGAAGTCATACAATGATGTCTTCTTTCGCCTGCTTATGACGGATTTCGGATTCTCACGGATAATGGTACAGCAGGAATCGCTATGCGGTAGCTTCGGCGCTGGAATGTCAACTTCTGTGGTTGTTGATATCGGCGCACAGACGACAAGTATCGCATGCGTCGATGACGGCTTCGTTATTCCGGATTCCCGCATACTCATGAAGTACGGAGGTGATGATATCACGCTTCTCTGGACGAAATTGCTCCTGCGTTCCTCGCTGCCATACCATGCAGTTGATATTAGACGTATGCATGACTGGTTACTTGTCGAAGAGCTCAAGGCAAGGTTCTGTACAATGAATGAGAGCGACGTGAACATCCGCCTTCACGACTTCTATCTCCGATCACCAACAGAACCACAAACTTTGAAGTACACGTTGAAGTTGTATGACGAGTATATCTTTGCGCCCATGTCAATATATCACCCGCAGGTGTATGAGCAAGGCGATAAGTTTAAGGGCCGTTACACGCTTATCTCGCGAAGTGAGGATATCTATGATGAGTCACTGAACGATCCGGAATCGGTTGCTCAGAACAACCTCTTACCAAAAGTTGAAGGTAGCAATGTAGCGACGTTGCCGGCTCCGGAGTTGCTTGCTGTGGATGATGCCGTTCCCAAGAATACGAGGCCTGACGTCAATAACGCGTCCCTGGCTCCTGCTTTAATTGAGGACTCGTCTACTCCTCGGCCTTCCACGGCACCGAGTCCACCACAAAGTACAGAAGCCCGGCATCCGTCATCAACCTACCCTATAACCCCGTTGGATGCGGCAATTGTCGAATCTATTCGTTTGGGCGCAGCCCAGTCTGAGGACCGATTGAAGAGGCTGTATGGTTCAATCTTGGTGGTCGGCGGTGGTGCAGGTTTCCCGGGTTTTGCGACCCACCTTGAGGATAGACTGAGAATGCTACGGCCGGATCTTGCCGGCCCTCAGCAAATTGCAGTTATTCCACCGCCTCGAGAAATGGATGCAACTCATCTGTGCTGGAAAGGTGCAGCCGTGGTGAGCAAGTTGTTGAGCGCACGGGAGTACTGGGTGAGGAAGCAGGAGTGGGAGCTTCTCGGCTGGAGAGCTTTGGCACAGAGAACAGTCTGGCAATACTAAGATAGCATCGTTGTTTATTTAGCAGAAGCCTTTATCACTGGTAAGGGAATGTACACAATGACGTCCTGCGTATTACTCACCCCGCGGTGCGTGCCTGAACTGCACGTAGGCAACACAACACCTGGAGCTGTTGACGTTCAGCTGCGTTAAACAGCATTCATTCACCACCCTGTCAAAAACGAAATGTCCCGGTCAAGAGCACGCTCGCCTTCGATCGCTTCCGATTACTCAGATATCACAACGTCTCCCTCTGAAGCTCAGGCGGAATGGGACGAATCAATGCGTCAGCTTGAGCTGCTCTGTTCGATGATACTGTTACCGGTGTTCGGGAAATGGGCAGGAAGACAGGTCGCTTATTACAGTATGTTGATTCGCTGTGGCGGTGCACAATACTTGCTAACGTATTGCAAAGTTTGGGGTTCGGTTGCACGGCGCATATGGCCTGCTGCACAGCTAGTAATCAAGAGCAAAGGTGCCTTCAATGCTGCCGGTGCTATTAGCACAGCAACTATTTGACGGAACACCTAACAAGCTATTTACGATGATACCCGAGGCCGCATCGCGGATTGCCCAGCGTCAGCGGTACTCGATACCCAGAGGTGACACAATTGATTTTTTTATCCAATGGTATGCATATCGCCATTCAGGCTGAGTAGCCCGGTCACCATTGAGAGTCAACCGCAACCTACGTCTCAGTCAATTGACCACCTGCTCTTCATCATCTGTCGCCATCACAGTCTTCCTTTTCATGTCTGCAGGGTGAGGATCTGATTGAATCACCAATTCTTTCTTCCATGCCTTCTCAAGTCTCCTCACGCTTGCAGTAACATGATCCGATGTCACTTTTGGCCGTAGCGCGGCCCATTTCTTCAAAAACACCCGTAGGTTCCGGCTGATTACTCTATCATCAATATGAACACCAAGATCCTGCCAACGGCTGAGCATCTTCACCGCGTTCGCTGTCTGATCCATGCGTAGGTAAATAGGGTTTCGCATCGCACCTGTGTTGAAGCTGTAATAAAGACAGGCACTTAAGAACGGGGGAGTGAATATTCTTCTGAGTGGATGAACGGCGGATGTACTTGCATCAACAAGACCTCGAGTGACATCCTTGGGTAACGCGACGTACGACTTTGTTTGGGCCCATTCAAGAGCTCGTCGATGCAATATATTGACAGGGTCACCTGCCTTCCTTTTCATCGTTTTCTTGACGATGCTCAATTTCTCCCCGCCTGGAGCCTGAGTCCGGGCGATGGTCTCATCTACCTTTGCCTCGGGCGTATACTGTCGGATTAGCCAGAGACAAAGTGAGTCTAGACTCTTGATATTGCTCCCGCATTCTTTTGCCAGCTTGAAAAGAAGCATCTTCCACGTTTCAGGATGTACGTGTCCACCCGCTCGCATACATGCCACGCCGATCTCAATCGCTTGCTGCAGACCCGACTTATGGCTACGACGCGAGGTGTCTAGCACCTCTGCAAAACGGCCGTCACCTTGAGCTGGCTCTTCGGGTTTAAGCATGCGCTTAACGAGGACATGCGCTGTTGAAGCTTCGACGCTGAAAGATTTCAAGAGCAATTCTTCCAAGCCCTGCAATGCTCTGCGTAACTCACCTCGTTCTGCCCGTGCTCTTATAAGGAGGTTCCAAGTTCTCTCGTTCGCTAACCCGTCAGCGACCATAAGTTTATGGACGTTTTCGAGTTCATCCCAATTCTGAACATCCATCAGTCCTCTCAAAACCGATCGCATCAGTCCCTCGTCAGATGTACCAGCTGTGTCAACAACTGTTCGGAGGATTTGAAGTGCGATATTGACATGGCCCTGCTTCGAAAGAAGGCGCGCAAGTGACGCATACATTGTTGTAGTAATATTGAATCCCCGAGTTACCAGTTCTCGAATTAGCTTCTCGACGGTTTCAACGCTATATTCAGCGGAAATAAGGGCTTCAAAGATTAACGGACCGGGTTCTAAGCCAAATTCAGCCATCTTGCTCATAACAGCATTACGTTGCTGGCTCTCAGAGCAGGCCCTGATAGCAATTGCCCAGAACTGATCAGAGAGCACCGTTCGCGCATTTTCCTTGTTCACCATATTCGTCAACTTCATGATGCTGGACACGTCTTTTCGTTTTCCTTTAGCAAAATAGAATGCGAACAAGAGCAAAGTTGATTCCACCAACTCTGCTCCAGCATCGACTAGCGAGGACAGTAACCACTGTATTGCAGGGTTACCGGGATTCCAGCGCATATACCAAAGAAGCAAGCGGTTGGCAGGTTCGGTGGTCAGAGGAGCCTCATCGACATTCATGCAATACTCGTGCCATTCGGAAGCTTCCTTGAGCTTACCCAATCTTGAAGCACGTAGCATAATTGCTTCATAGAATCCCGTCACATAACGTGGCCCGCGTATATTGTCTAAACCTTTCGCTGCAGTGCCGTTTGTGCGTAAGGTAGAAATGGTCCGTGCATGGATAGTTTTCAGAGTCTTTTCCACCCTGTCGCTTCTCACTTTCTTCACGAGTACAGTCCAGGCTTCTTGCCTCAGAGGCTCCTGGTGGCAAAGCTCCCAATGCCAAAGCAGTGCATTCTCGGCTGCAGCTTCACCATCTTGGGCATCATTTACCTTCTCAAGGAGGTGGGCAATAACTGTTTCTCGAAATGGCAGCCATGAGCGTTTTTCTCGTGACTGCAGCGATTGTGCAAATTCCCACATGTCTCGGAGGTTTGATTCTTGGTTAGGTGTGCAGAAAGGCTCTGCAACGGCTAGCGCTGCTTTGAGTGCGGACACCCAAATTTCATCCGCACATTCGCCTTCTGTGGGCACCTGTGAAGGGTTCTGGATGAACTTGCTCCATCGGTTCCGAAGCCTATTCCTGAGGTTCAGAACTTCACCTTGCTTTCCACAGGTCGACGTGGGCTCCAGATTTCGAAATAGATAGCTCCATCCCTGCATCTGTCCACGTTTTACCATTGCCTCGGCCAAAACCTTAGCAGCGAGATGACGCTGCCTTCGCTCCAGTGCTTTCAACGTATATACGTCTTCGGCTCTTCCGGGAAGAGTAATGCCCTTGCGGTGCATCCGTCTCACAGTAAACAATAATTGATCATCCTGGTTATTCGCAAGATACTGTGATAGTTTCGCCTCATATTGTTCCTCAAGCTCTGGTGGTCCTTGAGGAAGATTATGAGGAAGATCGACGTCGGGGGGAAGGCCTACCGCTTCGAATATCTCGTCCAGCGGTGCAAGTGGGCTCCGAAGATTTCGATTTGAGACACGATTGGCTATATTCTCCCCTTTTCTTCGCTCGAACGGGGATGAACGCCCTTGATCCCTCAAGTTTGACACAGCGCGACCTTCCCCGGCTAACACTTCGTGCGCTGACCGTCGGTGTCTCGGGCGAAGACCCGAACCTAAATCATGCCCAGAAGTAACCGCCTGACTTTCTGCTACCGCCAATGATGGCGTCGAGTATCTCGCAATCCTTCGCGCGCCCGCAGCTGTTCGTGAAAGAGCGATGCGGCACGATGTACACACATTGAAGTCGAAAACGTACGATCTGAATAAAGTTGGAGTGCCATTCTTTGCCGAGGTGGCGACGAAGGGCATTCAAGGAAGCTATATGCCTTGACGCCGTTGCACTTGCTCCTCAAAGGTGAACAGCTAATTGATTCTCGACGTTGAAGTCGTCTGCGAGATTCCTCGAGGACTCCAAACTTTAGATGTCCACTACGCACGCCGCGGCTGCTGCAGGGTAAATGCATACGGCGTCACGTGATACAGAACTTGATCTATACGGTCAACTCTTTTTGATTAAAATCAGTTGGGGATCCTCCTCATTGCTCCTTCTTCCCTTTGGCAGCAAGGTTCTTCGCACCAGCGTTGATGAGGAACTGCGCAGCTTTCTCCACACCCAGCTCCTTTGCTTCACCATAATATTTGATAGCACCCTCAAGATCTCCCATCCGCTCCAAACAAACTCCAAGATTGAACCTGATCTCTCCATCCTGTCGTCCAACGTCTAGCTCAACGGCCGCATTGTAGTGCTTCTTTGCCAGTTCCGGCCGCTGATCGAGAAGGTGATACCCCCCGAGATTGCAATGAGTAGCCATTGCTTCCACAGGGGCGATATCAGGCGATCTCAATGCTTCCTCCCAGGCCAAGGAGGCAAGTGTTTTCTCCCCGGCAAACCAATGAGCTTCACCTAGGAGGACGTAAGCCTGAGCTGCCTCTGTGGGGTTTTCCGTGATAGCCTGATCAAACAGCGTAACAGCTTCTGCGAGATCATGTTTCTCCAAAGCAGCACTATACATCAGTGTTTTAGTTGAGATCGGTTGCTAACAGACAATCGAGCCAGACTCACAGTCCCCTTTCCAAGGTATTGGCACCTTTCGTTATCGACGCATAAAAGCGAGCTGACGGAGCAATCTTCCCCTTCGGAAAGCACGTACGGTACACAGCTGGTGCACGGGCAGCGGAGCGTCCCACAGCAGGAGGGGATCGCGAAAGGCTGGTAGCAATAAGTCCGAATCCTGCTCTGAACATTTTTGACGTTTCCCCAGGACTCGTCAGGATATTATGGCGGGAGATGCGGCGGACCGCGGGGGTGCTCGAAATGAGCGCGCATGCTGGCCGTGCAGCCAAATTACAAGTAGAGTTGGAAATTCGCACGGTCGACGTCAATTCAGTTACTACAGCTGGTATATTCACGTTTCAACTGATGTGACATCCGCCTCCCCACCATCGAGATCCCTCCATGGCCTCCATCCATCCCACCACAATTTTCATCCGTCCTCGCACAGATGTTTCGTCAAGCAGTCGCCATTTTTCCCATTCGTCCACAGGCCACACAGCTCCACACCACCAAGAAAATTTACTGGCATCCTCAAGAGGTGCTGGACCATACGCAGTCACCACGCTCGAAGACAACCACGGCGCTGAAGCGTTGTGTACTTGCGAAACAAACCGTGCGGCAAGCGAGATCAGTGCGTGCGTTGGCAAGGCAGCTATGGACGTACTAGCTGTGGAATTGTCGGAATCGGCGCCTGGTAACAAGCCTGATGCAACGTTTACCGCAATATCCTCCAACTCAAGCCTCGCCTGCTCAGCTGCCACAAGGTCGGTGAACGTACGGATACGTCCAATAAGATAGTCGTCATGCCACGCCCAATCCCTTATCGTGAACCTATCCACTCCTAAACTTTCAACCAACATCCGTCCATCTGGCAAATACTCCACGCCACGAATCTCTAGGACTGTGCCTTTTGTCATACAAGGAAGACGACCGTAGGCATTCACTGGAGGATCATCCGATGCCCAGGCGACGCGTCTGTATGGTAAAACTATCCCGAATCTTCGGTCCGACTCGAGGCAGCGCCGCAACATTAGACGATATCGTGGCTCGAAAACGTGCAAAAACGTTGGCATCTCCGGAAGACCCACAGCGCACACAAAAAGGGGTATTGTCAACTCTGACTGCTGATCGTTACCATTCAAAATATTGGCGGGCATCTCCAAACCTGCCCGAACATCCTCGCACCTTTCCCGAGCTTGTGTTGGAAAAAGCGTCATGATAGCCTTAGCGAGCATGCGGTTTTTAGCGAGAGGATCGCGGTGAGAGGGTAATGAGGCTCGGCATGTTGGACAACTCGTACTGTAGTCCATGGAACGAAGAAGGCATACGCGACAAAAGCTGTGACCGCATGGAGTAGTTGTGGGATCACAGAAAATGTCGTAGCAGACACTGCAATCGAGATTAGGCTTTAACAGTGGCCTGAGAGACGATATCGGGATAGACGGGGCATCGCGCATGAGTGTTCCGGTACCTCCACTAATAGCACAAGGGTTGGATCGGATAATGGCGGTGAGCAGGTTATGAATCGTAACATCCTGCTTGGCGCGTTTAAATTGGGGTGCTGAACAGCAGCATGGTATTCGAACCCCTTCTGCATGGACAGGAGGGTCTGTTGCCTCCGAGTCCGGCTGTGTATGCTCATCATCCCGCCGCGGTGCAGCTTCCCCTTCAGGTCTCTGCGGCGGCGTCGGTGAGGTCGATAGGGCAAAGCACGCCCGACATCTTGTTTCTCCGCAGCCTGCGCAGGTTACCGGGTCTCCAAGTCGTTGCGAGCAAATGGAACATGAGAACAACGTATAGATCTCTGTCGGATCAGACTGGTCATTCAGGCGATGTGCGTGTTCTTCAGCATTCGACATCAGACTGACAAGACTTCAGCATGTGAGTGGAGATGTTTACAGGATTGCAATTGAAGCTGCAAAAGTTGACATGGTGGTGGATCTCCGGGTGAGCTCCAGCGTTGAATGGAGTGAGTGCCCTCCTCGCCGTGGATGTGGAGATTCGCATTCCGCGATCCGCCCGCAGCAATGACCGCCTTATGTCTCCCACAGATCGCCGATGCACAGACAACGAAACCTCCACAGGATAGCTGTTTTTATTTATTATGGAACAATCAGCTTGAAAGACGCTCACTCTTTGCCCGTGTACTCTTCCGCCATCCCTTCCTCTACGGATCCGCGCGGTGCAGCTGGAACCGGTGCACGGATCCACACTCTACGCTGAGTGCTTGTTTATTGCAACGCTCAAGCCTCACCCTACAATCCAATGGAGCCTGATCATGCATGCTACGTCTTTGCTTCTCCTTTCCGTCGCGTTATAAAAGCCTGGCTCCCTGCTGTTCTTCCAGTGCCTTGCAAGACTCCCCTTCAACAGTGCCGTATATGCTGCAGACATGACAAGCTCACAACGTCCCACACCTCCCCCTAAACCAATCCGCCTTTCTTCGCGGTTGTCAGTTTCGTCCGCCTCCTCGACCGCGTCACTTCACCCTGAGTGTGAGGCTACTACACTAGATATGCCCAGCAAATCAGACGTGGATGCTCCCTATGCTCCGCCGTCTCCTGCCGAAGATGCTGAAGATATCACAATCCCTGCTGGCAGAGCAGCCCGTGCTTTGTTTGATTTCAACGGCGACTCAGAGTTCAACGAGCTCAGTTTTACCGCGAACTCCGCCCTGCAAATCGTTGAAGAGGATCTCGGCGGTGGATGGATGTTGGCAGTACACGTGATGACTGGCGCGCGAGGTCTCGTCCCGGGCGAATATGTTACAGTATGTTAGAATTCTGTAAGTTGTTTATACCGTCACTGAAGACTTTGTCATAGTTTACAACCGACTTTGGACAACGACCTCGCACACCAACCCGTGCACACTCTTATTCAATCGGACATGCTATACCATCAACGCCTGGAAGCGACACTGATAGTATCTACGAAACCTTCCTGTTCCCTTCTCCGTCTTCGTCTATTGAGGCGCACGATGATATACGCCGTACGGGAGGCTTTCCCACGGGGCATGATCGTATTCGGTCCGACTCTTCAAGCAAAACCATCACGGGTGGCCAAACCACTCCCGCTCCACCTCTGAGCACGCCTTACTCTACTCTTCGCTCGCATATATTGCAGGGCATCAATCTCAACCATCGGTTCTCGGCTTTCGTCACCACCGGTGTTGAAGGGTTTATATCTGCTCCAACTTGTGGCGAGACTTCATCTGAAGTTACGCTCCCTGCTGAGACCATTGTTCTGGACGGAGAAACGCATTATATTGAGAATGGTCCGAGGTGGAAAGCACAGTCACCTGCATTCATTGTCAAAGTACATGACCCGCGAAAACATGTGGGCGTTGGCGGTCTCCATTCGTATGTCGTGTACACCGTAACCTCAACTTTGGCCAACGATGCATCTACTGTCGTCATAGATGTTGAGCGCAGATACTCACAGTTCGAATGGTTGGCTCGTAAGTTGGCAGCAAAGTTTCCGTTGATAATTATGCCTTCTCTTGGCGAGAAGCGAATTGCGGGAAGGTTCAACGAGGAGTTTCTTGAGACAAGGAGGAGAGCACTGGAAAGGTGGTTAGGCCGCGTTGTGAGGCACCCTATACTTCGTTACTCGGCAGTTGTTACGTTCTTTCTGGGTTGTGAAAATGATCAGGTATGTCCTTGCCCAACATTCCGAGACTGTATTCGAGCTAACCGAGGGAATATCAGGAATTCAAATCGCGCGTGCCAGATTTCGACAATGACAAGCTCGTTGGTCAAAAGTTTTTCGAGAACGTCTACCATCCATCTTTCAATGTCGATGGTGAGGGCGATTCAGAGACACTTGCCGCTTTCTCCTACCATGCACGCAATACTGATCGGTTGATGCCCTCTCTCCTCGATTCGATGCGAGCAAGCCGTGCAAGTGCGGTGGAATCCGCCTCAAGCCTCCGTCAGTTTGGTTTAAGCGCAATTGCTGTTGTCACCGCTCATGGTGCAGAGCCTCACGAACGTAGCATGAACCTGGATGGGGCGTGGTGTTGGCGACAGACCTGCACGGAGTGCGTTGCATGTACAAAGAGGTTGCAAAGCATGGCTGATGCCTTGATTGCCGAAGCGAATTTGGCGGGGGAGCAGGCTGTCGGGCCCTCCATGATCAGCGTTAGTGAGGCATTCGAAGAATGGAGGTCTCCGGCACGGGATAGTGCTTCACTGCTAGCCACACACGCTAGTACTCTGCAGCGACATACCGATGTTACCTCTGGTTCTGTAGGCGAAAACGATCACGAAGAAGAGGAAGAACAGGTGAAGGCTCGATGCGATACGGTGTTCAATGTGATACTCAGTGAAATTGATCGCATGCACACAGAACGTCAGCAAGACTTTTCTCGCTTGGCTCTGGAAGTTCTCAATGGGCGAATCGAATATCATGAACGGGCTTTGGAGATCCTCAAGGCCGCGAAAGCCAACGTCGAAACTGCCAATGCTACATCAAGAGTCAAGCCTAGCAAGTATGAGCGACTGATTTCGCAGCCAGTAACTATCACAGCTACAGACGCAGGCTTACCAAACGGGCCAACGAGTGTAGCTAGCAGTGTTGAGACAGTAAGCGATGTGGTCAGCGGTGTATATAATAGGATTTCGGGATTTTGGACAGGGAGGTCGTCAGGATAATTTGTCCCGGAAGATTGAAGACTGGTGGCCAAGCATATAATCAAACGTTGTGAATTGATTGGTGATGATTGGAAAATCTATATACCAGGTATTTATGTCTATTTAAAAAAGATGACAACTCTTTTCCCGTGCTTTTTGACGGTCCTCCTAAGCTTCTGGTATGTACGATTTGTTGAAGAAGCTCGTGGGTTAACGACATTCAGTTCCCACGCTAAGGAAATGAAGCACTTCGTTTACGCTGTCAATGCCAAGCATGATCGTGATTAAAGTCTCTCGCTTATACCTGCCCTACGGTCGTGAAAATCATGGAAAACAAAATCCCGTTTGATTCATGACTTGTGTATCCTGGCAAATTGTTCCTTTGGGGGCGCACACAAGACATACACAAGCCGCACCACAGATCAGTTACGCAGTACTACCGCCTTTTCTCATATATTTCGACCCTACTACTTCGGTCAATGCTCGTACTATTGGCACGATACTATGAGATATATCTACCACATATAAGATAACACTGAATCGCCTATCGATGTCATGTATGTCGCCCGGTGACTTCGGGGCCAGATCGAAAATGTCAACCGTGTCGAAATCCCAGAAAAACCGATCAATCACAAACACTTCCTTGGGATTCGCACCAAATTTTCCAGTGTTACGATATTTACTGGAACGTGTGAAACTGCAGCCGCTGAGATTCCCAAGATCGACCTGATTCGTCAACCCCACGAGACTCTCGCTTTCGTATGGATGGGTGCATTAGACAGCGCTGACATTCGCGACTTGCGGACCCTGTCTAATAAAAAAGCTCCGATCTGACTGGTTTTGAATCTCTCGATGGTAACATCATTGAAATCCATGAACTTTCGATCGTGGAAAATTCGCAATCGTATTCTGGATAACAGTACCCAAACCACGATTTGAATTGGCTTGAACCATCATAATCCACTATTTAACTTTGTATAATTCAGTGTTAGATTGGGCTTGATCCACACCTGAGTCCAGCTTATTCCTAAATTCTATTCTGTGTACAATCCATGATCAATCCACGATAGAAGTCAGTACTATGCACAATACTTTCAGGCTCAATCCATACATTGGTTCGGTTTAATCCTCGATCTGGCCCGATTTCTCGCGAAAATAACATATATGATCGGCCCCAACATATATGATCGGCCCCATATGCATACCCCGCAACGCGCACCATTCTGGCTCATTCGTGACGTCATATTGATGAGCCTTTCCGGAATGTCACACCCTTAAAGAGCTCCGCCCATTTTGGAGCGCCAACCCACCAAGGATAGGGGTGTACCGTGAATCAGCAACTTTGTTAACAATGGCTGGCCCGGGAAACGGGAGAGAAATTAAGCAATCTGATATCGCAGTGAGCTTCATTTACATCAATATGTCTAGTCAGACTTTAGAGGATTTTAAGCAGGACTAGATTATAATCGCAATTATGATTTTTCAAGTTTGATTACCTCTACATGTACTATGCTTGCTTAATATTGCCTTAATATTCTCTTTCTGTTACCCAAATCAAAAGATCTGCTCATAATTTGATGGATCATTTTTCATACACCCAACTTCGAGGAAGAACAATAATCCATGTTTGGTCTGATTTTAGCGCAGTTACTATGACAGCAAGGGATTATAATTCAAGTGAATTACTTCTTCCCAGGGTTTGACTACCCCTAATGCTTGATTTTTAATCGTGGAAAAACTCGGATGATGTGATTCTGGAAAGGGCACGATTTTAAAATCCATGATCTGGGTTGCGTTAATCCTGCCACGATGAAGTGCGTAATCCACGACTAATCCCAGGCAGACCCATGATTTTGCTGCGGATGACGCACTTGACCCCCTCACCCTTCTAAGAAGTAAGGGCCAACGGGTGGGCCAAGTCAAAACCGGCCGGAGATCCGGAAACCGAAACCAGAGGAGCGACAACAGCTGGGCTGAGACAGAGACCAAATCGCCTTTTTCAATCTTGACAGGGACCAGCTCAACTATGTCCTTAACAACGAGTCCAACACAACTGTCTCAATCTTGGCCCCCGGCAACGCATTCAGCACAGCATGATAGTCCAACCTCATCCGCTCCACAACAAGCTTTGAACGGTTGGCATCGCGCATAACACAGCTCAAGAAAGCCACCTGAGCGTCGAACACACCACGGAGAAGAGTTCTAAGACCTCCTTATTCGGCAACAGCCCACTTAGCAGACTGGACGAATCGCATTCCGGAGTCATCAGTATCAACAGAACTGGGTCGCGGAGTTGACTCAATTACACGAGCGGATTACACAAGCGGATTACACGAGCGGTGTGCTCGTGGAATGCGGTGGGAAAAATTACACGACGAGAGCGCATCGTGTAATCTAGACGAGCTTAAGAGGTGCTCGTGTAATTTACACAAACGTTGACTCTGTAGGGCAGAGTCCGTAACCCATGTCTGATTCTAGTCAGATGCACAATGTTGACATTGATTACGGACTTGCCCGAGTAAATTCTGGTTCAATCCACGATTTTCCCATTCATAGGGCCTTACTTGATACTTGTGTGAAACTTGGCAAATAACTTCATTAATTCAGCTCATGTATTTGTAGCTTCAGAGTCGGGTTTTAGGCTGGTATCACTGGGTGTATATATCAGCACGAAAAGCAAAGTGGACCCAATTTCTATTAGGCAAGTACATCATTTACGTCAAAATCGTGGATTAGTCTAGAATTACACATGGATTACGCACTTCATCATTGATTACTATCCTGGCTGAATTCCCGAACAGAAGTGTGGATTACAACCCTTAACATTTTCATGGATAAAACCCACTAAAAATGGCATGTTCATCCACAGTTCACGTCTCTCATTATAGGTTTTACAGAGACGAAAGCTAGATCAATTGAAGGAGTATAATACATAGCTGGAGTGATACAAGTTATTATCTGAATAATCAAACATAGACCTAATAGGAAACCAAAGTTCCAAAGGTAAGATGAATGTGAAAGTTGGGGAGAATCATTAAGATAACTTACACCGAGATCAAAGAAAGGACGGAATTCTTAGAAGTTTCACAAAGTAAGGTTGATAAGATTAGTACCGGATTACAATCCGAGATAAAATCGTGGATCACTGCCAGAAAAAAGAACATAGTAAAATACCGCAGAAACTGCGAAAATGACACCTATATGTCTAGAGATATTCAAGACTTGCTGAACTGAACTGTTCTCATGTATTTAACTTAGAGGGCGACCTGCTATATATACACTCGATCAACGGAAATGATGCCATGTTGCTTTTTGCTAACATCCTGAGTTATAAGACCATAATTATTGCTACTGTAGCCCTACTAGAATACTCATAATACAGTACAATATTTTTCTCTGGTAATGTTACTCTTTTGTCCTAATAGGCCGTTAGTTTTCCGCCTTTTTCTAGGGCTAGCTATGGACCCGATTAAAAAAAAGAGATACTCATCATGGATTATGCTGAACCATATCGTGGATTATGCGGGAAAAAATCGTGCTTTGGGTCCCCAAATCCATGATACCATCACGGAGTAAACGGGATTTTGTAATCCATGATTCCAACGGACGTAGGGGTTGCAGGAGCTTGTCGTGATGCAAGAGCAGATGACTTACTACCCCAATTTGGGTATGAAACCCTTGCATTTCCGGAACCGGAACCGGAGCCGAGAGCCAACACAGATATGCAATACAGTGGGAGCATTGCAACTGCTTCAACTGATAATACTACAAGTGTGTATAAGACTTTGCATCTCCAGCGTGGCTGGAGTCCCATTCATGGAAATAAAAATATGACCCATCCCTACGAGACTCCCAAATTCTACCGAACACGATTATAAAACACGAATAAAATTATCGAGTACCACGAATAGAGTTATTCGAGTTAGTGGGATATTCTGGGCACAATCTGGATTGACAATTCGTCTTGAAAGTAGATTTTTTTTTTTACGATTTACCAACACTACACTGTTATAATATTCTACCTCATGACTGCACACTGCACAGACGTGACGCTCATTGGTCCCATCTATCACAGGTCATCAATCTAGGCCCATTCATTTTGTTGACACTTAAATAAGATCCGAAAATTTCAGAAGCCCAACCTTGCCTCAATTCCCACTGTCAACGCACATATGCATACCATGACGCTTCCTCTCATCTCTCCTTTGTCCATTCAGTCGAAACAAGTTCATCGTCTTCATCATCATTGTCAACATCAAACTCCGGATCATCTTGGAAACTGCGATTGGACGTATATCGATTTGATGCCCCTGAAGTGCGCAAGGTCTTCTTTCCAGGCTGTTTCCTACCACGAACCTTCATTGCCATTGGGTCAGGGCGGGTTAGTAAAAACCGATGAAAAGTCGTTTTACTGTTGCTGTCAACAAAGTGCGGGAATCACCCGAATAAGAGGAGACATCAAGCAAGAGTGTTGAGATTAAACAACCATCATGTTAACCTTTCAGCAACAGCGATCATGTGCCCAGTTTGGGTTGAGACGATACAAACCATAGCATCGGGAGAACAGATGGGAGAGGATCAGGGAGGCGTAGAAGTTGGTGATCTCGATGGGAGAGAGCCAGTGAGGTGTAGGATTCGATGCTTTCGTCAGTCAGTTGTGAGACACCCAGGGAGATTGAGAGGTTGATGGTGGTGGGTTCCTGGTTGGTGCTGAGGACTTGGTGAAATTTGCCAGCGCATCAGCAGTGCTCACATGTCACTCTCAAAAGGCGCAGGCCAAAGAACCGCCACCAAAGACCATTGATCCTCTTCGATCCATCAAAAACCTCGACCCTCAACGACCCTCCTCCCTCGAAGACACGTGAAATCTAGCCAACCTCACGATCCAAACCCGTCCAACATAAAAACGAGCGCAATTTCCTTCACGTTACCTTTGCGTGCGATTTAAACTTTCTCACGCGATTCCTACGTCATGGCGGTTCCTTCCCCGCGTTTGCGCCACGACGGGATGCCCCCCCGAGCACTGGCAACAAACAGAACCACCTCGACCGGACGACCATTCAAAAACAGCATTCATCCCCGGCCCACTCGAAGGATACCAGTATACCCAGTAATGGCCCCGAAGCCTGATATCGACATCCTCGATATTCGCTCTCCTACCTCTCTCGCTCCCTCCTCCCTCCGCGCTTCCATTCTCGACGGCCTCAATGCTCCAGGAGGCCAAAAGACACTTCCTACCTTGATATTATATGACGAGCGAGGTCTTCAATTGTTCGAAGATATTACTTATCTTGACGAGTACTACTTGACCGCGTCAGAGATCGACGTTCTGAAGCGTGAAGCTGGAAGAATCGCCGCCAGGATCAAGGAGGGGTCAGTGATTGTGGAACTTGGCAGCGGCTGCCTCCGCAAAACTCAATTGATCCTCACTGCCCTCGAGGCAGCCAAGAAAAAGTGCACATACTACGCCCTTGACCTGTCGCGCTCCGAACTTGAACGTTCACTTACTCCGCTCCCCTCCTTCACCTATGTTACTGCACGTGGCCTCCATGGTACGTATGACGACGGCCGCGCATGGCTTTCCAAACTGTCAAAGGATACGCCAAAAACGGTCCTCTGGTTGGGATCTAGTGCTGGTAACATGGATCGCGAGGAGTCAGCACAGTTCTTAAGGACGTTCGTTGAGGAGGCTCTCAACGTTGGAGACCAACTCCTGATCGGTATTGACAGACGTAACAACCCGGAAACCGTCTGGCGCGCCTACAACGATAGTAGGGGTGTCACTCGTGAGTTTGAACTGAACGGACTTCGTAATGCCAATGGTATCCTAGGATCCGAAGTCTTCAACCTCGATCAATGGGATTATGTTGGTGAGTATGATGAGGAGGCTGGAGCACACTTGGCATATTTCGTACCGAATACCAATGTGCACGTCGAGGGGATAGTCGTGAAGGAGGGCGAGAAGGTACGAGTCGAGAAAAGTGTCAAGTTCAATGTACGTGAAGCGGAGGAGCTTTTCGACACGGCCGGCATAGCACGAACCGAGTCGTATGGCTGTTCACGCGATTTATACGGTATGCATAATCTCCTATACTTCCGTGATCCCGCTGACCATGCCCAGATCTCCATTTGCTCCATGTACCACCGTTCCACATTCCTCTCCTCGGTTCAAAGGAACCCGTACCTACAACGCAAGATTGGAGTGATCTCTGGTCAGCCTGGGATACCGTTACTTTGCAAATGATCCCCCAAAAAATGCTGCTTACGAAGCCTATTGATTTGCGCCACCCTTGCATCTTCTACATCGGCCATATTCCTACGTTTCTGGACATTCACTTGACGCGTGCGAAACTCGGAGGTGATGCATACATCAATGCCGCATACACGAGAATCTTTGAACGTGGTATCGATCCCGACGTTGATGATCCCACCCAATGTCACGTCCATTCTGAAGTGCCCGACAGCTGGCCAGATCTACAGGAACTGCTGGAGTTCAGAGATGAAGTACGCGCTCGAGTCAAGAATTGTTATGGTGCAAATGGCCTTGTCAGTAGTGCTTTGGATCATGTCAGAAGGAGAGCACTTTGGTTAGCCTTCGAGCATGAGGCGATGCATCTGGAGACCTTGCTCTACATGCTCCTCCAAAGTCCGCAAACAGTTCCTCCGCCCGGTGTCCCGGTCCCTGACTGGAAGCTCCTGGCGTCTGCGAGTCAAAGGCCCACAGCCACAAAGGAGGAGGACAAGTGGATGATGGTAGAATCACGCAAAACCAACGTGGGCCTGAATGATCCCGAAGGCGCTGAAAACGGCGGCACGGATGGAAGGTTGATGGGCTGGGACAATGAGAAGCCGCAGAGGGAGTGGACTGTTAATGGATTCATCGCTAGCAAGCGCCCTATCACAAATGGGGAGTATGCTACGTTTTTGCAGGAAAGCGGTTCTACCAAGATCCCCGAAAGCTGGTCGCGGGTTGATGGGGTCTACAAGGTCAAGACGGTATTCGGTCTCGTGGCCATGGAACATGCGCATGACTGGCCAGTCATCGGATCCTACGACGAGATAGCATCCTACGCAACGTATGCAGGCGGACGATTGCCGCGTGAAGAGGAGCTGAGAGCATTGTACGATGTTATTGCCGACAGCTCGGCTACCCCCGGCACCTTGATTGCTGGGGTTAATGGCCACTTGACATCTAACGGAGTCCATACTACACCACCGGCCGTCCCAAACTTCATTGATCTGTCGGGCGCCAATGTAGGCTTCAAGCACTGGCACCCGACACCAGCCCACGCCACCCAGCTCGTAGGCTCGGGCGGCGTGGGAGCGTGGGAGTGGACCTCCACACCCATGGCTCCACATGAGGGTTTTGTTCCCTCTAAGGTGTATTCTGGTTATACTGCAGACTTCTTCGATGGAAAACATAATGTCGTGCTTGGAGGAAGTTGGGCCACGCATGGGCGTCTTGCGGGAAGGAGGACCTTCAGGAACTGGTATCAACGTAACTACGGATTTGCCTGGGTTACTGGTCGTGTTATCAAAGATATCGATATGAATTAAGAGTAGGTAGCTGCGGAGAAGTTTTTGATAATTTTATCCTTTATATTTATACTCGGGATCATGATGTCAGCGGGATACTGTATCGTTCACGTACGTGGGACACGCGCGCTCATCCCGCAATAATTAATGAACTGCTTAAGTCCTTCGGCGGTCGGCGAGATGAAGCGTCCCGGTTGAGGTCAACGGGCTAGATAGACTCTGTTGCCGTCGCGATCTCCTTCTTTCACCAACACTACTGTACTTCTCAGGAAATACCATGACGACGACGACGACGACGACATATTACGCGCCTTTGATTGCTCCGTCTGAGGCATCGCGATACGCAAATCCGCTCCGAACTATGCTCGTCGTCGTACCAGAGCAGGCCGACCCCGATGAACCTACCAAGCTCGTGCAAGCTGCTATCAAGGCTTACGGCGGACGGGCGATTGGCCTGATGCATCTTGACGTGCCGAAGATTATAAGGACCGACATGGACCTCGTGAAAGTCATCTCAGGCTTGCCTCAGAAAGCAAACTACAACAGTACAGAAACAAATTGGACGGTAGTATTTCGTCACAGCAGAAACGAGAAATGGACATGGTTCATCACAAAATGGATGAGGGCGGGTGGGTGCGTTATGGAAGACGATGTTCGTGAAATTTACGACGACAGGCGAGATTCTGGTATTTCTCTGGACCTAGTGGTCGAGTTGGGCAGGGTTACGCGATAAAGAGAACATGCACTTCACGACAAACCTATCTGGTCAAGTCTTGTCTAAGCAGCGTGCTGCGCTGTCTACGTGAAAGGCAATATGCAATTCACGATGCTAGGAGGGTGAAAGTCCCCTCGAGATTGCGGTACGTTAATGTCTAATGGGTTCGGATGGAATGGAGTTATGGCACGCGACAAATGGTATTTTGGAATTCACACGGCGAGATTTCGTCAATTAACTACAATGTAATATTTCCAACAAATATATGCTCGGCACGCAATTTGTTAGGCGCATGATCCATTACTCCCAAAGCTAAACGAGCCACGATTCATGACTTCTTCACCGCGGTCACATCCAAAGGTTTGCGGTAAACTCTAATCTCTCTCGCGTCAAAGCCTTTGCCTTCTTCATTGCCTCCAGCAATGAAGACTTCCTCCCATCCATTGTTCAATAACCACCCACCAAAGCCGTTTTCTGGCCTCATTTCTAGCTTATCGAGATTCGATGCCAGAGCTCTGCATTTCTTCTTGACAGCGGTTACATAACTTGGCCATGGTTGCGGCTCAACGATGAAATGACCGCCCGGTCGCAGAGCTCGCAAGCATTTGTCAAAGAATGATTTGAGGCCGGCATCGAATGAGTTAAGGTGTATCCATTTTGTCAGACTTAGGCTTTGAGTGTGTCAGCATCTTTGTCAACTCATCGGGTATTGCGCTTACGCTAGTACGACATCATATATGCCTTCTTCATCGTCGCCGAGGGGAGTTTGTAGCCAATCTTGAGCTACGAAGTCTGTGTTTTCCGGGAAGGTGCTTAGTCTTGGGCGTATCGAAACTTTGTCGCCGGCATCCAATAGCGGTCGTAATCCATGCTTGTCGAGAGAGCTTAGAGGGAAAAAGCGCACTTGTGTATCGCGTCCAGTTTTCTGACGTGAGTATAGCTTCCTTTTGTATTCCTTTGCTTTCCGTATCAGAAAGGGATCGATGTCGACACCTTTGACATGCCTCGCACCCAGGTGCTGCGATATTGCACACGTCACGCGGCCTTCATTACATCCAACATCGAGCACGTTCTTGTTCAGAAAGAGACTATCCAGTCCACCGTCTCCAAACATCTCTAGAAGCCTAAGGCGCGAGTCGACGGGATCGCCATCTGCGGTAGAAGCCTGCGTCTGTCTGACAGAGTAGTAGTTGTGATAGTTGCCATATTGGAGAGGTGCCGTTGCAGCAGCAAAAGCCTGCTCCTCTTCCCTGATTGTATGAGTGACTTTCAGTCTCTTGGATGGGTGACCGTCGACCATTGCTACTGTCGGCACCTTTGTTTATTGTGTCTACGTTACATGGAGCTGCAGCCGAATCGAGAAGGTTCAGACCAGGCGACGCCGCGTGTTCACCGTTACCGACATCTCGAGACGTACTTTACGTATTTCACCACCAACAGCATGTCTCTGGCCTCACCGCTCAATCTTCCCAAATGGCTCGAGGAAAATAGCCATCTTCTGAAACCCCCCATCAACAACTACTGTGCTCAGAGAGGCGGTTTCACAGTTATGATTGTAGGCGGCCCCAATGCCAGGACCGACTATCACATAAACGAGACCCCCGAGTGGTTTTACCAGTACAAGGGGTATGCCGTCCAAAATAATGAAAGCTACTAGCTGACCAGGGACAGAGCTATGCTCTTGAAGGTTGTTGAGGATTCACTTACAGACAACCCTAAGTTCCGCGACATCAAAATTGGCGAAGGAGAGATGTTCCTGCTGCCCCCAAATACTCCGCACAATCCTGTAAGGTTTACGGATACAGTGGGAATCGTCCTTGAGCAGGACCGTCCTGAATCTAGTCTGGACAGGTTGAGGTGGTACTGTGCTGAGTGCAAGAGTGTTGTCTTTGAGGATACGTTCCACTGTACAGATCTTGGCACTCAGATCAAGAGTGCGGTAGAGGGTTTTGCAAACGATGAAGAAAAGAGAAAGTGCCCCAAGTGTGGTGTTGTCGCACAAACCAAGTAAACCGACCGAGAATGCAAGCATGTGTACAATAGCTATCGTTGGAGCACATGATATATTTACAACTCCGAGTTATTTATGCCTTTCCAAAAATAACGTACATGTCTAACGCCACCTGAAAGATATGATTACACCATCCATTTTAAAGCTCATCATGACCGAAGTCATAATCATCGTCCATCTGCGTCGCTCCAGAACCACCACCGCTTCCGTAAAGCTTAGATACCAATGGGTGAGCAACACTGGACAACTTCTCCTTCTGCTCATCAAACTCCTCCTTGGTACCGGTGCTAGCGTTGTCCTCCAACCACTCCATAGTCTCCTTCACAGCGTCCAACAAAGCCTTCTTGTCATCGGCATCCAACTTGCCTCCGAGACCATCCTCATCGGCAACCTGGGTCTTGAGGGAGTAAGCGTAGTTCTCGAGACCGTTACGGGACTCGATCTTCTCGCGAAGCTCCTGGTCCTGAGCGGCCATCTCCTCGGCCTCCTGGACCATACGCTCAATTTCCTCTTTGGAAAGACGTCCCTTATCGTTGGTGATGGTGATAGACTCCGTCTTGCCAGCGCCCTTGTCAGCGGCGGATACGGTCAAGACACCGTTGGCATCAACCTCAAAAGTGACCTCAATTTGAGGAACACCACGAGGGGCGGGAGGAATACCAGTAAGTTCGAACTTTCCAAGAAGGTTGTTGTCCTTAGTAAGCGCACGCTCACCCTCGTAGACCTGGATGAGGACGGTAGGCTGGTTGTCAACAGCGGTGGAGAAGATCTGAGTCTTCTTGTTAGGAATCTGCTGGTTGCGACCAATCAACTTGGTCATAACACCGCCAGTGGTCTCGATACCGAGAGTAAGAGGGTTAACATCAAGAAGAAGGACGTCATCAACACCCTCCTCGCCAGAAAGAACACCACCCTGAACTGCAGCACCGTAGGCAACAGCTTCGTCAGGGTTAATACCCTTAGAAGCCTTCTTACCGTTGAAGTAGTCCTCCAAAAGGGACTGAACCTTAGGAATACGAGTAGAACCACCGACGAGAACGATGTCATCAATCTCAGACTTCTTGACACCAGCATCCTTAAGAACCTGCTCAACAGGTCTCATGGTCTTCTTGAACAAGTCCATGTTGAGCTCCTCGAACTTAGCACGAGTCAAAGTCTCGGAGAAGTCCTCACCGTCGTGAAAAGCCTCAATTTCGATGCGCACAGACATCTGGGAAGAAAGGGTACGCTTAGCCTTCTCGACCTCGCGCTTAAGTTTACCCATAGCCTTGAGGTCTTTACGAACATCGACGTCATTCTTCTTGTTGTAGATCTTGACAAAGTGGTCGATGACGCGGTTGTCGAAATCCTCTCCTCCAAGGTGAGTGTCACCAGCAGTCGCCAAAACCTCGAAAACACCATCCTCGATGGACAAAAGAGAGACATCGAACGTACCACCTCCAAGGTCGTAGACAATAATCTGGCGCTCACCACCCTTCTTGTCAAGACCGTAGGCGATAGCAGCAGCAGTAGGTTCATTAACGACACGAAGAACGTTCAAACCAGCAATAGTACCAGCATCCTTGGTAGCTTGACGCTGAGCATCATTGAAATAGGCGGGGACAGTGACGACAGCATGGGTAACCTTCTTTCCAAGGTAATCCTGGGCCACCTCCTTCATCTTACCCAGGATCATACCAGAAATCTCCTCTGGAGTGAAGATCTTCTCCTCACCTTGCGCCTTAACCTGAACAACGGGCTTGCCGGACTTGCTGATAACCTTGAAAGGGAAGTGCTTAAGGTCCTTCTGCACCTGCTTGTCATCGAACCGAAGACCAATCAAACGCCTGCGTTGAGGTCAGCGAGACCATAGAATGGCAAATGATATTTCATAACTTACTTGATATCGAAGACGGTGTTGGTGGGGTTGGCAGGAGCCTGGTTCTTAGCGGCGTCTCCGACAAGACGCTCTTCGTCAGTGAATGCGACGTACGATGGAGTGATACGGTGCCCCTGGTCATTGGCAAGAATTTCGACGCGACCAGACTTCATGACACCTACACAGGAGTAGGTAGTACCGAGATCGATACCAATGACTAGCGATATCGTCAGTAACGGCCGAGGAATGGCAGTGCGACAGTGACGTACCGGTACCGTACTCCTCCTTCTTAGAATCGGCATTGGACAGTAACGGGAATGCAATGAGCGCCGCAAGATAGACGAGCGCAGTGAAGAAGATGAACTTCTTCATTGTTGCAATTGATCGAGGGTATCGTTGTTGGTGGTTGGTTGACGGGGGCTCCACTTAGAAATACGCGCCGCCTTTGTCCCACAGTCGACGTGGCTTCCTACGTGTCCGAGACTCACGTGACGCACGGAATATTCTGAGGAACAGATATCAAAATTCATTGGATAACGCCGAATAACCAGCAAACACGACACGCATTAGGACTACTTATTCCCAATCATCATCGCTCTCATCGTCCGCCTTATCAGCTGCCTTTTCCTTCTTCTCCGGCATCTGAGGTGTCGCACTTCCTGCAGAAACTACATCGTAACTCCCAGAGCTCTCTGTTTGCTCCGTGGAGGAACGCGCAGTCTCATTCTCGGAAGGCTCAGGCAAAGCAGCCTTTGCGTCGAGGGTTTCCGTAGAAGACGCGGACGGCGCATTCTTCGGAGATGCCGGGGTAGCAGACTCGTCCTCTTCGTCCTCTTCGTCCCACGCGAACTCTTCCCCACCATCTTCCGTTTTGTCTGCCCCTGCACGCATCGTTAGCTCCTGTTATCGAACTGCCTGCAGCACAACACACCTTGAAGTAATTCCTTGCGCTTCTGCTCCTCTGCCCTAATCTTATCCGCATGCCTAATATTCGAATTAGTGGCTTGCGTAACGTAGGGCACATGAATAATTACCAGAAGTATCTGGTCCAGAAAACGGCGTACGTGACTTCCTCGGGTACGAGTCCATCCATGACAGCCCGCAGCTCTGGCCATTGGTCGAGGGTTTTTGCAATGTCTTCAGTCTTGGCCTCAACATCGAACTTCTGTCTCCATGTGGAAAATCCGTCATCAGAAGGGTCTTCCTTGAACGACGATTCTGTGGTATGCAGGATGTGCAACTGGCGACCAAGGCGGGTAACACTACATGCGTGAGGTAAGCTAACACGATCAAAGCCGCTGCACACTAGAAGAATCATACTGTATTTGCTTCTTTTTGACGTCGTCTCCCTCAGCAGCGTCAAAAATAGTATTTTCCTGAGGGCCGGGCGTACTCGATCCCTCACCCGGAGGCTGAATCATCACCGCGTCTTTCAGGAGTGTTCCCAAGCCCTTCAAGTACTGCTCAGCCTTCCCCTCTACACCCTCCAGGTCTTTCCATTTGACGTCGTTTGCCTTCTCCCAACCGCCCTTCAAGTAGCCGAAAGCATTAGTTCCCACCTTTTGCGCATCCTGTAAGGCTTTCTGCTCCTGCAAGTGCTTAAGCTCTGCTTGAGCCTTCTGTGATAAGTCGGCGGAATGCTTCAGTGCTTGCGTGCTAAGCTCCTGGGTTTGCTTGACGGCCTTTCCCCAGAAGCTGAATGCCTTGGCACCGAGGGTGGTAGCCGCCAAGTTCTTCTTCAACTCATCAAAGTCAGAGGCAAGAGACTGCTTCTGCTCGCCCTCCTGCGATTCTCGTTCCTCGGGGACATATGTGTTTGCTTCGATGAAGTCCATTGCAACTGCAAGTGCAACTGGGAGGGAGCATACACTCCAGGGTGCAACTGGTGGTGGTTACGGGTGTCGCCCCGGCCGCGGGTTCCTGGGCGAGTGCGGGAGGATTACTTTAATTCAGGAAGGGTGAACTGAGTTAACACGGTATACCTGGATTATATATTGCCTAACTCCAAGGGTTGTCTTCAAAACTGCCAAAGCTACCAAATGCGTTGCCTCCCGACGTCTTTGCGGCTGTGGCTCCCGTCGCCGCACTTGCACCTTCGAAATCTCCAAAGTCATCGTGATCTCCCGTCTTCGCCTGAGTTTGTGCTGGCAGCGCAGATGTTGACCAGTTGTTCCCTGAACTGATTCCCGCGGAGGCAGAAGTCGTAGTACTTCCCCATAAATCGCTAGTTGCAGCACTGCCCCCGAATGACTGCGCTTGGGTGACCTTCGGCCTCGAGAAGGATGAAGAAGTGAAGTTGCCAAAACTGGCCAACCCGCCAAATGCATCCTCCTGTTTGCTGTTACTGGCTTGACCCGTTGTGTTCCGCGGCGGCTGCGACTGAGCGGTCGATGATGCCCAAAGGTTTGGGGTATTCAATGAAGACAAGGTGGATGAGGCGCCTGTTGGCTGCGGCTGAGGTTGAGCGGGTGTCGATGAGAAACCAAAGCCGCCAAATGCGGATGCTAAATCACCCATAGCTCCTGAGGCTGCAGAAGGTGTAGTGGCAACAGGTGGAGACGTGTATCCCGATTGGTACCCTCCTGTTGCATACGTCTGCTGCTGCTGAGGTCGAGGAGATTTCTGGGGCACACTAGCATACAAACTTAGAATGCTGGTCTTCAAATCCGCTCTGCCACCGGTTGCAGTCTTCGAAGCAATGGAACCTGCAGCCGGGCCTGTCGTCGATGGACCCGAGCTTGATGATGAAGAGAAGAAATCGAGGCCAAGAAGGGAGTCTGCCGGTTTTGGAGGGGCAGCGGACGCTTTTGTTGCCGGTTCGTTGAGAACCGGAGGCTTTGCCCGAGTAACTGGTGCAGATGGTGCAGAAGGGGCAGCTGGTGGAAAATCATCCCCGCCAAGGAGATCGAACGTCGCAAGTGCCGGCTTTGGCGGCGTTGGTTTGTGCAGTGAAGGGGCGCGACGATGAACATTCGAGGAAGCCGGTGCTCGCGCAGTCTCAACCTTCTGCTTGATGGCGCTCGTAAGCACGTCCTCTTCCTCATCACCGTCGTCCAAGGTATCTGGGTCCGGCATGGGCCCTGGCATTACCCAACGCTTCATATCGTACTTTGTCCGGATAAAGTTGTCGATCTTACTAAATTAGGTGTCAACGAGCTACTCTTAAAGATCAATACAGTGCCGCCACGCACCTGTCTGATGGCACATGCCCGGGAGAAAGGCCATGCTCCCAGTACTTGTTTGCTCGTACATTACCCCATCTGACCATGTTGTCCAACTGCTCGTTCGTCCAAGCATCTAGGTCGACTGACTTTACCCTTGAAACATGAGTACCCATGCTTCTGTGTATGCCCGAGCATCTGATACAGATGAACACTCCTAATGACCAACTGGCCCATCGAGGGTGGTCGGCAGTTTTACAATCCGCGCAGAACTTGTTACCAGGCTCCTTTAGGAGTACCTTCAACGTGCTCAAGTTCCTTTCATTCTGAGCCCTATCAGCTGTGCGGGCTGATCTCGTCGCCATTGAAGTCGGGGATCGGATTGTTACCTACAGTTTCAGCGTACGTCGACAGACTGTGCGACCCTGATACAAGCTACAGCCCCCCCGGTGCCGTCATTGTTTACAGTCGTGAGTCAAGGGAGGAAACCACACGGCCCGAATATCAATGAATATAAGTGTTCTTTAGGTAAAGATGCCGACACTTCCATATACTCCCTTGGTGCAGGCATCTTCGCCCTATCGATAGCGTCGCGATTCTAGCATACACCCCCAACCGCACCCTGAACCGTCCAGAAAGCTTACCCACTCCTTCCATTCTTCTGTAATCATGGCCGACGTCAAGGAATACACCTACACCGAAGTTGCTGAGCACACCGACCGCTCCGACCTCTTCATGGTCATCCACGACAAGGTCTACCAGTGCGCCCAGTTCATGGACGAACACCCCGGTGGTGAGGAGGTCTTGATGGATGTTGGAGGTATGTTGTCCCGGGAAACGATATCTAATGATGTTAACAACCCGTACAGGCAAGGATGCGACTGAGGCTTTCGAGGATGTTGGTCACTCCGAGGAGGCACGGGAGTTGTTGGAGAAGATGTTTGTTGGTAACTTGAAGCGCGGTGTACGTACATTCTCACACCACCTTTTCCGTCTACTAACTCCTTACAGGCCGGTGATGCTCCTGCAAAGTCTACTGCGGCTCAGCCAAGTACCAAAGCGCAGCAGGCGGGTGGATCGAATTTGGCGGTGATCGTTGCGTTGATCGCTGTTTTGGCATTTGTCGCGTTCAAGTTCACTCAGTAATAGATCAAGAACGTGCGAGGAATATACGAAAACAGATGCTTCTTACACTACTGGTACCTTCCGTCTCTGAACACAGACATTGTCCAAATTCCCACTTAACACAACTCAATGGTACGGCCTTGGTTCCAGGAGCCGTTCATTCACATTCTCATGCTTCGTCTTACATCTCCTCCAGCGCAGCAGCGAGCTCAGGTGGCAACTGGCTACGTGTCCTGTGGCTAAACCGAAGCAGGCCTTGGTAGAATAGACACATCTTTAGAAACCCATCAGTTTTTTCCTTGGGTGAACTTCAAATTTGACTCGAAAAAGAGACACATCTGCCACGCAAGGCGATCAGGACTCCATTTCGGGTGTGATAAGTGATGAGTGTACACATACCTTCCGAGGACACTTGTCATAGATGATGTCCGTACGGTGGACGGTCTTGTACCCATTGTTCCAATCGACATAAACCATCAGCTCGCCGTCTTCGGCACGGGCGATGGTGTCGATTGTCAGATTCACCTCCTCCCAGGAATCTTTATGTGTAGGTGGCGTCCATTTTCCGCCATTTGCGATCTCGACGCTTTGAGCGTTCACATCGTTTGCAGCGGACTTCCTCCCTCTCCGCTTTGGATGCAGGACTTCCTCCTCAACATCCGAATCAACTAGATGTGCTTTGCTTTGGGCTGTACCAGTACTTTGCCGCGACCGTTTCGCACGGCTGCTAACAGGAGTAGACTCTTCAACGGCGGTCGACCGTGATCGTCCACGCTTGCGGGAGCTGGCAGAAGTGGGCGGCTTTGCCCTCCCTCCACGCACCTGCCAGTAGGCCTCCAGCATGTCGCGACAGGAACTGAAGGTCAGTTAGCACTGTGATCTCCTAAGCTACGAGTGACTGACCCACTCTAGCTCTGATTCTGGTTGCCAAGTGTTGTCTTCCGGGGCATCGTAGCCCAGCCATTTGATCTCGTATTCATACTCTCCGCTCTGCTACGCGACGCATAAGCATCGATCACACGCGTTGCGCACATCAAGTGAGTACTTACTTGCGACCATCTATGTCCAAGGATCTTCTCTACTTCATACTCATCCTCACCACCTTCTACAGCACCAGACGCGTTTTCGGCATCCTCGGCAGCCTCAACATCTGCTTCGATCGCGAATTCAGCTTCGTCAACGGCCACAGGCAAGTCCTCTTTCTCAGCAGAGCTCATTGCGATTGCGATTGCGATTGGTTGATCGGGAGTTGAGTGTAACTTTGGTTATTGGAGGATCGATACGTGCCGTACAACGCGCGACATCAGGGGACCCTTCACGTGCACGCGCGTAACGCACACAACGACCAGACATACCGTCCTCGACGAACTATTGCCAATAGAAAGAGCGGTACACAATGAAGCTCACTCCTGATCTTCTCGCAAATGCTCCGACATATATCAATCCTGTCAAGGACAGAGAGCTTAATCTGAGAGGTGTGTGCTCCGACTTCCATCACATCACTTACAGGCTCATCAACATCGTGTGAAGGCAAGAAGATCCCAGAGATTGTCAATCTTGGTGTGACAAAGGTGCGCATTTAGTACATTTGCTATCTATCAATTCTGACGTATAGCATACATAGGATCAAAACGATGCAATTGACTTTGTCGACAACGACATCCGCAGACTGGATGGCTTCCCAAGGATGCCGCACCTGTCAACACTGTTACTCGCACGGAATCGAATTTCAACTATATCGGCATCAATTCACGAATCTCTGCCAAACCTTAAGATATTGATTCTCACCTCCAACTCAATTGCAGAACTTGCGGACTTGAATGCGCTGTCAGGACTCAAGAAGTTGACGGTTCTGAGTATCATGGACAATCCTGTCAGCAGAAAAGATCATTACCGCAGCTGGATCATTTGGAAATGTCCGTCCGTGCGGATCATGGATTTCCAGAGAGTGAAAGATAAGGAGAGAGCAAAAGCGAAGGAGTTGTTCAGTACGGCATCAGGAGAACCGACACCGCTGGCGGCGTCTATTATGGGAGTGAAGTCGAGAGTGTTTGAGGTTGGAGGCAGCGACGCAGCAGGAGGAGAGAAGGCCGCTGCACCCCTGAGATTGACCGAGGAAGAGAGAAAACGCATCGAGGAGGCGATCAAGAGCGCGTCAAGCCTTGAGGTATGGTGACCACCTCTATCTCTTCGATTATTATCAACTAACAGCTCTGGTCTCCAGGAAGTGACAAGGTTAGAACGTGCCCTACGAGAAGGACGGATACCAGAGTAGCCGCAGTAGCATATCGAACAGCCATGAAGGACAATTACTCATAGCATTTCCATTACCCTACAGTAACCTTCAAATGTATAGTTGGTGATTTTATCACGTGAGTTCGAGGTTGCGCGTTCGTTCGTTCGTCGGTCCCTGGCGCGATATCGATGCACATACGGGACAGCAGCAACACGCTCCACCAGTCCTCGGCACCCCTCTGTTTCGACCCATTAATCATCAGCTGTAATGGACAACGCTGTTATGGCTACGGACGAGACCGGTCGTCCCTTCATCATTGTGAGGGATCCCGGCATGAAGCAGCGTATTCACGGCACCGAAGCCATCAAGTCGCATATTCTTGCCGCGAAGACGGTCACCAACATCATCAGAACATCCTTGGGTCCTCGAGGCTTGGACAAGATTCTCATTTCGCCTGATGGTGATATCACCGTGACCAATGACGGCGCGACGATTTTGGGGCAGATGGAGGTTGAGCACCAGATTGCTAAGCTTTTGGTTCAGCTGTCAAAATCACAAGATGACGAGATTGGTGATGGTACTACTGGTGTTGTTGTCCTTGCTGGTGCGCTTCTTGAGCAGGCTGAGGACCTTATTGACAAGGGTATCCACCCCATCCGTATCGCTGACGGTTTCGATCGCGCTTGCAAAGTTGCCGTGGAGCATCTTGAGAAGGTGTCTGATGTCGTTCCCTTCTCAAAAGAAGACACGTCAAATTTGTTGAAGACCGCCAAGACCTGTTTGGGCAGCAAGATCGTCTCGAAGGCACACACTCAGTTTTCTCAGATTGCCGTTGATGCGGTACTCTCGGTTGCCGATTTGGAGCGCAAGGATGTTGACTTCGAGCTTATCAAGGTTGACGGAAAGGTTGGAGGATCTCTCGAGGACACTACCCTTGTCAAGGGTGTTGTTATCGACAAGGACATGTCTCACCCGCAGATGCCCCGTGAGGTCAAGGACGCCAAGATTGCTATTCTTACCTGTGCATTTGAGCCCCCGAAGCCTAAGACCAAGCACAAGCTCGATATCACCAACGTCGATGAATACAAGCTGCTACAGAACTACGAGAGGGAGAAGTTCCAGGAGATGATTAAGCAGGTGAAGGACACGGGCGCGAACTTGGTTATCTGCCAATGGGGTTTCGATGATGAGGCAAACCACCTGTTACTGCAAAACGAGCTTCCTGCTGTAAGATGGGTTGGAGGGCCAGAAATCGAGTTGATTGCTATCGCTACCAACGGCCGTATCGTTCCTCGTTTCCAGGACCTTTCCGCAGAGAAGCTCGGATCAGCAGGTACTGTCCGGGAGCTTTCTTTCGGTACTACACGGGATCGTATGCTCGTCATTGAGGACTGCGCAAACACTCGTGCCGTCACCATCTTTGTGCGTGGTTCCAACAAGATGATTATTGACGAGGCCAAGCGCGCCCTCCATGATGCTATCTGTGTCGTCCGCAACTTGATCAAGGATAACCGTGTTGTTTACGGTGGTGGTGCCGCTGAGATCGCATGTTCGCTTGCCGTCGCAGACGCTGCTGACAAGATTCCCGGAATCGAGCAGTATGCTATGCGCGCTTTCGCGAACGCCTTGGACGCGACTCCCTTGGCCTTGGCAGAGAACTCTGGTCTGGCACCAATTGAGACTCTGACAAGTGTCAAGTCACGACAGGTGAAGGAGGGTAACTTCAGGTTGGGTGTGGACTGTATGCAGAAGGGAAGCAACGATATGCGCGAGAACTTTGTTATTGATCCTCTGATCGGAAAGAGACAGCAGTTCTTGTTGGCGACCCAATTATGTAGGATGGTTTTGAAGGTGAACGATGTTATCATCACGGGTACGGAAGAGGCTCAATACTAGAGCGGTACGAGCAAGGATCTTGACTAGACAATTATAAAACTTTCATTGACACCGAATACTACCTGAATTTGTCTCTCCATCCAGATCCTCATAGACGTCGGCCGGTTGCTGCTTGTAGCCGACAACCTGCATTTGCTGCAACTGACGTCAACCCTGCTCGTAACTCTCTGCCATTGAACAGCGATAGATGCTCCGAGCTTTGACACGATCCCTGAGCACATTCAAACCAAATAACTTTACAAACGCCATTACAACTGGCAAGCGCAACATGGCTGCCGCTGCTAAACTTTCCGCTTTGCGGGATCGCATGAAGGCATCAGACGTCGACGTCTACGTCGTCCCTTCCGAGGATGCACATCAGTCAGAGTACATCGCCGACTGCGATGCAAGACGCGCATACATCTCCGGTTTCAATGGATCTGCTGGCTGTGCCGTCATCACTACTGACAAGGCCGCTCTGTTCACTGACGGTCGTTACTTTAACCAGGCTGGGAAGCAGCTTGACTTGAAGCACTGGACGTTGATGAAAGTAGGATTGCCTGATGTGCCAACATGGACTGAATGGGTTCTGCAACAGGCTGAAGCTGGAAAGAAGCGGGTTGGAATCGATGCTAGTCTGTTGACTGCAACCGAAGCGAAGCAATTGATGGAGAAGTTGCAGACCAAGGCTGCCAAGCTTATCGGGATGAACAACAACCTTGTGGATGAGGTTTGGGGTGACGAAAGGCCAAAGCGCCCTGCACAACCTGTCTTCCCTCAGCCTTACAAGTACTCTGGCCAGGACTTTTCGGAGAAGATTGCGATGATCAGGAAAGAGTTGGAGGCAAAGAAGGCGTCCGGATCCGTCGTCTCTATGCTGGACGAGATTGCATGGCTCTTCAACCTCCGTGGTGATGATATTCCTTTCAATCCTGTCTTCTTCTCCTTTGCCATGATTACCCCTACTCAAGTCACCCTCTACATCGACGAGAGCAAGCTAACCGAGGAAGGGAAGGCTCAGTTGGGTGAAGATGTTATCGTCCGTCCTTATGATGCTATCTTTTCTGATTGCTCTGTTCTTTCTGACTCTCTGAAATCGGATGGAAAGATCCTCATAACGAACAAGACGTCGTGGGCGCTCGCCAAGGCTCTTGGTGAGAAGAAATGCGAAGAAGTCAAGTCTTGCATCGCTGATGCCAAGGCGGTCAAGAACGCTACAGAACTTGAGGGGATGAGACAGTGCCACATCCGGGACGGAGCTGCCTTGATCGAATACTTTGCGTGGTTGGAGGAGGTCCTTCATAGTGGCAAGGAAATCGACGAAGTTGAGGCGGCCGACTACCTTGAGGAGTGTCGCAAGAAGAAGGAGCACTTTGCTGGACTGTCTTTCCCTACAATCAGCTCAACTGGACCGAACGGAGCTATCATCCATTACCAGCCGGAGAAGGGCTCGTGCGCGGTGATCGACCCCAAGGCTGTCTACCTCTGCGACTCTGGTGCTCAATACAAGGACGGAACTACCGACGTCACACGTACCCTGCATTTCGGATCTCCTAGCCTAACCGAGAAGAGAAATTACACACTGGTCTTGAAGGGGCACATCGCCATTGCACGAGCAGTCTTCCCAAAGGGCACTACTGGATACATCCTCGATATCCTTGCAAGACAGTTCTTGTGGAGAGACGGCCTGAACTACTTGCACGGAACCGGCCACGGTGTCGGATCTTATCTGAACGTGCACGAGGGTCCTCCGGGCATCGGAACTCGTATCTCGTTTAACGAGACTGCGTTGGCGCCCGGTATGGTCCTCTCCAACGAGCCTGGATACTACGAAGACGGTCAGTACGGTATTCGTATCGAGAACTTGGTTACTGTTAAGGAAGTCGAGACTCCAAACAAATTCGGTGGCAAGCCGTACTACGGCTTCGAGACCATCACCCTTGTCCCGATGGCGAGAAGCCTTATCGATGTCAGCATGCTTGACTGCAGTGAGATTGAATGGCTGAACGAGTACCACAAGGAGGTGTTCAATAAGATGAAAATCTTTTTTGATGAGGAGGACAGGACATACCGATGGTTGGAGCGGGAGACACGGTCGTTTGACCAGTGATAGACGAGGGCATCTACGTTACTTGTTCCCAGGAGTTTTCACACGCCTTTTCTATAATTTGCCAAGCAATATGATACCATCATGATAAACAACAACGTGAACAAAAAAAGCAATAAGGAAGCGAGACATATCCTCTAACCCGACCTTTACCAAAGAAAGGAACCCAACCATTAACTTTCATACACACGACAGAATCACAAGTAGAGTGTTCTTACCCATTCCCAAACTCCAATACAAAAATTTCAACAATGCTTCACTACCTAGCGTCGTCACCGTGGGTCCTCTCGTCATCGTGCTTCACAGGCTGAGCAACAGCCGGGTGCGTCGCGTAAGGGGCACCGTAAGCCTGGTGCTGAGTGCTGTACAAGCTCGGCACACCGACTGGCTGCGCGTAGTGAGTAGCATACGCGTTCGCTGGGTAAGCGTAGGGGTTGGCAAAGGTATTGCCATTGACCATTCCACCGTGCTGCTGCATGCCAGAGAGATGAGAGACAGCAGCAGCGGCACCGGTCTGAGCGTACCCCGGAGCAGAGGGAGAGTTGTATGCGATAGCTGCCGAAGGTGTGTGAGGATTGATGTAATAATAGCCGACGTTGGTATGCTCACCGTTTTCACGCTTCTTCGCTTCCTCCTCCTTCTTGCGCTGACGCCATGCCTTACGGATTTCCTTGAACTCTGTAGTGAAACGGGTTAGCACACATCTATGATCACATAGCATACAGTAGGATTACCATCCGGCGTTCTCTTGGCACCGTGACCCTGCATGCTGACGTGGGCGTTCAAGTGGTTGAGGGTACCGTAGGCTTTTTCACAGCCCTGGTACCCACACTTGTACAGACGTTCGATTTCGTCGTAACGTCTTCGGGGACGCTTCTGCTGAGTAGCACCGGGGAGGGAAACGAAGGAGTAGACATGGGGTTGCTGGGGCTGTTGGGGTGCAACACCGTTTTGGGATCCTGGTGGACCTGAGCCATAATTCGCGCGAGGGTCGTAATGAGGGTCGGAAGACTTACGGGAAGTAGCGCCTGATTGATCGGGCGTTGGGAGTCCTTGACCTCCAGGGAGCAAAACTGGCTGCGCAACAGTTTGCGGGGAACCGTACGCGTTCGCCTGGGCCGCGTGAGGCCAATTGGGCCATTGAGCGGCAAAGTTGCGCTCAGCCGTGCCGTTCTGGTCGTAGAGGGAGCGCTGGAACGCGTACGCGTCGGGAGTCGCGGTCTGATGCATGGACGAGAGTTCGGGTGTATGCGTCGCGCTGTATCCAAGGTGGCTGCCGGCGATGACCTGCTGAGGGGTGGTCGCGCCGCTGTACTGAGGATAGTGGAAACCTACTTGTTCTGCTTGACGGTGAGTAGGAAGACCTCCGGGAACAGTGGTTGGCGACGCGTGAGCGGAGTTGGCACGGGAGATGTTGTTGGAGTTGGCGGCAGAGTGATGCGCGCTGTAAGGATCAGGTGAGGCCGTCTTCGAAGCCATAGAGTGCATGGGACCTAAAGCGCGAGAGAGTGAAGGGAGGGACTCGTCGTGATCGTTGTCCTGGGCGTTGTGGTGGGAGTGAGCTGCAGCTGATCCAGGAGGCGCGTAGGTGTCAGCCGATTGTCCGTAATTGGAGCCGGCAGGGTCGTATTGGTAACGCGACGGCCAGTGGCCAGAGGCGTTGTCGTGAGTAGCAGCAGTTCCGTTCGAAGTACCAGGAGCAGACGCGCCGTTGCTATATGCTGAAGCAGGGCGTGAGTAGTCGTAGGCGTTCGACTGGTCGTTGCTCATGGTCTAGCGGGAGGACGAGAGAAGGGAGTCGCGTAAAGAACTGGACGAGGAAGACAGACGAACGGAGGAGCTCAAGAGGACTGTCAAGCTATCACTATTCTTCTGATCGTACTCGAGGAGCTCTTGGAGGTTGGATGACGCGCCGTAGACTTTTTAGCGTTCGGGACGACTTGGTGTAGGAGATGGTCTTGTTGAGTTGCAGGGGGGCGGCAGCGCAGTCAAGTCGTGAGTGTACCCTGAGAATGTGCGAAAATTTACCGCGTCAGCCAGTCAGAATACACGGGGTGCGGTCGGTGCGTGGCTGCTTACCCTGATCGAGCGACGTCAACGGTGGATTATATGACCTCTCCTACGAATTATAAGTCTCGTTCTCCGGCAGTTCGCAGGCAACGTTGTTCGCGCTCCACTTACTGGACTTCGTTTCGCACTCGTTTCGCACTTGTTCGCCCTTTTAGCGGAAAATTTCAACGAGTGGCGCAGTGTCCGCAATCCCGACGTGCTGAGACGATGGCCATTCTTGAACGTTTGCATTGCTTGGTGTTCGGCAGTCTACTTCAGTCCGCCTTCAATCATATCTGGCGTGGCACTTTCGGTGATGACGTGGACGGTCTCGTCGATACCGCAGAAGGGCAGCTCCGACCTCGAGCGCGAGCACTGTTGCAGCCCATGGCCATTGAGAGAACTCTTCGATGAGAGGGAGAGGACTGCGTTTCTACGAGCTTGTAACGAAGACACTCTTCTAATTTTCGAGCTTGTCTCGATCTAAGCTTAAGCTGAACCTTATCCTTAGTGATCTGTGTTGCAGTAGTTCGCAAGGCCACACTGCCCGCTACCGTACAAGTCCAAGTCCAAGTTCCACCCAAGTGGGGCACCAAGACCATCGTAAGCACCTAAACAGACCATCACGCATTTAACGGCCGCCCGCGATCTCTTGAAGAAATGGTCTATTCAGTCTTGGTATCATTCATCCTATCGTACACTGCGCTTTCCTTCAACTCGCCCGGACTTTTAAGATGTATGCCGCCCTTAGATATCCAACGCCAACTTCATCCGCTCGTACACGAAGAAACTGCAACTAACCATAGGAATAACCTTGACGTACCCAATGCTCAACCCGATAAAGAATCCTCTCATTCCCTTTGCTTGCCATATCGTTCTCGCCGTCTCTGAGAATCCGATTACTCGGCCGTCACCGACTGCTCCGCCCACTTGCATGCGTCTGCGGATGACCTCGAGTGGGTAAGATGCTGTTTGTGACAGCATACCCGCCAACCCACCTGCTGTCAGCTCCGCCCACACCGTGAGTGGCGGTCTCCGTCGCCGCGGAGAGTCGGCCGGGAGATCATCCCGCAATGGCAGCACCGTATACTGGCACAAATTTGGCGACCGGAAAACGTCCCCTATCATATCATGCGTCCAGAACGAAACTCCAGCATACGGTAGCATGCCCGCAATCGTCGGTGCAAAGCCCCGGTAAAAGTTGGCAATACCCGTCAATGGTCTCGTTACAGGTACCACCGCAGTCTCCGCCTTTGCGGCCTGCGCAAGTTCAGCCTGTACGATCGTCTCTCCCGCCGGGTGCAACGTAGTCCCCGCAACAGCCCCACCCTTCCTCTTCGGCAATATCGAAAAGTGATCCCGCTCATGGTAAATCTCCCGACATATCCGCGAAAAACTCGTCGGATGATCAGCCCTCGTCTCAAACGCGAGCCGTACACGAATAACCTCCAAAGGGTACGTAAACAACACACTCGTCACACCGGCCATGGATCCAGCCATGAACCTTCTCCAACCGATCTCGTGTTCCCGTTTTCGGATGAGGACGGCTCGGAATTGTTCGTAGGCTACGAATTTGATGGCTGCGTAAGGAAAAATCCGGAGGAGTGTTGCGCTGTGGCCTTGGAATAGGCCGAGGATTCCATTTTGCTTGTACAGTGCTCCTGCTGCTTCGAAGACGCCTGTCCACCGACCAGTATACCGCTGAAAATCGGGATTGGACGTCTGGTACAGAATCTTGACTCGATCCAGAGGTGCAATCAGTGTTTTTGCCTGCCCAACAATTAGTCAGCATGTCAACTGAGCCAACTCCGAGGATTATACGCTTACCGCACACCCCGCCAACCCTCCAGCCAACCCACTCCGCAAGACATAATCCAAACTAGCAGTATCATGCCTCTTCCTCACCACCGGCTTCCTCGGCGTTATGGCCTCCTCGTCGGTCGGACACACCGGCGGTGCTCCCTCTTGTCGCTTGGGAATTGCTATTGATCGCTGTATTGGCGGAGAAGGTAAAACTTCATCATGATGCGGCATAGGCATCTACCGCAGCTTGAATGCGATTGTCGTAAGCAATATGGCGGGGTGTATGCTGGTCAATTGGTCTACCGTCGAGGGTATATGCTCCCTTCAATGGCCCTCTTGTGTCGTCAATTCCGTTTCGGCAGTTTCTGCGCCTCACCTGCGGGGTTATATGTGATCGCCACACTAGCCATTCCTCCGGCCAAACCTGTACACTCGTAGGAATCTTGAAGTCTTTGTATAAGAATGCTAGTAAACTCCCTGCGACAAAAACTGGAACTGATCATACAACCTCGACCACACACTATTCGCCGACTTCGTAACCAATCCCTCCACGAAATCATCAACTTCCGCCTCCGACAAATGCAACACAAACCTCTGTCTCAATGCAGCACTCGTCGCTGGTCCATTGATACATGCCATATGCGAATTCCTCTGCATCATCTCGACCATGCTAACGAAATCATCTGCGCGCTTTCGTAATGCTTTGAATGCGCTCTTCATGCACTGTACAAACTTTTTGTAGGCATCGCTTGTGGGGCCTTCGAGTATGTCGATGTATTCTTGGGTGAATTTGAATGGGGCGGCTTCGAAGCCGACGTTGCCTGGTGAGCTTCCGAGCATGAAACCGAAATCGATGTGAATGACGTGACCTTCGTTGTCGCATAGGATATTGCCGTTATGTCGGTCTTTGAGTTGGAGGATGTAGCTGATGACAGAGTACGCCGCAAGACTCTTCAAGAACGCATCCTGCGCAGCGACATACGTCTCCGTCCCCGGCTCCCCAAACGTCTTGACATAATGATCCTTCAAGGAAATAACCTTACCTGGCTGTGTCGCAGCCGCAACCGTCGCAAGCGTCTTCTTAATTGAATGAACACTGATCGCATTCGTCACCGTCTCGATCAACCCGCCATCATTCCCAGTCACCATGATCCGCATCTTCCGTACCCATGCGTCCACCTTTGCATCCTGCCAAATCCTCTGACATGCTTCAATCAACTGACACGCGAACGCTTCCTGTCGTAAATCCGCTCCAGTCTTGACAATAACACTGAACACATCCCAGTTAGGTAGGTGTCCATACGGACTCGCAGCCCTAATCCTCTCCTTCTTCTTTGTCCAGTCTTCACCGAAAAGAGCGGCACTTGGGTCTTCCTTCGTGATTTGCTTGGCGACGCCGGCACCACCTTGTTTGTTCAGATCGTTCTCGAGTCGACCACCATCCGCAACGACGAGTGATGCTTCCATACCCTCGGGAAAGAGACTCTCCATCTCGGCTACGATCTTGGCTTTGATAGCTGCTGTCTCCGCTTTAGGTCTTTTGCCTCCACCCGCATCAAGTTGTGAAAGCATTGTGGCAGCAGCTCTCATCCGCGTCGCTATCGATGATAGATTCATGGCATCCGCCGGTCGATCATCACTAAGCGCGTACGTCCCAAGAGATGCCCGACTCAGCGACGTCGTTGACGACTTGGCCGACACAGGATCAAAAATGTCTGCAGCAGAATACGACCGATCCCGAGATGGTCCACCACTCAACACATTCCTAAACATCGCCTCACGCGCAGCTTCAGTCTGGTGTAACGGCGAAATTCCTATATCCCCGTAATCGGATTCAATAGGCTCGTTGCTCACCTCCATCACAGATGTATCAACCGCGGACTTCAAGAGATCGTCATCATTCAACTGTGACAAATCAAATAACCTCCGTCGATTTTGTCCGCCGTTCTGCATGATCTTTTGTACCTCTTTTCTGTTCTTCGCCGAGCTCCCATCGAAATCCATGTCTTCTTCCAGTACTTCGACCGTGATCAGGAACGGTACACGTTCAGCACTATTCAACACCGTTGCTTCGGCAGGATTAATCCGGACGACTCGATGATGCACAGGCGACGCCGGCGTTGCACTGCACATACACGGAATGCAAACCATCGCTGGCAGGTCCGTGTTAATCAAAGCCAACTCTGTCCGCAGTGCACTCAATCTAGCAGATTTGGGTACGGGCACCAGCTTGGCAGAGATGTTCTGCAAGGCGAGGAGGAGTTGGTTCTCAGACCGGAAATACTCGGAGTAGAGGATGCCTTCGAAATGGGCTTGGTTTTTCTTGTGGTTTGATAATGATGTCGAGGATGACGATCGCATGGAGGCATACGACAAGCTGCGGTTGACGTTAGGGGAAGACGAAGATGCAGCTGCATGGCGCAATGGCGGCCGTAGCGATGACCATGGTTTTCTTGGTGAAGAAAAGTCGAGTTCGTCCCCAACAATCGGTGAATGCGCCCGACTTGACGGAGACGACATCCTCGCCGGTGCAGTCGGCGCATGCTGTATCTGCGTGATCCTATCTTCACCCCACGGTGTCGTGTCCCTAGCCTGCATCATGGCGGGTGGTCCACCCAAACCAGGTAACACTGGCATACCGACCGCTCCCATCATAAGCCCGGCGAGGAAAGATGCGGGTAGCGGGTGTTCCTTGATCTTCTCCTTCTTGGTTGAAGTCGGTGGTGCGGCATCTCGGAACACGATCGTCTGAACTGTATTGAATATTCTTCGGCACCGTCGGAAAGATGGGGTATTAGGCATCAACGCCAGATCAATAAGATGCGCTTGCAACAACCAAAACGTCTGTTCATTCGATCAGCATACATCCGCACCAAACCCCCTGTACTACGCACCGACAACGCGAAATGCACGGACCGCTCACACAGATCAACGATAAAGTCCTCCAAAGCATGAATATCCGCATCCTCCGAGATCAACAGATGACACAACTGCGGAAGAAAGAACTCGATCTCCTCATTATTGAAGCCTCGTAAGCGAGTACAGAGGTAGTATGCGATACCCGGGCTCGTCGCATAGCGGGACAGATAGGCAACGCAGAGGAATGAGTTGAAGTGAGTGCTTTGGAAGAAGCGGAGGAGGAGAGCTGGTGGAGTGTTAGCATTGATCCTGTCCTTTAAAAGGGGGAGTGTGTTGGCTTGCCTGAGCTCATGGCATCTCCTCGTCTCGTCTCTGTTGACGTCTTCCGCTTTCGACGCAGACAACCACGGCCGTACGCCGCCATGCAGGTGGGCCGCTTCAGTCACCCGTTGCAGTTCACGTGCACGCGTCGACTTGGTTCCCCACCCCCACCCTCAATTGCAACCTCCTCCGCCCGCGGTTAACCTAAGCGCAACCCCAGCCCGAGTTAAACGCCATAAGCGCAACCCCAGCCAGCCCGAGTTAAGCGCCGACCTCGATGATGTCGGTGGATGACTTCCTCCATCCCCCTCTCTCATTTCTCTTCAGATCTTACGATTACCCCACAGTTGTTGATCCCAGTTAACGACAGCTGATCTCATCTCCCAACTTTATACACTCACAGATCCTTGTCGCTTGAGTTGTCAATGTGCGGGCGGCAAGTTTGGGAGATGATCGGCGAGTTTGAACTTGGCGGTTAAAGGTTGTTCCCCATGCCCGACACGCTAAGTGAACCCGTGGATCCCCTCTCTCATTTCTCTTCAGATTTGACCTGGGACGAGTGTGTTGTTGGGGTGAATGCTGTTGTTGTCACTCTCCTCCTCTTTACTTTTCTTTCTCTCCGCTTTCTCTCCTCTTTACTTCTCTTCCGCTTCCTCTCCGCTTTCACTTTCTCTTTCTCTTTCTCTTTCTCTTTCGCTTTCGCTTTCGCTTTCACGTTTCTAGGTTCAGCGCTTGCGGATCCCGCGCCTATACCCAGACAGCCACATCCGGAGAAAGTTTACTGAAACGACAGACCACTGTAACATCCAACCCCAAGCCTTACCCCATCCATGCTCCTCCCCATGGGGATGTAGCCAGTAGCTTAATCTTAAGTTCTCTATATAAACCCTCCTCCCTCCCTCCCACCTTCCTCCTCAGATCACTCGTCAAGAGAATCATTCTCAGTATGGACTACAACGGCAAAGCGATCGCCGAACACCACGAAGGTGCGGTGCCAACAACCGAACAAACCCACGTCAACCTCAACTCCAATGTCTCCGGCAAGATCGCAAACCCCCTCGCCGGAATCCCCAAGGCCGAACTCCTCCGCCAAGTCGAGCGTTTCGCCGAAGAGCAAAACATGACCGACATCGCACCCCTCCTTCAAAAGGGTGCCCTCGTCGCACAGAACCCGCCCGCGTTCGAGGAGATTGCGGAGTTGGAGGAGTTTGAGCGTGAGGCGTTGAGGAATGAGACGTTGCACAAGTGGAGGCAGCCGAGGGCGTTGTATTATACGATTGTGATGTGTTCGTTGGGCGCCGCTGTTCAGGGGTGGGATCAGACTGGTAGTAATGGTGCGAACTTGTCTTTCCCTAAAGAGTTTGGGATTGCTGCACCCGTCGGATCGCCCAACCACGACCGCGACAACTGGATCGTTGGTCTCGTCAATGCCGCTCCTTATATCGCTTCTGCTTTCTGTGGTTGTTGGTTGAGTGACCCTCTCAACTTCTACTTTGGTCGTCGCGGAACAATCTTCTTCTCCGCTATCTTCTGTTTGTTGTCGGTCATCGGATGTGCATTCACCCAAAACTGGGTCGAACTCTTCATCTGTCGTCTCCTCCTCGGTATCGGTATGGGCTCCAAGGCTTCCACCGTCCCCATCTTCGCCGCTGAGAATTCCCCCGCTGCTATCCGTGGTGGATTGGTCATGTCATGGCAAATGTGGACGGCTTTCGGTATCTTCCTCGGATTCTGCGCAAACCTCGCTCTCTACTCCGTTGGACCCCTCGCTTGGCGTTTGGAGTTGGGATCTGCGTTCCTTCCTGCGCTTCCGCTCGCTATCGGTGTATACTTTTGCCCAGAGTCGCCTCGTTGGTACATGAAGAAGAACAGATACCGCGAGGCCTTCAAGTCTCTCTGCAGGCTCCGCAACACCGAGCTCCAGGCCGCTCGTGATCTGTACTACATCCACGTCCAGCTTATCGAGGAGCAGGCTATCATCGGAAAGTCGAACTACGTCACCCGCTTTATCCAGCTCTTCACCATCCCGCGTGTTCGTCGCGCGACTCTCGCTTCGTTCACGGTCATGATTGCGCAACAGATGTGCGGTATCAACATCATCGCTTTCTACTCCTCCACTATCTTCGTCGAGGCTGGTGCGTCGTCCAAGAGCGCTCTTCTTGCGTCTTGGGGTTTCGGATTGGTCAACTTCCTCTTTGCCATCCCCGCCATCCGTACCATCGATTCGTTCGGTCGTCGTTCCCTCCTCCTCTTCACTTTCCCTCAGATGGCCTGGACTCTCTTGGCCGCCGGTCTCTGCTTTCTCATCCCCGGCTCGAGCGCCGCCCACCTCGGTCTCGTCGCCTTGTTCATCTTCTTGTTCGCCGCGTTCTACTCCCCTGGAGAGGGACCCGTCCCATTCACCTACTCAGCCGAAGTCTTCCCCTTGTCTCACCGTGAAGTCGGTATGTCCTGGGCTGTCTCGACTTGTTTGTTCTGGGCGGCCGTCTTGTCCCTTACTTTCCCACGCATGCTTTCCGCGTTCGGCACCACCGGAAGTTTCATCTTCTACGCCGGCCTGAACGTCTGTGCTTTCTGCCTCATTTTCTGTTTCGTTCCGGAGACTAAGCAGCGCACCCTCGAGGAACTCGACTACGTCTTTGCCGTTCCCACTGGCAAGCACGTCCACTACCAGTTCACTAAGGCTTTGCCCTACTTCATCCGTCGCTGGGTCTTTTTTGACAAGAGTGCACAGCTTGAGCCTCTTTACCACTTTGATGCTACGCTTGCGACGAACCAGGACAAGGCTCGTGAGGAGTACGAGCTGGAGTCCCGTACCACTGGAAAATATTAAAACTCAGGGTTCTGGCTTTGGACTGGTACGCGTATAATGAAGCTCAAGATTGATATGTTGTTGGTTGGGACGGGTTAGTTGGATAATTTTTGGAAATCTTTGGATGCGAAAGGTGTTAGTTTGTACGTTATTGCTACTGTAGTCTGCGTTAATATGATATTGTTATTGTCACACATTTTCACTGTTCGCTCACAAAACATGACGAAGTTTAGGAGAATCTCGTTATATTCACTCCGGGTATACATGGTATCTCCTCAAACTCCTCACTCTTCATCATCGACAGCATCATGCCCAGCGCCTGAGAACCAATCCAGTCGTAACAGCAATCGGTCCGTCAGTCCCATATCCATCATAGCTTCCCATTCTTCCTCCTCGGTACCCACGCCGTTCGCAACCATACCCGCAGATTCCAGCTCACCCACGAACTCCGAACATTCCTTTTTGAACCTCCCAAGTGCCTCGATATCTTCGACACCGTCTTCCTCGGACCAATGCACGACTCGTCCAGACAAGATCTCGCACTTGACATGGATCGACCGCAAAAGTTCTTGTGCACGCGGCATATGACCGAAGAATGCTCTGTTGAGCCTTCGCAGATATTTGGTGTGTCGCAGGCGAACAGTCTCTGGATCACTTTGCTCCTCAATATTGATGAACTCGTCATAAAGCGGGTTGATCACGTCGTATTGCATCCACCCCCAGACTTCGCGCCAGAAGAAGGTTGCGTGCGCTATCAGGCCCCAGACAGCGAGTGGGACGTGTGTGCGTACCCGTCGTTGTTCATAGAGAGCTTGCAGACGGCGCAGTGTTTGTACGATAGAGGCGAGAAAGGAGAACAAGGATCCGTAGATTACAATGTCCGATGTAGTGAGGAACAGAGAGAGGGGAAATGGGGGACGCAAGGTCAAGCTTGCTGGATGTCCAATCAAGAAGTCTGAGAATGAGGTCGAAGACGGGTCGATGTTGAGAACCTCCAGGGAAAGATGCTCCTCCAGGTTCACCGCTCGAGCACCTGATGGCATCTCGATATCTGCGTCGGATGCATCAACACCTTCGTCCTCCTCAATCTCATCATCATCATCAAGACCCGCTCTCATAGCAACCATCGCCCTCTTCAGTACGGCACTTACTTCACCTTGCCGGATGACACCGTTTCCCATACCCCTTAATCTTCTCTTCTTGAACTTCTCACATTCATCCATCAGAGCTACCATGAATTTGCCATCTCCCAAAAGCATGAACTTCCGTAGAAACCCAATTGCGGAGATGATGGTTCGTGAAGGGAGGAGACGTCGGAGCAGGCGATTGGATATGGATGCTCGCACTGCCGCAATCGTCGAGTCGATGGTTGACGGCTGTATCGAAGGTTCAATCGCTCGCAGGAGCGCAGAGTGCGCATGCAGGATCTCCGAACCCGAGTTTGTCAGATGCGATGATGTCCGCACCAAGGCGAACCCTATGAACAGTACTGAATCCGCAGTGTCCTTTGACAAGAACCACGGAATCAACTTCTCATCAGCGGCGTACCTCTCTTCAAGATCCTGCTTCTCGTCTTCCTTCACAAATAAATCTCGAGAACCCAGGTTGGAGACTTTCCCATAAAGCACCCACGTCATCAAAAACTTCAGCCAGACCTGCTCAGCAACCACCAAAAACTTATTGCTCAACTGCCGCAGTTCAGGGAACCCTGTTCTGGTATCTCCCTTGAGACGATTCAACACTTCCACCCCAGTTCGTTCCGGAAGGCTGATGAATGTCGCCAATTCCTCAACATATGCAAGTATTCTATCCCACCCCGAAAACCATGTCGCAAGCTTTGCCAAGGGTACAATATCATACCCGCCCACCAATTCGACATCCCGGCTAAGAATCGCTTTCTCACAATCCACCACTCTTTGCTGAAACAGCTTCAGTTGACCATCAATCGCGGACGCTACCGCGCGAACAATCGTACTGGGATGTGACGAAATAGACGATTTGATGGCATCTCGTGTCCGTCGATGGAGATGTGCGAGGTGCGCAAGGGAGTTGAGCAGGGCACGTTCGGAAGGGTGAACGTTCGGGAACGTAGGGCTGAGTGTAGTTGTGGTTGGTGTCTCGATGAAGATGGAGGATGAATGGCAATTCAGAACGAGAAGGAGTTCGTGGAGCATGTCCGCATCGAAGTTTGACCGAGGAGCGATTTCAGAGCGTCGCAGTGTAACGTTGACAGTAGACGCGTCGAGGCACGTGACGATAACAATGAGGTCGCGTCTGGAGAACTTCGGCAGATGGACAGAGAGCAAGGGAGAAGCACGGGATACGATTGAACGAAGCAGGAATAAGTGAAAAAGAATTCAAATTATCATTATCATTAGGGGAGCACAAGCAGATCACGTAGGAGTCCTACAGGCGCACCGACAAGTCAGCACGCCGTCCCTTGCAAAGAAACGCATTGCACGTTGCATCCGGAGAGCCCGAGATCAGCAGCCTGTCTTTACCCTCCCAAACCACCGACGATCCACCGCCACTGCCCCTCAAGACGATTGACAATGGGTAGACGGAAAGTCATTCCTCGACCTGGCATGACACCTGCGTCATCTCTTTCCCACTCCGACCTATCCGCGCTGCACCACCGAAATGGCCGGGACGGAGGAAGATTGGAGGGTAATCGGGACGAACACGGAAGAGTGGGTTTGATTGTCGTAGAATGGATTGACTAGTTGTCATCACATAACGAGGCTCGTCCGCGATACAACGAGCGATACAAGGAAGAATGTACCTTGAAAGAACTTTTTGCACATCGTTAGCACTGGCCAACAAAATGTAAGATAGCGAAGCCTCGCGATGACAAGCCTGACTGCGAAGAATGGTTCGGTCAGACAATTTGAGTTTCTTTGGTATGGGGTATCTTCAGCTTGTGTTACAGAAGCAGAACTGATAGTTAAGTTTATCATCAAGTAAACCATTCTTCGCGTCGGCTGTTCATGTTAAGACTTTGCGGAGAAGAGTAGACTCACGTTCACGATTGGTCGGAAAAGTCAAGAAGTCACAGGGACACTATCTTGACATGCCGTTAGCCGCTGCTGCGTAAGGCAGACGACATCCGTTGAAATCGCAGAAGCCGAAAACGAGATGCTCAGTTGGTAGTGCATGTTTTCGAAGGCACACGAATGGTTCGCCGCGAAAGGTATGGATAACTCTCATCAAGGCGACACATTCCCGGCTTTGCGATTCAAGAATGGATAATTGGTAACGAACCTGAACAACAGACGGATTAGCACTGTGTCACAACAACAAGCAAAAAGAGGCATCGCGAGTCGATCGAGAACGAAGATCAGAAACGAAGAATTCCTAAAGGTTTAAAACCAAGTGGTCCGCATGGTATCGCTCGGACAAAGTTTTCATCAACTCGGCGTCACCTCGATCGCAACTCAAGCTTCTGTTTCTTACCTTGTATTATTAGGTAGGTATATACAGGATAAGCATTGTTGGGTGGAGTTGCAAGAGAAGAGCCGCTTTGGAGGAAACTTGCGAAATTTATTCTGCCAGCGAAAACGTCAGCCACCAAGTCGCACGCTAACATCCACCCAGAGAGAGAGAGAGATAGAGAGAGACAGGCTATCTATAACTTGGAATGCCATTGAAGGCGGACTTTTGCCTTTCAGCTCGCAAGGGATCTGCCGTCATCGGAATCGAGAGGCGACCCCGTGACTTCACATGGGCACATGCAGCCGCTGCAGCCGATACACCGTCGCGGTAACAGGTCGGTCGTAGAAGACATGACATCCTCCAACATTGATCTGTACCTAATCGTGAGTTGTCAGCTTGATCTTGCAGCAATTCCACTTACAAACAATCGAATAGTCCCTTCTCGACGAACCATACGAGCAGGAGTTACTACGAAACCCATATTCCCTGAAATCATGGCAGCGATACATCAACCACAAATCACGAGCGCCGCTGCCTGAACGAGTCTTCGTCTACGAGCGCGCATGTCTCGATCTGCCAGGCTCATACAAGCTGTGGAAGGAATATCTGGAGTTACGTGTGCGACACCTGAGCGCCATCAATCCTGCGCGATATGCCGATGAATTCGAGAAGGTCAATGATGCGTTCGAAAAGTCGCTGGTGTTGTTGAACAAGATGCCGAGGATTTGGGAAATGTATTTGGAGTTCTTGATGTCACAGCCTCTCATCACGCGGACGCGACGTACATTCGACAAGGCTCTGCGGGCACTGCCGTTGACGCAGCACGAGAGGATCTGGAAGATGTATCTACCATGGGCGAAGAGTGCGGGTGGGGAGACTGCGATGCGGGTATGGAAGCGATACATGCAGATTGCGCCGGAGCAAGTGGAGTCCTACATCGACGTGCTCATCGAAAACGAGTACTTTGGCTTGGCGGCAAAGGAGTATCTCAAGGTTTTGAATAACACCAAGTTTAGGTCGTTGGAGGGTAAGTCGCATTTCCAGCTGTGGACCGAAATGTGCGATATTCTTGTACATCACCCAAGGTCTATCCCTGCCGAGATCAATGTCGAGAAGATCATCCGTTCGGGTATTCAGAAGTTTACTGATCAGCGTGGAAAGTTGTGGACGTCGCTGGCCACCTATTTCATCTCGCTCGGTGACTTTGAGCGGGCACGGGATATCTTTGAGGAGGGCATCACCACTGTCATCACTGTTAGGGATTTCACGCAAGTGTTCGATGCATACGCAGAATACGAAGAGTCTTTGATCGCGGAGAAGATGCAAGATGCTGAAGAAGGAAACACGACACCTGAAGATGACCTCGATCTCGACATCCGGATGGCGAGGTTCGAGCAGCTCATGGATCGTCGTCCATTCTTGGTGAACGACGTTCTGCTGCGACAAAACCCTCATAATACAGAGGAATGGCAGAAGCGCGTAAGTCTATGGGCTAATAACCCAGAGATGGTGGTCAAGACATACACCGACGCGTTAGCTACCATCCACCATAAGAAAGCGACCGGAAAACTCGCGCAAATATGGGTCAACTTTGCGAAGTTCTACGAGGAGGGAGGACGGATGACTGAGGCACGGCAAATTCTGGAGAAGTCTACGAACGTCACATACAAAACTGTAAATGAGCTTGCTGATATCTGGATTGAGTGGGCAGAGATGGAGCTAAGGCAGGATGAGGCTGACAGGGCGTTCGCAGTAATGAAGAAGGCTACAGAAGGACCGCGGAAGTCGACCGTTGACTTCAACGACGACACTCTGACACCACAGGCAAGATTGCACAAATGCATGAAGTTGTGGTCCTTCTACGTGGATCTCGAGGAGGGTTTGGGAACGGTGGAGACCACAAAGGCTGTATACGATCGCATTATGGAACTGCGCATTGCGACGGCCCAGATTATTGTCAACTATGCGAACTTCTTGGAGGAGAACGAGTACTTTGAGGAGAGCTTCAAGGTTTACGAGAGAGGTGTGGATGTATTCACATACCCCATCGCCTTCGAACTGTGGAACCTCTATCTTTCCAAGTTCATCAAACGATATGGCGGAACGCAACTGGAGCGTGCTCGTGATCTCTTCGAGCAAGCATTAGAGAACTGCCCGCCGAAGTTCGCGAAGCCAATCTTCCTCCTGTACGCAGACCTCGAGGAGCAACACGGTCTTGCACGACATGTGATGCGGATCTACGACAGAGCAGCTTCTGCCGTCGCCGAGGAGGACCGCAAAGACATCTACGACCTCTACATCGCCAAATCAGTCTCGCAATTTGGTCTCACCTCCGCCCGTCCCATCTACGAACGTGCCATTGCCGCACTACCAGATGCAGAAGCGAGAGACATGGCAATTGACTTTGCCGATATGGAACGGAGATTGGGCGAGATTGACCGTGCGAGAGTTATTTTGGCGCATGCAAGTCAGTTCTGTGATCCCCGGACGCAGCCTTCGTTTTGGCAGAAGTGGCATGATTTCGAAGTCAAGCATGGGAATGAGGATACGTTTAAGGAAATGTTGCGGATTAAGAGGACGGTGCAGGCACAATACAAGTAAGCCACTCACCCACTTGCTCATGGAGTTTACTAACAGATCTGTAGTACCGACATCAACTATATTGCAGCTACTGCAGCAACTGGGACTTCTCCCACAGAAAGAGAAGACGCTATGGCGGCGTTGGAGAGAGAGGCACAGGCGCCAGTGGGATTCGTCGCTTCGTCTACTGGGCCCGTTGGCGGGACGTTGAAGCGGAAGGCTGAGGATGAGGGGCCTGAGACGACGGATGCGCCGGCGAATGTGGATGAGATTATGATGGACGATGACGATATCTAGAGATCAAATTCGCAGAATGACAGACTCTGTACCATCATGTTGCCCTTCCGCACCGGTACAAACCCGACACCCGGTACACTCCCGGAAGGGTTCTATGGCCGAGGTACAATGAAATTCAAATGTAAATTCCATAGTAATCCGAGTTGAGATAGCAGGGTGATTTGGAGAGGATGACCTAATGTCGCACTCTGATTGGTGACTCGGCATAGTAGGCGCGTCGGTGGTATCGATAACGAACCTTAAGCATTCACCTCCCCGAAGCAGAGCTCTGGAGCGTAACCGTTCATACTTGGCCCTTGGCAGGAGGAATGCTCTGCTAACCTCCACCGTATACCATACTTGCAGAGATCAACAACCAGATCGGACACGTACGCTACTTCAGGTCAACGTCGTATGTCGACTCATCCGCATAACGAAGCTGCACCGTCGCAGTCTCTTCAGTCGACTGCTTCTGCTGGTGCATCTCCGGCTCCCAGTCATGCGGTAGCAGCATCCTCAGACGGCAGTATTCCGCATGTTGCCGGACAAGTGTGCAGGTATGCCAAGGTGTCGCACTGTTATTGTTGGCATATACTTACGTATTTCCTTAGCAACTGTGGAACTACACAAACACCTCTATGGAGAAGATCACCGGAGGGCGCAACGATCTGTAACGCGTGTGGATTGTACTACAAGTCACGAAACGCCATTCGTCCAGTGCACCTGAAACGGCCAGCACCTACTACCACCCCACCAGTTGTACCGCCACCAACAGCATCAGGGTGTGCGGGAACATGCCCTGGAGACGGGCACTGTAACGGTACGGGTGGAGCACGAGGGTGCAGTGGATGTCCGGCGTTCAATAACCGTGTCGCAAAAGCAGCTCAAGCCGCAGCAGCGGCCGCGGCGGCCGCTGCCACAGCAGCAGTTGGACAAGGGAATAATCCTACAGGAGTGAAACCACCTGATCCGGATCCAGCATCACTCATAATGGCATGCCAAAATTGCGGTACCACAACAACTCCTCTCTGGCGAAGAGATGAAGGCGGCAATACTATTTGTAACGCTTGTGGATTATATTACAAATTACACGGTGTACATCGTCCAGTAACGATGAAGAAAGCTACCATCAAGCGTCGGAAGCGCGTCGTGCCGCCCGCCACCGGAGGTGCCAGCGAAGCCGGAACACCCATGGCAAGATCAGGATCCTTTTCGTCAAAGCAGTCTCCCATGGCACATCATGTATCGGCTAACCAGCTTCAGCATGCTGGATCATTGTCAGGCAAGAGTGATACAGATGGTAGCGAAGATGGAGAGGTCGATGTGCGAGGAAATGACGCAAAGCGTCAAAAGTTGAGCCTACCACTCCCACATCCAAGTTTTGGAGCAGACTCGGGGAGATCGCCTCAACCGATTGATTTCACAGCTGCGTATTCCAGACAGCCCGATGCTCCTCTTCATCAGGGACCTCCGCCTTCATCTCACCCGAGAGATGCGAGTGTGTCACGAACGCTACCTCCACTCAACTTTTACGCGGAAGCTGTGCCGTTGCCCAGGAGGAACCAAAGCGAGGGCAATCAGTCAAAAGTTCAGAGCATCAGGTCACTGTTGAACCCATCAGCGGCAGCAGCGACTCCTCAAGGACAAATGACTCCACAGCCGCAACATCCAGCACCGATGGGTACGCCTTCCCCAGTAGCGCATTCTCATCTTCATGCCATGTCTCGCTCACCGAATGGTCTTCTCCCTCCTGGTATGCTACCATCGCTTACCAAACCTCCGGGCCCTGATCACATCGTTGCAGACTTTAGCATCCCACCGGGTATCGAAAACGACCCCGTGCAACTGGAAGCATACCTAGTGGCGAAGAGAGACGAAGCGTATCACGAGTATCAGGACTATCAGAGTAGGATGAAGAGGGCGCAGATATATTTGGATGTCTACTCGGCGAGGTTAGATAGGTTTCGTCGGGAGCAGAGATAGTGAGCAGTGCGGAATTGAGATGGCTCACTGATTGTACGTTCGTATGGGATGGTTTTGGAGTCTTCCTGAATAATATGGTAGTAACGATATTGATTTCTGGTTAAACAGGTTAAGGCTAGGCAGATAGATGGTAGTATGACCAAATGGTCAATTGATTTAGCAACTGAGAAATTTCCAACTCAATCGTAATTTCATGGTGCACGATACGCTGACAGTCTGATTCTCCTTGCCCGTTCTCAGTAGTTATAGATTCAGTACATCTACACATGTACTAGCGCTTTGGACGAGCGCCTGGCTTGTCGAAGTTCTCACGCAATAGGATGCTTCATGAACTACCGCTGAGTGCAGACTAGTTTTCAGTAGGCGCGCTTGCGAGGGAAAAATGACTGATTTCCAGGAAATCAAAGAGATCTTCATGGAAAAGGAGTTAGAGGACGAGCAAAATGTAGCGTATTATGGGGACAATGTAGCCCTATCTGATCTGTTACCCTCAAGGTCCATGATTGTGTTTTGGGAGAGTGATGAAGGAAAAGGTAGTTCGATAAACGTCGTGCATAACCTCGCATAGACGTGCATGATCGCAATCCGCAAAGAACTCTGAACCTGCTCCCTTTCTATGAGTAAGACGAGAGAGAGACTGTCAAATAGTGGGCAGGTAAAGATCATGCCATGCTAATTGATGCAATGCTTACCGCTCCATATGATTCCACATTGACGTTTTGCGAGTGGTTTTTGTAGGGCTTTTCAAACTGACTCTCGGCCGTGGCGGCTACTGAAAACTAGTCTGCACTCAGCGGTAATGAAAAGATGATACCTGACACGAGCCGTACAACAACATCAAAGGAATTTTGTATCTGACAGGATGACAACTTACAGCGCACTCCGGACGTAGCGACCTGTTTCATTACTACACGTTTAATTTTGTTTTTGCTAAAGTCTTTGTCTAATCTCCGCCAAAAGCCGCCTCTATCGCTGGAGGTGCATGTTCCACTTCAGCCTTTACCGGAGGACGAAAATTATGTTTGCGTCCAGTATTGTAAAGATCATGAAGAATCGTCTCAAGTACTCCTGCCTCCTCGTACTCCAGATACTTCTGATGAAGACGTAATGCGGTTCGTGCATCCTCAATGGAGTCATGAGTATCTTGCTGAATCTCTTCATGAAGGATGTACCAGGCGAGGAATCGCAGAGAAAGTTTTCTATGTCTGCTCTTCAGGTAGAAGAGATCGACTGTGTCGATGATCTGCTCTTTCGGGATGATAATGTTGATGATTCGCAAATCCTTCGCCAGTCCATGTCCAAGGAACTTGCAACCAAGGTTTACTAGCAACCGCAACTTCTTGTACGCCATCTTCAACGGAAGCAAGGTGTGCCGTGAAAGACCTACGTCAAGGTCACCTTGGCGAATACCCGAGAATTCAGTCAGGTAATCGATTACAGGCTCATCAGTCGCGATGTAGTCGTCGATGAATGGCACGGCTTCCTTCTCACCCTTTCCTCGGAGCACAGATACCCTAGCCAGACCCAAGACACTGGGTCTGATCGTCGACTTCGTACCATCACTGCGGACTTCTGTTTCCTCTTGTTGCATAGCAACGAACTCCGCATCTATAGCCGCAACGAAATCTGGGCCAGGTAGTTCTGAGGGATCCAAGATTTCTGCAGTGAAGTTACGGAAATCGCGTGCAGCAGCAATCGAGTAATCTTGGTACAGGATGCTCATGTCAGGCTTCGGTAGGTTCAAAGTAATCGCTTCTTCAACGTTGACTTGCTGATAACAGAGAACCGCCGGTACCTTCCATGCACCCGGGAAACCCAGTGCCTCCTCCTCACTCACATTCTTTACCAAGAAGTCATTGAAAAGATACCACGGGCTTTCGTTTCCAGTCTGCTCTGGGCTCAGATCGTTCGCAGGAATCTTGACAAGAGCGATCAAATGCGTGTCGTTCTTGTCAGCACGAATCTCCGTTACGATACTCGTAAGTTCGTAAATGTGCACGCGGCTGTCATTCGTCTTCTTTTCCAGATCTCTTCCGTGAATGCAGGTCACTCGATTGTTGATGAGGCTCAACCCGATACGAGGTGGTGGCCATGATTTTGACGCCCAACACTGCCATTGATCTGGCGTAAGCACGGCAGCGTTCAAGCTCAGCACTGGCGGCAAGTTGCGGACCAGCTTACGAGTACCGAGAAGCTGATACTGACGGCAGTTGTTGCACCACGCACGAGTTTGGCCTTCGCGATGGATGCTGGCTCGGAGAACCGACGAGAAGGAGGGAACCGGGGGTTCCCGGCGGTTCGTATGTGGCTTGGGATATATCAAGTCAAAGACCATGTTGGTGGAAGGCTTGACGGACTCTGAAGCACACGCAGTGCATCGCATCAGGGTCGTGATGTTCATACCCATAAGGTCTGCAGGAATGCTGGTAGCAGCCTTTGCGGTCACTGCTGCTTGCACATCCCCTGTCACCGGTTGCTGATCGGTCTCTCTCCCCTCCATATTGATCTGATCCAAGAAGAATCTGTTGAACGATTGGATCGTTGGTGCTCGAGATGCGATCTTGCCATCGATGCCGTCTTCACCGTCAAGCAACCCAAGCGCAGAGGCTTGCTTCATCGACTTCAGCGTCCGTAGGAAGTTGCTCGCATGACAATTCTGTCCCTTTGCGTCTTGCAGCATGTTGGACAAGAATCCCAGCTCGCAAAACATACACTTATGTCGAGAACAGCTCGCAGACATATGCGCAAGAGACATCCGTCGTAGATGTGGGATAAAGTGGTACATCTGAAGCAGAGCATTGCAATATGAATTCGGAATATGCGTTTCAAGGCCAGCAAAAGCTGTCTTGTTGTAAAACCTGTACAACAGGTCAGCAAGGTACTCATTCCTCGTTCGTACCTTATACATACCCGAAGTCAAAATCCTCAATACCAAACTTACTGTACTGGATTTCGACCTTACGATAGTACCGTGGTACGTTCGAAGGACCCAGTACATCGTCTTCCATATCCTCAAACGTGACACTCCCATCCGGTCCGGCCGAAAGTCCAAGCTTGTCTCGCTCACTTCTAAACCTAGGGCCGCGATTATTCGCACCACGCATCTTCTCAATATCTGGGTTCTTTTCGACTTGATTCCGAAGCTTCCGTCGTGGGTTCGGCGCATAACCGACAAAGTCAACTGTCTTCATAGTCGCAAGCACTTCGGGGTCGATTTGGGGTGACGGATTGCCAACTTCGAAAAGCATGGTTGCAGGCCAAGAAGATAGCAGCTCCTCGCGGTAATAGGACATCCCAATCATGTTCAGGGGACTGTCAGACGTTAACATCTCGGGTCGCAACCTAGGGAAGTGACGACTCACGTATCATCTTTGAACTCAACTTTTGGTGGAGTTACGACAGGATCAGGCCAATCCACAGGCGAAGCAAACTCCGAAAACGATGGCTCATCTGACGTGCCCCACAACTGCACAATGCCATCAGCATCAGCCAACGCAAATGCATCACCTGACGGCGAGAGGTCGACAGCTGAAATGAAGGATACTGTGGTGGCTTGTCGCAACTTGAGGTCGGACACGTTGTTCACGTCAGTGATGTGATACTGACCCATCTGTGCGGTGATGATCGCTGAAGGCAGCTTCGGGTGCATGCGGATAAAGGTCGGTCCAGCTGGGAATGGGATAGGCACCAGTGGTCTCATTGTGCGCAGGTCAAAGACTTTCACGATGGGATCCAACACGTACTGTCCATGCCTAAGGGAACATCGTCAGTTGTTGGCCGGTATTTCTGTTTCATGTACTCACCGTGCTGAGAAACCACAGGTCAATAGCAGATTTCCTTGTGTATCCATGTCCGTGATGGTCCCTGTATGCGCCGCGAAACGATGCTGTACCTTGAATGTCTTCGGATCCAGCAATGAAACCTCTCCCGTCGATGACCCTGCACAAATCATCCGCCCCCGTCTCATGACCGCAGTCTGCTCTGGTCCAGGTTCCTTGTAAATGTGAGTATGTGGTGGCAGTATGACACGGATGTATGTACCTTCTGAATAACCGTCCCTCTATCAATATTTACGACCAGCATGTCGTTCTGCATTCCGGCCACCAGGATTTCGGAGGCTCCTCGTCCGGTATATGTCATGCATTGAAGGTCTTGCACACTGTCATCGCTGTGAACAGCATTAGCCTCTGTCACTATATACATTGGAAACCGCATTTACTTTATGGTCCATCTCGCCATTCCCCTCCTGTTGGTCATCCGTATAGTGTCACCAACCGAGATGATCCCACGCTCGTTTGATAAGAGCTGCTTGACTGGTCCGCTGTGTGCCTTGAAGCTCGTGTATTTCCGTAGTTCGGGCCCGTATAACGAGAAGAGACGACCCTGCATACCCCGTTAACTCACGTCCTCCACTGAATGCAGCAATCCTGGCAAACATTCTCGTCACCTGCCCACACCAGGTCATGGTCCACATCAAAGGAGAGCGCTGAGATGGCAGGCTTTCGTGCCGGCGGCAGACCTATTGGATCGCCGGTTCGAGTGATCTATTGACCGAGTCAGCAAACCGTATGCCGCGGCGAAGGTGCCAGCGCTGCACTCACCTCCCTCCACTCATCCATTATGCTCCCTGTATGCTATATGCACCGGCGAAAAAGACAGGCGTCAAAGTCGGAGTGTCGAAACGCGTCAACAGAAAATCAGAGCCTCAAGTGGTACTCAGCTGCTTCTACAATGGCCGTCCGAAATGTTCAGGTGATGAGCGCGTACGAGCATCGGCTGCAGGCCAGCGTAGGCACACCGCGACCGACGCATATACTCACATACGCTGGGTTCATGGATTCAGGATGTTCGGTAAATTTGATTTTAATCTAGCTAGTGTTGGTCCAAGATTGCGCCGTCTCCGCTTTCTTCCGCAAGTGCCACTCTTTCAGGCTCGGGGTATCTTTCGCACAGTCCTTCGGGGTGTCCATCAACACTCATCTCCTTCTGGGTCCCATATCCAACCGATTACCTCGGCAGCAAGTCTCCGGCGTACGCAAACAACCCCTTATTCACCGCAATCGCCTCCATGATCTCCTTCTCAACCCCCACCATAACATTTGCAGCCCCCTTCGCCCTCGCAAGATTTCTCAACACAAGCGTCGCCGTAACACCCAACCCATCCTTCTTCGGCTTCCCTTCATTGATAATCAACTGACTTCGTAAGCCATGGTAGTTCTCTGTTTGTTCTGAGTCAGGCATGTGCGTGCGGACATGGAGCGCGACGGTCTTCATATCCCGGGGTTTGGCATGTAATTGTCGGCAGAGGTTCCAGTCACATGCCATTGTTGCGCCAGGAGTCTTATCGAGATGTGCATCCACGATGTGAGCGTAGAGCTCGTTCACTGTAGGGCAGATCATACCACAACCGTAGCCTGTAGCAGCATCCACTCCCCATTTACAGTCAAAGTATCTCTTGCCCTTGACACCAACAGGCGTCACGCGAGGCTTGATACCCTCAATGATGAACTTCGGACCCTCCTCTGTAGCTAACACTTTGGCCGGAGCCTTAGGGAACGCCGATTCAGAGACGGTTTTGATTAAATCCGCCGCCTGGAGGATTGGCTTTCCAATCGGAATGAACGGAGTAAAGAGCTGTTGATAGGTATTCCACAACATGATTTGAGTCACATTCTCCAACGGATCTTCCTCGAACGCCGAGTGCAACCACTTGATCGTTCTTTCAGGTTCATTGTACTGCATGAGCTCCGTCATCAGCTCAGCCGGTAATCTTGGCGGTTGGACGGGAGCCTTGTGCCGTGGCTCACCCCTCATCAGTACGGGGTAGACGTACTCCATCTCTTCCGTGTTTCTTCTCATCATGTCCACCAGTCTCTTCACCAGCTCGATTGCGTCCGGCCTGGTCATCATTGCCTGAGCGTTGATCTTGTAACTTGTCCACTGGTACATGAAATCCAAAATTGCCGCGTTCAGCTCTTCATCGTTGAGGATTAGCATCTGCAACAACCGGTTGATGGTCTTTTCTGGGATCTCCTGCAGCAGGATGTTGGTGTCATCCCCGATCGCTAACCTCACGAGCGTCCGCAAAGCAATGATGAGGAAGCTCCGATCATTCGTTTCCAGCAGCTTGCAGAAACCGATGTAGAACGCATCATTCTCATCTTCAACCCGGATATGAGGGCTAATTGCCTCCGCAATATCCAAGCAATAATGCTTCAACTCAACTAAATGGCTCGCCTCAGGAAGACCGATACCATGCTGTACACTCTCTCGAGTCCGCAACAACCTCGCAAGGAACTTGCCATTGTCCGCCTCCAAAGCCAAGTTCCTCAACACCAACCCTGCCTCTAGCACCTTATCGAGCGTCTTCTGCTCCTCGGCCGTAAACTGCATCGCCTTGATCTCCGCATCAGGTCCGTCAACCGGCAACTCCATTATCAGCGATAGTTTCTCCAACAAAGCCTCCGGCAAACCCGGCAGCAGCTCCAATCGCAAATGTTCACCCTGTTCATATGACATTCGCAAAAGGTGGTGCATCGCCCAGTCGACCTCACTCGGAATACCAGACCTGAGCGCCATCGTGATCCTCATCAAATTCGGTGATGCCATAACAGGCGGTGGGATTAACACCGATGGTACCGCAGCACCCGCTGGTCCACGCGGCGGGTACCCAGGTGCACCGAACGGAGTCATTGCTGGAGGAACAGGCGTCTGTCCCATATATGGCGTATGCGCAACAGCAGGAAGCGGCATCGGCGTCGCACTCGCAGCCGGCGTCTGACTCGTCCTCCCATTCGACCCCGTCTCCCCCTCATAATGCTGTTTGGGCGTCGGCTGATCTCTCAACCTCCTCGTCATCGGCGTTGGACTCGGACTCGTCCCCTTCTTCGGTTCCTCCTTTGGTGTCATGAGCGCTTGTAGCTGCTCAGCAGTTCGCGTCATAATCGCTCCTCCCTTTGCTGATAGGTGCTCGAGATGTTCTGGCGGTGGTGCTTTCTTGCCGTGAAAGAGTTCGATTTCGTATGCGGCGAGGTAACGGTAGTAGATTGTCTTGAGGAGGAAACCTGCATTGGTGATTGTCGGTGGGAGTTTGTATGTACCCGCCAACGACTTCCAAGTTCCTGCACGCCCGGATCAGTATGCGTTCAATTGCTACCCGCCAATGGCAAGAAGACGAACCCTTCTCCTCCGTAACCGCATCATACCCTCCCCTTCCCGTAACCAACTTATAAAGCTTCAACAAACTAATCTTCCTTGGTCCCAATCCCGGTTCTCGCAGTAATGGCGTTCCTCTTGCGGCATGGAATTGCTCAAGCTTGGCCATGAAATCGTTGTACTCCGGTGTGCGCTCGATATCGGACTCGTCCATTACCCTGTTGGAGGGTTTGTTGAAGGTGTACATGGCCGACATTGTGCGAGCGGCCGGCGGATTACTTGCGACAAGCCCGTGTATTGAAGACGACGCGTTTGGAGCAGGTTCGCGATGTACGACAGCGTGCGCATGCGCGAGGAGATGGGTGCGGTTCTTTGTGAGGACGCTGAAAAAACAGGTGTTTCCCGTAGTGGCAAAGCAGTTACGCCGGATTGAATGAATTAAGATAATCTATTGTGTCGTTCTTGTATAAATCCCGCCTCCCTTCTGCCCTTCCCACAATGCATTACTTCTTCTCCCACGCATTCCTCCCTCCTCGACTAACCATGCAAGCTCTGTCCAGGCAATAGCCCTTTCTCCCTCAGACACTTCGCCACCGTCTCTACTAACCGCGGAAACCCTTCATGCTTCAAGCAGTCCACGATCATCTCTTCCGTGGTTCTCCGATCTTCTTGCGAAGGCTGGATGGTGGCTAGAAACGAGGCAAGGGAGTCCAGATCGCGATCTGAGTCTTTCCGCTTGCGGGGGTTGGTGGCAGATGTAGCTGTAAGAGCATATTCGGTCTCTTTTCTGCTTGCAGGGACAGTAATCACGGAAGACGGTAGGTTCGCCAGGGGTTGAGTAGACCTGGTTAGGCTGGATATCATTTGCAGTGGTTCCGGGCGAGGTCTCGCTATAGCCGCTGAATCATTCGTCTGTGTGGTCTCAACATGTCTGGTTACCAGCATCGGTGGTTTTCGTGCCGCAATCGGATCCGATGCGCTTGTCTGACCATAATCTTTCACTCTGACGGGTACTGCTTCACTTCGCTGACTTGGCACAGCCACAGGGTCACTCGCTGAAGGGCGAATGAGGGGCAACCCTGGAGTCGCCTGTGCTCTGGCATCGTACGAGTTCGCTATGGACGTCCTCGGTGCCGCCAAACTTTCCCTTGTCACGCTTGTCATCGTCGTACCCTGCCCACTGGCGTAGGCATCTTCTATCATCTTCTTCTTCACAGTTGGTCTTGGATAATCCCAATCCTTATCCAAGTCGATCACCTCCATTGGTTTCTTCGGTGTCGTCCGCATCTCATACGACGTCGTGGGAACAATAGTACTGTCTGCAGGCGTTTTGTGCGTTTCAGTTGTATTGATGACCGTCGCAGGCCTTTGAGACTGCAAATCAGTGGTCCTTGCCTCTCGGTGTACATAGGAAGAGTACATAGAGGTGTAATCCGTCTCACTAGCCCCGGTTCTCTGCGTGTACGCAGTTGGATAATTTGATTTTACAGGCTCAGGTAGAAAGGTGCGCTGGATACTAGCCTGCGTACGCGCCGAAAGATCGTCTCGAGATTGTCTCATGAGATTGCCAGCATTCCATTGCGAGGTGTTGTCAGCTGGTAAAGCATGTCGGCCTCCCTTCTGAACGAAGGGGTACGAGGTTTGTGGAGCAGACTGGGGAGGGAGCGATTGGTTCGCAGCTGTTCGAGTCGGTAGGCCTGTAGGACTGACTTGAACTTGATATCTTTGTCGTTGATTCTCAGTCACAGATCCTCGTGATGGCGGTAGCATCACAGGTGCAGCCATGGATGAATACGTGTGCTGCGTTGGGGTTTGGGCCGCAGTCCTTGCGGGCATATGCGTGACATCACTTCGTGTCCCAAACGAGATATCGGAGGTTTTAGAGACTGGGCGAGTGCTGAACTGCGTCAAGGGTCGAAATGTGCTGCTTGTATGCGGGGGAGACATGTTGTGCGACAAACCGGTAGTTGGCATAAGCGCGTTGGCATGCCAGGTTAATGGAGCCTGCTGACCATAATCATGACTTGGAGCGGAGGGCTGATATGCTGTCACTGGTTTCTGTACGTGTCGACTTGCTGGATCCACAGTGCTTGTCCCCACAAACTGAGCCGAAGCGGGATGTTGAGACGCATTAAATGTGTCTTTGGCTGTCGCTTCTCTTGATGAGCGCCCGGTATGCTTCTCAAGCTCTGCCCTGACCGCGTGAAACGTCGCTTCGCCGAAAAACCGTATCTGGAAACGGCGGAGTTCCTGTGCAAAACGTCAGGTTTGTGGTAATCGCACTCCATTATCCTTGCACATACGTCCGATTCCTCGTGCCAGTACTTGATGCCTATTCCCGGGTTTTTCACAATGACAATCACTGCCGCTGTCTGCCCGCGAGATATATGCGTCGGCATCGGTATTGAGGATAAATGGGTGATGTTCAGCGACTCCTGTAAGCGCATTCGTCAGGACTTCAAGTCAAAGCAACTTCCTCAGCGATTTTCCTACAAATTTCGTCCCTTCCCATGATACTTCCATCGTTATCTGTATCTCCCCTGTCTTGAAGCTCGTCGACTTGGTGAACACCAGCTCCAGCCCCTTTTTGTTCGGAAAGTGGCTCCAGTTGGTCGTACCACCACCCTGAGTCGCCTGGGTGTTTTGGCCCTCATTGGATGACTTCTCGAAAGAGTACTTGCTTAGAGAAAAACGCAAACAGTCAGAAGAGGATGCCATTGCTTAGTCGTTTTGGCGTTGCGGTTCTTGATGGTCCGTGCGAACCTGAGACGCAGCTGCTTGCGTGGAGTGCAGGGAGCGCAGTGTGGGGGCATGAACTCATCGACCACGAAAATACCAGACGCTCTCGGGATTGAATGCATCAGATGCCATAGGGATGACCAAGGAGGAAGAAGACAGAGCTTTCTCAGCATGGTTATCGCTATTCATTGCGGGCCTGCTAGATTGGATACGATGGATTTGGGGCAACACCCATTCAAAAACTCCCCTCCAAGTCTTGAGTGCACAACTGAAGACCTCGGAGTCTTACCAAGAGTACGTTGGCCGAGCGGACGTCATTGACCAGTACTACGAGTTCGATGTCTGGCGACAACAGCAACCATCCCGGAAATACGACTGGCAGCTCCTACGAGGGCGCGTTGACGCGATGGCTCGAGCACGACAAAACGGTGACCTATCCGCCCTCGTCGAAGGTCTTCGGAGCGGACTCCTCCGCAATCTGGGAAATTTGGCAAGCAAGGAGCTTCACAAGAAAGCGTTTGTCGGTACAAAGTTCCTGATCGAGGAGTACATCGCAGAAGTCTGCGCATCACTTCGGTACCTTTCACAAGTACCGACGACAGACTCGACTCCGAACTCAGCACAGCGCAAGTTTAACTTCTTTCGCGAGACGAGACAGAGTTTCGGGCGAACGGCACTTATTTTACAGGGTGGAACGGTCTTTGGGCTCTTTCACCTCGGCGTGATCAAAGCTCTTCATGAGCAAAACACGCTACCGCGAATCATCGCCGGGCATACAGTGGGCGCACTCATCGCGGCGCTTGTATGCATTCACACCGATGACGAGCTCCCATCTTTCCTTTCCTCACAAGCTATCGACCTCTCCGCTTTCCGCGACCGCTCCGGTAGCAGCTGGGCCCAACTCTACCGAAAACTTACGCGACTCATCACGAAGGGCGTCTTACTGGACGTCAAAGTCCTCGAACGCTGCGTGGCAGACAACGTGGGCGACACAACATTCGAAGAAGCCTACAAACGCACCAAACGAATCCTAAACATCACCATCTCCGGCGGCGCAGGCGCCGAGGAGAGTGGATTGTTGAATTACCTCACCGCACCCAACGTCCTAATCAGAACCGCCGCCCTAGCAAGTCTCGGCACCGACAAAGTTGAACTCCTAGCAAAAGAAGAAGACGGAACAGTTGTCCCGTGGGATCTTGCATGTACATGCCCCTTTCCCGCTGTCACGTAGCAATGCTGATGTAATGGGCTTGTACAGACTCCTACCGCAAACGCCCGTCAACACCCAAGAAAAGCATTTCGGCTGAATCACCCTACACTCGCATAACCGAACTCTTCAACGTAAACCACTTTATCGTCTCCCAAGCCCGTCCATACCTCGCCCCCTTCCTCTCTTCCGATTCATCCGATTTGCATAAACACCATACACTCCTTCCATCGATCCTCCGTCTCGCTGCACTGGAGATTAAACATAGATTACAACAACTGGATAGTCTTGGACTGTTACCGGCGAGGGTGAGGAGATTTGTGGTGGATGAGTATGTACCGAGTCAGGGAGATCCGGTTGTCATCGTACCGGCGCTCTACGCGAGTGACGCAGGCAAGATGTGGAGGAATCCAACTAAGGAGATGATTGAATATTTTGTCTTGAAGGGAGAGCGGGCAACATGGCCCGCATTGGCGTTGATTGACGTACGACTACGAATTGAGTTGACGCTTGACAGGAGTAAGCTCAAGCCTCTCAAACTTGTCCATGCGGGAGTTGAATACTAACTTGGCTTACAGTATTCCTTGAGATCAAAGAGCAGGATGAGGCGGCTTTTGCGATGCCGAGGGAGGGGGTGGAGGATAGTGAGGGTTCGTCGAATGGGACGCCGAAGATTGCAGCCAAGGTGATTATTACGAGGAAGTTGAGAGCGCAGTCGGTGACGTGATGGTATCTCAAGGGGATATTATTGAGACGATCGCATATGGACATTAGGATTTGCAATGATTCTGACCGTAGCTGACTGGATCTGTCCAACCACCTTTCAAGCACAAGGGAAAACCAGTTACGAACAATCTTAAATGAGGAAGTAGTCAAGGTGATCAGAGAAAAAGAGTATAAATTGGAATACCGAAAGCAAACACCATACGCCACAAACACAGGAATAACTAATCTACCGCGTCATAACATCAGAGCTCCATCGCATCACCCTCCCTCCTCTTGCCAACCAACGCTTCCAAATCCAACACCGGAAACTCCACCCCCTCCCCCCTCAACCTCTCCTCAGCCCAACACGCAGCCCTCACCAACCCCTTCGCTTTCGCCTCCCGTACAATACCCTGATGTTCCAAGATAGCCTCATTGACCATTTTGGCTACATCGCGGCGTAAATTCGGATCAACGAGTTCAGCGAGGGGAGAGGTGGAGGAGGAGGAGGAGGAGATGGATTCGGGTGGGAAGGCGAGAAGTGCCATCGTTTTTTCGAGTTCGTGGAGGAAGGTGGGTGAGGAGGGTGCGCGGGGTGCGAGGTGTGTTGTTGCGAATGCCAGTGCGGTCGAAATATCACCCGTCTCGCTCGCCCCCGAGCCAGAAGCGCGGATCAATTCAACGAGTTGTAGGCGGAGGAGTTGGAAATGTAATGAAGGGACGGTATCCAGCAACTATTCGCATCCAATGTTAGTTCTCGTTCTTCTTCCAACATAGAAGGAAGACATGAGAAAAGACAAGGAGCAAGTGTAGGGTTTTAGCTCATTTTGAAGACTGAAGGTTTATTTCTCTCATCATCGTCCGGCAAGCCGGTCTGAGAGTGGTGCATGAAACTGTTTAATCCTTGCAAAACCCATACACTGCACCTTTGTCTCTTGTCAAGTCTGGATGGGACTGGGCATACCTCAGGATCGAGTTCATTGATACGTTCGATTGCTCCTTGGACGTCACCGCGGTGAATGGCTTGTCGAATCACCATCCGCTCATTGATGGAATCAAGGTCGATCGAGGGTGTGATATTTGCTTCTTGGGCGAATTTGATGGCGGCGGATTGGTAGCCTTCGATGATGAGGTAGTTCATCACCAACTGATTCAAATCACTAACAATAACACAGTTAGTCAAAACTGTTTTCGATCGAGGATGGGATACTCGTAAGGAAAGGATATGCCAGGATCAGGTCAAGATAATAAGTTATCCTCAGTGAGGGTTGTGTGTCACTCAAGACGAGCGACGACCTCTTATCGGAGAGATTCCCATCTTGAAGAGCATCATTTTGTCCTGACATTCCTTTCTTCACGTCCTTGATTGTAACACTTACGATTTAGATATCTTCACGGCATCCATTCGGCGGTTCCATTCCTCGGGGTCGATGACTCGTTTGGCGGGTGATGACGTGGAAGGGGCTGTGGTGGCCATTGTGGTGACGGGTGAGCGGAGAGAGGTGAACGAGTAGGTTGTTTGATTGAGTGGGTCTTCCTGTGTGTACTGCGTCTCTGTGAGTTATTCTTTTGTGTTTGTTAGGAAGAGAAGGAGAAGAGGAGTGCGGATGGGGTGTATCTGGCCGCGGGGATCTGCTGCTTCAAATTCAAATTTATATAACGGGCTCCGAGCTGCGCGAAGAAAAAATGCCAGTCTTCCCACGATGAAGAAAGCATTGGATTACTCCAAGGATTTGATATCAACGACGAACAGATCATGTAAAACCCATTGGACTGTTCTGTGAGATGGTTCTTAAGACCAAGTCACGTGAATGTCTACGTTACCGGTATCGGCCAAACACGCCCTGCCGCAACTGCAAATTAAGCCCAGCTGAAACACCATGTCAGTTGTTGGAGCAGAATACAGACCTCCATGGACAGCGCTCCATGTTATTGGGATCGGGGGTGTACGTCTCCTTCCTCCTCTACGAGACGGATTAACCGAGTAACCTCTTGTTCAGGCATCCGGCTCAGGAAAGACAACAGTAGCACAAAAGCTCATCAAAACCCTCAACGTCCCATGGGTCGTCATCCTATCCCTCGACAGCTTCTACAAACCCCTAACTAAAGAGGAATCCGCACGGGCCTTCAAGAAGTGAGTTGTTCGCCTTTCTCGTCGAACAGGAAGCTAATTGCAACTCACAGTGAGTACGACTTTGATGACCCATCCGCCCTCGACTGGGATTTGTTATTCGAATGTCTAAGTGCCCTAAAACAAGGCAAAAAAGTCGAAATCCCACAGTATTCCTTCGCACTGCACAACCGCCTCCCAACCAAGACCACAATCTACGCCTGTAACATCATCATCCTCGAAGGGATTTTTACCCTCCACGACCCACGCATTCTCTCTCTCCTCGACATGAAGATCTTCGTCGACACACCCTCAGACATCTGTCTCGCTCGGCGACTGAACCGGGATATCTTGCACCGTGGCCGAGATCTGCGAGGTGTGTTGACGCAGTATAACCGCTACGTCAAAAGATCCTACGACGACTGCGTCCGCCCCACCATGAAAAACGCCGATATCGTCGTACCACGGTCAGATTCCCACGTCGCCCTCGACATGATAACCCAACACATCCGACAAGCCCTTGCCGAGCGCTCCCGGAAACATCTCGAAGCTCTCCGTGCACTACAGTCATCTCCTACCTCCTCCGCGGACGAACTTGGCGGCTTGCGGAATATTATATGCTTACCGCAGACACCGCAGTTGCATGCGATGCAGACTATTATTCGGGATGCGAACACATCGAGAGATGACTTCCAATTCTACCTCGAGCGTCTCGCCGTCCTCCTCATCGAGCGCGCAATGGTCGAGTTACCACACGAACAAATTACAATCGAAACTCCTACGGGCAAATCATGTACAGGCATGGCCCTCTCCGCCTCCGAAGTTGTCGGAGTCTCGATCGTCCGCGCAGGAGAAACCCTTGAAGTAGGGCTTCGACGCGTAATCCCAGACGTCTCCCTCGGAAAAATCTTGATCCAATCCGAATCAATGACTGGCGAGCCAAAACTTCACTACTCCAAAATCCCACCACTCTCACCCACCGGGCACGTATTCCTCCTCGACGCACAAATCGCGACAGGAGCAGCGGCGTTAATGGCGATCCGGGTGTTGCTAGACCACGGCGTACCGGAGGAGAACGTGGTGTTTATCGCATACCTTGCCGCGCCGTCGGGGTTGCAGGCGATTGCGAGGGTGTATCCGAAGGTGAGGGTGGTTGTGTCGGTGATTGATGAGGGGTTGATGCACCCGACTGCGTTTATCGTGCCGGGATTCGGGAATATTGGGGATCGTTATTTCGGATGTTAGTGAGTTGAAATTGGAGGGACTTCTCATCAGGCATAGCACAGTTTTCAGAATGCAGGACATTCACCATGCACAATCGCAAGCTTCAATGGATTAACATTAACGCTCGTCACAATATGTGTTCTCCTCGTCCTTCCCTTTCGTATAATATAATAGCACCGTATGCAATATATGTAATAGCCAAATAACTCCATCAACGCCGGATATCAATGTCCATGCTCAAACGCCTGTCCTATATCCTTACTTCTTCCTTTTCGATGGGGTATCGGGATCTGTCAAGTTGAAAGATTTCCTGTTCCGCTTACTACTGGGGGTATTCGCTGTTCCCGTTCGACGCTTTTTCGGCGTCGCTGTTACTCCGTTCTCGTTGACTCCTGCATTCTGCTGTCGGTCTCCAGCAGTAGTGACACTCTCGTCATCCTCCTCATCCACAGGCAAGAAGTCCTGGTACGCACCTCCTTCGGTCTGAAGAAGCTGTGCGAAGGTCTGCTGCACCACGATCTGCTCTTCTTCGGACATCTCTGCGCCGGTGGAGAACGCGGCAGGCAGGGAGTCCCAGCTAAGCTGAAGGTTCGCACCGGCCTGGCGAGTTGCAGGTTGCGTGTTCTTCGCCGTTCCCATCTTATTGCCGTCGAATGCACGACACTTGGCCTCAGTCAGGCCATAAAGCTGCTTCAGGAAGGTCTTCAACATCATCAATGCCGAGAGGATCATGGCACACTTCACAAGCTCGGACTTAGGCGCTTTGTTGCCCTCAGTTCCTGCTTCACCTTCGTTGATTGCAAGGAGACTCATCCCGGTCACCGACATGATCCTGTCCACGGTGTAGATCACCAGGTGAACCTCTTCCGTAGTGCTGTAGTCGAGGTATGCAAAGTTCTCAGCAATAAACTTGGTGAGACTTGGTTCAGGACACCTCTTCTTCTCAGTAAGCTTAGTCGGGTCCACATCCAATGACTTGATCGCAGCAGTCAAAAACTTCTTCCTTCCCTGTCTGTTTGCCTTGACCACAACATACATGGGATCGATCAATGCCATAAACTCAGAGCGGTCAATCCTGTAGCCCTTCACATCTGCATTCAACTTCCTCTGGTAATGATAAGCAGCGGCCAACCCATCCTTGTAACAACTGTCGATCAAGGACGCATGCTTGTCGTTAAGCTCGTGATGCAACCTGATCGCGGTATTCCGCAACGCTGCTGAGCTCGAAGTTTCCAAAGCCAGGATGGCCGAGAAGCACTCGCGAGGGTTAGCAAGACCTTGACGAACAACAAAGTTCAGTACCTGAACAGCAGCGGTAGACACGGCATCTTCTTTGCTAAGAGCACTGTCAAGGATGACTTTGAGATAACGCTGCATCAACCCAGGACTGATGGAATGCGTGGCGAACTTGTCCGTATCACCTCTCAAGACACTGCGGTCTATGTGACCTTGACCGTCGGTGTTTTCAGCCATGGTTGCCTCATTGTTACGGCGCTCTTCTTCTTCAAGATGCTCCTTCATCGTTGCAAGAATAACGATCTTCAGATTGTCATTTGCGCCTCCGAAAGCCTTATCAAGAACATCGATAGTCTGCTCATCAAGGAAAAGGGTACTATTCCCAATGCAAACCTGGCCGAAACTCTGCAAAACGAACCTGTGAAGTGCGAGAGGCAGCTTATCATCATAGAACGCAAGGATGCTGCTCTTGATGTTCGCAATCGTAGGCCTAGTAGCACCGTCACACGCAGCGGCATTTACCTTATCCATGTTGCTGTACCGAGCAAAGTATCCGATGAGCTCCATCAACTTGGCAGCAGTCGACCCGTTTTGGGTAGTGGCAGCTTTCAAAACTGCTGGACGCGTTCTGTCGAGAGTCGCCAAACATGTCGAGACGACGGTTGCAATGCAAGCATAATCGTCCAGCAAATCAACAATGTTGCAAAGACAAGGTATCATCTCTTTCAACAAAGGCCCAGCCACCTTCGTGACATGCTTCAGCAACGTCGTTTCGACTTCCTTGAGAAAAGCATTGTCCATGGGAGGAAGCGCAGGAATGACGTTGCGGTAGACGATCAGTGTCTGGTATAAAGCACTCTGATCCTCTTTGCCTGCACTGAGGACGAAGGGCTGCAACGCTTTGATCTGTCCTGCGCTGAAGCACACTGGAGCACATCCTGCGAACAAGGCAAGAGTGGCAAGCGTCTTCGGGAGCAACGTCTGATCCGTAGACTCGCCAGTCTGGGCTTCAAGAACCTGTTCAAAAAGGCACTGCACCATGAGTTTCAGCATAGTCATATAATCTGATGCCGAACCCTTGGCAGACTTATCCAAGATCACTCCAGCGATTGCTTCTTCGATAAATGCTTTAATCAACCCAGATGTTTTCTTATCCTCGACTATTCTGACAATGACATCGATGCGCTCCCGAAGGACCTTGCGAGCACCCAGCGACAAAGCATCGAAGTTGTCAAGATGCTCACCAAATGCACCCTCGATAGGCCCGAGCCAAAGGTCTTGCATCTGTTTCGTAGCAAGCTCCTTAACCGGATCCTCCTCATCCTGCATCCTTGCCAAGGTCCTCACAGAGACCTCAATCTTCACGGAGAGCTCACCAGTAGTGTAAAGATCTCTCATAATCTTGATCACACTCTTTCGAACACTTGGTGCAACATCGTTTGATCGCATGATGATAACCGCATAGTAATGCCTGGCAAGCTCGGGATGGTTGAGAAGGTATTTCCCGACAAGGTCGACAGCAGCATTACGAACGAGGGGCGAGCTATCAGCTAGTCTCTTTGCAATGTGCTCACGTACGAAAGGACCAGCCAGAATGCTGGCATCGACGTTAATAACATTACCGAGACCACGGAGAGCCTTTTGACGACCAGTGACCTGAGGTTGTTCAAGAGCGTGGATCATACGGTTCAGGATAACGTCAAACAGAGATGCTAAAGGCGAGGTCGAAAGCAGTGCCAGATGCAAGACCTCAAGATCATGATTGGAAACCTCTGGATACACCTGTGAAGTAGGCTTTCGTAGGGGATCAGAGGCGTCCGCTACCAGTTCCATCACAGACCCTTGAAGCTCGTCCGACACGGCCGCTTGCTGATCAAGCTTCTTCACAAGATCTAGCAAGGATTTCGCAGCAACGTACCCATAAGCAATCTTATACCCGACATCCTGCTGCCCAAGCGAATGGAGGTAGCCCAGTGTGACTTTCGCCAGCTCCGCTTGCACACCGATCCTGTCCGCATCCGGCACGGAGCCATTTACGAATCCGGAAATATCCTTGCCAAGTTTCGACGAGCCAACCTCGGTGTCAGTCTTGATCTCCCTTCCGAGATCAACATCACATTTCTTGATTTTTGAAGCGATTGAACCCAGTGTGTCAAGCGCGATACCCTTGATCTGCGCCCCCTGCTTGTCATCGTCAAAATACGAAATTAGATGACGAACAATAATAGTTAGCATAAGCTCCGCAGCGGGCCATTCCGGACATGTGAGGACGGTGATCAAGTCCTCGACGAAGATATCAAACAGGCCCTTGTACGGCGAATCGGATCCGGCAGTCTTAGTCTTCATGACCTTCTGGAGGTAGAAGGAGATGACATAACTGGCAATCTTTCCTGCAGCGTCCTGCGCTGCAGTCCATGCCTGCTCCTGCTTCGCCAATAGTTCTTGCTCGTCATTCTTCTCGACAGCCGCCCCCTGAGATCCATTCATCTCTTCATCCTTCGGTACGTCCACTTTGACGTACTCAACGTCCCCGGCAACACCCGATGTATGCACCAACTTCATAATCAAAGCCGTGACAAGCTGAATACCCTGCCCCCCACTCAATCGATACTGCCTCGCACTCTGCTTGTTCACCGGTAGTTTACTCAATCCCGTCAGAACCTCATCCAGAATGAACGTCCTCTGATCAGCATACTTCGCAAAGATCCCTCTCAAGACTTCCATACTCGCGACTCGTAATCCTTCGATGGAGCTGGAGTTGAAGATAGCTTCTTTGTCCTTGAGGATATTGTCGAGGAAGACTGGAGATGCGGCGGTGAAGAGGAGCGGGTTGATGACCGAATCGGAGATGTCGATGAGTGGCAAGAGAGCCTCGATGTGAGACAGCGTAGTGACGATGCTCTGGAGAAGTGAGAGCATGCTCTTCTTACACGCATACGCCACCTGGAAGGTGGGGTTCTTCTCCGTCGCAGGCTTGCCCTCCACAAGGGGGGTAACGGCATTTTCTAAGAGACCCCGAAGGCACTCGATGATCGTGATTAACAGATCCTCCGAGATAATTTGCCTCTCATCCGGTCTTCCCGTCATAATTTCCAACACAAAGATAGCACCCCTTAGCGCCCCTTCGAACTTGCCCACAGTCTCAATCCAGGCCGTCGCTACATCTTCCCCAGCCTCAGACAACCCCATATCAAGACGCACCTCCTCAACCCGCCTAACACTCCTCACGGAAATCTTCTGTAGTCTCGTCAACTCCTCCACAGAAATCTGTCCCAACCGTCCCGCCGCCGTGACCTTCCGTAATGCACGCTGAACCTTCAACTGCATATCCATCGCCAGACATGGTTCCGTCCCACCGATTGTTTCCAACACCCACATCATCTGCGCATCCCCATTCATACTGACATCGCCGCCCTCCGTTGGTTCAAAGGCATCATCAGCCTCAAATATATCGCCGATCAAGTCCACGAATTGTAGGACCGCCGCATCCGCTTTCTCCCGCTCCGGGACACTAACTTGCCTCTCCACCCTCCACTCCTGACCCTTATCCGTCTTGGTTTCCTTCCTCTTCTTCGGACTTCGCGTAGGCGTCGTCACATCCTCCTTCACATCCGCAGCGCTCTTCGCCGGACTTACCGGTGTATGCCTGTACTGCTCCGGCGTAAAATGCGGTGGCGGGGACGGAATCAACACCACCGGTCTCGGTTGCGAGGCGGGGGCTGGAGTTGTGTGCAGCGATGTTAGGGGCGTCATAAACGAGGTCTTTACGGCGTGCTGGTATTCCGAGTATGCTATTGATGTTGAGGCACAGTCGGGGGTGGCGGCGGTAGCAGGAGGAGGAGGAGGAGGTGGTGGTGGTTGCATTGCCACCGCCGTTGACTGTAGTAGCATCTCTGCAAACCTATCCAGTTGTGGTAATGGCGCTGTCGGCCCTGGTATCCCATTCATTCCATGCGGCAGCGGTGGTAATTGTACTTGACTGTTCGCCCATCTGTTAGCATACACCCTGGAATTCCCACAGCTGGCACTCACTATGGCATTCCACTAGCTTCCCTCAACATCTCACCAACCTCCCTCCCCTTTGCCTTTGCAAAAGCCGCTTCTTCAGGGGATGTATGCTGTGTCCGGTTTAGTACCTCCATCGCCGCATCGACTTGTGCTTGTTCTTCTGGCGAGAGGGTGAGGCGGGTGGAGACAAGTGGGAGTGAGGTGGGTATTGGAAATATGTTCGTTACTGTTCGTCATTGTTAGCAGTTTCGTAGACAGAGTTTCCGTATGAGGACGAACTCGGGGCGGCGGGTATGATGGATGTGAGAGGTGTATACTGCATGGCCTGCACAATATCCAACGGGCCAAACGGCAATTGCTGCCCATAGCCATTCTGCTGCTGACTATGCCCGTTCATCCTTCTCCTTTCCTAGGCCTTCGAAGGAGTCGCTGTCAATAAAGCTTTCTCACACCTCACGTACGAGTTCACCGACGCGCATCCTTCCCCGTGTTTTCCTTGACGCACGGTCCCTCCACTATCCCCGATTCGGAAAAGTGAGTACTTCCTCCACCCAAACTCGAACTCGTCGCGCCAAGACTACGTTACATCACCCACAAACATCGAACCAAACAACCAAGATGCCATTGTTTCAAGCGCTGAAGATAGGCAAGATCATGGATGATGGAGACTACTTGTTTAAGGATGTCTCGTTCAGCATCGAGGAAGGCGAGACGATCGTTGTGAGGGGACCGAGTGGGTGCGGGAAGTCGACGCTGCTGAAAGCACTGGCACAGCTCATCATCTACGACGAGGTATGTCCCCCACCGTGGCCAATCCTCTCCTTAGGACGTATTTGGGGGCTCATGATGGGAATAGGGCAAACCCTTCCTCAACGGCAAAGCCCCAGAACAAATGGGCATCCCACCCTGGCGCACCCTAATCCAATACGTCCCCCAACGACCCCCACTCCTCCCCGGAACCCCCCACGACTTCTGGAACACCCTGACCTCCTTCTCCGCTCAAAGGTCCCGACAAACAAGTGAGGACATCTACGACGACCCAGTGGAGATCGCGGCCCAATGGAACGTGCCTCGGAATCTGTGGACAAGCGAGTTCTCGACCCTCTCTGGTGGCGAAGTACAACGCATCACACTCGCGATCGCAGTAGCGCTCAACCCCGCCGTTCTACTCCTCGATGAACCAACAAGCGCCCTAGACCAGGAAAACACGCGGTTAGTCGAGGAGACGCTCAAGGGACGGAGAAGTGCGAAGGTTTGGGTTACGCACAGTCCGGAGCAGGCGGAGAGGGTTGCGGGGCAGACGTTGTGGGTGGGTGGGGTGCCGGGGGAGAATGTTGTTGTGCAGGGGAGTGGAAACGGCGAAGAGGCAGGCACGGTGAGAAGAAAGGCGCCGAGAAGACAGCCGAGTGGATATGGAAGTGTCAGTCGGGAGTGATTCAAGCCAAGAAGATCATGATTTACATTGGTCCATGCATACATGTATCGCTATCGTACAAACAAGTAAGCTCGGAGAGCCGGGATCAAGTTACTCAATTCCTCTCCCCCGTAAACTCCAGCGGGTCGGTCCCCTTCCTCCTACTCAACCCCTCATACTTCTCCGTATCCTTCCCCTCCTGCACATCCTGAGACGCACTACTCCCTCGAGTCCTATTCATCCCACTCGGGTTCTCCCGACCCTCTTTGGTCTGGGCTTTATTGCTCGTCTCGTAGTCTCGGGACATATCCTTATTCGCGGGTGATCCCTCGAGCTCGCCGGAATCGGCTTTGGCGGATTCGGGAGAAGTTTTGGAGGGATCGAAGGCGGCATCGGAGGAGGCTACGTCGGAGGAGCGGCCGGAGGCTGGGGTGTATTCCGCGCCGTAGCCCTTGTAGTCTGTGTCGCGTTTCTCGAGGGAGTCTTCGGGCTGTGAAGCTGTCCTGTCAGTCACGGTCAAGAAACTGGGGAAACGGGTAATCTCACGTTCTTGGACTTCTCCTCGAAAGACTTGTTCTCCTTGGACTTGTTGTCGGAAGCGTAGGAGCGGGTGAGAGCAGGAGCGACCCGTACAGAGCGGATAGAGAGACGAGATGGCTGAGCGACGTAACGGCGGAGGTTGAACATGCTTGTATGATGGTTTGTTGGTGTGGTGATTTCTTGAGGGAGGATGGGAGATTCGCCTATATAAGCTCGATGGAGAGAAACTACGTCATGGACTCACGTTGCCAACTGACCAACTGCCTGTAGAACGAGCTCACGCAGAACGCAGAAGTCGAAATGAAAAAGATTCAATCATCCACATCATCCTTCCCAATGGAAGCATCATGGTCTTTCACCTTAGGTGTCTGCTAAATGACAGCTTATGCACGACGCGCATGTCCAACAGATACGAGTCTGCCGATACTCCACCAACAAATCCAGCAGCTACCATTCCCTCGATCCTCGTCGACAACGGTCATTTCATGCTGACGAGATTGTCGACAGCTAAAACAAACCACAATGTCTCTCCACCCATCGAACTCCGTAACATCAACAACCTCAACCTCCACCCGCCCCTCCCACAACCGTCACAAATCCTCAACCGCCGCAATCTCCCGCCTCACCTCCGAAGCTGACCCCGAAGCTCCCCCAACCGGCAAACGACCACAGAAGAGTCGATCGTTTATTGCGCATACCTCGCGACATCATGGAGCGCGTGTACCGTCCTATGGAAAAGGCTTGAATAAATTGCACAAGATGAGTGCACTTACTAAACCGCCAGCAACGGCAGTGGCGGGGGCAGGGGATGGTGGACAGGCGCGGAGTCCGGGAAAGAAGAGTGCGTTGCGAAGGGCGCAGAGCGAGGTTAGGACTGGGGTTGCGATGGCGGCCGCGCATGACAGTCCACAGAAGAAACCGGTGAAATCGAGTCGGCAGTCGAGTGTCAAGTTTTCTGCTGGGGCAGAGAGTTGGGACGAGCGGGAATTTGTAGAACCGCCGCCTTCGACACAAACAGCAGGGCTTGTTAAATGTGACTCCCTCGAGATAACCGAGGTATCGCCTGTCACGCCAACACAACATAGCCATGGACAGCGAGATGGAAACGGGAACGGCGAGGTCAAGTCCCCACCGCACGCACTCATGCGAAAAATCAGCACAAATTTCGGCCAAGCACAACCCAAACTCTCCACCGAAATCGCGCTCTCGAAGGATTTGAATCATGCTTCTCTCACCGACGTACACACCCACAATATCACTGCTCCGTCCTCCCAGGAAGGTGACTTGGAGTCACCCATCACGTCGAGATTCATTGATCCGGCTGCACCACGGGCGGGGGTGGCGGGGGGTAAGGCAGGAAAGCAGAGCTCGAGGGAGAGGAGTAGTATCTCTGCCGCCAAACGGGCCATGTCCGCTGCCTCCATCCCAGCCCTCTCCTCCTCCAACAGCAACACCATCTCCCGCACCCAACAAAAAGTCCTCCTCCAACGCGCAATAACGTTCTCGAACCCCGAAACTGACGAGAATGAGGGAGCAAGTGCGGGAACACGGGTGTTGACACCGAGCCAGCATGCGAGGTTCGGGAAGGAGATCGAGAGGGTGGGGAGGGAGTACGTGAACGCGTGTCGGTTTCGGGATCCAGTGGTGGAAGCCCTCGGACGTGTCATGAAGCAAATTATCAAGGAGGGAGCGGGTGTTACTGCTCCTGTCTCGCGGAACGGACCAGTGAGGAATTTACGGTTGGAGGAGACGAGGAGGGGTACAGGTTTGTTGTCGAAGAGTGATAGTAATTTGGCGGGGAGGCGGGAGAGGGGTGGGACGAGTGCGGTGAGCGGGATGGTGAAGCAGATGTGGAGGGAGGACTGAGGGAGGTGGGATGTGGGAGGTGGGAGGTGGGTTGTGGGTTACGGTATCAGCAATGTTCTCACGGTAATGCACGGTGCCTGCCTGACTCGATCGCGGAGCACGCCCGCCGAAGCATGCCGCGTCACACGTCACCGCCAACCCGTGCTTCCGCGACTCCCTCCATGGCCACCCCTTGATCCCCTTTTTGTTGCCGACATTGTAGGATAAATGCCCATGGTCAGTTCAACACGGAGGAAGATCAGCTATGTCATCCCCCTCCCAGGCGCGCGTCCGGGACATCTGTTGCCGGTGAATGCTCTGGCGGTTGATACCTTTTCTGCTGTGGTGCTCTATAGTGCTGGACGGGATGGGAAGCTTATTCAGTGGGACCTTGGCTTGGATCAGGAGGAGCAGGATGGTGGGGAGGACGAGGAGTATGTCAGCGTGCATCGACCACGGGAACCGATGGCGAGTATGACCAAGTATCGAGCACAAGTCGATGCGCATACACACTGGGTCAACGATATCGCGCTCGTGTCACAAAACACTGCGGTCGTATCCGCGTCGAGCGATACACTTGTCAAGATATGGAGACCGGAGGAGAATCGCGTGGATACGCTCGGACACCATACTGACTACGTTAAATGCCTCGCTTCTGCTGGTCCTTCGTGTGACTGGATCGCGAGTGGTGGACTTGATCGGAGAGTGATGTTATGGGATTTGAATGGGTATGGCGAGAAGACCCGGATTGACCTCGATGCGGCGGGGGGTGGGCCGAAGGGGAGTGTGTATGCCCTTGGGGCTGGGGGTGGGGTTATCGCGAGTGGTGGACCGGAGCGGGTCGTTAGGTTATGGGATCCTAACTCTGGAAAACGGATTGCCAAGTTGGTGGGGCATACAGATAATGTCCGCTCCGTCCTCGTTAGTCATGATGGTCGTACGATCTTGACCGCATCGAGTGATTCGACGTGTAGGATTTGGGATGTGGGGAGTGGACGGTGTCAGAACACGCTCACTATGCATTCTGATTCAGTGTGGAAACTCTACTCGGAACATCCCGACCTGAAGCTTTTTTACTCAGCGGATAAGAGTGGGTATGTCGCACGGACTGATGTGAGAAATGTCGCGGATCCGGAGTATGGGACTTGTGTTGCGATTTGTCAGGAGGGTGCGGGTGTTAATGGTTTGGTTTGTGCGAATGACTATATCTGGACTGCGACGGCTGATTCGTCCGATATTCGCCGCTGGGAGGATTATGATTTGTCAAGTGAGCGGGAAAGGGATTACCTGTCCGTGAACGAGAATGGAAATGGGCATACGCCGAGTCGGACGCCGACGTCGCCATCCGTGCCAAGGAGTGCGTTGTTACCGTTGACCTCTACCGGGCACTTTGCTTTTGCCACGACTGGATCGCGCGATCCAGAGGTGTCGACGATGTACTCCGCCGCATCCGTCGTCAGCATCCCCCAATACATGAACCACCAAGACGACCCCTCCATCCTCCCCATCCGCTCCACCCCCACCGAAACCATCCATGGCCAACACGGCCTCATAAAACACCACCTCCTCAACAACCGCCGACACGTCCTCACCCTCGACACCTCCTCCGAACTCGCCCTCTTCGACATCGTGAAATGCCAGCTCGTTAAACAGCTTGGAAAAGGGAATTTAGAGGAGATGGTCGCGAAGTTGCAGACGACGGATAGTATTGTTAGTTGGTGTAGTGTTGATACGAGGGTTGGGAATATGTGTGTTACGTTGGATGAGAGGACGTGTTTTGATGCGGAGATTTATGCGGATGAGGTTGAGGGGGTTGATGGGATCGAGTTTAGGGAGGATCAGAGAATTAACTTGGGGAAGTGGGCGTTGGTTAACCTATTCAAGGGGTTGATCAATACGGAGCTTGCACGGCATGAGGATTTCATGAATGGATTACGCGCGAAACAGCAGGAACTCGAGGAACGGAAACAATCGTCGAAACGTGCGAATGCGCCATCGTTCATCCCTATCGAGCAGAACCCGATGGCGAACTGGGAAACACAGGGTTCGGAGGTACAGACCCCAAGGCCGCTCAGGATCGCGATTCCGACACCGGGGATGAAGATTGGGTTGGCGACTCCGGCACCGACCTATGCGGGTAGTCCGCAGCGGAAGAGTATGCTACTGCCTGACTCGACGACTGGGAAATCAGGAGCAGGGTATAGCGTCGGTACGCCAAGTTTGCCAGCGAGTTTACCACCTGCGACCACTCGTGCACGACCGAGTTCATCGTCAGGTGCGACGGCGTTAAAGTCCCCAGGCTCCCCGATGACGAAGATGGATTACTTTTCGTCTGCGCATTATAGTAGCTCGGCACCTGGTTCCCCGGCAGTAACGCCCGGCGGAACGAGAACCAGTACGCCCGAAGCGACGACGGCGACGACACCAGGTGGTTCGCGACTCTTGCGGATGTTTGGTGGGAAGAAGAGGGAGGGATCGGTTTCTGAAGGGAAAGGTGAGAAGAATGGAAAGGGCCTCGGACCTACGTCCGCACCGAGCGCGAGTGTGTCGCAGACGCCGGTACCAGAACCATCGACGCCTTCGTTCCCGTCGGAGACGCCAATACCATCTGGTGCTGCGACTCCGGTCGAGGCGGACGGGTTTGAGGACGTGTTGTTGGGCGTTGTCAGGAGGATTCGGAGACAGGTTGAACAGAGTTTGCTTCGCGACGAAGGACAGATTCAGAACGTGATGTCGATTAGTCTTCCAAGTGAGACGCCACCGTTTTTGCCGCCTTCTGATACGATGATCGTCATTAAAGAGGAACGACCTGATATGGGTGCGCCTGTTGATCTATTTCATGGGACGGTTGCGACGGTGGGTGATACCGCTCATGTGGATATGCTTGAGCAAGTTGCACCCGCGTGGTTGGGTGATGTGTTACTGCTAAACAAGATCCCATTGAAGGATATCGTCAAGATCCCATTCGTGTTGCATCCATCGGACGACAGCGCGTTGTCAGAACTACCAACAGGCAACGCACGACTTAACGCGAACCGCATGCTCCGTGTCCGAAAGATCCTCGCATATGTCGCGGAACGCATCGACAATAATGAGCGCCCACCGACGGCTATCGACAAGCCTGTCGAGGATTGGCTAGAGTTACTCTGTAATGGTGAGGTACTGCCGATAACGATGACCCTTGCGTCGGTTAGGACGGCAGTGTTTAAGCAGGGTGGTGATGTGCAGTTTCAGTATAGGTTACGGAGAAGTTCATGACAGGAGCATGAGATTCAAAACGCTGCTTCTTGGTAGGCGCTGGCGCTGGGAATGCTTTAGGAGTTTTTCATTGTATGTTGATACCATTTGTTTTACTAAATCAAAGGTTCTATGCTGAAATTCAATGCCAAACCTAAGTGATGCTAGTGACCTATCTACTCTACATGTATGTACTCCAGACCATAAGGTTCCTGTTTCCCACGCCTTCCCGTTCAGTATAGCTATCGCATCTGAGTCGGCACATAGTCTGATTGGAGGTAAAGGCCCCTAGGTAAACAGTATGTCAAGGCTTGACTGGAGAGAACAACGGGCCTTATAGCAAGGCTCAAACCCCGTGTGTACTGGGCTTCATGTAACATCTGCTCAGAACATCTGTGATCTGAAACCCAATACACAATTTCTTGACCGAATGTGCATTGTTGAGTGTTCGAAACATTGAAAACAGTGTCACACATCCTCACGGCATGCGCCCATAGCCGTTTGAAGTATGCGGAGCTTTGCAGCCTATGACATCGAAGACTTACTTGGTAACCGATATGTTCCCACGGGTATTGAACGGTTCAACATACCTCCGTGTATTATATATAGCATAATCTTCATAGGCGCGGAGTCGAGGCTGGAGCTACTGAGAGTTGGATAGCTATATTTGGTTCAGTGTTCGAGTCTTATGTGCCAGTCAAAAGCACCCAAGCGTGAAAAGAGAAGAGGATTCGAGATAAACTGCCAGTAAACAATGCAACTCCATACCACTTGCAATAAAGTAATAACTCCCAAGCATACAAAAAACACAACCTTATGACAGATGGAAACTACCCTGACCTTCCTTCATCGCAACCATGAGCTTCTCCCGCAACACATCGGCATTCGAGTAATCGGGCAGCTTGAGATAGTTGACACAAGTCATAACAGACGGCAAGTAATCATCAGCTGTAAGCGGTGGATCGTGAGGCTTGCAGACAATGGTGAACGGGGGTGTCAACGCCTTGAACCCACCAATAGGTAGCTTGGGGCTACCTGTGATAAACTGCAAAAAGTCACGACGCTCGGACAATGTGAAGCTGCTGAGAACAGACAAGAGATCGATGATCGTCCTGGAATCCAGGTTGAACCCATGATCGGCCTTGATCGAATCTGACAAGGTCTCAACAGACCAATCCTCCTCGGTCTGACCAAACAACATTACCAACTCCTCGGCAGAGAAGGACTTCAGAGCCTCGTATGGGAAGACCGCGGAGAAGCCTTCCCTGAAGGCCTTCACTTGCTGCCTAACGCCACTGCCAACAGTACAATCGACAACGCGTTCGACATACTCGCCGACGTCATTGATGTCGACAGCTACGGAAGCACCGTTCTCGATGAGCTCGAACATGGGGTACCCTGGAAGAGTGAAGTCCAATGCTAGGTCGTCGATAGAGACTTGGTCTACAGTGATAGCCGCTAAAGCTTGTCTCTTTTCGCCTGCATTCAGAGACTGATCGTGCATAACCTTGTTGCGGACGTGAACAAATTTGTTGACCAACCGCATGGACTGAGCTAGGTTCTTGTCAACCTCCTGAATGGCAGCAATGTTCACCATGCCAGCACCCTGTTCATCAGATACCCTGAAGAAGGCCGGGTTGAAGGAAACGTCGATCATGCGCGAATCAAGCATGCTCCTAGCCACGAATGTACCTAGGATCTTGAAATGCGCAAGGATGTTCTTTCCCTTGCTACTCGACAACTCAGACTCACTCATCGGCACAGGGAACAGCCCGTTTGTCCCAAAGGCATACTCGCTCTGCGGGTCCGAGTCATTTTCGCGCCACAAGCCCAGAGACTTCTTGCAGAATTCCCTGGATCCGCTGGTGTAAAACTCCAAAGTAGGACCAAGACCAGTTCCTACCTCATCGAAGTATTCGACCTCAAGTACGGAAGGGGACGAGCCATAAAGCTCCATAACCTTCTTGACGGATTCGAACAAATGAGCACGAGAAATACGGACCTTTGCACGCTGAGGCTGGCCTAGGTACGTGCGGGGATCATCACGGTCGCTGCGGGTTCCACTACGCTGGGGACCCTGCCAGCGAGCCATTGATCGAGAGTACCCGAATGATGTAGACTGGAGGAAGAGGTACCTTGTCTCAAAGGGGAACAAGAACGGGAACAAACCAGCCAGATCCAAAGTCCATGTCGGCAAGCAGGCACTTGCGATGATGAGAGGCTCTTCCAACTGTCTGTTCATCTTAGCAATGAGCTTAGAGTTAGTGAAGAGATCCAGAGGCAACGTAGTGTACTGCTCAGTGCCCTCAGATTCGCCCTCCAGCAAGGCTCGCCAATTCGTGTTCAAAGAGAATAAAATACTCAACAGACGCAAGATAGAGGCTGACAAATGGTCCTTCTCCAAAGAGGCAGGAATGCCACTCTCTGGAATCTTGGGCCAGACAATGCCGAACTCGACGTTCTCTGGAGCAGGACCGGGGACCTTCTTCCAGGTCACTTGGTAGGCATGGGAGAAGACGTCGTGTACAGCAATCGGCTGAGCCTGAACGTGATGCTGGTGGACGGCACCAAATATGGTAGTCCCGTTCGTCACCAATGCATTACCAATCTTGAACTCGAAGTGATAATCTTTGGGCGCTGTTTGAAGAGCCCCAGCATACGAAAGAGACTTCTGAGCGGAAAGAGTTGATGACTCCCTCTTCGGAGGCGCCGGAGTGCGAGACAGAGTACGGGTAGGGGTAGATATATTCTTACCGTCCTCAGTCTTAGCCGTAGCCTTGCCGCTGTTGTTCACTTCAACATTAACAGTCTCCTCGATCTGGTCCTGCATCATATCATCCTCGAGATCATCCAAAACCTCATCCATGATCTCGTCCATATCATCAGGGTCAGACATGACTTGCTCATCAGCACACTCCAAAGGCTTCTCAAGCTCGGACTTCTTCTCCTTCTTCGCGGGAGCCTCTTCGGCAGCGGAAGGAGTCTTCTGCTCGATCTGCTTACCCTTGTTCCCAGCAGAGGAACCTTCGCCGCGGAGTCCAGCTGCGGCGGCAAAGGCAGCCAATGCACTCGAGAGCATACCATCACCACGACCTCCCCTAGCCAGCTCGCTAAGAGCCAAGCGAGAACGAAGGAATTCGTCCACTGCCTTGAACGTAGCGATAGCAGGGATAGACACGATGAACTCACGGTATCTCTGAGGGATATCCTCCGTATCGGGTTCAGCAGCCGCAATCTTCAAACGAAGCTGCTTCGCCAACATAGACGCCGAGTTCCTACGACCATCATCAGAAGCCGCACTGTGAGCAGTAATGACCTCAAAGCGCTCCGAACGACTCAGAAGCTCCTGCAACTTCTGGACAATGACGACAAAGGGAGAGACAGGGTTCCTGACAACTAAGTTGTCACCCTTGAAGGCACTCAAGAAAGCCCTTTGAGCATTCGCATTCTCCACCTCCGAGCCATCCGTCAACGCCGCCAACAAAGCATCAACAACACCCGAATTCAGCAACTCAAAAGTCGTAATAGAATCATCGTTAGCAGAGAAGTACGCAGCCAACTCCTTCAACGCTCCATGCTTGTCCGCGGTCTTCAACTTACTAGCGACAGCGGTCAACTCCATCATGTAACTCGCAGCGTCCGCATCAGCCTTTGTCTTCTTCGCAGCATACTTATACGCATTAATGAACTTCTCCGCGTGCCTCTTTGCCCAACCGTCGAGATCAGTAGCACTTCCCGGTCTCGCAGAAGACTTGACCGTAGACGCGGACTGCGCACTGGCTGCACTGGCATCCGTAGATACCGAAGTCTCACTCGTCAAAGATGCCTGACTCGCCTGCGATGCCTCCTCAGCAGCAACTTCCGCGTCCTTGGCCTGCTTCTCAGCGACCTTCTTACTCGCAGCCTCCCCGATCTTCTCGACCTCAGCCAAAACACCCTCGCGGTAAAAGTGATAACAAAACAACTTCGGCAAACGACCGAGTAACAGCTCTGCCAACTGAAGTGCCGGAACCATGAGTGAAGGCGTCTCTTGCTGCGAAAGAACACCACCCAAGAACGAGGAGAAGGGAACGCCCTTCATAGCGTTAACCAACGCTTCCTCATCAAGGCATACAGCCATCTTCAAAAGCGCAGTCAACACCTTCTGACGAACGTTGAGATTGATAGTGCTCGCATACACATCGATCAAGGTCGGCAACAAAATCTTTGCGAAACGCGCGACTTCAGGTTTGCACCCCTTCAGCATCGCCAAACGATTCTCCACCGCAGCCTTCGACTTCCTCGCCGGCGTATCACCCTCACCCTCCTTCTCCTTATCCTCCTCCTTCTCTTTCTTCGGAATCCCAGGCAATAGTTCCCCGATAACATTCAACGTCTCATAAACCTGCTCCTTGCTCGAGTGGATGAGAGCCTGCATAACCATGATACTATTATTCTTCCTATCCTCCTCATTCTCGTTCGGTGACACCCCAGTGAGGGCCTGATACACCGTCTCCACAATATTCGCCTTGAACATCGCGACGGTGAGGGATGGAGAAGCTTTCGCCACAATACTCAGCAAACGGAGAAATTTTGTCCTGATGCTGGCGCCGACGATGTTGGCGAAGACGGGGCCCAGGAGGGTAATGATCGTCTTTAACATGTCGACGGAGATCAACTCTTCCAGTTTATCGGGGTAATGCCTGAATGACTCCACGATGCGCGTGACGCAGAGACATCCCTGCTCAACGACTCTCTGATCACTGCTCGTGACGACGTTCTGCAAGATTGGCATCACGTCCCTCACAGTACCAAAACAGTCAACGGGGATGGAACGACAGCAGTTCGCGGCGGTAGTGACGGCGGTCCTCTGTACATTCGTCGGAAAGAAATCAAGGTACGTTAAACATGCCGTCAACCCACCCTCCCTAACAATACTCGTCGGGTACTCAACCGAGATCTTCTCAAGCGTGGTCAAAGACTGTTCAGCCAAATCGATATACTGAATCTCCAGCAATTTCTGGCAAAGGACGGGCACGGCACCGCCGTAAACGACGTTATTGACAGACCCAGGAAGGGCCTCCATCATATTCGCCAAACAACGACACGCGAGTAACATCATCTCCGGATTGTCCTCCTCAAACGGACTCTGACTCCCTTTCATAACCTGCACCAACTCCTTCACGAACTGATCCGGCGAAAAGTATCCAGCCAACGTATCTTCCGTCGACACAGCCAGAACCTCCGCGAGTTCTTGAAGTGCCATGAGTTGCGAGGATGAGTCATCGTGCATCTTCAGGTTTGCCAGGATGTTCTTGAGGCGACCGGACATGGAGGACATCATCCCTGCCATAGCCCTCAACGAAGACGCAATACTCCCACCACCGAACAACGATGCCGGATCCGCGAAGCGTCCACTGAAATCCCCGATATCGTCCTCGTCCTCGTCTTCGTCATCCTCATCCTCATCCTCATAATCTCCCTCCCCCATCTCCTCATCATCGGACCCTTCCTCATCGTGCTCCTCCTCATCATCATCATCATCGTCCTCATCCTCGTCGTGGTCGGATTCGTGCTCATACTCCTCCGCCAGCTCCGCCGCACTCTTGTCACCACCTGCACCAAAGGAAAGATCCGAGTCATCCCTCAGCTTCCTCGAACTCCTCCTGCGAGAACTTTCAGGCATTGCTTCGGCAGGAACGGATTTAGTGTTCTTTGCCATATCGCTTTTCAGGCCTCCTTCGCCTCTTGACCGTTTCGTCACTGAAGATGGACCTTCCTGAGCGGGTGTCGGAATGGGGGTCGGATCACTCTGAACTGGCTTCGCGACCTTGGAACGCTTCTTGCGTGTCGACTTTGGTGGCGAACTACTGACGTCGGTTGCCTTGCGCTTCTTAGTCTCTGTAGTTGAAGCTGGAGCTGGAACTAGAGTCGGAGTTGTGGTTTCCGAAACGGACTTCTTCTGACTTTATCCACAAACACGATTAGTAACAACCCAACCGGAATCTAACAGATTCAAGCTCACGTTTCCTTGGTCGTAGCAGACGTAGAGCCGGAAGGGATAATAGATGCTGTGTTCTTCTTGTCGGTACGCTTGTTGTATGCCTTACCCTTGCGAGGCATGCGGCAAACGGTTCAACCCGAGTTGTGTGGTATGAATCGAAAGCGGTTCAAACGCGAGCCGGGATGTTTAGGATTACTGAAGTATGCTGTCTCTTTGTCAAGCAAATCTCATTCGCAATAAGATTCGGATTGATGGACGGTACCGGGATTCGTCCGGTATTGGAGGGGGTGGGGGTGGGGGTGTCGGGTGCTTGGTACTTTGAAGCGTTCCGAGAGCAATCAACGTATACGACTGGGCCCATGCACGTCGACTTACATAGAGCTGCAGCTGACGTGAGCCCGGGAGAAAGTGAGGACCGGTGTGGTGAGAATACACCTGAAAAACCGGGTTTCTTTTCAGCTTAACCGGCTGGTCATTTCGCATGGATGTTCCGTTCCTACCACGGCGGTGCGAGCTCGAACGTCGCCGGCTTCAAGTGACGGTACTGCGGTGTGCAAAATGCATGCAGAAACAAACTCTATGTTATGCAATATATTCCTCTTGAAGTACACATCCACAAAGAACTGACACATGAAGACAAACAAAGACAACTTCCATCATCCATCAACAGCTGCACCAGCCATCTACTGCGCAGCAGCAGCAGCCTCCGCCTCAACAACCTCCTGCGTAATCAACTTCGTAATCTTTCCAATAGCAATAGTATTACCCTGGTCACGCAACGTAAAACGTCCAAGCTGGGGGTAATCCTCAAACGTCTCAACACAAACCGGTCCAGCCAACTCCAAACGAGCGATGATCTTCATACCACGAGTAGCGAACGCAGGGGCCTTCTTTGATCGTCTGTTGGTCTTGTCGAGTTTGTGGAGGAGAGCGCCGAAGGTGACTTCCTCGACTGCGGTGTGAACGTGGAGAACGCAGGAGAAACCGGCAGTCAAGAGGGATGGCAACTCGATAATGGCAACCTGGGCCTCGAAGGCCGTAACAGCGTGCACGGGCTTCTTCACACCGCAAACGACGAATCCAGGCATGACATCCTCCTCCTCAATACCTTTGAGCCTCAAACGGACCTGGTCACCACAGGTAGCCATGTCGACTTCCTCCTCGGACTCAGCAAACATATTGGTGACTTCGACGACATCTTTGTTGGGCATGATGAGGATGCTCTGGCCTTTCTTGATGTGTCCGGACTCGATCTTACCCTCGATGACGGTACCCATGTCCTTGTACTTGACGGAGATGGGCATCATGAGGGGAGCGTTGAGCTTACGCTCCTGCATGGGCATACCATCGAGGTACTCGAGCAATGATGGGCCATCGTACCACGGGCAGACCTTAGGGTCAACGCGGTCTTTCAAACCAGCACCAGTGAAACCAGAAACGGGCATGAAGTGAACATCAGTCTTGGGGTTGTACCCAGTACCCTTCAAGAACTGAGCGAGCTTAGTAGTACACTCATCGTAACGCTCCTTAGACCACTGAACAGTAGGGTCATCCATCTTGTTAACAGCAACAATAAGCTTGTTGACACCCTGAGTCTTAGCCAAAACGGCGTGCTCACGGGTCTGTCCACCCTTCTCAAAACCAGTCTCGTACTCACCCTTACGGGCAGAAATAACGAGAACACCGACATCAGCCTGAGCCGCACCACCAATCATGTGAGGAACGAAAGACTTGTGACCAGGAGCGTCGAGAATAGTGTACTTGCGCTTCTCAGTCTCGAAATACGCACGACCAACCTCGACGGTCTTACCCTTCGCACGCTCCTCCTTGGTGGAGTCAAGTGCCCATGACAAATACCACGACTCACGGTTTTGCTCCTTCGCCTCACGCTCGTACTTCTCCATCGTTCGCTTGTCGACCATACCGGTCAAGAAGAGGATGTTACCACCCATGGTAGACTTACCAGCATCGACGTGACCCATGAAGACGACGTTGATGTGCTCCTTTCCGTACATGTCGTTGACGATCTCATCGTCGACTTCCTCCTCCTGTGCCTTAGCGATAGCGTCGGCCTCGCGCTTCTCAGCGGCGGCTTCACGCTTCTCGTTAGCACGGGAGATCTTGGACTCAGACTTCTCGACGGCAGCGACCTTCTCTGGGGTAGCGGCGGCAGCGACCTCGGCAGCAGCAGGCTTAGGGGATGCTGGTGGAGTAGCGACTTTAGCCTCAGCCTTCTTGACCTCCTTCACCTCAGCAGGCTTAGCAGCATCAGCGGAAGCACCGATGGAAACAGCTTTAGCTCCACCACCGCCGAGAGAAACAGTCTTTGCTGGTCCTCCGAGGGAGACAGTCTTAGCGGGTCCACCACCAAGCGACACGGTCTTCGCAGGGCCCCCACCCAAAGAAACGGTCTTAGCGGGACCGCCGCCGAGGGAAATAGACTTTGCAGGTCCACCGCCCAAGGAGATCGACTTGGCGGGTCCACCACCAAGAGAGATAGTCTTAGCAGGTCCAGAGGGTGCCGCAGGCTTAGGGGCCTCCTGCTGTGGTGGCTGCTGGTATTGGTTGTTGGGGTTGCTGTTATAGGCCTGTCCAGGAGCCTGGTTGTAGGCATTGTATCCATTGTATCCACCCTGCTGTCCACCGTAGCCACCCTGGTTGCCACTGTACTGGGGGTTCTGCTGTCCGTATCCTCCATACTGCTGCTGCTGCTGCTGCTGCTGCTGTCCATAACCACCCTGACCTCCATACTGAGGGTACTGTCCATACCCACCCCCGTAACCGCCACCCGGAGTGAAGGACGACGCGCCGGCGTTGAAGGACTGTGCACCAGGATTGAAAGCGGGTGCGCGAGCGGCGTTGTTGAGGTTCATACGACTGGCTTGCTGAGCAAGTCTCTGGTGGTCATTGAGACCATCTTCCCAGTTCTGAGGAGGGTTCGACATCTTGGAGGATCGATTGGCCTTTTCTGCTTGGACGCTGTTTGAAAGTCCCTACGGCAGTACGTTTATGCAGCCAAATTTCGATCCGAGACGTCACACCAGAAGCTGGGGCAAGAGACGGGCTTTGTTGCTATTGAAAGGTTTATAATTTCAGGCATACTCCTTCTAACGCATCTTCTACACCATCCATGTTCCCTTCGCAATCACTTGACGTGCCGGGCAGGCACGGTCCCCTCCCCATACACTTCATCGGCATTGCTGGGGAAATACTGATCTCGACACACAACTCCAAAAATGCAGCGATCAAGAACCCTACTACCCCGTCTCCGCTCCGTCCGAAGCTCCGCCTTCTCCACCTCCTCCCTCCGCCTCCAGGACTCCTCCCAGGGCAAGAATGAACCAAAAACCCACTTCGGATTCAAGTCCATCCCAGAATCCCTCAAAGAATCCCTCGTCGGCGGCGTCTTCTCCTCCGTCGCTCCCTCCTACGATGTCATGAACGATACCATGTCCCTCGGTATCCACCGCCTGTGGAAGGATCACTTCGTCAGAAGACTAGACCCTGGCCGAGGAAAAGGCGGAATGTCTATCCTCGACGTCGGAGGCGGAACGGGAGATATCGCGTTCAGACTCCTCGACCACGCAACAGATGTACACAACGACACAACTACCAAAGTCATGTGTGTCGATATCAACCCCGATATGCTGAGAGAGGGCGAGAAGAGATCTCTCAAGACTCGATACGCAAATACCGAGCGAATCAAGTTCCAAGTACAAAACGCCGAGGAACTCACCGCGATCCCGGATGCTTCGGTGGATCTGTACACCATCGCATTCTGTATCCGAAATTGTACTCACATCGACGCCGTCCTCCGCGAAGCCTACCGCGTTCTCAAACCCGGAGGCGTCTTCTCCTGCCTCGAATTCGCCCCCGCCGCATCCCTCCCCGGTCCTCTTCCCCTTCTCTACAGACAACATCTCTTCAAGGTCATCCCACTCATGGGCGAGCTCGTCGCGGGTGACCGGGCAAGTTACCAGTATTTGAGTGAGAGTATCGAGCGGTTCCCCATGCCGGACGATTTCTCGAGGATGATTGAGGAGGCTGGGTTTAACCTTGCTGGACGTGGATGGGAGCCGCAGACGTTTGGTATTTCTTATATCCATACCGGTGTTAAGGTTTAGACTACGGTAATATCCATGCATCTCATTTCTTCTCATTTCCTTTCAGTTGTGATGCTAGACCTTCGTTTCCTCTGACTCTCAATGCACTCTCGATTTGCCTTGCTTGGAAATCTAGCTCATGCTGGCCTTGTCTGATCTCTCTGTTCAGTCTCCATTTGGCCTCCCTCACAGCCCGTTCGCGTTCCCTGAGTGCTTGCTGCGCCTTATGCGCTGCTGCCGCCTCCGGATTTTCCACGGTATCGTCTTCCACTTCTGGCATCGTCCTCGTGTACCGCTCGAGCAATGTCACCCTCGTCTCCTCAGGTACGACAAAAAACCGCACATCTCCTTTAACACCCTGCGGCACCGTCTCAACCGTGGTACTCCTCCTCACCCCCTTCACCCCCCTCAACATCCCCAGAAACTCATCCTCGATCTTCTCCGGCTTCGCTTTCTTCTTCTCCTGATATTCCCTAAACAACTTCTCCTTCTCCTTATCCGTTCCCCACTTCTGTGCCGCCAATTCTTTCTTGTATTTTCGCTTGAATTCTGGCCAGTAGAGTTTACCCGCTTTCTCGACCAACAACGCCAAGTAGTCAATCTTCGGGTCAGTCTTCGGCGCAGCGGCTTTCTCGGCTGCGATGGCATCGAGTCGGTCCTTACAATACTCCACAAACACCTCTTTCCGCTCCGTCGTCGTCGTGATAGCCGTATACCTCTCGTCACGAACGATATCCGACAAGATGACGTCCCACATACTATATGGACTGATTTCCTTATCGTAGAGGAGGTCTTTAAAGATGGAGCGGCGTTCGAGGGGGGTTAATTCTTCTTGGGCGTCGTGGGGGTCGAAATTGCCTTCCTCGGCCATGGCAGCGAGTTGGGCCATGATGTCGTCTTCGCCGAATTCGACATCTTCTTGTAGCTGGTGGTCTGCTTCGTCCTGTGCGTAGTCGTCCTCGTATCCCTCCCCGCCCTCGTAAGAGTCCTCACGGAATCTCTTTGCATCTTCCTCGTCGTGGTCATCCTCCTCAACTTCCTCGGCAGGTCGCTTCTGTCCACGCATAGCCGCGACAGCAGCCTCGTACTCCTCGCGGTCCATCTTAGTAATGGCCTCCTTCACATGCTCCGGAATATCCCATACAGACTGCTTCGTGTCGACATTATGCGCAAACCGGCGGCCTTTCTTGGTAATGACGAGGATCCAAGGATGAACACCAGGAATGGCCTGCTTCCGCCTCGGTCTATCCGCGTTAGGATCCTTCTTTTGCTCTTGAGCAAGCTCCTGAACAGGCCCAACAGCTGCCAAAACAGCGGGAACTGGTGCCGGAGCAGGAGTATACGCCGGCCGTTCATACGTCGACGTCTGTGTCGCAGCGTTCCAGTAGTACAAGTGACCCGTCGGCGCACGATGCTCCGTCCATCCCGGCGGTAAAGGAGCGAGTTGAGGGTCTCCAGACATCCTTAATCTTCAACCTACGGGGACTCTGAATTTGGCGGTGTTCGGTTCACGTGCACAGGCCGACGCGTTCCCGCCCTGACCAGGAAGGTCTACGTAATACGATACCCAACACCACAGAGAACGACAAAAGACAAGGCAGTTGAACAATGGCCCGCCGTTACGATTCCAGAACAACAATCTTCTCGCCCGAGGGCAGACTGTACCAGGTCGAGTACGCCTTAGAGGCTATCTCCCATGCCGGTACGTGCCTCGGTATCATGGCCAAAGACGGAATCGTGCTCGCTGCGGAGAAGAAGGTGACGAGTAAGCTACTGGAACAAGACACCGCAAACGAGAAGCTATACATCCTGAACGAGTATGCATACGTTTCTTCCATCGAACCTTGGGATGGTGTGCTAATTAGACCGGAACAGCAACATGATCTCCGCTGTGGCCGGACTCACCTCCGACGCAAACGTCCTCATCGACTTCGCCCGCCGAATCGCCCAACGACACCTCCTAACATACAACGAGGACATCCCCTGCGAACAACTCGTCAAACGCCTCTGCGACACCAAACAAGGCTACACCCAAGGCGGTGGTCTCCGCCCCTTCGGTGTATCATTCCTCTTCGCAGGCCACGACCTCCTGCACGGCTTCCAACTCTACCAATCTAATCCGTCGGGTAATTACTCCGGGTGGAAGGCGACGGCGGTTGGAGCGAATAATGCTAGTGCGCAGAGTTTGCTGAAGCAGGATTGGAAGGAGGATATGAGTTTGCAGGAGGTTGTGGAGCTTGCGGCAAAGGTTATGGGAAAGACGATGGATTCGACGAATCTGACGTCTGAGAAATGTCAGTCGAATGAGTAGTCCGGTTCAATATGGTTTGTGCTAATTCGTCTTACAGTGGAGTTTGCCACGATTGGCCTTAGAGACGGAAAGATCTTCCATCACCTTTGGAAGCCGGAGGAGATTGATCAGTTGTTGAAGGACCAGGGATTGATGAAGAAGGATGAGGATGCGATGGAGTCGTAAACATGCCTGAGGAAGACGCGGATGGTGTGAGAACCTAGAGATGATGATACTGAGATACCACGGTTGAAATGCCAAGTTTACATCTGCCTACATACACCATACTCCATCGTACACGAGCGAGTGTCTTTAAAACGGATATATTACCATTAAGGCCCCTGATCTCGGGCGGCCATGAATCCATGCGAATCTGCTACTGTAATACGCAAACAGCAAAACAAAATAAAAAAATAGAAATAAGTCAATCCCGGGAACAAACTCCAAACCATCCGTGAGAGAGAGCAACTGTGGGTGTTAATGAATAGGATGAGCACCAGCTTAGGAGGAGATGAAGGTGGCCTCGGTGAAGAGGATACCGTTGTCCTCGATCTCCTTGTCGCCGTCGGTCAGCTTGAGGGTGACAGGGTTGACGCACTGGTAGATGAAGGGCTTGGTACCGGCGACACCCTGGACGAGCTTCTTGAGAAGCGCAGGGATCTCAGCCAAGACATCGACACGCTCAATACGGGTCTCGAGCTTAGCATCAATAGAAGCCTTGCTCTTACCGTCCTCCAACCAGTTAAACTCAATCCTCGTAGGCTCTTCCCATCCGGTCTCCTCATCAAGCTTCTTCTCCACGTGCGTAGCAGTGTTCTTCACCGTACCCAACACCAACTCCCCATCCTTCGCAACACCACCAACATTAACCGTAACCGAACCGTAACTAGGGGGCGTGGTGAACTCCATCATGACAGCAGAGTAGTTCTCACCCTGGAAGTTGGCAAAGTTCCATCGTGCTGCGGCGTGGTGGGGCTTCATGCCCTGGAGGGCATGGACGAAGAGACCACGGCCCTTGATGTCGAGGGCTTTGCCGTCGGCGATGATGGTACCGGTGACTGTTGCACGGGGCCAGAAGATGTGACGCATAGATCCCCAGGGCTTGTTGGCGTCAGTACCGTAAGTGGTGGTACCGTTCTTACCGGCCTTCAGTCCGGGTGCTGTGCGGGTGAACTCGACGTCGACAATCGTAGTGGGGCTAACGGATATCCGCAGAGTGTACTTGTTACCGTCCTCGGACAAGACAACGCTCGCCTGGTTTGCGGACATGGAGTGGCCATCCTCGCTCACGGCGAAGTTCTGGAGGTTCGTTGAGGACCAGACGTTCATGTTCTCCTCCTTGTGGTAGACACGGCATGTGAATTGAGTCTGCTCCTGTCCGAAACTGCAAAATTATCAGCATATACTACCGGTGAAAGAGCAATTGAGCTACTAACCCAATATTTGAGTGAATGATCTGCGCGAAGCAGAGGTGGCCAGAGTCAGCCATGATGTAGAAGGTCTGCGTCTCGACATTGCTGCCACCGGGCAACTGCCACGTGAGATCCTCAAGAGTCAATTCTGAGAACTGAGGACCCTCAGTAACCTGGTCAGCGACCGAGTGCAATGCCTCGGCGCCGTACTCAGGCTCTGCCGTTCCAGTGACGTACGCAACGCTGTGAGCAACTTTATCAACATGCATTCAATGAAGCATTGGCAAACTCTGATGGTGACTCACCTTCCTTGTAACCACTGCCTCATGATGAACTGATGATTTGAATTGAGTTTTGAAAATAGGAGGTTGCTATCGGCGTTGTTTTCCCAACCGAATTTCGTGCTGCGAACCCCGCAGCAGGGCGCACTGAAGCAGGTGAAGCGAATGCCGAGGACAGCCCCATTGAGGGAAGTACATTGATGGGCAATCAATCATGCAACAAGTGAGAAGGGTATCTTCTGGGTCCGTTTGGTAAATGATGGGGGATTCACGGGTACGGAAGAGCTGTGTTAAGATCGGGTGAATTCTCTCAGGGTATCCAAAACGGCAGTGCGTAACGCCATACACCTACAGCATGTCCTCCATTATATCATATCTAAGTGTCCATAAAAGTCCATCGAAATCATCATCCATCATTCTGCAAGATAAAGGCAAGAGCCGGGTTGAACTCGCCCATCAGGTCGTCCAAAACTGACTCCTCTGACTCCTCCACGGTAGGCGAAGTTGGTTGCTCCCAGACGAAACCGTTGTCCTTCTGCCATCCTGTTGAGATAGGCGTGATTTGGGTGTTTGGTATTCCTAGTTGGCCCCTTAGTCTTGGTCTTGATACCGAGACTGCTCTCTGGGCTGTGTGGATGAAGCTCTCAGGATCAGCATCAAGGCTAGTATCGCCATCAATGGCGACAGGGCCATCGTCTTCAACTCCAGCTGCATAACCAGCAGAGGGCTCCAACTGCGCGAAAGAATCATTCTCCTTGGTAAGGTCGACAGGAGTGGATTCTCGTTCAGAAGCCTCCGCTGCCTTCTGCGCAGACACCTTCCGCATCATCGCGTACTCCTCCTCGAGTTCCTTGACATCAAGGCCAACTTCAGCCTTCTGCGACGCATGCGTAGGTGCCCGTCTCAGAGACGCAGCCTTAGCAATGCTTCTTAAACTCATGCTCGAAATGCTTTCGTTAGGCTGGGAGAAGAAAGGTTTGGGCGGATCGAGATCTGCAGCGTTGTCTGATTCGGCGATACTCACACTGTCGAATGGGATCTGCAGACTTGTCGTGCTTGCTTGAGGAGGGGTATTAGGCAACCCTTTGCCGACGTCGAGGTACACCTTCTTTGGGCTGCCAACACTGTGGACTTCGAAGTGATGTTCGCTGACGATTGACGGTTCGTAACTAGCAACCGACTTCGCATCGAAGACCTCAAAGTTGCTTTGTTGAGATTCGGAGACAATCGATGAACGTGTAGATGCTGCATACGAGCTCGCCGTCGGAGGCGCAAGGGATGCCGGCCTCGCACTCAACTTCAATGGCTGAGACGGAGGTCGCAGAAGTCCAGGAGAAGGAGGCGGGTTCTCGTGCACCGGGCTATGGGGACTTGAACTCCTCGATGTAGGCAGCTCAATCCCCAATAAAGACCATACCACAGCCGGTGGAAGACCAGCTTCCCCAGATAACTCAATGTTGACCTTCTCCTTGCCCTTCCTCGTCTTGAGTTTATCCACAATACTCTTCACCACATCCAAGAATGCTTGCAAGATTCTCTGACGCTCCTCAGACATACCCAGAACGATATCCCGATAATGCATCGACGTCGCACTCTGAAGCTCCTTCTGTACATCCTTCGACACGAACCGCTTGTTCAATTTCGGTAGGACGTACATCCTCACATACACCCTCAATGCATGAAATGCGACCTTCGCCGGAGAACCAGTGATGGCTTCATACCCCGCCTTCCCACCATCCAGCAATGCGGCAATATCCTTCGCAGCACTTCCCTCAGCCCCCGATGGCGGTTGCAACAACTCCTTCCAATCCAGACCCTCAAACTCGGCGAAACCATCTCGGAACGCAGCGAAGGTCTTCTCAAACCTCTCAGGCTTCGCATCCGCAGACTTGAAGATATCCATGAACTTTGTGGGACTCATGCTACGCCTGGAAGTATCTGACCGGGCTGGCGAGACTGAGGTGTTGCTTCGTGTTGGACTCGGTATCCGGGGCATCTGGAAGAATTTGGTGGGCGAGATACTCCGCGAACGTATACTCCCGCCGGTCAAGCTACCCAAACTGAATGTGCTTGCGTTCTTGTGCTGTGTATTCCAGTCTTGCCGGGCGTTGGCATCAAGGGGTAGGGATTGACTCGACGTAGCTGTCCTCATCGAAGGCGGACCCATAGACACATTTAACGACAGCGGCCTGGGCTTCTTTGGGCTTCCTGGCGGTGGCGGACCTTGAAGTAGTGACTCAACAAACACCCGATTAGCAGCAACGAAGGGAATGATGTTTTCCTCCGCATACGGGAACGCGTTCCGATGAGCAGCAATCCAGACAAGATAACGCAGCCGTTCAACGAACACGTTCCCCCGTCTTCCCTTCAGCGCAGAAGCATTCTCCTCCTCCTCCCAGTTCGGCACAGCAATGAACGACTCATCCGCAACAGGCCTAACATCGACCACATTCTGCACCCTCATCGTCCGACTCTGCGAGCTACCGAACTTGATTGCCATCTTTGTCCGTGATGACTCGGAGTTGTATCTGCTTTCCTCATAAATCACGGCGACGTATCTCGTGCCCTTGAACTGAAACTCTCGTCTCGAGATAGACATAGTCATCTTGAGCGATAACTTCTGCTCGAAGAATGCTTTGGCAAATTGACTTGCGGCAAACATCCCGCCCTCCTGCCACTCCAATACCATCTTCATCTCTGGCCTCGCGTCGAACCAGGCCTGGTACCCTGCTCCCAGCCCAGCCGGCAGCTTAAACCATAGACCCCGGCCGTCGTCCGCTTCGGCTAATGTGACATCATCCAGACGTACGCGCCCAACGTATTTCATTTGCCATTGCTGGCCGGTCTGTTTTTGGATATCGAGGATGCTCTGGCTAGGCAACAACACACTGCCTCTCGTTGGTGACTTGGTAACGATAGGACGGCCATTGTCTTTCAGCACAGATTGTGCGCCTGATATGTCACGACTTCGTCGTTCGACGAGGACGAGGCAGTCTGAAAGGAGGAGAATGGTGCATGGTGTCCCGGGATGCACGTCCTCCACGAATGGTGGTGGGACGTCCACGGCGTCAATCGCGGTGATCAACTTCCGATGGCTCGCACCTAGATCAGCGGGGTATCCCTCCACAAGCGTACGTATCCGGTAGAAAGACCGGCTGCTCATTTCCTCGTCCTTCCTCTGCATGCGTGCGATATTCTCGACATGGCTCAAGGCACTGGAGAATCGCTCCTTAACCTTGGCTTGCTCCGCCGGAAGGTTCTCGATGATCCTGTTGATCAGGAGAGTGTACCGGGGTAGTCTTTGTACAGGCTCAAACAACAACTCTCGCAACCCGACTTTGTGCGCTGTTTTATACTTTACAGCGGTGACAAACTCTTCCAGAGAGCGAGACTGCTGTTGGTATTCCTTCAGCAACACCTCGAATTGATCGCTTGCATCGAGATAGGTTTCATATGCATCCTTGAACAGCGGGAAGTGTTGAAAACATGCATCCGCGACTGCCGCGGCGTCAAATCCAGCTTTCTGGAGTGAGGTCAGGAATGCTGAGTTCAGGTCCATCATGGCCTGCACTTTGACTGGCAAGAAGAGTTTGGAGATAGCGTAAGGTGTAAGGGTATCGAGTTGACTGAGCTTTGCCTTTGCCATGAGTGGATTGGCGTAATCGAGGAAGAGATGACGAAGACGCTCGACGTAGGAGGTTTCGGTTGCTAGAAGCTCATGGAGGACATCGTACACCGCGGATTGTCTGTCTTCGTCCGATTTTGGACGAGGCAGAGGTGATACAGCTCGCTGTCGTGCTTGTGGTCGTTCTGGCGAGGATAAACTGTCTGCGATCTCATCCCCGAATGCCATCAAGAAGCTCTGCACAGCTGGTGCTGTCGACGATCCATCCGGCACGACCACGTCAAACATGATACTGCGACACCCTCGTGGCTCCGCAACCGCAGATAGTGCCTGACCAACATACTTCCCATTCTCCACCCGCTCACACCCAGACGCGAACGCAACAGCATGCTCCAACCCCCACAAAGCTCCTTCCACCACGCCAAGACTTTCCGCCGAAGACACCAAAGACGGCCGTAACTCCCTCCCAATATTGTCGAAATACATCAACGTCCCCACCACGATCTCCTTGCGATGTTCCACCTTCGCCTCAGCCGCCGGCATCTCCTCCGCAACATTATGCATCAGCCGCTTATTGTCGTGTACATTCCATGCCGGTATCGCTAATGATCCCGCGGCCGTATAGACGAACATATACACATTCCCAGTCTTCTTATCCACCGCAATACTCACCACACCATCCCCCAACACAGCATCCGTAGTCGCGTAATGAACATGCTCCTCCCGAAAGAACGAATTATGTTTCAAAAGACTGTCGTACCCCCGATCCGGCACCAAACTGAACGGGATGCGATCATCGCGTCTTATACTGCGGCCCCTCGTCTGTGATTGAGGAGCCGCCATCTCATGAATGAGAGGAAATTTTGTGCGGGGTGGTGTTTACCTGTGGAATGTGTTGTGTTTGCGCTCAGGGCTCTCCGACGCTGCGACGGCTGCGAACCTTAATTAATCCGAACGCGTCGACCCCGAGAAAAAGAAACGCGTCTCGAAGAGGATGTTAAGGTAATATGTCGCAGCTCAGTCAGACTCCTCTGTTTGCAGCTGGCCCATCGACGGCTCAGTCTCTTCGTCTTCTCGAACTCCCGCCGGCACTGCTGCAACTCCTCGACTCCCCCTCCCCTCCGAAACTTACTATCAAGTCCTCGAAGGATGGACTATCGACAGTTCTTACAACGCCTTCACAAAGTTTCGTCCTCAAGTCCGTCTCACAATCAAATTCGCTTCTCATCTTCCGCCCTGACAACCAGGGACTCACGAACGTCGCGTCAATCGGATCATACCTCGAAGCTGTCCCAAGCCAAGCAAGAGTCGACCTTTCCCTCGTCTCAGAATACGATGGCGAATCAGATCTCTCACCAACAGACATATCTCTAACCAAAGAAGAAGTGCAACGCCGAACCCCGGCCTCAGACGCAGAATTCGAGAAAGCATGTCAAGAAGCACTCTGTGTAACCATCGATGGTGCACTACGACGTCTCGCACCGAGCTATATCGATCGATTGCTCGAGTTGATTATCACTACTATCGTTGCGGAGGGAATGGTATTAGATTCTGTCTCTCTGTCCACCCTCCTCGCCTCCATCGGCGAAGACGAGGAGAACCCGACCGCAATCGAAACGGTCCTCACCCATTTCTCCTCCTCCACAGAACCCCACGCACTCTCCCCAGCCCTAGTCTGCACCTACCTCGGCACCCGCCTCCTCGCCTCCCGCGCCAACTTTCCTACCGACAAGAAATGGACCCTAATCTCCTTCATCTCCGCCTGGCGCTCCGCCGTCCCACACGAATTTGCTGCGGAGTGTAAGATGGAACTTTTGAAGGGCGAATATATCAGTGTGACGAATACCGTGATTGAGTGGTTTCCTGTGGGGAGGTTACCGACGGAGCCGGCGGCAAGGTTTATGGAGTTGTTTTTGGCGAAGCCGAAATGGTATGTAATCCCCGCTATTCTGAAGTAATGAAGGTGGGAGTGCGTGAGTGAGCAAAAGGCTAATGTGCGTTATAGGGAACTTGGTGAAATTCAGCCGTATATTCAGGATTTGGCGGCGACGTCGGCGAAGGTTGATGCGTTGTTGCTTCAGCATGCGAGGAAGAGAAAGGAGGGTGGGAAGACTATCGTGACGAGTCGGAGATGATACCAATGGATTACCTTGGCCAAGCACATGATGTTCAGAGGCATACGTGTTTAATGGTAACGAAGGTTCATAGAGACGGATCGAGAGGTATCGATGTGGGGGCCGTTCCTATACCCGGCGGCCGGTCGCGCTCAAACGCGATGACAGGGAACAGAAGATAACTTTAGGCCACCTAGAGCTGAGTAACCAATTCACTGTTGAACAGTCAAGCGAGCTTGTTGGCACGCGCCTAACCAGCGAAGGTCACAGCTACCGAGCTTCCCGAACGATCCACTTCCTTTGCCCGCCTCGTAAGACTTCTAGAATACGAAGTACACTCACTAGAACGCACCCAGACAGAAGTAGGCGGCCTTTCCGCACATTCCGCGGTTTAACTACGGGATGTAAAACATCGACCTGCCTCCCACTGCAGTTCAACGAGAAAAGCAAGCTTGACAGAGTATGCCCAAAGCTAAACACAAGCTTTTCCTCTAGTATTCAAATGGCCTTATTTTCACTTTCTGCACAGACCAGATGGTGCACGGTCCCCCGCGCCTCCCGCAAGATGAGAAGGCCCGCGCGCAAAAGTCTGCACAGGTTCGTGTAGACGAGGAGGTTGGACATCTCAAAAACGTCAAGGCTGCATCAACACGCGCAAGTGCCCGAAGCTCTTCACCAAATTCGGTCAAATTCTAGCCCGCTGTAAGACACAACCAGCTCACCTATGGATCGGACTTAGTTTCCTGAAGAGAGGGGGGGTCACCCGAGAAGTGGAATAAGAACCTACGCTTCTCTCCAACGCCGACACCTCTGCTAGGACGACTTGATCTGTATTGCGAAGGATGGCAGAGTATTCACGTCTTGAGGGAGGATCAGCTGGGAAATCGGGGAGGAGATTGAGTCCCAGTCCGCTTCGCGTAGTTACGTCATCCGGACTTCAACGAGTTCCCTCCAACGCTTCCTTCGCCTCGACCTCGATGCCTCAGACGACGACCGAGAGCCCCTTCCATGCACCCGACGACTCCCTTCGTCGCGACTCTGACGACATCCGCTACGATGCCCCCGAATCTGCGCGATCCTCCGGCGAACACGAAGTCCTCTTCGAATCCCCATTCCGCAGCTCCGTGGATCAGACGAGACCCCGTTCCTTGATTGGACAGAACCCTTTCAGCAACCGTGCGTACCAGTACGACAACCCCGACGCCCGAAACTCCACCGAGTCGCTTCAGTCCGCGGGGGCGGTTCGTGGAGACCGTGCCCGCGTCGAAGCCGAAGACGAGAACTTTGGTGAGCACCTCCTTGGAGCACGTAACGATGATCCCGAGCGTGGCAACGTTGAGGACGACGAAGACCACCCGCCTACCCTCATGTCTTTCCGTGGTGTCGAAAAGGGCGCTCCGAACCCGTATATCCCTCACAAGAAATGGTACCGTATCCCCTGGGAAAGGATGCCAAATCTCTTGAGTTGGGCGCCGAAGCGCGTCCAGGGCTGGTTCTCGTTTGAGCGTTCGTGGACTTCGTATGTCTTCGGTCTCGTCATGATCGCTATCTTCATTGTGGGTTGTATCGTTATCTTTTACACCCTCGGATTTAGCAAGCCGAGATTCTATCAGCAAGGTGTTGGGTTATCCGTTCTTAACGGCATCGACGAGACCGGATTCAACTTGACGCGTTACCTCAACGTCTCCCTCACTAATCCCAACTTCTTCGCTGTCACGGTCAAGCCCCTCGAGCTCTGGGCCGTATACAACGGTACTTACTTCTTCGGTCAAACCCTCGATAACTCCGGAATCAAGCTCAAGGCCCACGCCAAGAACACCTCGGTCGTTATTCCATTCGTTTTCTCCTACCTCACCTCTCAAGACGCCAACACCTCCTTCATCACCCAGTTGGCGCTTGAGTGCGGTGCAACCACCAACGACAAGCCCGAGGCTTTGCCCTACGAGTTGTTGGCGCAGGGAAAGACTAAAGCCGTCAGTGCTTTCAACATCCAAATGGATATGGGTAGGACGCCAGGTGGTATGACGTGTGATTCTTTGACTGGGAAGGTTGTTAGGAGGATGGCGGAGTTGAGGGGTGTTACGTTGGCGGATTGGCAGCAGGGTAATGATGATGTGTCTGCTGGCGACACTGCCTAGATTCGATGAGGGGCTTTATGGGCTCGCAGAGGGAGAGAAACATACTTTTAGCATTTTATACGTTATTTCGAGATCTTAGCTTTTAAATCAAATTCAGGTTGCATTTAATTCCGTTCTCGCTCAGTTAATTGAGTTCATTACACGCGCGAACTTGGCCGCAAACGCGTCTTCCCAGCCCTCATCTACGATCAACGATTCTCAAAAGGCCTACATGGCCCAGTAACGACCAGTCAGAATCAAGCATGAGCTGCTCAGGATCCGGCTGGCAGCAGTCGAAGCCTCTACGGAAACCTCTAGCCCAGAAACCTCTTGTCGCCCTTGACTTTGTTCAAAACCGGATCACGCCGCAGAAGACGCCTGGAGGAGCCAAAGTCACGCCGGCAACCACGACGAAGCAGAGTGGACTGGCCGCTTTTGGTTTCGTAGGTAATGACGAAAATGCCATCGCCCAAGGAGTACGAGGAAGAGAGATAGTGCTACCAACGCCACCCCGCACAACCCTCAAACGAAAACGCACACCCATTATCACCGTCCAAGCATCCCGCGAGTCGACGCCAGAGGAGGAAGTTCTCGGTGGTAGTCCACCGTTGCCGAGTCAGAGGCTGTGTCAGGGGACTGTACTGTTGAGGAGACGGAGCGTGGTCGAGGATTCGGAGAGGGAGAGGAGTGATGAGATCTTGGTGGGGAGTTCGCCTGTTGTGGCTGTAAGAGAGCAGGAGAGGAAGAAGCTGTTGGTTACCCTGCGGTATCGAAAGAGGGTATGCGTAGCAGTTGTACCGACGTCTGTACGCAGCTTGGAAGCTGAAGCGGGAGAAGTGGAGAACATCGAGGTACCGAGCAGTATGCCTTGGGAACGGGACGTGCTGGACTGGTGGTCAGAGGACGACGAGACAGGCAAGGCTGTTCGGTCGGAAGAACAAGACCAGAAGCACGATTCGGTTGAGGAAGTACCATCTTCAGATGTCGAGGACCCTGCGGACGAGGTTTCCGATATGGAGGTCGACGATGACGATGACGACCAGAGTCTCGATCTCGCACCCGTCCCCGCTCCCGCAGCACAATCAGTACCACAATCTCCTGTCGACAGTCCCACTACTAGCGAGAATTTCCGACTACCTGAGACGCTTTTGGAGACATGTATGCCACCCGGATGGCAGGGTATGGACCTTACACTGCGATCCTCACCGATACAGGCTGGGTATACGGTTCCGCAGATGCCTGCGGATACGATGGATGAGACTGTGGACGTGGAGTCAGCACCAGAAGAGCAGAATGCCGGAGAAGCTGAACGAGAAACACACTTGAGGGAACTGGTGTACGTCGAGGATACACAGGCTCCGGACGTTGACGACGAGGATCTCGGACCACCATCCACGCCACCCATCGTCGACACAGATGCGGCAAGCGAGATGCCACCACCGGCGCTCCCAACGCCAAAGCGAGGTTTCGTGGAAGAGACGCAGATGCCATGGGACACACAAGAAGAAGCAGACCTCGGTCTGAGCCAGCCGGCGTCACCGAACAAATCACAGCGAACACCAGAGCGAACTCAGTCTCCTCACTCACCCACGAAACCACACAGCACCCCACCCTCTCCCTCACCCCCCTTCACCCGCTCCCGTCTCCCTCTCGTCGACCCCGAGCAAAACACCCTCGGTACCCTTCACCTACCCTCAAGCATGCTAAACTCATTTATGCCGCCCCCGATGGGGAGTCAATGCTGGGCGAGTTCGGGACAGAGTGTGAAGAGTGTTGGGAACCCGGAGGAGAGTCAGTTGCCGGAGGATTGGTTGTTGGATGATGAGCTTTAGTTTTAGCCAGAGCATGAGTCACGGTTACGGTTACGGTTACAGATTCAATGATTATGGTAACCAACCTCCATTTCCATGTTCCCACCGCTCCCAGCCGCCGTCTGCACCACACCAACCCCTGAATGACGCTGGCCATACGAACCCACCCAAACACCAACACAACCACCAAAATGCCCTTCCAGCAACAAAAAATCGCCGCAGCCTCCCAATTCCTCCTCGCCTCCCCACCCGGTGAACTCAACGACGTCTTCAACGACATCGCATCCCTCGTCAACGACGACACCGCCGTCCTCAACGCCCTCGAACCCGCGTTTGAGAAGTATAATTTGGAACAATATGTCACGGTTAAGTTGCCGTTGCCTGGGGGTGAGGGTGAGGGTTTGAGTTTGGTGAGTGAGTGGAATCGGGTGGCGGGGGAGGAGGGACGGTTCGTGGATCCGAGGGTGGGGAAGACGTTTGTGTTTGATCATGTAAAGGGGAAAGCGAGCGATGTTCAGCCCTATGACGAAGATTTGGGAAGGGAGTGGGAAGAGCTGAATACCGGCATCGAGGCATACGTCAACGAACACTTCCCCTCCGAAGGCGCAAGCGGGGTGTTCAAGGGCCAGGCGGGAGGATCAACATGGAACGTGGTCATCGTCGGAAACAAATATAACCCATCGAACTACTGGTGGGTGATCCACTCTTCCAATAACTTACTGCACTCTGGCTAACAATGGATACGCACAGGAACGGCCGATGGCGCTCATCCTACACCTTCGACTCTACCTCCGGCACCCTAACCGGTACGATCCGTGTCACCGTCCACTACTACGAGGACGGCAACGTATCCCTCTCCACCACCCACTCCATCTCCAGCACCCCTTCCTCTCCCTCCACCCTTGCCAAAACAATCGCGGCGGAAGAGAAACGGTATCAAGAAGAACTGAATAAAGCGTTTGGAGGGTTGAGTGAGGGACCCTTCAAGGGGTTGAGGAGACAGTTGCCGGTTACGAGGCAGAGGGTTGATTGGGAGAAGGCGGGAGTTTATAGGATTGGCCAGGATGTGGGGAATGCGAGGAGGTAGATAGGACCCTGAATGTGATGGTGGTATACCCGCTGTTTTCCTGTCAGTGCTCCTCCGCATGATTATCTGTGATTCCGTCTCGCTCCTGACTCGGTGTAGATGTCGGATAGCACATCCCTCGCGACCGTCGTTCTCTGACAGCAGTTGCGGGACGCGGCGTCTCTCACATATCGGGTCCAGCCAGCCCTCAATGTCCATCTCACCGCCAACTCGTTTTTCGTTTCATCACCCCCAAAACAGGTACAACACAAACAACACCCCCAAAATCATCCCCACCATCGACATCACACTCCTCCTCGACGCATTCTTCATAACCTGTCCCAATTTCCCACTGGTGGCTTTGATCTGCGTTCCCATGTTCTCGAAGACATCCGTCTATATCCCCAGCCCATCAATTAGCCCACATTTTCCCAAAAAGAAGGGGTTTGGGCGCACGGTTTGAGTGATAAACGAATGATCACTCGCGTGACGATGGATATCGTTCGTTACACCCCGAAGAGCGGTGACTTTTGCGGCGAGGGACTCGAGGAGGGCGTCGTTTTGGGCTTCGAGGTCGCGTGCTGACATTGAGCTGGGTGTATGCGGATTGCGACTGGTGTTGAAGGGGGGTTGAGGTTGTTAGGGTTAAATGGAGGGCTGGTTTAAGGTTTGGGGGGGATGCGAGGCCATGCGAGGTCATGCGCTCCGGATGAGCAGGCTGGCTGGCGGATCATACATAGGAAGAACTCGATGTCCATATTACGGTAGCAAATATCCATCTATCCGATATCCGACCCATATGCATTTGATGCATTCACTCCCTCGACGCAATGACCGTAGACGGTCCTCCGCCATCCTCATCGATGTCACTTCGAACTCCATGGACGCCGGCACCATGACTCGCTCTGTACGCGTGCTCACCTACAACCCCACCCGCACCAGACCCCGACCTCAGCCTTGAACCCAACCTATACACCTCAAAACTCACCCCCAAATCCCCATCCACCCTACCAACCGCCGCATCCTCCCATTCCCCATTCCTTGACACCCCCCTATTAAGGGCATGTTCTTTCAGGGTCCAGATGTAGCCACTGTAGCAGTTGGGGACGTTAACGTTTATGCAGCGTCTGGTTGGGAATTTGCATGGCTTGATACTCTCGATGCATCTTCTATTGGTACAGGTCCCCAGCTTTAGTACAAGGATTCTACACTCCTTGTGACCACAAGCGTCAATCCTCCTAGTGATTCTAATTCATGGCGTTTAATTAATTTAAGCGTATTAAAAATTAACTCAGATAGCGAGCACATGACATCATCCATCGCGATACTGGCACCGGCACCCCTAACCACCAACTAAACTCTCCAAGGGACCCCCAATCCATGCCCCCTACAAAACCGCGATCGCCCCTCGACCCCAAACCTCTCCGACCCCGCCGCCGCTCCTCAACCTCAAACCCTCCATTTGTACCCACAAAACCTACGAAACCAATGACAGACGAATCGCTTCGCCAGAAATCCGTACAAACCTTGGCGCAGGCGATAACGAGTAATGCGCCGGCTCCGGGAGATGATCATTTGAGGATTGCGCAGGATGTTGAGGAGGCAATTTTTCAGGCGCATGGAAGTGCGACGGGGAATGACTATCGGGAGGCTGTGCGGTCGAGGTATATTCACCCCTCCATCTTCTCTGATTGGGTTGGGACTAACGGAACGGAACGTGAATATAGGATTCTGAACTTGAAAGACCCCAAGAACCCCGACTTGGCCTCTCGCCTAACATCCTCCGCGATCACCCCGCAAACCTTCGCAACGATGTCTATCCAAGAAATGGCTTCCCCAGCTCTGAAACACGAAATCGAGGAAATTCGGGACGAGAATATGAGGCAAGCGGTCGAGGTGGAGGAGAAGCAGCCGATTCAGGTGGATGAGGATATGCCGCCGGGGGAGGGTGGAGCAGATGTTGGGAGGACTGGGCAGATGGGGTTGGAGTTTGATCAGCCTGGGAGTGCGAGTGCGTAAGTAATCAGTCAGGTGTTTGTTATTGTAGTGTGGATACCACGGATATCTTAAGCATCAAACAGTAATGAGAACAACTCGACTCTATCTTGGAATGACCATGTCAACGGTGACATCACCCTCAAGCCTTCTACGAAACCGCCGGCTGTCCTCATCTTGATACACATACACGAAACCTATCATGGGCATCTTCTCCAACCTCCGCCATCTTTTCAGAGCAGAAGCTGAGTACGCCGCTCACGCAACTGTCGACCCAAACTCGAGCCCCCATAACTCCGGTGCATCCCATTCACAAGCCGAAATCGACGCCGTGGCACGTCGCGAATCTACGACCGAGGATGACAACGGCATTGGCAAGAGTAAGAATGTGCATCCAAGTTGGGATGAAAGGGATCAGGATATGAGTATGGATATGGATGCGACTTGTGGGATAAGTGCGACGGAGGCTGCTATTAATATGGGGGCGGCTTATTAGAGGGTTTAATAGAAGGTGTTTGAGGGGATAACTGCCGAAGTCGCGGCAGTCGTGCGTGAACGGGACCGAAGATTCCCCGCTGCCCCCGGAATATAGATCAAAACCACCATTCCTCCCCATACACTTCCTCGATCCATTGCGATTAAAAATGGCGACCAGACAAGCAGTTAGCAAGCTCTTTCCCAAATCCCCCAAAGACGTCGTCTTCGTCTCCGCACTCCGCACCCCAGTCACCCGCGCCAAGAAGGGCGGCTTCAAGGACGCCTACCCCGAAGAACTCCTCTCCCACATCCTCAAGGCAACGCTTACCCACACCTCCATCGACCCCAAACTCATTGACGACGTATGTATCGGTAACGTCCTTCCCGAACTCGGTGGTGCGAAGGGTGGGCGTATGGCTCAGCTTCATGCGGGGTACGATGTCCGTACGAGTTTCCATACGGTGAATCGACAGTGTTCGAGTGGCTTGCAGGCAATTACGCAAAGTGCGCATGCGATCATGGTTGGGCAGAGTGATGTTGTCGTTGCGGGTGGTGTGGAGAGCATGACCAGAAACTATGGTTCCAGAGCGATCCCGGTTGATCTGAGTCCGGAGTTGAAGAAGAGTCCGGTGAAGGATGCGTTGGATTGTATTATGCCTATGGGGATTACGAGTGAGAATGTGGCGGAGAGGTATGGCGTTACGAGGGAAGATCAGGATGCGTTTGCGCTCGAGTCGCATCGGAGGGCGGAGAAGGCGCAGAAGGAGGGGAAGTTCGATGGGGAGATCGTACCGGTCCAGACACGCTGGATCGAGGAAGACGGAACGGAGATTCAGAAGATGATCACGAAAGATGATGGTGTGAGACGCGGACTCACGATCGACAAGCTGCAGAAGTTGAAGCCGGCGTTTAAGGAGGATGGAACGTGTACCGCGGGTAACTCCTCTCAGGTCTCGGATGGTGCTGCGGCGTCGTTGTTGATGAGGAGAGAAGTCGCGGAGAAGCTTGGGTACACTCCCATCGCACGGTTCATCGGTTCCCAGGTTGCCGGGTGTCCGCCCGATGAGATGGGTATGGGACCTCTACACGCTATTCCGCGTCTCTTGTCCCGTCATGGACTCAGGACGACCGACGTCGATATCTACGAATTGAACGAAGCTTTTGCAACGCAGGCGTTGGCGTGTATGCGTGGCTTGAAGTTGGAGAACGCGATTGTGAACCCGAATGGAGGAGCGATTGCTTTGGGACATCCTCTTGGAGCTACGGGTGCTAGACAAGTTGCCACCCTGCTCGGAGAGATGGGAAGGACTGATGCTGAGGTTGGTGTTGTCAGTATGTGTATCGGTACTGGAATGGGAATGGCGTCTTTGATTGTTAAGGAGTAGGTGTAGTTGAAGGTAGTAGGAAGAATTCGATATATTTTGGTCGGCGAACGGACCGATGATGTCCCGAAGCGCAAGCGCCCCACTTTATCCCAGCGTACGAGGGGCCGGCTAAATCCGTCATCCCCGCATGGATCGATATATAAGGATCGGGATGTCTACTACTCCAAGGGCAAGGCCAATTGTAACAGCAACATGCCCAACTACAACTTAAAGATCACCGGCTTCGAAGTCAAGGACGCCCGTTTCCCTACCTCCCTCGAGGGTGACGGCTCTGACGCAAGTTCGTTTTCCCTCCTCCTTCTTCCTCTCAACGCAATTGATCCTGACGTGTTATGACAGTGAACCCAGCATGCGATTATTCCGCCGGCTACTGTATCCTCAAGACTGACGGCGAGCTCGTCGGTCACGGCATGACCTTCACCATCGGCCGCGGCACCGACATCGTCTGCATGGCTATCAAATACCTCGCCGCCCGACTTGTCGGTAAATCTCTCGACGAGCTCGTGGAAGACATGGGCAAAACTTGGCGCCACCTTGTCTCTGACTCTCAATTACGCTGGATCGGGCCGGAGAAGGGTGTTATTCATCTTGCGTTGGGTGCGGTGGTGAACGCGCTTTGGGATTTGTGGGCGAGGGTAGAGGGGAAGCCGGTTTGGAAATTGGTTGGGGATATGACGCCCGAGGAGATTGTGCGGTGCATCGACTTCAGATACATTTTGGATGCGATCACGCCGGAGGAGGCCATCCAGATGTTGACGGACGCCAGGGAAGGAAGGGAGGAGAGGTTGAGGGAGGTGGAGGAGTCGAGGGCGGTGCCGGCGTATACTACTTCTGCGGGATGGTTGGGGTACAGTGAGCAGAAGATGCAGGAACTACTCAAGGCAACTATGGCGGAGGGATTCAACCACTTCAAGTTCAAGGTCGGAGGCGGGTTGGATGCTGACCGCCGCAGATTATCACTCGCGAGAGACGTCATTGGGTATGATAAGGGGAACGTACTCATGGTCGATGCAAACCAGGTTTGGAGTGTACCGGAGGCAATTGAGTATATGGCTCAGTTGAAGGACTTCAAGCCGTTGTTTATTGAGGAGCCGACGTCACCGGATGATATTCTCGGACACGCGGCGATCAGGAAGGCGTTGCAGCCCTTGGGGATTAAGGTCGCCACGGGCGAACATGTACAGAACAGGGTTATGTTCAAGCAACTTCTGCAAGCCGGCTCCATCGATTTCTGCCAGATCGATGCGTGCCGACTCGGTGGTGTAAACGAAGTCCTCGCCGTCCTCCTCCTCGCAAAGAAGTTCAACGTCCCCGTCGTGCCGCATTCGGGCGGTATCGGACTCCCCGAATACACTCAGCATCTCTCAACCATCGATTATCTCTGCGTATCAGGGAAAAAATCGATTTTGGAGTATGTGGATCATCTGCATGAACACTTCTTGCATCCGAGTAGGGTAGAGAAGGGGTATTTTGTTACGCCGATGGAAGCGGGGTATTCGATTGAGATGAAGGAAAATGCATTTGAGGAGTTTGAGTTCCCGGGGGGCAAGTTCTGGAAGAGTGATGCGGCAAAGCCGATTTTAGAGGGGCCGTTTATCTGAGGGCTCAGAACGTATGCTAATAACTTAAAGCTACTGTTAAGAAGACCCTATCGCCTACAAAGTTTAAGATATATTTTTCTTTTACACGAACGTCTTTATCTTGGCCTATCCTCCGTCCGCTATCTGTCTGTGAACAGCCCCGTACTGCACGAGTCTCGGCTTAGGTTTTTCCCACGACGTCAAAGCAACCTGCTCGGGTCTGACCTCGCCCAACTGCAAGTAACTGTTGTTCATCATTTGCAGGACCCATGCTCGACAAAGGATTTGTCTTTGGTCTTGGTGCGCGTGGTCTGGGGCATCTTTCACATCATCTACTGGTAGAGTCGAGGAGCGTGTGGGCCCACGGAGAGTGCCATCGTCATACGCTGTTGATTCTTCGAGCAAGGCTTGACCAGTCTCGTCCGGCTTGGACGAACCGGATACGAGTTGGCCGAACTTTACATGATGTGGATCTGTTCAGTAAAGCTGAGAAGTGTGACACCACGAATTACGAACCTCGTCGGTTTTGCCTGGTCCATCCTAAATAGAGGCATCAGGTAGTACTTCCTTATGAAGGCACTGGCCAAGAGGAACTTATTATAGGAATCTGACATCCTCGACCTCCGCTTTGTAATTGCAAGATGTGAGGTACGACAAATCTCCCAGGCGGGGCAAAGGGCACCCTCGTGTTGAACACGCGTACGGGTTGTCTGTGGTCGATGATACTATCGCTCTACCATCGTTAACAGTTCTTACCCGACGTAATTAAGCGGCCGCAGTGGGCTTGCACGTCGATCGACACTCGTCCGCCGTTGCTTTGCGCTGCTTGCGTAATTCACGTGTAATGTACCGCGAGGAGGTGAACCGCACTGACAGGCCTTGAGCGCATGAAGAAAAGTACTGAAGGGACGACACGGCTTAGAAGACATATTTCTTCTGTGACGTTGAAGAGAAGATTAGCCATAGAGCCTCTGATGTCGCGGTCGACCAGGACAGACTGATGCCAATAATCTCCCGGGCCGCTCCCCCAGCGATAGTTATTAAACGCTAATTGGACGACAACATCCCGGCAGTCTCGGGCGGATAGGAAGTTCGAACGGCCAAAAGATACAGCACCCGAGTATTCCCAGCTGGTCTCCCACGCTAGTACTGACTGGGCCCTATGATGCTTAACTTAGGAGATCGGACGGGATCCTGTGCTTTCATCATGGTGTGGCCGTATCTGGTGATTTCACTTTGGAAATATTTTTGAGCCGGAACGATGGGATTGTTCGATACGAAGGTTTTTAGTTGGCATTCGGTGGTGCTTGGGGAGAAAAGCGCGGGGGATTCAGGAAGATGATTCTATTCTTGTAACAGCGCTAGCTGAGTGCTCCCACGTCTCATTCACCAACATGCCCACACTTCCATCCACCCTCATATCTTTCGCACCTACTCCTCCATCTCATCCCCACCCGCGCCCTGTGCACCATCTTCACCCAGTGCCTCCTCCTCCCCAGCTGTGGCACCACCCCCAACCCCAACCCCCTTCCACCTGACATTAATTCTAACCGGATCCCCCCCATTAACAACCCCATCCCTCCTCATCCCCAATTTCGCTTCCGTGAGTTGTCTCGATCTCTTAAGGGTTGCTTTGCCTACATATTTCCTATACGCCCATACCTTCTCTGGTCCCTCAGAGGGAATGATGATGATGTCGTTATTACAATCCCCGATCAACTCATACTTGTAATCCCGTACATGTCGATACGCAGCCTCCCCGCCTTCCTCAACCCGTACCGCGTCACCACCATTGGGTGCGTAGTACCCAAAGTACTCGTCTTCGGACGCGGATGCCGCGGCGCGGAGGAGGGAGTTCGTAACTGAATCGGTGTTGGAGAGGGGTGGCTCGTTAAACCGGATATGCAACAATTGTTGCCCAGAGAGGATTTGGTCGGGGATGATCGGCCAGGACTCGAGGGCTGTCAGGGTACGGTTGAGGGGGTGTGTCATTTGTTCGAGGGGTGTATCAGCGACCTCGAACGTTCTCTCAATAGCAGCAACCTGCGCCTCCGGATCCGCGAGCGAAGAGAGGTGTTCATATGCGTTCTGTTCCCGCTGCGAGGTCCGGATTCCGGATGATTTGTGTTTTGTCCGGGAGGATTCGGTAGAGATATACTCCGTCCTCCTCAAGAAATTCTCATTATGCGCTCTCTTATTCGCCGAACTGTGCGCGGCATCGGGGTCAACGCACAACAACGCATCCTCCTCATCCAGCTTCTCTCCACTCCCATACAACCCCCTCTCATCACCCTCGAAGAGACCTTCGATGAGGGAGAGGTCGAGTGGCATTCCGTTTTCTGCGTCGAGTTCCATATTTGGTGGGAGAGAGCGGATGATTTGGGAGGTGGAGAAGGGGGAGAGGTAGGTTTTGAGGGGGAGGGGTGCGTCGAGGAGTTTTGGGGGGAAGGGGGGTGGGGGGAGGGTGTTCTTGTAGCGTTGGCGGACGATGAAGTCTTGGCGGGCGCTGGTCTTTTGGGAGGACATGGTTGGTGGGGTGGGGGGTGTATGCTGCTTGCTGTTCGAGGACGTGGAGCTTGGTGTAGAGTTTCGTGATGGTGTGGTGCAGGGGTTGCCGCACCCCAGACCGTACACACCACCAGCATACATTCCAGCATACATCCCAAGGCCATGGAGAAGGCAATAGGTGCACGTTGGCTGCGCTTCCTGCTGTCAGAAGGAGAAGAGAGGAAGCTGGCAAGGCTACTTCATTCACGGGGGTTCGCGGTGTCATTGCCTGCTGCTACACTTTGTCACGAAGAGGATGGGATCGTGATTCGGACAGTCCGGGACTCGACCAGAGTCATTCTAGGATCGTACGGGATCTTGACGTTAATCGATGTGGTGGTCAAAGGCATCGTTCGACGACAAAGGTGCGCATGCTGTGGAAGGCCTTCTCCGACGGAGGAGTCGCTAACGTTCACTGCGTACAGCCCCCGCACCATTCTTAGTACTCTCAAATCCTCCACAAATCTGCGTACATCATCGTCCTTGGCAGGATTCCTCGCCCTCTACCGTCTAGTCCACCACACCCTCCTCCGCATCCACTCAACAACCACACAGCCCTTCGCTCGTCTCCATACCTCCCCGCCCGTTTCCTCGCTGGTGACAGCGTCTATCGCATCCACAGCCCTCATCCTCTTCCCCGAGGGTCGGAGACGACAATCGCTCGCGTTATACATTCTCTTCAAAGCCCTCGAGACACTCTACGACACACTCCACGCCGCGGGCAAATTACCTGCGAGGTGGGATCGTAACGCGAAGAGCTGGTGGTTCATCCCACCGTCCCTCGCACATCTCCTCCACGCGTTCATTTTCTACCCAACGAGTCTCGCACCCACGTTCGAGCGTCTCCTTACGCGGTTGTCGGCACCGTACGTCCCTCCCTCCGCCGTGCAGTATTTGGGAAAAGTGGCGAAGGGAGGGTATGGACGGTATTATTCACCCACGCTCTACCCCTCCGGACCATCCATACTAAACGGACACATCGACGGCGCACATCCCGGGCATACACGGCTTTGGTCAGCACTAACCAGACCCAGCGAAGTCAGCGCAACAAAACACGCTGTCGTGGCGGGGATTGGGTCGATATATGCGCTCGTCAAGGTGTTTAATTTGGTTTATGCCTCTCTCGCACTCATCCTTCTCCGCAAATCCCCCAGCGCACCCCCCCCGGCCGTGTTGCTGAATGTCTTCGCAAAAACCCTCAAGAGTTCCATGCTCATCACCGGCGGGCTCACCACATTCTACTCCCTCGCAGACATATTATCCTCCTCCCTCCCCTCCCGCGCATTCCCGACATCCCGGTTCTACGCGCTCGGATTTCTTGCCGGATTATGGGGCCGACATATCGAGTCTCGCGCTCTCGGGATCTACCTCGCGAGAACGGCGACGGAGAGTATGTGGCGGGTTGGGGTCGAGCGAGGAGTTGTGAAGGGGAGGAGGGGTGGGGATGTGATGTTAGTGGCGGTGGGGATGGGGGTTTTGGGCGCGTGTTATGAGGCGAACCGAGGATACGAGGCTGACAAGACCATCGAGGGTGGGGGGAAGAAGAGGGCTGGGATGGAGTGGTTGGTTTGTGGGTTGAGGGGGGATGTAGACAGGAGGGTTAGTAGGAGGAACTCTGGGCATGTCGTGTTTGATGCTGAGGCCCCGGCGGCGACGGGAGGACCACCGGCGGAGGACGAGGAGGAAGAGGAGCTGGATTCGGGGGTTGTTGGGTGCCGTGCTGAGTAAGCTTAAGGGAGTGTTTGAAGAGGGTTGTACGATATTGATATGCGATATACCTCTTATACTACTAATTTGATGGTCGGAGAGTTGACCTCATCCATCTAAATGGAACCTACACCGCGATCAAAATATGCCTTGCGTACGATTGTCCAAGCTGCAGGAATCACACGCTCGGCCCAACGATCATAACGCCGTAAATTCTTCCCAATGCTCTTCAACCCTTTCCCCGTCAACCACTCATACGCACTACGCCTCTTCCCGCTCCGCATCACGAAATTCCTTATCATGCTTAAGTACTGTGAATAACCATGCGAACCTGAAATACGACAGACTACAACCTCGACCTCCTGTCCCAGACTGCTGACTCAAACCACTCTGCATACCCCTTGACACAAATCCTCACCCTCCAAGTCGACATCGCGTCCGAAGATGCAATTCGCTGTATAATAACGCAGGCCGTCGACAAATACGACACGATCAATTATGCAGTCAACAACGCTGGCCGAGGTGGTCGGGCAGATACCTCCCACGCACTGTCCTCCTCCCATTTCGATTTGTTGAACAAGAATTGTACGAAAGTATATTTTGGCCGAACTCTAAAACGTCACAATCCCACAACGCCTCAGATAAGTCCATAATTCCCATCCCGTCCCCCTCCGAAACCATCATGCTCATGCCTATCCACCAGTCCCGACCCACCCAACAACATCTCATTCACTACGAAATACCGTCCCGAGTCCTCTCCATCGAGCGTGGTCCTGTTCGATCCCTTTCTCAGATGGGAACGTCCGGCCTCGTCATATGGGCGTCGTGGGACATCTTCATCCCGTGGAGCATCTGTTCTTGGTGATTACTCGGGGTACCGGAGCTGGTGTTCGAGCCCGCGGATTGTCGACGGGCTTTTTCTTCGCGTTCGCGGGCCATGTGTTCGGCTTCGAGACGGTCGTCTTCGCGCATTTCGGCTTCTTCTGCGGCTCGGGCGGGATGGAAGGGGTGTTTGAGGTGGTCCATGAATGTCATTAGATATGTTAAGGGCTTGGTGCGTGGGAAAAACTTGGTGAGATGAAAAAGCGGGAAAGTCGGGACTTTCGTGAACATTTAAATAGAGGCAGGAGCTACATTCCGTCATCGAAGGTGACGAGAACTGCTAAGGGTGCACCCTGAATCACGTCGTGCTGGTTTCAGACTCATGCGGTAATGTCGACGCGCACATATGTAACCTGCCTTCCATGACCAGAGAACCTTGGAAAGAACTCGGAGGAGTAGAAGTAGACTTCGGCATCGTCGTCGCTCACAGTGGAGCATACCAACCCTCTCCGGTGGTGATCTCGATGGTGATGTGGTCGCTTTACGGCTCGCACATCTTGCCGGGCAACTGGTCGGTGCACCGGAAGCTGGTAGAGAAATGGAACTAGTTGTGTAAGATGTACAGACTGAACCATCATCCTGAGCCGGCGTACATTTCGGGGGAGTTCGTGAACGATACCATGTATAATCCCCAACACGGCCTCCACCTTCTCTTCTCGTCAATCAGATGGGATCTAATCAGATGTGGGGCGCAATCGCCACCCGGAGCGCGGCGAAGTCACTTTAACTTGAGAACCCCAGAAAAAACCAACCACCAACCAAGTCGACCGTCATTCTGATCCGTCAAGCAGTCAAGCAGAGACTGTCAGTCACAATGACCGGAGGTGCAATGTACACAACAAGAAACACCTCCACAACCCCCGCCTCCCATGGCGGCATCAAAACCCGCACCGAGATCATCTCCTCGCAGTCCGAAGTCCCGTCTCTCTCAACATCCACCTCAACCACCTCCTCGCCACCAGCTACACCCCCCCTCACCGAGACCCCCGTCCCCACAAAATGCAAGAACTGTACCTGTTGCGCAAAAGACGCTTTCGAGAATTGTCAAATCGATATCGTGCAGGACGTCACGAACTCCATCGCAAACATGGGTTTAGAGGTCGATTTCACGACGTATCCGACCGCACTCGCAAAAGCTCAAAAGGAGATCGAGGAGAAAGAGGGAGCGGTCAAGGTTCCTGTTTTGCCTGCACTCTCGCTGAAGAAGAAGGCGGCGGTGCAGAAGGGGGAACAGAGTGAGCATTTTGAGTATCCGACGGATAACCCCGCGTTCGATCAGCTCCCGTTCCCGCGTGCTCTCTTGACCCCCGGGTTGAAATTGACGAACATCACCTCCCTCCCTGCCTCCATCCTCTCGATGAAAGGTAAAGACCAGAGCCAGAAGCGGGAGACATCCTCCTACGTTCCCCCCGATTGGGTTACGCCCCATTTCCCGGATACGCCGACTTTCCACGCTCCCATGACCGATGCGCGAGAGTTGACAAAACCGGGTGCGTCGAAGCGCGTATTCCATATGGCGATGGACGTAGAGGACTACCCACTGAACGAAGGCGAAGAATGGATGGTGGGCGGTGCGATCGGGATCATCGCACCGAACGCTCCCGATATGGTGGATGATATACTCGATGCGTTGGGGTTGGTGGATGTTGCGGATGAAGTTGTCGAGTTGTCTACGGAGGGCGGGAGGTGGCCGACACTTTGGGGTGATGAGAAACCGAGGTGTATGGAGACCACGAGGAGGGAATTGATCACGTGGACGGTCGATATCCAATCTTTCCCACCTACCAAGAAACTCCTCCGCGTACTCGCCGAATACGCGACAAACACGAAAGAAAAAACGATTTTGACGTTTTTGTGCTCGAAGCAGGGACAGAGTGCCTTTTTGCAGTTGAGGGCGAGTGCGCATTTGACGCTTGCGCAGTTGTTGCGTGCGTTCCCGTCGACGAGGGGGTGTGAGTTGAGTCATATCCTCGGTGTGTTGCCGCCGTTGAATCCGAGGTGGTATTCGCTTTCCAACGATCCGATGCACGCGCCTGGGAGGAAAACCCTCGAGATGGCGTTCACGATCGTCGACAGTCCGGATTATAAACGTGGGGTGCGGTATGGTGTCGGAACGGGATTCTTGGAGCGCATCACGAGTGAGTGGGTTAGAGAGGGTGGAAAGAAGGATATTAAGGTTCCGATGTTTAGGGGAGTACACGCAAACCCCCTCGCACGCGAATTCTCCGCTTTCAACGGACCCATGATCCTCATTGGCGCCGGAGTCGGCGTGGCCCCGTTCAGAGGCTTCGTACAGCGGATGTTCAAGACAGCGACTGATATCGATAACCCACCCTCCAAGATATGGGTTTTGCAGGGGTGTAGAGACCACACCGTCGACGAACTCTACTGCGGAGAATGGGTCGGTCTCGATGGTGACTCCCGCCGCGTCGTCGAATCACAGACCGGAAAGAGGGAGTACGTGCAGGATGAGGTATTGCGCCATGGAGACCGGGTGTGGAGGGTGATGAGTCAGGAGGGCGGGAAGATCTTTATGTGTGGGAGTGGGAAGATGGCGAGTGAGGGGGTTGTTGAGGCGTTGGTTGAGGTTGCGATGGTGCATGGGCATTTGAATGAGAGTGAGGCGAGGGGGTTGTGGAAGGAGTGGGAGAAGGAGGGGAGGTTGGTTATGGAGGTGTGGGGATAGACGAGCGTCGGCGACGACGAGGATGGAGCGTTGCATGGATTGACGAGGAGGAGGAGCCTATTGCAAGAAGAGCTTGGTTAGAGGAAAATGTATGATAACTCATTACTTGGAGCACGTACGCGAGCTCGAGGACTTTATTGTTCGTTGAGACTCGATGATGACTTTTTATACGGGCGTTTAGGATTGAATAGGACACTTTTTATCTGCTCCGAGGATTGTAAGGGTTCGATATCTGATCACGGTGATATCTATCGATTGACAGACGGTGGGCTGATGTGGGGTGATGCAAGAGCGCAGTTGTTGTACGAGGACGACGACGGCGACAGCAGGATTCATGGAGCAACCAGCGGAGCACAAGCAGTTGGAAGGACAGCCTGAGGTTGTTCAGCGACCAGTCAATGAGCATGGTGTTGCGGATCAGTCAGCTCCGGCCGCAGCGGTGGAGAAGAGAAACGAGAATCAGTGCATGCTCATCCTCGTCGGCATCGTAGGTAGCGGGAAGAGCACCCTCGCAACCTCCATCGTCCGCGAATTCCCAGATTACAAGAGAATCAACCAAGACGAACTCGGTGATCGACGAGCATGGTATGCTCGTGCCTCCCTAACTGTTCTGCAACCTGAAGCTAATCATGACTACGAACGTACAGTGAGTCGATGGTACGGAAACACCTTGCGGAAGGAGCATCGGTGATTATCGATAGATGCAACTTTGATCGACAACAGCGACGGACGTGGGTTGAGCTCGCGGGCAGATTTGGGGTTGGGGTTGATTGTATCGTCATGCAGACATCGTTTGAGACATGCCATTCGAGGATCATGGCGAGGCAAGACCATCCCACGGGCGTGATTGGGACTTTCGGTGCAGATGAGATTTTACCGAAGTTTAAGGCGATGTATCAGCCACCACGACATCATGGCGATGAAGGCATGGGTGCCGTCGTTAACCTAACCGAAGCCGACCAAGGCAGTGGAAAGTGGACGAAAGAGAGACTAGAGGCGCTCCTGAATAACGCGAAAGATATTGGTGATGGGATCAGAAGGAAAAGGGCGGAACAAGGGGATGCATGGCGCGAAGACCCTAATAGAGCCGACGACGGACGCGGACAAGGTCAGGCGAGATATAGACCGTATCAGGGTGATCGGCCTGCGCATGTGCAGACCTGGCCGAGGAGCGATCCGGGACAGGTTCGGGGTGGTCACGAGTACGGAAATCATGATAGACGGGGTGGGCACAGTCAGGCATGGCGAGGCTGTGGACATCGACCTCAGCAGCCGTATGGGGGTCACGACGTCGACAGGGGTTACGGACAAGGATACGGGCAGCCACAGTCATACCATGGTCAGGGTTGGCCCGCACAAGAACGTCCAGTGCAGCAATCGTGGGCACAACGTGCGGCTTGGAACCCACCGCCTCCGCCGTCAAGGTCTACAGAGGCCGGAAGTGAAGAGGTGGTCTATCAGCCTCGGGGTTCACGAAATGATGAGGAGCAGCACCAAAGCTAAACGATCTTTACACTTAACCCAAATATGTCAAACTACGGATCGAGCGCAGTAAACAGGAGATATCCTACTACTAGTCCTTCGACGGATTCAGGCTGACCCCGCTCTGGCACAGCCACGCCCTCAGCCAACAGCGGGTGGCGCAGCAGGTGCTCGGAGCGATTCAGGCCGACTCTCTCTGATTCGGCTTCTCGCCGACGCAGCAGGAGGCCGCAAAATGCCTGGCAGCTCATGAAGCTCATCGACATAGCTACAGCTACATTCCAGCGTGCGTCCTAAATGTCCCGATACAGCACTCTCCCATTGATTAGAACTTGATCTACAACTCCCTGGTCTTCTCCCATCGATCTAGGAGTCCTACAACTTTCTGGCTCTTTCCTGTAGATTCAGACTCAGCCTACTCCATTGTCGCCGTACTGGTAGTTGTCAGACGTGCCACTGGCTGAGGTATGTCTTTGAAAGATCTTTGGAAACTGTGATATACTCAAAGAGATGGTTGAACTGGATGAGTATCTAACCCTAAATTCGTCACATTCCATGAGTTCATGGCCTCAACCATTTTTTTGTGGGGTTGGGGTTAGGGTTAGGGTTAGGGTTAGGGTTAGGGTTAGGGTTAGGGTTAGGGTTAGGGTTAGGGTTAGGGTTAGGGTTAGGGTTAGGGTTAGGGTTAGGGTTAGGGTTAGGGTTAGGGTTAGGTTAGGGTTA